AAAGTACCTAACAATATTTTTTAGTTTTGCATTTTGTCCTAACATTTTTGTAAATGTAAACCTTGACGAATAAGATGGTAGTTGCTTTAAATTTGTATAAAAAGGTTTTTTATATCTCATTAATTCCATTTTGATTCAAAGATTGAAGTTTTAAAAAATATAATAAAATATATTTTGCATAATGGGCAGGAGTTTTCATCTATGAAAACTGCTGTGAAGAATAATTATTTTACTATATTTGATAGAATTGATTACGTAGTTTTTAAAAGAAAAATCTTTGATTTACAGAGATAGAATTTTGTTAAATTAGATTTAATTTTTAATCGAATTTGTTAATAACTACTGTTTTACTCTAAAAATAAACCAAATTACATATAGAATAATTTATTCTATTAATGATTCATATATTGATTGATTTATTTATTAATGTATTCATTAATTCATTGATTTAATAATTTATTCTTTTCTTTCTTTATATTAATATATTTATTAAGTTTTAATTTATAAATACTTTTATATTCATTTTTTTGAATTAATTCATTAATTAATCATAGATGCTAAAGTAAATGAATCATATCAAGTCATGTGAATCGAATATTAAATATGATTTATTATTTTAAAACTGAAACTATATGTTTCATTCTTGATCACCACGTTACAAATTGTCATTGATCTGCTCTAAATGTTATTGTTTCTGCGTTACATTTATATAATTGCCATTGTTATTAATCTTATAAATAATATTTCCATTTGTTGTAGTTGTTGGAGTTGTAGTTGATATTAAATCTATCCTATTGAATGACATCTTCTTCCAGTATATGTTATCTAAATTTATAATTTCCTAAATGATAATCAATATGTATATTAGTAACATTCTATTAATTAATAAATCTTTTTTCTATAATCATTTTTCTTCTTCTAATTCATTTCTCTTACTTGATTGAAGATTTGTCTTTTAATAACCATTCGGTTTGTTCTTCCTCGTCATCCTCTGGTTTGTTTGGAGTGATATGCCCGATGGCTGATCGATGGACGCTTGAAACTCTTCGTTGGCCATTTGAAGTGCTATCATATCTTGTTTCTGTTTCTCTAGCAATCTTTTATTATTTACTTGTTGATTTTGTTGTAACTTCTATTATCTACATTTGGTTGTTGCTGTTGCTGTTGTTGATATGCACCATAATCAACATGTTGTTGTTGCTGTGCTGCTTCTGTTGTTCATATTCAACTTGTTGTTGATGTTGCTGTTATTGATATGCACCATAATTATTTTTGTGTGATATGCAACTTGAAGAGTGAGTGCGACAATATAATAGACTTACAATACTGAAATCATTGACTGAACTTATATTTGAATTGAATCTTATAACTCATTACTTTCTTTAAATAATTTATTATATTCTAAAGCTGTAACATCTTTTAAAATTATAAAATAAATATTGATATTAATTTTTTTTTACTTTCATTTTAAAGATCTTATCATTATCAATCAATAGAAAAAAAAAAAAAAAAAAAAAAAAAACAATTTGTTGATCATAAACACTGAACCTCAAAAGTAATATTTTATTATTTTAATTGTTAACAACAACTTACAATCATTTATCATTTTAACTATAGCTTTATTAAACAAAAATTATCATATTTTATATTTACCTCTATTATCATGCAAACTCTTGTAAAGATAATTTAAAAGGTTAGTTAACATTTATTCTTATTTAATCTACACTCTATCTTTACTGTTTTTTATTCAATATTATATCGATTTAACTTGTTTATAGACAAAATACAACATTAATCATGATTCGTACAACTTGGATTACCAAATATTTAAACTTTAACATAATTACACCAACAAAATAATCTGTTATCAACTATCTTGAATCACATTTACACAATTATTAAAAATAACATAACAGAGAAACCTATACTTTGAGTACAAACCTATACACTAATGATTTCAAGTTACTGAATGCTCATCACGATTATTCACACTTGATCTACAATGGAAATTGATTCTCAATTCAAGTAGCTCATTTTATTTATTCATTTATTTATATAATTTCGTTTAATCAAACATTCATTAGTTTTCTCATTCATGGACATATATTATTATTTATTCATAAATCCTCTATATATCAATAAATTAAATACTATACTATCATTTATTAATTGATTTACTTATTTTTTAAACTTTAATGATAGATTAATCATATGGTAATCATACAAACAAATATTCAAGACATTTTTGAATTCTTTTGGAGGGATCTTTGAATAAGACATCTGCTCCACTGACCACATTACTGTGCTTGAAGAACATATTGGACCTTGTTGTTGGCACGAATACAATCTTTTTCTGGTCCAGAGATGACAGTTTGGCCAAAATTAATCGATTAAATCATTAGAAACTCTGGAAAGTGATGTTATTCCTCTACTATCTACTTTTCAAACCTCAAATTAGAAGCATTGAACCCCTCCTGCTATTATTGGTAAGTTTTGTTAAACTATTTATTTATTATAAATGAATAACTAACTAACCAACTATAGTTTAAAACAAGAGAATCGATGACCCATTGTGAAAGAGAGAGAAACATTAATGAAGAAGCTACATTTATTTTCTTGAACTAATTAATCAAACTATAGTTTCAAATAACAACAAAGACAACAACAATAATAGCAGTCTATTGATGTATTAGCAATATTGTTCATAATAATAATAATATAGGACTGATAATGTACATTTTGGTGGTGCTGCACCATTTGAAGTAGATGCACCGTATTCATTTATATTCCGAATTATTTAATCATTAAAACCATAACACCCATTCAACCATAGAGGTGTCATATTAATTTGACAATGGAAGTGCTGATCACACCTATCGCGAACCAACAGAGTGTTAAGAAATCGGTTAAGAAACCTACTGATCATTAGAAAGATGAATCGGATCAAAATATTAAGAATAGACAATTCACAATCAATTCAAACTTTATCCGACCAATTCACCTATCAAACTATTCAATAGTAATAATAAGAATGTAAACAACGAGAATTACAATTCAAATAAATAATTATAAATAAACTATCTAAATAAGTTTTTTTTTTATTTTTATTTGAGAACCAGATTGTTGAACGTATGTTGTCTCGATCATTATCTTCAACATGTATGTTGTTTTGATAGTGAGTCGATAAAGAGAACTTGAGTTGATGTTGTTTTAAATTGGTGGTTTCTTTGTCTCCATTAAGCGTACTACTCTATTATTCTCGTTGTTTAGACTATGATAGAGTTTAACGTTATTTTTTATAACAGGTGACTTGGTAGATACTATTTATATATTAACATTTTAGAAGCAAATAAACGATGGAATGTGTTTCACCTAAAGATAAACTATCGTTTGGTATATATGTTATTATTGTTGTTTTTTAATATTGATCATTAAATTCTAAAACTATTTTTTAAATAAAACAAATAAATAAATAATATAGCTCCAATCTTATTAGTTTAATATTATGATACATCTATACTATAGTATATTGATTTAACATTTTTTTGATCATATCATCTAATCTTTAAATTAAATTTACATACCTCAGTGATTTCTATGTCACAAATAGGTACATAGTTCTTAGGTATGGCTTTTGGTGTTGAATCGATATTCATATGATAAGTTCAAATAGTGAATGTCGGCGGCAGAATTGGAACACATTCTTGTTGAAATGGCAAAACGTTGGATGTACTGGTTATGTCTTGCTCGCGCAATAAAAAAAAAAAAAGAAAGTAAAACAAAAACAAAAAAAAAGTTAATCATAAAAAAATTTTACTAGTTTTATACCTTTGTTTGAGACTATATGGAAAACAAACAACAGACCTATTATAATGCGATCATAGCCGATCCAAATGATGGAAATGCATACTTTCAACTTGCTTTGACTCTCAAAGACTATCAACAATCAATATCACTTGCATCAGGTGAAACAGTGACGAAAGAACAACTAATACTGAAATGCATCAGTTTAGAACCAAAAAATTACAGAGCATATTTAAAGTTGGCATTAATTATTGAAAAAGAGAATAGAAAATCGATTGTTCTTCTATCAGGTCAATCATTAACAGCACAACAATTATTTTTAAAGTCAATCGAGTGTAACACCAACAATGTTTTTTCATATTTTTATCTTGCAACAAAACTAAAAAAAGACGAAACAGTAACACTCAATGATGGACAATCATTGAACAGACAACAACTCTACATGAAATCAATAGAATGTAATCCATCAAATTTCAAAGCATATTTTAATCTTGCAGCAACACTAAACAAAGACGAAACAATCACACTTCCAAATGGACAATCAATGACAGCACAACAATTATACCTAAAATCAATAGAATATAATCCATCCCAACCCTTTTCTTACTATAACCTCGCAAGTATACTTACGAAAGGCGAAAGAATCACACTTCCTAATGGACAATCAATGAAAAAAAAGCAGTTATATTTGAAATCAATAGAATGTGATCCAACCTTTTCAGAACCATATTTTAACATTGCAATAACTCTTTACACAAGTGATGATAGTGTAACCCTTCTCAATGGACAATCAATGACCAAACAACAATTGTTCTTAAAGTCAATAGAGTGCAACCCAAGCAATTCCACATTATATTATCCCCTAGCACTTACATTATCACCCAATGAAACAATCACATTAAATGATGGTCAAATAATGAATGATAGACAACTCTATTTTAAGTCAATCTCTCTTGATCAATCAAACTATGCAGCACATATAAATCTTGCAAAAACACTCAATGGAAATGAATCATTCATTTTTCCATCTGGTGAATCATTGTCACGAAAACAAATATACCTACGGTCGATACAAATGGAACCAAATAACTTTAATGCATACTTTGGATTGGCAAAGATTATTTCATCAATAGAAACAATCACACTCCACAATGGTATTACAATGACAAAACAACAACTATTTTTAGAGGCAATCAAGAAAGATTCAACAAAGTTTTATGTTTACAGACACCTTGGTTATACGTTAAACAATAAACAAACAATTACACTTGATGAACAACAAATGTCAAGGAGACAACTAATTAGAAAATCAACAAACTTTTAATTAATAAAGATTAACTAGTTATGAAAACATTTGTTAAAACTTGACTCTTGAGAATAGTTGTAATTGAATCAATTTGATTTATTCTCTTGAGAACAGAAAAAAAGTTAATTTTGTGCTTTTCATTTTTTTTTTTAAAAAAATTTCATTTTACTTACATCTTTCGATGAAACCATTTCATTTCGGGGAGATCTATTCAATCATCCTCCGGGTTGTCCTTTTTGAATGGACACAATAAAGTTGGACGGTCTTTACCTTTTAAATATGCTTCGGCAATAGTAACCATATTCAAACAGGCATTGAAATCACGGTTGATGTAATACTTTGTCTCTCCATCCAAATAGTATTTGATAACATAAGAATTAGGATCATCCGGAGGAGCTTTGACTTTGGCGGCTTTATACACTTCTTTTCGTTTGGCATCTGACTTTTCTTTAACATAGCTCTTTTCCATTTCCTTTAGCTTTGGTGCAAAAATCTATAATTTTATTTTGTAAAAAACAATAAAAATATTTGTTAATAAATGAATGAATTTAAATAAGCTTTTTATATTATATTTACTTGGGATGTATTGTACTCGTCGAAAAGATAGGTCTTTACTCTGGCACCATATCGAGAATGAGAACGTCTTTCTAAGAAATCTATTTCTTTAAGAAGAGTGGGACTATATTGTACACCTTTTACATTTTGGACATAGTTATTGGGACCTGCACCTTTACCATAAACTAAACAAAAAAAAAATAGTAAAAATTAATTATTTATAGTTTTAAATGATATCAATATTGTTTTTTACTTACAAAACCTTTGTTTTTTTACTTTTGATGTCGCTATTGCTTTGTCCTTAAAGATTATGTATTTCCATTCGCAATGTGAGCATTTGGTAGCAAAGTAATCTCCTTTAAAATCGACTAATCGATAGTTATGGATCTTCTTACATTTAATACATTTCCACCGACGTCTTTTTTCTAAAAATAAAAAAATAAATTAATAAATTTAATAAAATAAAAAATAAAGAATACTTACTAGGAGGAGGCTCAAGAGGTTTACTAGGAGAGGGCTCAGGTGGTTTTGTCTTCTTGGTTGGTTGTTTTGTTTGAGGGTCATTACCTTTTCTCTTGCTTGGTGGATTGGGAGCTACTGAAGGAGTTGTATTGTTATTATTATTACATTCGGTTTCAGGTGTTGGGTTGGTTTGTTGTTGTGATTTGTCTTTTTTTTTTGATTTTCGTGACGATGATGATGCTAAAGATGAAAGAGAAGAGGATGAAGAAGAAGATGAAGAAGAGGATGAAGTTGTTGTTGATGTTGATGTGATTGTTGATGTTGTTGGAATTTCTTTTGTTGTTTGGAATTGTTTCATATTAATACGGTTGATGGGTTTAGATTGTTGATTGTTCTTTATCCAAAACTCAAAATCTGGGATGACTGTAGAGACAGATAAAGTTTTCTGCCTTTCGTCAAATTTGAATCGTCTTATAGCACAATAGCGAATATAACCTATTCGATGAAACCAATTAGTTTGGAAATCCTTGGAATTCAAAATAACTAGGATTTCAGAGCACAGGCCAGAGAGTTCAACGCTAGGCATGAGAGCAACTTTCAATTCTTCTTTGCATTTCAACAAAAGTGAGTTTGATAGTTTGACGTACTCCAATATATTTAATGCTTGTTGAATTAAATTGGTACCATATCTTTGTGTCGCTGATATGACAGATCGTTTAGTTGGTGGATCATTTAAACCTTGAGGAACTTTGAAAACAAGATTATGTTTTGCTAATTTCCCGCGTAATTGATCAATTTCTGTGGATTGGAGCTGAATTCGATTAAAATCCTCAGAGAAAGTCTTTACTACATTGAAATCAAAGTCCATTCCAAGCTCAACCAAACTATTGAATCGTTTTTTGAAAGATTCCACATTCTCTTTTGTTATTTCAGAACCAATTGCCATCTTTGTCAAATATAAAAGATCTCGGTGTCTTTTTGTATCGGACCCTTTGAATCTTAGTTTATGAGTGATAGTGACTTCTGGTTTGGTATAGTTCTCTGGAACAACTTCAGGGAGATTCAATACTTTTGGATCTAAAGTTTTGTAAATATATTGAAGTGGTTTCAATGGTAGATTCTTTACGGGAGGTAGGTCTGTCATGACTACGTCAGTATCTTTGGAGCTTTTACCGGCACGGGATGTAGATGGTTTTTTTGAGGTTGGAGCAGTCTTGGAACTAGGTAGACCAACTTTGGAGGATGATTTAGGGGGTCGACGTGGAGGCTTAGTAGTAGTAGTATTAGTAGTGGTAGTAGTATTAGTAGTAGTAGTAGTAGTAGTAGTAGTAGTAGTAGTAGTAGATGAAGTAGGTAGATCAGTCATAACTGTATCGTTGGAGAGAGATTTGGAGAGTTGTTCAGCGGCACGATGTTTGGCATGTCGTTCATCGGCACGTTTTTTGGAGCGTCGTTTTCGTCGGGGCAAAGATGATTGTGTTGAAGTTGGAGCAGGGATTGAACTAGATTGATCATTCATAACTATATCATTGAGCGGAGTGATAGTTGAAACATTTGACAGCTTGGACTCTTCCGAAAGTAACGTGGTCTCAATTGCACGATATAAAAGTAGGTCGGCTTTTAAGGAGTTGAATGTGTTTCTTCTTTTTATCAAATGAAGAATCAACCAATCGATAGGATTTATGAGCTTCAATTGCTGCAGAATATAAAGGACTTGGAATTGACTGGCGTTTTTCGATAAGAGCATGAAGATTCTTTGTAGTTTCTCCTAAGCGATCAATAATACCATCGATTTCGGTATTATTGGGGTTTACTTGAATCTCGGGTTTCCTAAATGATCCACTGCTATTTTTCGCATAAACAGTACCATGAGCTTCAAAAGATAAAAGTTGATTCTCTAAATTTTGATAAACAGGATCATCTGGTTCGTGCTTGCCAATTTCCAATATCAAATGGTCAATATGATTTTGAATATCTACCGACTCTTTATTCAATAGATCAATCTCTTTTGAATCTGTAACAAAATGAATTGGTCTATCAAATAGATATTTCCTTCTCTTTTCATAAATATCTATTGATAATATGTTACATTCAAAACCACCTAAAAATGAAAAATTTTGTTAATAATTGATGGCATAACGATTTATTATTTTATATTTTTTTATTACATACCATAAAGACTTGGGATTTTTGATTCCCATTCATCAACTTGTTTACCTCTCTTTTTGTTTTTAATACTTTTACGCCTGCCTGATTGCGAGTTGTAATAATGAGTGCCACTGATCATGTCAAGACTAAATTTCTTTTCCATTTGTGCCAATTGTTGTGGAGTATTGGGAATTAGTCCATTATCATCATCACTAAGACCACCAGGATAGAATAAATAAGTGTTGTGATTACGACCCGGATCAACCGCAATGATTGAAAGTTCTTTCCATTGGGGATCTTTCTTCACTTTATCATATAATTTGATTTCTTCTACAAGTTTTTAGAAAAAAAGTGTGAATAAAAATTTTTAATGATTTTAACTTTTTTTAATTTAAATTAAAAAAAAAACTTACTTGTAACTACTATTTCGTTTTTGGTTTTAGTAGTTGTTGGTTCGTTGGTTTCAGTTGTTGTATTGTTGGTTGTAGCTGTTGTTGTTTCGTTGGTTGTGGTTGTTGTTGTTGTTGTTATTGTAGAGGTTGCTGTTGGTTTGTTGGCTGTTGGTTTCTTTTTTTTCTTGGCATATACAATATAACAAGAATCACCATTTGATCTAATACCAACCATCTCATATGTTGTTAAATTGAATTTGGGGTTTACTATATCTGACACGTTGATGTTCTCATTATTTAACAATTTACCGAGAGCTGTCTTATTATAGTGGATAGAAAATTGATTAAAACTAAAAAAACAATTAGTAAAGAATTTTAAATTTACTTATACCTTTTTATAAACATACCTATTTACCTGTGGGATAAGTAGAACGCTGATTGAACGTTTGATATGATAAAAAAAACTAATATCGATATTTTCTTTAATCGATAACTTGTTATTATTATTGGAAGAATTAGATGTTGTTGTTGTTGTTGATGTGTCTGGTTGTTGTTGTTGTTGTTTATTATACAAATGGTTGAGATGTCTTGACTTTCTTTTTTTCTTTTGTTTTGTTGTTTTTGTTTTTGGTGGTTTGCTGTCAATATACTCTTTAATTTTAAAGAGATAAGGACGATTAGGAAAACATGGTTCATTATTATTATTAGAGGAAGAGGTGTTTGAAGATTGTTGATTATTAAAAATATCATTTTGAATAATAGAATAATAATTATTATTGTTATTATTATTGCTATTGTTATTGTTATTGTTATTGTTATTGTTATTGTTATTGTTATCGATATTGTTATTGCTATTGCTATCGATATCGATAGCGATATTGCTATTGTTATCGATATCGATAGCGATATTGCTATTGTTATCGATACTGCTATTGCTATTGCTATTGCTATTGCTATCGATACTGCTATTGCTATCGATATCGATATCGATATTGCTATTGCTATTGCTATTGCTATTGCTATTGCTATTGCTATTGCTATTGTTATCGATATTGCTATTGTTGTTGTGGTGATTGTTCTTGTTATTTTGAACTCTAATATCATTTGCAAAATTGTTCTAAAATTAACATTTTAGAATTATAATAATCAAATCAACTGACACTTCAATAATTTATTAAGAACTCAACTATCACAATTCAAACAGTTCATGGACACGATTTCAAATAACTTAAATTAATAATTCAACTGTTTAGCAATAATCAAATATATTCGAATAATATCAACATTCAGTGAATCAACAAAATATCAATCTACCAAAGTTAACATAAAGAAATAACCAACAAGTTAATCTACAATGAATACCAAACTAGTTAATCAAGAACAGATTTCTGAGATTGGGCAACTGCACTGGTCGAAGAAATCCAACAGTATAAATACCATGGAAATCCATTATAGAAATTAATTAATTATTCAACATTATTCAACATTACAAAATATTATTCTTATCTTCAAATTGTAAAATAAATAAATTATTATCTTTAAATATTATACTGTAAATTATATCTCTAAATTTTATTACATTCATTAAATCTATATTCCTCGTACCAAAACTATTCCTAAAGTAATTCCTAATCTTATATCAAAGTTGTAAGTATTATATTTATATGTTTATATGTATATTATAATATGATATTATTACCATTGTAAAATAACATGGTAGCATCTGTTCTTTAAAGCACCGATCGACCATAGCACCTCCAAGTGCATAATATATATCACCACCAAGTGATTTTCACCATCAAGTGAAATACATATATATATATCACCACCAAGTGATTTTCACCATCAAGTGAACAATATATATATATACATCACCATCAAGTGATTTTCACCACCAAGTGAACAATATATACACATCACCACCAAGTGATTATAATTAGAAATATCTATAAATATTTACTAATTAAATTTTTCTTTATTCTATTTATATAGAACATAAAAGAAACAAACCAACTAAAAGATGTCCCAATTAAACACATCCATTCCAACCACTAACGACGAAACTAACTCGGGTCAAATGGCTGACATTTCTCCAACTGAAAATCAAGCGGAAACCAATGTTTCTGACAACACTATGTCCATAACAAACCCACTCAATGCAACAAGTATGACCAATACCAATGCAATTGAACAAACTCCACTAAGCGCGTCCAGCGCCGGAGATATCCAAAGTGCGACCAGCACCAATGTAACCAACAGTGGTTCTCCAAGAGATACCCAAAGTGCGACCAGCACCAATACAACCAATAATGGTTCTCCAAGTTTAAACCAAAGTGCGACCAGCACCAATGCAACCAATAATGGTTCTCCAAGTTTAAACCAAAGTGCGACCAGCACCAATGCAACCAATGGTGGTTCTCCAAGAACAACTGTCACCAACGGTAATCTAAGTACTACGAGTACCATTAACAATGTTCCAAACTTGCCAAGTATTTCAAGTACCAACAAGAATGCTACTAGCATTTCCAATCACGGAACAAGTCCCAACCGCAATGTGAGCACCAACTCCCATAATAAAGGACATCAATACCACCGATCCGAATCAGAAGATTCTAATTCCGAATCCGAAGACGACTATGATGATGATAACAATCATCGTAGGAAAAGATCGAAGAAGGAGATTGGTAGAATAGCTTTCCAAGATCCATCTGATCCAGAATCATCCGACTCGGACACCTCTGATCAGTCGGATGATGAAACTGTCAAAATGCCAATTGATAAGATTAAATATACACGTAACACCACTCCAAAGTCTGCAAGATCCAATAGACACCGAACTGTGGTAGAGTTCTCTAGTCAAGCTTTGAGAGATGCAAGAGCAAGAATCAGAGCTGTCTCCTTCAACGACATGCTGTTGGCATCAAACAAAGACTTGATTGAAAGAGCTGCCCAATTCTTGGTATCGAACCCACTACTTGGCGACGAAGGAGCATTCGAGGCAGCAGTCACCGAAAGAGTTGATCTACTCGGAATCCAATCTCTGGTCTCTAGTCATTTGAGAGACCAAGTCAAAAACTATACTGCCAAGATTCCATTATTCGTTCCAGATATGAGCGACACCCAAACATTCATATCCCAAGTGGAGAACGTAGTACCAGAAGATAGGTTACGATGCGTCATTGCTTTAAGCAAACTCTCAGAGGAAGCCATCACTTCGGTTTCATCAGCAGAAGATGCAGAAATCCTAAAACGTACAATGAAATGGAAGGAATTTGCCTCTATTCTAACCAATACCTTCGGTACAAAACGAGAATCCGATGAATACGTTACCGATCTTAAGAATTTGAGACTTGAACAATTCGAAACCACTCACAAGTTCATTATCAAATTCCGAGAGATCTATAGTAAATCACGTCTTTCTCAAACTGACATCGCCACACAGCTTTACAGTTTGCTTCCTAGCAACATTAAAGCAGATCCAGAATTAACCAAGGCACATCGTAAAAAGAACATCAATGCTTTGACCAAAAGATTAAATGATTTAGGTCGAAAGCAACTCGACGATAAACTTCGGTTAAAAAGGGAGGAGAAAGTGATGCATTTCACCACTCGAAATCATCACAATACACCTAATGTACAACCAAATCTTTCCCAGAAATGGTCACCAAACAATACCAATAAAAGATCTCCACCACCAAGTGTCGGTCAAAATAAAACCAAATTCACCGTAAAGAAGTCCAAGATTGGTACTTGCTCTATCTGCAATAAGGGTAACCATCTTCCAAATGAATGTTTCTACGGGAAGTTTGGAAAATTCCGAGATATCGATCCAGCCACTGGCCAAAGAAAGCAAGCTAATGCATTCTTATGTTCGATGCCTGGAACCATAAATAACATGTATGTTAATATTTTTATTGACAGTTGTAGTAACATTAACTTACTCTCATTTGATCTATTACAGGAAAGTGACATCAAGAATCTAACCGATGTCAACATTACCTTAAATGGGATTAATAAAGACAGTTCTACATTATCAAAACAAATAAATAAAAATATAACAATCAATAATAAAGTATTTAAAATACCATTTTTTATAATCAATTCTAAAACAAACTTTATTCTTTTGGGAACAGAGACGTTACAAAATTTAAATTTGAAAATTGATTTTAAAAATAAAATTATATCTTTACCTAACGCTGATAAAGAAAACAATATTAAAGAACTAGCTATCAAATTCAACACTCTAAACGATTCTATTCAAACTAATTTAATTGAAACTAGAAATTGTTTAATTTCGCAAAGCGAGAGTGATAATGATGAATGTTGTGCTTTAGTATATTTAAATGATATTAGTGTAGATGAGAATACAAATAAATCAAACACACACGAAAAGTTGGATGAAAGTAAAAATTCTAACCACACTTTTGAATCAAATCTTTCAAAGAAAATAAAAAATCTCATTTTAAATAAATACCCTGATGTGGTTAAACCTTTTGACAAAGAATTACCCCCATCTCGCGGAGATTTTGATTTTAAAATAAATTTGACGGTGGACCAACCCCCAAAACCGAAAAATTATCCAATCCCACATTCATTTTTAGATGAATTGGAAAAACAGATAAACACTTATTTGGAAAATGGTCAAATCACCCCATCTCAATCCGCATTTGCGGCACCCCTTTTATTTATTAAAAAGAAAGATGGAGGTTGGAGACTCTGTGTAGACTACAGATCTCTAAATGGTATAACTATCAAAGATACATACCCATTACCAAACATCACTGAAGTTCTTAACAATACAAGAGATGGTGTTCTCTTCTCTAAAATTGATCTACTCCAAGGTTACCACCAGATTAGAGTTCATGAGAATGATCAATCTAAGACAGCATTTCGAACTTCATTCGGTGTATTCCAATATACTGTATTACCATTTGGACTCACAAACGCACCAGCGTGTTTTCAGAGACTCATGGACAGTATATTCCAAAGACATGTAATTGCCAAAAAATTACTTGTTTACCTCGATGATTTGTTAATCAAAACAAACATTGATGATGAAGACAAACACATTCAAGATGTTTTAGAAATTGTTGATTTATTAAATCAAAACAAATTAAAAATAAAACTAACTAAATGTATTTTTGGTCAATACTCACTTGAATATCTCGGCCATATTATTGGTCATAATAAATTGATTCCTATAAATGATAAAATCTTAGCAATCAAAAATTGGAAACAACCTATCACAAAGAGAGAATTGAGAGGATTCTTAGGTTTGACAAACTACTACCGAAAGTTTATCCCCAAACTCTCTGAAATAGAAGCTCCATTAATTGATATAACTAGAAAGAATAAATTATTTAAATGGGAAGACATACATACAGAGACATTCAATTTGATTAAAAACCAAATAAGCGATAGTAGTTTTCTTTTTATACCTGATTATAAGTTAACATTTCACATCGATTGTGACGCCTCCAATGATGGAATAGGTCATGTCATTTATCAATACAAAGACAATATTGAACAAGAAGATAACAAACAAATTGTTCTTTATGGATCCAAGAAGTTTAACACAACCGAAAGGGATTACCATGTCTTTGAACAAGAGGTTATGGCAATCAAACATGCTCTCGAATCTAACTACCATATGCTATTAGGTTATAAGATAGTTATTCATACCGATCACCAAAATATACTTTTTATAAATAATAAACTTAATGACAATACAAAACCTAAATTAATTAGGTGGTTACAATACATTTTTTCTTTTAACCCAACTCTTATTTATAAAAAAGGATCTGATAATGTAATTGCTGATGGTTTAAGTCGTTACACTTACTCCACCACCATTTCCATTGATGATAATGATCTAATTGCAATGATTGAAAATGGATATATTGAAGAAGAAACGCAAATAAAGAATAAAACAATACATCCTTCAAAATATTACAAATCTAAATCTGTGAAAACAGAAGGTAAACTTAAATATTTTGAAGATAAAATAGTAATTCCTCAAGTTCGCTCTATTATTAAACGTATTCTTTTCATATACCATGATTCATTACTTGCAGGTCATCATGGAATAGAACAAACTTTAGAATTAATAAGTAGACATTTCATTTGGGAAGGAATAGCCAAAGATGTCACTAATTATGTCAAAGCTTGTCATACTTGTAACAAAGCAACTGATGCTCGTGGACAATCAATTGGTAAACTTCAACCACTTATTGTTCCAACTAAATGTTTTGAAAGCATCAGTATGGATTTTATTCCATTAATTGATACTGAATACAAAGGTATTAAATATAATAAAGTCTGGGTAATTGTTGATCGTCTATCAAAGATGGTACGACTCATACCAGTTCATTCAACTTACACTTCTAAAGATTTAGCTGAAATCTTTATGAAAGAAATATTCAAACATCATGGCATGCCTGTTGAAATTGTCTCTGATAGAGATTCAAAGTTTACTAGTAAATTTTGGAAAGATCTGATGGATATATTAAATTGTGAAATCAGAACTACCACTGCAGAAAATCAACAGGCCAATGGACAAGTGGAAAGTATAATCAGATACTTAGGTAACTTGTTTCGTAAAGCTATCATTGCAACTTACAATGAAGAAAACCATGATGAATGGATAACTTTAGTTGATACAATTGAATTTTGTGTAAACAATTCCATCCATCACGGATGCGAATACTCTCCTTTTAAAATCTATACAGGTGAAAATCCAATAACACCACTCTCTCTTATTCAATACAAATTGAAAATGAACTCATCAAACGTTGATATCGAAAACATGATCAACTCAAAGAGAAATCAACTCAAAATTGTTAGAAATTGGTTATTCGATAATCAATATAACATGAGAATTCAATATAATAAAAATAAGAAAGAAATGGATATTAAAGTAGGTGATAGTGTTTATCTAAGAAAGTTTAGATCAAACCCTAAAAACAAAATCAAATTAGAAACAAGATTTGATGGTCCATACGAAGTAACGAATGTCAATGGATTAAATGTCACAGTTGCCAACGTTGAATCTGGTACAAAGAGAAAGAGAATCAATCCATCTTTCACTAGACACGCTAAATACTTCAAGAAACACAACTCTTTAGACGATGAGGATGATGATGATATCGAATTTGGCGAAGTTGAAGAAGAAGATGAAATTGAAATCGATTCAATTACTCAAAATGAACAAAACAATCAGAATAACAACAACGACGACACAGATGACACTGAAGCCATGGACATTGATTCAGAATTAGATTTGGTAACAAACAACAATTCAACTACAAACAACAACCCACCTATCAATACACCAGATTCAAACACTTTAATTTTGGATAATATTCCAAACTCAACTACTACTCATCCAATCATTCATAATACATTGACATTCCAAAATGAAAGAGAATTTTCAGAATCTTCTGAAATCACTAATTTCCAGAGAATATCTGCCAAAGAAATCAAAGAAGCATTCGAAAAGAAGAATAAGTTAACTGTCCTTGAAGAATACATCCAATACCACAATTCCTATCCGAACCATCCACCAACCAAACAAAGTGCCAAGATACTCATAGCTTTGATCAACGCCAATATCATTCGTAAAGATACAATGTTCGTCACAAGAAAGAGAACCTTCAATCTCACCAACAAGAGAGATGCCAAGACCGAATACCTTTTCAATATAGGAGGAGTCCAAGGATGGATACTGGATAACGATGTTCACCAATCATATAAGTCTTTAACCGGAGACTATAGAAATTGGTTGAAAACTAATTCAAACTAAAGACAGTGTTCTAAAATTAACATTTTAGAATTATAATAATCAAATCAACTGACACTTCAATAATTTATTAAGAACTCAACTATCACAATTCAAACAGTTCATGGACACGATTTCAAATAACTTAAATTAATAATTCAACTGTTTAGCAATAATCAAATATATTCGAATAATATCAACATTCAGTGAATCAACAAAATATCAATCTACCAAAGTTAACATAAAGAAATAACCAACAAGTTAATCTACAATGAATACCAAACTAGTTAATCAAGAACAGATTTCTGAGATTGGGCAACTGCACTGGTCGAAGAAATCCAACAGTATAAATACCATGGAAATCCATTATAGAAATTAATTAATTATTCAACATTATTCAACATTACAAAATATTATTCTTATCTTCAAATTGTAAAATAAATAAATTATTATCTTTAAATATTATACTGTAAATTATATCTCTAAATTTTATTACATTCATTAAATCTATATTCCTCGTACCAAAACTATTCCTAAAGTAATTCCTAATCTTATATCAAAGTTGTAAGTATTATATTTATATGTTTATATGTATATTATAATATGATATTATTACCATTGTAAAATAACAAAAATAATAGAATGCTGAGATAAATTCTTTAGAGTAAAAACAAGGATGACGTGTTAAATGAACTGTTATAGTTTTTGTTACCGACTTATCTAATATCTTTAATTTCAATGAGAATGAAGATTGAAATGATTGTTTTGAAACTACTACTACAACACCATCTTTGATGAGAGTATGAAGCAATTGTAAATTTACAGATCCACATAACATAGATAATCCGGGGCCATCGGATAGAATTGATTGAAGACTATCGAGCATTATCAGTTTGTGTTCCTTTGGGAATTCACTCATATTGTTAGCTACGAATGGGTGTAAATCTAACCAATTTGTATTTCTAATTCCATTAAACATTGATAATGTTTGCATTCTATTGGCGGTAGCACACAGTTTTCTATCCTTATTGAGTGACATGTCATTTGGATCCAGAGGGTGATGAGTGATAATAGAAGACGTGGGTGGAGAGACTTGAGGGGTCATTGAGAAGGTATTCAATGGTGAACCAACAAACTTTGGATACTTCTCAGTATCAATAACATAGTTAGGGTCGGTGTAGGTTTTTGATATTGGTGATGCAGTGGAAGTTTGAATATTTCTAAATTGATCGACTGACGAATAAAATTGATTATTATCAGTAGATTCCTCATTTGTTGTTTCTGTTGTAGAGTTTGTTGTTGTTTCTGTTATAGAGCTTGTTGTTGTTTCTTTTGTAGAGTTTGTTGTTGATGTTGATGATTGATCTAAAATTACAGAAGTTTGAGAGTTTGAACTGGTTGATTTTGATTTTGATTTTGATTTTGATTTTGATTTTGTTTTTGAATTTGGATTAGGGTTTGATATCTTGGAATCCTCCTTAAGGGTACCGGTAGACTTTTGATCTTGACCATATAGATTGATTAATGATTTCAGTGTAGATTTGAGATCATTGATGGCTTTGGAGGGTGATGAGATAGATCTAGGCAAAGAAGAATTTAAATGATGTAAAAACTCTGAGATTATTCCAATTAGTTGATGTATTTGATCTATTAAATTTGATGATAAATTGAGATCTGATCTCTCTACAGTTTCAGAAAAAAACTTTACAATTCTAAAAATTGATTTAGTTATTTTTTTCTTTTTCGCTGGTTTTACTTCTATTGGTTTTGAATCCTTGTTTCTGTATACCTTGGAATTTAATGAAGAGCAACTCGCACAATAATAATGATTTCCATTTTTACGCATATAGTCTTTGAAAATGTTATCTGGTAAACCAACATTCTTGTGATTATCGCTCTTACATAAAAGATATTCACTGACTGCTTGTGGACTTTCTTCTTGCACTTTTAATCTTTCCACAAATTCGACCAAGTCGGTAAATTGCTTAACATTTGAATAATCCATATAGGTTTCCCCAAGTATAGATTGTGCAATCTTGACAATAGAAGCTTCATTGAATGTAACTTCTATAGGATTCATTTTGGGATGTAATTTTGGAAAATCAAATCCCCAATTAGATAATCTGATGAAAACATCGCTCGGATCATCTAGTCCTATAAAAAAAGAAATTAATAAAAATTCAACTTAATATTTATTAAAAAAATATTTACCATTAAAAAATTTAATAAAAAATATATGTAAAGAGAGTGCGTCAGTTAGATCGGCCTCTACTGCTTTGAGAGGATTCAGGTATTTCAGAGTATACTTTATCTTGTTGAATAGACCACCGAGTCCCAATCTATAGTACTTGTATCCATTGAAATCGTTCGAACCAAGTTCTTTAATATTTTGGTGATCATAATGTGTAAAATAAAATAATTTTTTTAATTCTATTTAAATTTTTAGAAAAGAAAATTAATATTAATAAATTAAAATTAAATACTCTTAAAATATATATACTTAAAACTTACCTTTAAATTTAAAGTCACTAAAATCAATAGAAACTTTGCCATTTTTGTGATTGGCTAAAAGTGTGATCAACCGTTCCTCTAGTTTGATTGTTGTATCGATTTTATATTTATCTACTAGATTCTTTACTTGGTGGTCCGATAAGATGGGAAACTATTTAAAAAAATTAGGAATTTTGATTAAAACTAAAAAAAAATTGTAAATTAAAAAAAAATTGATACTTACAAGATTGTTGTTTATTATAAAATCTAAAAAATGAATCTTTGAGTCAATACTATCATTGATCTCAAGATTTATTAAATTCTTTTGAATAGAAGAGTTAATAACTTTCGTAAGGTTTCTTAAATGAGACTGGAGCTGGGAGTAGAGAAAATTATACAAGTTTGTTGCCACTTGTTTAGGTACTTCATCAAAATATTTTGATTTTATATCGAATTCATCTTTGAAAGATACAAATAATTCTAAAAACTTTTTTCTATTAAAAATAAATATAAATAAACAAGGAATTATTTTTTAAATAAAAAAAACTTTTTATACATACTTTGTATCTTCTTCAGAAATTATATTAGTTATCTCATGAATATTTATAGGTTGAAATTGAAGCAATTTCCAAACTTCTCCCATATGATTGGATTCTAGAATTTCGCTACCAATTATTCGCCTATATATATACGATATTATTTTATATGAGATAGTGAGGTGGGTAGTTGTTTTTTCTAAATTTGTCAAAACATCTTCATTTTTAACAATAATATTATTAACAATTGGAAAATTTTTGGTGAAATTATCTTGATTATTAATTATAAATTTATGAAGAAAATCATTAATTTGTACTAAAGATCTTCTTTGATCTTCTGATAGATTAGAAGAAATAGTTGTAAAGAATTCATCCTTTAGGACATCTTTGACCTTAAAAGGACCTATAGAAATGTGTGACATAGATAAATAAATAAAAGAATAGATAAATATTAAGCAATATATAAAAAGATAAATAATAGATAAATAGATAAAGAATAGATAAATAAGAATAGATAAATATTAAACAATATATAAAAAGATAAATAATAGATAAATAGATAAAGAATATAAAGAATAGAGAAAGAATAAAAAAAAAAGAATAGATATAATATTTTAAAAATATAAGAAATAATAACTATTATATAAATTTGAAGATTTTATTTGTTGATAAATTTGAAGATTGTATTTGTTGTTAAATTTGAAGGTTGTAAAGTAAAAAAATTAAAATGAAAAAATTTGGTTTTGATCAAAACAAAAAAGTAGTTTAGTTGTAATGAGGCAAATTCTCTCCTTATTAAAAAGAAAGGTTGAAAACTTAGTTCCAAAAGTTTTTTACAAAAGAATTGAGGATCAAGAAAAAAAAAAGAATCTTTTCTAATATCTATGATCATACCAATATATTAGCAAACATTCTAAATCGGGACATTTTTATAATTCTTTCCAAACTTTGTGTTATGGATCATATGAAAACTAAGTTTTTCAAAAAAAATGATGAATTTGAAAATAAAATTTTTTTTAATTATTTTTTGGTTTGGTTTTTTTTTTTGCAATCAAAACAAAAGAAAACAGACATCTTAATTCATTCTTTTAAAATATAGTTATAATTTAATTATTATTTGAATATTTATCACCAAGATATTAATATACGAGATGTAGTAAATTAGTAAATAAAGGTTAAATACTGGACAATGACCGATTAGCATGCATTTCAATAACAGAAACAATTACAAAGTTTGAGTTCAATAACAGAATTAGTTCTATTGCTCAACTAAAAAGTAAAATAAACATATAAACAAGCACATGTAATCATAGATTGGCTAAAAAGGATAGTGGATGTAATATTTATAAAGGTATAGATTTATTTTAAACTTTGTTTAAATTTCATAAAAGATACCGTAATGTTAATTGGAAATTGAGAATGTCGTTGGTGTCTTTGAATGTAACTTTGCAACCCAATGGTACTTCCATTTCATCGACTTTAAACGAAACATATTTTTGTTTGTTTATCAAATCAAAGATGTCGTTTAAAAGTGAAAAAATAAAATAAAATAAAACTTTAATAAACTGACGTATTTAAAATTTAATAATAAAGAAAAAATAAAACAATCTATAGATTTAATCATTAACAGAAATATTGTTAAAGAGGTGCATCAAACTAATACTTATTATCATGTGGCTGTGCTTTTTTGTGTTTTGCTTTTTTTTAAAAAAAAAGGAAAAAATTTAGGTTGTGATTGATTCTTTTTAATTATTTATATTTGATATTTGATTCGTTATTTTAATCAAGTTTTATTTTAAAATGGCAAGCAGATTAACTACACAAAATAAGAGTAATAATAGTCGATCATTGGCTCCCTCTTTCAATAATTATACACAAGGAGTGTTTAATTCAATAAAATCAGTTAGTGATCCAAACACTAAACCAGTCAAGAGTAATCGTTATAAGGACTATAGTAAATTATCAGAGAGGTCTGGTAATAAAAGTAAAGTTTTAAATTTAATAACAACTTCAGTTAATGTAATAGCATCACCAAAAAAACATAACAAAGTAACGATTGATCAACAGACACATTTAATGAAAGATTGGTTAACAAAGAATACCACTGGAAAGCAGGTACACTATTGACAACTATACATATCATAAACTGTTGTTTTGAATGATTATTGTTAATACTTTTAACTATAAATATATTCAGGTTCTTGAAGAATTAAAGAAAGATGGTAGTATTACTACATCAGAAGAATTCAGAAAGGGATATAAGGAGATATATGAAGAGATACCTGGAGCAACCACACATGCTGTTGCGTTGTCATATGTTATTTCATCACTTCAGAGTGGCCAATATACAGATAGAGATGGATATGAAAAAACAAGGTAAGTGTTTTGTAATGCTCGCGATTTTGTATATCATTGATACTAATATTCCCAATCTAGATTGTTATCAAGTTTAGTTCCTTTTTACACTTCTAAGGAAATCAGAGAGTTTGGAATCACAATAGATAATAATGCGTGGAATCGTGCAATTCAACACGTACATAAGTATGGTGCAGGTAGACTGATTAATGCAGAAGAGATCAGCAATTGGAGATCTAAATTTACACACAATGGACAAATGACAAGAAGACAAAGAACCACGATGCTAAGGACAGCCGTCGAAGGTTACTTCAATATGAAAGATATAACTGAAGAATCAAGTAAAAACATGAGGTTGTACAGCAAAGAACTCGACGCAGATGGTAAACGAGCATTCGAGTTGGTGCCAATCAAGAACCTTGCTTTAGGAAACATAAATACCTGCTTTACAGATTACCTCAAGAAGAGTGAAGTTGATCAAGTCAAGTATCCACTCATGGGTAGAAGTGCATTTTACAGTTTCGTACCAGAGTATGTCAGAGAAATGAAGAATCGAACCGACATGTGTCCAATGTGTGTTCAGTATCAGGCTCTCGAGTCAAAACGAATTAAGTTTAGGCAACTTTCAGATCAAGATCATAAACTGTTTGAAATCTTGACTATTCACAAGATGTTTGTTCAGCAAAGAAAGAATGATTATTTGACATGTGTAATTATAATTTTATTAATACATTTAGTTAATGATTTATTAATGAAATTTTTTTTTTTTTTTATTTAGAAAAATGAGTTAAAGGCAGGAGAGTGTATTATTCTCTGTGATTTTAAAGAGAATATATCATTAGGTAAATCCAAGTGCAAGTAAGCCATGAATTTTACCAACAACCTGCTCGTACCTTCTTTGGAATGGTCCTCTTCTATAAGCAAGGTGACAAGCTGAAGACTCACTACTATGACTGTCTTTCACAAGTACTTAATCACTGTTCGACATTTGCAATTTCATGTCTCGACAAATTAATCAATGATCCATTATTCACCAGTCTAAATATCAACAAAATTACATTTTGGTGTGATAATGCTAGACACTTCAAGTCAAATGAAATACTTTCATATATGCATACATTGTCAAAGTTGCAAGTAGCTGATCCAAACACTCCAAACAAAACCAAAAGAAAGTATCTCGTCGAATTGAATACTTTTGCACCCTATCACGGAAAGAGTGAATGCGATCAACATTTTTCAATGGTTTCTAGAGCGATAGCAGACAAGTCGAGTTTCAAAGATTCAATCTATACAGATCAAGATGTTATCAATGCAATCAAGAGTACCACTGACAACAACAACTATCAAAGAACATACAAATTGACCTCTGAATCAGAGAAGGAAGCTGTTACCATCAAAGTAACAGTCGAAATTCATAACCCAAAGGAATTGAAACAGAAAGAAATAAAGATCTTTCCTGGTTTTACAGAGTATCATCATTTCCAGTTTTTAGATAATAGATCAGTAAGTTAATCAATTATATAATTTGAATTCAAAACAATTATTAATCAATATTTTTTTACAAAAAAAAGATGCGTGCCAATAAACATTTCATTAAATTCATGGGTGGAAATGAAGTTGACAAAATGACTATCTACAAATATTCTGCTATGAAAAGTCAAGTTGGTAAAGAGACTACAATTTCCAAAGGCTACGAATCGACCACCAAGGAGGAGGCACAGTCTTGGAAACCAGCTCGAACAAATTGTTTCGTCACCTCAGTCACCATCTCAACCAACACTTTCAAATTCACAAGCTGCTTCTACTTAATCTCAATCTTCACCAAAACCCGCTACCACAACTACACCAGACCAAACACTCTCTGGTACAAACAAAAGAAGAAGAGGCTACAGAGGAACAAAGAAAACAAAACAGACTAATTCACAAAATAATACACAGAATAATACACAAGATAATATACAAAATAGTACACAAAATAATAAACAAATTAATACACAGAATAATACACATAATAATACACATAATAATACACAAAATACCCAAAGTAAACCATTGTTTGATATCGAATCGATTGATTTTGGTGACGATGATCATGATATCGGATCGAGCTTGATTTATAGTGGTAAAAGAAAAGAAAGAGAGGATGATTGTGACAATAATAGTCAACATAAAAAAATAAATAACCAAATAAATAACAATAACAATAATAATAATAACAATTCAACAAAAAAAAGAATAAGAGAAGAAGATAATAATCAAGAATCAATGTACAATCAAAAACATCACAAATCAACTCATGTAAATAGTCAAACACCAATCCAATCCCCATCCCAAACACCAATCCAAACACCAATTCCAACACAATCCCAAACACCAATCCAAACTCCAACCCAAACTCCAATCCAAACTCCAACCCAAACACCACTCCATACTCCTATTCAACACAACACTACAGTGCAATCAACGGAACAATCAAAACCAGCAAAAGAAATTGTCGTAATCTTTGAAATCGATAACAATTACAACTCGCAGATTCAAGATTATAGACAACAACAACAAATCAACTATTTACAACAACTTTCACAAACACTGCAACAACAATCTCCACCACAGTCAGAAGCAGCAGCATCAAATGATGTAGAAATGACATCACATGAAGATCCTATCATGGAACAAGTTGAGGAAACTGACGATGCAATGGAGATCGATCGATTCTGTATTCCATATGAAAAGATCAAGGACCAGTTGAATACCGCAGAAGAAGACGAAAACATGAACAATGCCGGTGACTTCTTATCCAATTGGCCATCTCTACGAGAACTTATTATAAGAATTCCATGCCTCACAGCCATAGCGGACTATGGACAGCTCTTCTCCACTCTACTTATTAAGAACCCATTATCAAACCTGGTAATAAGACCAATTCAAAATATGATTGGAAATGTTTTAAAATCATTTTTATAATTCAAATTTTATTATAATCTTTTTGGTATGTGGAGATGTTTAGGCATAAAAGATAGTGTAAGTAAATAATTGTTTTATTTTAATGAATACAGATTACTAATTTTTATTTCTTTGACATATCTTTAGTGGATCATAATTATTCAATAATTTTTGATTGCTTGTTTTGAAATAGTATATGCAGTAGTGTGTAAAGAATCTTGCAATCAATTCGCCTATTTTTTCATTTGTTGTTATGGGTTTGATGAAGCTATGTATATGTTCGGATGGGAGTCTGGTCTAGTACATTTCAAATCAAATTTATTTCAACATTGAATAAGGTGATTTTGGTTATTATCAAAAACACAATTCAACATGTGAGCACTTTGCTATATTATTTTAGAATAACGCTTTCAACCTGATTCATTATCTGGAGTGTTTGAATGTTGAAGCATATTGATTTGGTAGTAGTAAATTTTGTTTTATATTATGTTTTAGTTCATTGTAAGTATAAGTTCCTTATATAGCAGCTGAGCAGTTGTGAATGTACTTAACTAATTCATTCTATTATACAAAGGTCAATTCATACAAAGAATGTGATCTTTCTAGATTTTATTTGTATTTTTAATCAAGAGAATAGTCCAATAAAGGTATACGCATATAATTTTATTAATATAAATTTTATTTACTTCTTTATTATATTTCGTATGTCATTAATTTATGTTCAACATATCAGATAATTTTGTATGCCTACGACAAATTATTCTGGTATTACCGAATGTAAAAGATGAAGACTCCCATCTGGCTGTCACTCAATAATGTCTAGTATACATTATTCAATTAATGTTTTACTAACTTATTTGATACAGACCAATCCGGCATTATAGGGTAGGCACACTATAAAACTATATATTTTAAAATGCACCACTTTAGAATATATAAAGGGCCGACTAGTCAATATTTCTAACTAAGGTGGTCAAGTTATTATATCGACTCAGCTACAATCTTTGAAAATAAAATGTATGTAATTGAAAATCAAATTGGATAAACATTCTTACTCATTAACTTTTTTGTTTTAAATAGAAAAATATTGTTGAGTAACAACAATAAAGGTGCATCGAACGAGCCACCCGGTTATCATGTATATTTTCTCCATTTTGATATGATAGTCGTGAATAATAATAGAATGGATTACCAGGGGCACACTCAGTGCAGGGAGTGGGTAAATAATCAAGTATATTCAAGATAACTAATTCAAATTTATTTTTTTTTTCTCCAAAAAAGTATAGGTTATTTTTTCCTTTAATTTGTTTATATATGGTATGTATCATTCTATAAATAAATAGATATAGGTAATACAATATAAGTACTGTATTAGTCCAGTGCACATTGTGCTGTCAACGCGTTACATATTTATATTCTTACACTATATTTCTATTTATTTGCTGTTTGTTCTCGGGTTGACCAGGTACGATAGAGGAAGAGATCGGAGTCTTGGATGCGATCAGGGTTGCTTGGAATACATCTGACGGGAGTGAATCTGGGCGCGTAGTAATAGGAACAACATCAGGAAACAAAGTAGAGATGTTGGGATTTGATCATTATTGTTATTATTATCGAGATCATTCATTGTGAGGTCGCTTGTATTGGTTGTTATTGTTGTTGTTGTTGGATCTATGGATGTCGTTGATCCAGTGGTTGTTGTGGTTGTGGTAGTAGTGGGTTGTTTCTATTGATTGTTCGTTTGGGTCTGCCATCTCTCATATGATTCGTAATTAATAACAATAATGAGTTATTTTCAATAATATTTTATATAATCTAATTTTTTTATATTTTTATTTTAATTCTTTTCTTATTTATTTAATTTCTTCAGTTTCTATTTTTAATGTTGAATGATTAAAATGAATGAATCTTTAACGTCGCGTTAAACTCAATATATTCATTATTGAGAAGCTTGACGGCTGAATGTTGAATACTTAATTCAGAAACAACAGATTCTAATTTAATTATTATTTCGATCTGTTGTTTTGGACTATTACTTATTTAGTTGATTTAATTAATTGAATTAATTATAATTGACTATTACTATATGTTGGCTGGTGTATATTATTGATGTTGATTGATGGGTGCCGGCATTGCCTTGGCGGCTACCTTATTGTCCTTAGACGGACAACATTTGCACTGCAGTGAATTAGCACCTAATTCACTTTCATTCTTCCTTTCATCCATATTCTTTCTTTCTTTCTTTCTTTCTTTCAATCTTTCATCCACCCATTCTTTCATTCTTCCTTTCATACATTTATTTATTCATCCAATAATTTATTTATTTCTCTATATATCTATTATATGTATTATATTTATTTATTTATATTTATATATTTATATTCATATATATTATATTTATTCATTTATTCATTTATTAACTCACTTTCTTGTCAATCTACTATCATACAAAGTTGCTTTTTCGTATCGCTAACATTATACAATTGAATTTTATATGGTTATTGTTGATTTGATTGTGTTTGATTCAAATAAAAACCAAAATTTTAATATTTAGTGTTGATTGGCAAAGTGAAAGATACCAGCTTTATCCACTATTCAAGGAATCGATAGAAATTAAAGCTCACATATCGTGTGTTGAACCATTTCTATTTGATGTATGTGCTTTATTTAATCAGTAGGGTCCATTGTTAAATATCTATTTCGCTAGTTGCCAATCATTGATTTTCTCATATAAATTTCCCATATTACAATAACCATTTTTTGAACACCAATTTTTGATTGAAGATCTTTGAGAATTTGATTGAATCTTTCATAACATTGATAAATATGTCTGTCCCTGTATTCTTTGATCTCTCGGGTTCGTTGTAGCTTGCTCCGAACTCCGATGCAGATTGGAAAACTCATTTTACCCATCGAAAAACAGAGGCCAAACTCTTTCAAAATTTTTTTAAAGAATAAAACAAACTTTATATTCTAAATCTACTATAAAAATACTTTCTATTTATCTAATTTTTATTAAAATCTAACAAGGTTTGATATTTTATTTTATTTTTTTAATATTAATCTCTAATGCAAAAACTTAGAAAAAAAATTGTGAAAAACAGCCACAATCACTATCATTGAAAAAAATTTAACAAATTTTTGAAAAAAAAAATGACCATCAAAAATGAATATTTTTTTTTTGATGCAAAAAACCAGTGACTCACTCATCTTCTCTACCCCCTTTCCTCACCAGAAAACAAGTAGTAACCACCCCACAATTTTTGTTTTTTTTTTTTTTCGAAATAAATATTTAATAGAATAAAATTTCGTTGATCATAATCATATTCATATTACACATTAATATAACAAGTTATAGTTTAAAACAAGAATGGTAATGATAAAGAAAATTATATTGAAAAACCATGTTGAAGGTAGAATGGTTCAGCAATCAGACTTTGATGTTCAGAGTGTAGAATTCAATTATGAGGCTGTTGAATTGGCTGAGAATGAAATTGTCATTAAGTTAGAGCTTGTTTCAGTTGACCCTTATATAAGAGGTCGTTTATCAGCTGCTAAATCATATGCTGCATCCTATAAAGTAGGTGAGCCAATGATAGGAATCTGTGTTGGTAGAATCCTTAAATCAAACAATCCTAAATGGGCAGTTGGTGATCATTGTTGTGGAGAGTTACCTTGGATGGAGATATTCAAATTCAATGGTAACAGAGGTATTTACAAGGTCAATGATAAGTTGGTACCACTTGAGACCTATCTCAATATTCTTGGTGTTGTCGGCTTGACTGCTTATCATGGAATGCGTGAGATTGGTGAGCCAAAGAGTGGTGAGACACTGGTTGTCTCTGCTGCAGCTGGAGGTGTTGGTTCGATTGTTGGTCAAATCGGAAAGATCAAGGGTTGTAGAGTTGTCGGTATTGCTGGATCAGATGAGAAGTGTGAATTCCTAAAGAGAGAACTTGGATTCGATGCCGCTGTAAACTATAACTCACCAACCTACAGGAAAGATCTTAGACTTGCATGTCCAAAGGGTGTTGACATTTACTTTGATAATGTCGGTGGTAAAATCAGTGAACCTATATTCCTATTGCTAAACCAATTCGCACGTATACCAGTTTGTGGTGCAATCTCAATGTATAACTCTGCACCTGGTGATAGTGTTGGTCCACATTGTCAAGTACACTTGGTTAGAACCTCAACTAGAATGCAAGGATTCATTGTAACAGACTACTCTAAAAAGAATGGAGAAGCAATTAGAGAGTTATCACAATGGATTGTACAAGGTAAGTTAAAGGGTAAAACTACAATTACTCATGGATTCGATCAAATCATTCCCTCTTTCCTTTCGTTATTCAGTGGTTCAAACACTGGTAAATTATTAGTTAAAATGGATAATACAAATCAAAAATCAAATCTTTAAATTATTAAATAATAATAATAATTAGTAATAATAGTAAAAGTGAGGAATAAATCAAATCAAATAAAATAATTTATTAATGTGTAAATATTGAAGATCCACATTTTATCATTTTATAATATTTGTTTCTATTCATTCTTTTCAATAGAATATGAACTACTAATGTCATAAAATATTCTCTACCTCTGGGTTCTCTATTTTTATTCATTGATGAGGTAAAATTACCTCTTTGAAATTTCGCATTGTTGTAATGTTTGATATGGTGTATTATGATTGGTAACTTTCTAATCTTAATGTTTATTAATTGGTTTATTAATTTGGTAATGTTGTTTAAAACATATTTTAGAGTTGATAACTGGATGATAATTAATTAATTTGTTGTTATTTATGCCAAAACAGGTCTGAAGATGACTGCTTCAAGTAAGAAAGCACCTTTAGAACATTTGATTGTAATTTTATTCTTGGCAGTAGCAGATGGAACATCGAAAGTCATTGAACCAACACTTACCATAACATTGAATGTATCTTTTTTAAGTTGAGCAGTTTTACCGATTTTATCTTTCTTTACAAAGACTAAAGTGGAGTCTTCTGAATTTGCAACCTATTTCAATGGCATATCTGGAACGGAATTATCCAACATTCTTCTCTTGGCATTATTGATGCAGGCGTCATGATTATGATTTGCTGGAGTACCCAATAGACCACCAACATGAACTCCAACAGTAACCCTGATAAACACATCATATTTCATGACCTTTATATTAGCTGGGAATAAGGTATAGGTCACCTCACCACCACTCTTAACATTTAAAGAATTGAATCCAATGAATACATCATCGAAATTTGAGCTAACAAGTTCATTCTTTGCCGTATATTTAACTGGTGCAATAAGAGTAGCACATGATGATAAGATGACGTTTTGTAAAGTGGCTCCTCTATCTACCAATCCAATCATAGGGAGTACCATTGCTTTGAATATAAAACAAAATAATTAATTCATATATTCTATTTTACTTTTACTAGATAATTTTATATTACTTACATCCTTGTCTTGCTCCAGCTCTGACTCCTGCAATTTGACCAATTTTGTATGGATTACCTGGTTCTGATGGGATGACATACTTTTGAGCCACAAATGCCATTTTTGGATCTTCTGTTCCAATTGTTGTTTTACCAACAGTTATGTAATCCATAAATCCAATGAATGCACTTCCATAAGCTGCATTGGCGTCTAGTGTCATTGTCTTTTCATGTGTACTTCCATACTCGCTACCCAATGGGAAGTAATCTGTTGTTCTCTTTGGACTGAGATTCTTATACATAACAATTTGATTACTATCATTAAAGCCACAAATAAGTCCAGATAAATTACCAAAGTATGACATGTTGTCTGTAGCCTGAAGGATAGACATAAGTGACTCCCAACCAGATCTAAAAAGAGAATCATCAAAATTCTTGTCATCATATAGTACTTGATATAAATAATAAGGGTTATCTACATATATTCCCTATTTAAAAGAACGACATTAGTATATATGATAACTATAGTTGGCTTTCTCTAAATAAGTAACATACCTTTGGGAATAAAACTGGGTCAGAAAATAAAAGCGAATAGATTCCATCGAAATTCTTTAAGGCAGCATTTCTGTAATCAAAATAGGCTTTTATATTTTTGGATTCCAAAATGTTATTCAACTTTTGTTGACATTCAACATGTACGTTTCTAAGATACAATTGTTGACCCCCAATTTTGAAATGACCAACAAGTCTATTGTAAAACTCTGGTGTCATTGCCAAAGTGTTCTTCATTGCCATCAGAGAAAGAACTCTAATCAAATAAAGCTGAGTGGCATCTCTAAACAATTGAATTGATTTCATTCTAAAATCCATTGGTTGATTGATGACAGAGTTAAACATACTATTCATTTGAGTGTTAAAAGTAATGTATTGAGCTGCTAAACTGGATTGATTCTGTGCATTGGTATTGTTTTTCAAAACATCAACAATTCTAAGTTCTAATTGTTGAAGGGCTTTAAATATATATTAAAAATTTAATTAATTTCTATAACAATATCATCTTATATCTAATTTTGATAATAGTGCTTACCATAACGAACATCATCTAATTTACCAGTTGTAAGTGATTGGAAGAACTTCATTACTTGTTCTCTGGCAATAGCTTCATTTAGCTCTGCAGCTGCATTGTTACCATCCCAAACTTTACCTGCCACTTTAATTAATTCTTATAAGTATATATTTACACAATATTAAAATTTAGAGATGTGCATGTTTTGATAACACTTACCAATTGAAAACGATAAATCAATAACATTAGATAAAATAGGTCCATAAACTGGAACTAACTATGAATAAAATAGAATATTAGATATTTACTTGAATAAATATTAAATTATATTATTTACATACAACAGCAACAGATGCAACTAAAGATGCAACCATATTGGCAGTATCTCTATAACTACCAGTTCCACTGATAAGATTAGAAATCTCGGTACCGTCATAGTTCAATAGTCTATCCATAACATCAAGAAAACCCTTGGTCAATTTTGATTTTGATCTAGTACTACCAGTTTTATCGTCATTTGTAATATCAAAATCCGATTTAATATTTTCAAGTTCAATGGGATCTAGATAAATTGAATGAATGGGAATCAATCAATTATATTGCTCAAAAAATAATATTATTGTTACACTAATTCTATTTACCATTTGCAATTGTTTCCATTTTGTTTTATTTTATTTTAAATAATATCTATATAAATATATATTTTATTTGTATGTAGAAACAAGATAAGAATAGTGAATGAAATTTAAAAAACAACATCTTGCCTTCATATTTATAGGTCTTATCTGTTTTGTTGATCATAACAAAAATCTTCACAACCATTGAACAAAAAAAAATAAAAAAATTCATAAATCTGGTGTTTGCACAGGGCAGAAACCTCATAAAATCCATTTTTTTTGCAATTTTTTTTTTCAATCTCGATGAACTGGATGAACTGAACAGTGGATTCATATTGGATGTACGGTTTTGCAAGATGCGTCTAGATTCACGGAACGTACATTCAGAGAGTGGTTTGTCAAACAGCAGCTTTGTGAAATCCGACGATCTCGTACCAAACCCATAAAACAGATTATCCTCCTTCTCTACAGTAATGCTTCGTAGTTTCATGAATCTGTTTTTCATGAAACAATTAAAGCCATTAGTTGATGTAATAAATAAATGGGTAAAAGAAAAGAAGATTGTTGTGGGTGGACATACGTACAAAGTTGACATAGTCTTTGTCAATGATTACAAGTGTTTCACTGAGTTGCAAGGTCTAGAAGTGTTCAATCCAAAGGTGTTTTTTAAATGCATGTGGTGTTTCTGTAATTTGGATGACATCGAATTGTTTGTGACAAATGAACAAGGGGCAATCGACATTTGAAGACTCTTAAGAGACTACAGTTCAAATGTAGAGGTTGGCGATGTCAAGTTCAAACTTGAACCTCCAGGTAGTAAGATAGGTGGTCACGATGAACATATGATGCCAGTCTTTTCACCGAAAGCATTGAAGGATCTTGGTGGAGAAGTCAATGGTAAGCTATATGGCCAAGTGCAACCTCCTGTTTTCGAATGTGATTCAAAGATACAGTATCCTTGCTTTCTGCATGTGTTCATTGCCCTGTTCAAACAGATGTTTAAGAATACGGTGTTGTATTCAACCACAGACAGTAAACTTCGGTATGACCAAGCCAACGCTACTATAAAAGAAAAGACTGGGCAGATGGTCAAGTTGATGTCTATAGACTCCTTTAACATGCAATCTAAGCATGGCTACTACCGTAACTATTGCAAGCACATTATGAAGGTTTTAAGAGAGATTGATGTTGACGAACCTACAATTAGACGACTATTTGACGATAACTACAAAACGCGTCTTAGTTTATCAAATCAGGATAAAGCCACTCTCCACGAAAAGTTCATTGCCAAATCCCAAACGATGTTTGGAAATGTACAAACTCCAACACTTGAACCTGCACCTGCAAAGCGTGGAAGACCAAGAAAAACAACTACATCTACTCCCCCACCTTCTCTATCTGTTACTCTTGCTCTAACTGCTACACCTGGTACCAAACTCTTCTTCAAATGCTTCAGACCTGACTTAACACCTGCAGTATTGCCCAACTCGACAAGTTCTAACACTACTCAACCTATGGTAGCTAAACAAAAAAGAGTTAGAACATCTACACATGGATTACCTGCCAATTTACAAACAAACTTGCCAAATGTTACTTACAATGATGATTGTACTGATACTATACCACATGAAAAGCAATGCTCATCTAACCAAGTTTTAGAAATTTATACATCTGATAGTAATAATTCAACAAGTTCATTTTCAAAAAATTCTACCAATAAACGTAAACGATAATTAACTTTTAATACAATCTATCACTTTTTGGTATTTATTTATTTTTTTATTCATGAATACCAAAATGCTGTGATGAGGTTGGAAGATATGGTTTTTAAATATATAATTTTGCTCGGAAACTGCATGTCAAAAGTGACATGACGAGTGATTTTTAGAAATATCATGATTTTTTTTTAAAAAAACCCATCTTATTGTTTTTTGATTGAAATTTAAAAAAGATTTAGTACGATCTGATGAGAGAATTGCGTTTTTTTATTTTTTTTAAATATTTATTTCTTTGATTGATACTCGATTTTTTTTTTGGTTCTACTCAAAGATCAATTTTAATAAAAAAATTATTTTTAATGGTATTTAAATATTAATTGGAATGATTAAATTTACATTAATATTATTAATATTTATTGGTATGTTTTTATTTTAAAAGAATATAAAATGTTTTCTTTTTTTAATTAATAAACAAAAACAATAGGAATCTATTCAATAAATGGACAAACATATATAAATCTTACTAGAGTTTTGGGATCACCCAACCAAATGGAAGATGCAACTCACACTTGTTACAATACCATTTCGGTTGCTTTTGATTCGGACGTTCTGTTAGACAAAACAAAGTTTTCAATCCCAATCACCTCCACCGATTCAAAAGCTTTATCACCAATATCAAGCATTCAAACATTACTTTCAACTCAATCTTTTTATTTCAGTATTCAAACGATATCAAACACAGAAAATCTTCCAATCAATATTTCTCTTCAATATCAAGATACACAGACATTCGATTATCCCAATATAACAACTCTAGTATGCAACAGTAAGGATAAAATATATAAATCTAATTTACAAAATGAAAAATATTTAATTTAATTTAATCCTTCTTCTTTATTGTTTATCTTTTTAAATTTAAATATAAACAGGAGTGAATGTCGAGGATTTTAAAATAGTAAAAGTCTCAAATCTATCTTTATACAATGCTATGACCATGTATTTCCAAATAGATTTTGGTTTTAATTTCACAGGATTCCCTCTTTTTCAACCATACAGAGGCCTCTCTTGCCAAGCTCCGCCCTTCTATTGTTCTACAAATCCAACATCAAGAGATAATCAATTCGCAGTCTCTCTATCTATACCTCTAGGATATCAATCAATTCCTTCGAGCACTGGTATTATTAAATTTACATATATAGACCTAGAACTGACCATACCAGCAATGGATACCATCTTTCCATGGAATGGTAAGTAGTTTTAGAAATAGAAAGAACAATTGAAATTTAAACTAATTTTAATTTTTTTTATAGTCACAAATGAATTGAATCTAATCAGAAATATTAGATATTTCCCACCAAACAATACCAATTATATCGAAACTTTCTCTTTTCAAGCCAAAAAGATAGAGCAAATCATGATGTTCGACTCACCTCTTTTAAAATCAAATGTTTTATATAGCTTTAAATTTAAATCATCTTATAGTTACAATTTTGCTTTTTTGTACCAAAATAACCAGAATGGTGCTTCATATCTTTCTGGATTGGGTTCATCACCGTCTATAGAATCACAGTACTTTTTATGTGGAGGCAAAACAGAACAATTTTTTCAATTAGGAATGAATTTTACAACTTTGGGTAAGTTTAACAATGAACTTTAAATTATATTATTTAAGTTTTTTTAAAAAAGAACCTTTAACTTGATATTTTATTTCTACTAATAAATGAATATTATTTTTAGATATAAAACTGTTTTCGTTTAATATGTTCAACAAAACTAATAGTACTGATATTTCAGTGGCTAGAACAGAAATATCAGTTGATTATATTAGAGATTACCAAATCAGTATTGTATTCTTTCCAACTTTTAATATTGTCTTAAAGTATCCCTCCGAGAACTCAAACTCACAGTTTAAATATGCCACTGAGATTCCTTATCCAAACCAATTTAGTGGTTATATTAACTCCCAATTACCAGACTTCCAAACAATGTCTTCTCTAACTGTTGAATCTATATTTTCGGGTACTATTTTTAATATTAGTTAAATCATTTAAAATATTAACAAGAATTATTATTTTTACAAAAAGATGATTGGGTATTTGAAATTTATGATTTTCAAATAACTAGTGTTAGCTCTTTTACATTTATAATTAGAATCAGTTTCTCAACAAACTATGAAATCCTCCAATTGACAATGAATTCAAATCCTCAGAAATTTCAACTCTTGGAAGGAACTCCATTCAATGGAACTTATGAACTTTCAATCTACAACAACAATATTAATATCTATACTTTTTCCTTCATAAATACAAGAGGAGAATTCAAATATTTATATAATAGTCAATTTTATAATAATAATTTAAATTCGACTGATCCTTATTTATCAATTAATACCTCGGGTAAGTACAATAATCATCCATTTAAAAAAATAATAAAACTAACAAAAATATAGATACTTTAAGTCCCGATGATTTTAGTTATATTGGATTCAGAAGAACAACAATGGATCTTTCAAAGAATGAATTTTCAAACACATTGTTTTTCAATCTTACAAGACCACTGTCAGGTATTCTTGATTATATATTTGTATTTAATGATCCTACCAATCAAAGTCCTACATTCAAGACGAAGTTTGATATCAACAAAAATCTATATTGTATAGATTTCAATGTTACTTCTAAATCTGTAGATGGACCTGTTAGATTTATATTATCAAACTATCAAAACATGATCTATAGTTTTGATCTTTCAAATTTTACAGTCAATATTATTAACTCAAGTAAGTTATATTTAAAAAAATTGAAAAAGATAAATCTATCCAATACTAATCAATTTTTTTTTCTAATATTTCAGTTAGTCATTCTTACCAACCAGAAATAACATCTATTAAAGCTTTCCCATCAACATCTATCAACACTGACGGTCAAAATCAATTCCAACTTGGTTGGAATGTCACAATTTTGAATGAACCATTGGGATTTACTTTTGGAACTTTCGAAATCATTTCAAATTTGGACTCTCTTCCACGAGTTATTAAAGTCAATGAATTCAACAGAATCAATGGAAATGCTCAAAATGGAACATATACAGTGTATACAACGATTGCAACCAAATGTACTTCTCAAAACTTTACAATCAGATCAATTTCATTGACTGATGGCGTTCTCCAATATAATCCTCTTTCAACTATTATTGGAACACCAGATGAATCTGAATTAATCATAAGTTTAATTTGTCCAAGTATGTCTTTACATCATTAATAATTTTATAATTAAAACATTTAAACTAATAATTTAATATTTTTTAATTAGCAATTCTAGATACAACACCACCAGTTATCACTGATTTTTCAGTTACACCATCTGTCAAAGTTTACTCAATGGACAGAAGAGTTGAATTCAACTTGTCAATCTCAGATGTGAATGGGTCAGGTATTTCATCCAGACATTTACCATATTTACTATTAGCATCTGAAAATGGAGATATAATTGAAATACCATCTTTAAGCTTTTCATATTTCGATGGCATCTCAGCCACACTCAATGGATATTCAGATCTACCATATGGATTTGGATTCAATAATATCACGATTTCAATTTATGGAATTGTTGACAATCGATTGAATTATGCATCATATTTGACTTCCGATCTATTGTCAATTGGTAAAACATATCGTATCTTCAGAGATTCCAGTGTTGTATATCCTTATCTTGTTAGTTCCACTCCAATTCTATCATTAGGTGGTCCAATGGGTTTATTTGGTGCTGGTTTTAGTTCATATAAGTTGGGTATCAGTGTTTTGGTTGACTTTAAAGATGGAAAGAATTTCCAACCGATAAACATCGACTTTTTATCAAATGTTTATTTTAATGTAACTCTCCCAAGGTTCTTCCAGTCTTCAATTGATGTTCAAATTATCAGAAATGGATTGAGTTCTAATATTCTTACTGTCGATGTTTCAGACTACTATTACCAAGAACCCACTACAACCCCTAATGTTACATCAACACCCACTACGACACCGAATACAAAGACATGTCCAGGCAATCCAATTTGCAACAACAAAGGAAAATGTAATCTTCAAACGTTGGTTTGTGAATGTATTCCAATGTGGTATGGTCCATCATGTGCATCTGAAATCATCATCATTCCAACACCAACACCACAACCACAACCAACATCTGAAACAACTTATGTTTTTGATTCAAACAATATCACATCAGTTGTTCAAGTGATTGCAGTGAGAGAATTGAATGATATTTACAATGTTGTCAATGAATATCCAATTCAAAATTGGACATTAACAATTGCAGATCCAAAATTAATCACAATTCCAACATATTATTATCAAACACAACTTGGAAACACTTCAACAACATTGAATGTCACAATCGAATTCTTTACAAACCAGACCGAACGACAATTTGGTGGTCAAAACATAACACTTTCACCATCATCAATCAAATTCTCAATGTCAATTGGAAGATATCAATTCCAATCAAAAACAAACTATCTCCAAGTTGTAATGGCAGCAACCATTCAAGGTTCTGATGGATCATGTTCATCGAAATCGATTGGATCTGGAAATGATAACAATGTTCGATGGATCAAAATGAACATTGACAAAACAAGTCTTTACGGAAGATTCATCACCTATGGAATCATTGACGGCAATGTCCGAACCATTGAGAATCGACTCATTGATGATGATAATGAAACAGAAACTCCACAAACAAGAACAACCAAAGTTGGTATTACAATTCCAAACTTTGATGATTCCGTTCTCTTGGATCCTGACTTTTCGAATCTCATCGATGTCAACAACGATTCCAATGAGAATGAGATCTGTCAATCAAAGAAGAAACTCAGTAATGGTGCAATTGCTGGAATCGTCGTTGGTTGTGTCGTTGCCATTGCAATTGTCGTTGGTGCTGCTCTCTACTTCAAAAAGAGAGCCAAATATAACAGAGAAAAATTAAAAATGTCTCAAAAATTAGAGAGAATGAATAATAAAGAAAATTAAAAACATATGTTTTATTCTATCATCAAATATATCTTTAATATTTAAAATTTTATCATACAAAACAAAACTGGCGGATTTATTGTGACTTATGTTCAGGTTAATGTGATCAGAGTGGTTTTTTTTTTTATTCGATTTATGCTTACAAAACTTTTTGTTTTTGTTGATCATGTTTTTCGAAATATAATAATTTATTGGATCTTTTTTTTTTCAAAAAAAAAAAAGTTTGTGGCGCCTGCAGAACACTATTTTCTCTATGTTTGGTCGGGTGTGGGTTTATTTGATTTTTAACATCTTTTGATAAATTCTAAACGTTTTTTTTGTTTTTTAATATTTGAAAGAAATCTGATCTGATATCTTTAATTTATTTTTGTTTTTTTATTTTTTTGATATTTATTCTAGAATTTTTTTCATCAAAAAATATTAAGTTTTCATGATTAACTATTAAAAAATCAAAAGGTCTTTTCATTCGAAATTTAAAGTATCGTTTAATGGAATGATTAAACTTACATTAATATTATTAATATTTATTGGTATGTTTCAATTTAAATGAATATAAAGATTTTAGTTATAAATTAATTTTAATTAAAAAAAAAAAAAAAAAAAAACCTCAACAACCTTAACAACAATAACAATAGGAATCTATTCAATAAATGGACAAACATATATAAATCTTACTAGAGTTTTGGGATCACCCAACCAAATGGAAGATCCAAGTCACACTTGTTACAATACCATTTCGGTTGCTTTTGATTCGGACGTTCTGTTAGACAAAACAAAGTTTTCAATCCCAATCACCTCCACCGATTCAAAAGCATTATCACTAAAATCAAGCATTCAAACAGTACTTTCAACTCAATCTTTTTATTTCAGTATTCAAACGATATCAAACACAGAAAATCTTCCAATCAATATTTCTCTTCAATATCAAGATACACAGACATTCGATTTTCCCAATATAACATCTCTAGTATGCAATAGTAAGATTCTAATATATACCTAATATTTTACAATCTTTCTTACTTATTGTTTCTTTTTTTTTTTAATTGAAAAATAAACTTGCAGTAGTGAAAGCAGAAGATTTCAAAGTTGTAAAAGTCTCAAATCTATCATTATGGAATCCTTTAACTATGTATTTCCAAATAGATTTTGGTTTTAATTTCACAGGACTCCCTCTTTTCCAGCCATTCCAAGGCCTCTCTTGCCAAGCTCCTCCCTTCTTATGTTTCCCAATGCCAACAACAAGAGCTAATCAATTCGCAGTCTCTTTATCTTTAGATCTTGGATATCAATCAATTCCTTCGAGCACTGGTATTATTAAATTTACATATATAGACCTAGAACTGACCATACCAGCAATGGATACCATCTTTCCATGGAATAGTAAGTAGTTTTAGAAATAGTAAGAAAAATCGAATTTTACACTAATTCTTTAATATTAAAAGTCACAAATGAATTGAATCTAATCAGAAATATTAGATATTTCCCACCAAACAATACCAATTATATCGAAACTTTCTCTTTTCAAGCCAAATACTTAAATCAAATCCTGATGTTCGACTCACCTCTTTTAAAATCAAGTATTCTATATAGATATGACAATAAATATACATCAACCAGTGGTAATAATATTGCTCTTATGTACCAAAATAACCAGAATGGTGCTTCATATCTTTCTGGATTGGGTGCACAAGCCTCAGAGACTCGTTATTTTATGTGTGGTGGCAAAACAGAACAATTTTTTCAATTAGGAATGAATTTTACAATGTTGGGTAAGTTTAACAATGAACTTTAAAATTATATTGTTTATTTTTACTAAAAAATGAATGATTTTTTAGATGTGAAACTTATTTCGTTTGGTATGGTTAACAAAACAAACCCAACTGATATTTCAGTGGCTAGAACAGAATTCACTGTGGATTATGTTAGAGATTACCAAATCAGTACTGTATTCGTTCCAACTTTAAATTTTGTCTTAAAGTATCCTTCGGTGTATGCAAACTCACAGTTTAAATATTCCACTGAGATTCCTTATCCCAATCAATATCGTGGTTCTATTAGTTCCCAATTACCAGACTTCCAATCAATGTCTTCTGTTAACGTTCAATCTTTATTTACAGGTATAGTCTTTTATATTAGTTTACATCTTATAAAATTTTATTAAAAATTATTATTTTTAATTAGATGCTTGGGTATTTGAAATTTTAGATTTCCAAATGACTAAAGTTAGCTCTTTTACATTTATAATTAGAATCAGTCTTTCGACAAACTATGAAATCCTCCAATTGACAATGAAATCAACACCTCAGAAATGGTACCTCTTGGAAGGAACTCCATTCAATGGAACATATGAACTTTCAATCTACAGCCCAATTAGTATTGTCTTTCCATTCTCATTTAGAAATACTAGAGGAGAAATCTACAATTTATATAGCAGTCAGTTTTATAATAATAATTTGAATTCGACGAATTCTTATTTATTAATTAATACCACAGGTAAGTACAAGAATCATCCAATTAACAAAAAACAAAACTAATAAAAAATAGATATTTTAAGTCTTGATGATTTTAGTTATATTGGATTCAGAAGAACAACAATGGATCTTTCAAGGAATGAATTCTCAAACACATTGTTTTTCAATCTTACAAGACCACTGTCAGGTATTCTTGATTATGTATTTGTATTTAATGATCCAACGAATTATAGTCCTAAATTCAAGACGAAGTTCGATATCAACAAAAATCTGTATTGTATAAATTTCAATGTTTCATCTAAAGATGTTGATGGACCTGTTAGATTTATATTATCAAACTATCAAAACATGATCTATAGTTTTGATCTTTCAAATTTTACAGTCAATATTATTAACTCAAGTAAGTTATATTTAAAAAATATTTATCAAGAAAGATATGTACACAATATTAATGAATTTTCTTTTTTTTATAATATTAAAGCTAGTCATTCTTACCAACCAGAAATAACATCTATTAAAGCTTTCCCATCAACATCTATCAACACTAACGGTAGAAATCAATTCCAACTTGGTTGGAATGTCACGATTTTGAATGAACCATTGGGATTTACTTTTGGAACTTTCGAAATCATTTCAAATTTGGACTCTCTTCCACGAGTTATTAAAGTCAATGAATTCAACAGAATCAATGGAAATGCTCAAAATGGAACATATACAGTGTATACAACGATTGCAACCAAATGTACTTCTCAAAACTTTACAATCAGATCAATTTCATTGACTGATGGCGTTCTCCAATATAATCCTCTTTCAACTATTATTGGAACACCAGATGAATCTGAATTAATCATAAGTTTAATTTGTCCAAGTATGTTTAAAAATTAAAAAATATTACAAATTTGTAAAATACATTTAAACTAATAATTTAATATTTTAATTTAGCAAACCTTGATACAACACCACCAGTTATCACTGATTTTTCAGTTACACCATCTGTCAAAGTTTACTCAATGGAAAGAAGAGTTGAATTCAACTTGTCAATCTCCGATGGAACTGGATCAGGAATTTCATCCCGTCATTTACCATATTTATTGTTAGCATCTGAAAATGGTGACACAATGGAAATACCATCTTTAAGTTTTTCATATTTCGATGGCATCTCAGCCACACTCAATGGATATTCAGATCTACCATATGGATTTGGATTCAATAATATCACGATTTCAATTTATGGAATTGTTGACAATCGATTGAATTATGCATCATATTTGACTTCCGATCTATTGTCAATTGGTAAAACATATCGTATCTTCAGAGACTCCAGTGTTGTATATCCTTATCTTGCTAGTTCCACTCCAACTCTATCATTAGGTGGTCCAATGGGTTTATTTGGTGCTGGTTTTAGTTCATATAAGTTGGGTATCAGTGTTTTGGTTGACTTTAAAGATGGAAAGAATTTCCAACTCATAGACACCGACTATTTATCAGGTGTTTATTTGAATGTAACTCTCCCAAGGTTCTTCCAGTCATCAATTGATGTTCAAATTATCAGAAATGGATTGAGTTCTAATATTCTTACTGTCGATGTTTCAGACTATTACCAAGAACCAACTCCAACTCCAACTCCGACACCAAATATTACAACAACACCGAATACAAAGACATGTCCAGGTAATCCAATTTGCAACAACAAAGGAAAATGTAATCTCCAGACTTTGGTTTGTGAATGTATTCCAATGTGGTATGGTCCATCATGTGCATCTGAAATCATCATCATTCCAACACCAACACCACAACCACAACCAACATCTGAAACAACTTATGTTTTTGATTCAAACAATATCACATCAGTTGTTCAAGTGATTGCTGTGAGAGAATTGAATGATATTTACAATGTTGTCAATGAATATCAAATCTCGAATTGGACATTAACAATTGCAGATCCAAAATTAATCACAATTCCAACATATTATTATCAAACACAACTTGGAAACACTTCAACAACATTGAATGTCACAATCGAATTCTTTTCAAACCAAACCGAAAGACAATTTGGTGGTCAAAACATAACACTTTCACCATCATCAATCAAATTCTCGATTTCAATTGGAAGATATCAATTCCAATCAAAAACAAACTATCTCCAAGTTATAATGGCAGCAACCATTCAAGGTTCTGATGGATCATGTTCATCGAAATCGATTGGATCTGGAAATGATAACAATGTTCGATGGATCAAAATGAACATTGACAAAACAAGTCTTTATGGAAGATTCATCACCTATGGAATCATTGATGGCAATGTTGAATTAATTCAGAATATGCTAATAGAAGATAATAATGAAACAGAGACTTCACAAACCAGAACAACCAAAGTTGGTATTACAATTCCAAACTTTGATGATTCCGTTCTCTTGGATCCTGACTTTTCGAATCTCATCGATGTCAACAACGATTCCAATGAGAATGAGATCTGTCAATCAAAGAAGAAACTCAGTAATGGTGCAATTGCTGGAATCGTCGTTGGTTGTGTCGTTGCCATTGCAATTGTAGTTGGTGTCACTCTCTACTTGAGAAAGAGAGCAAAGTATAATAGAGAAAAATTAAAAATGTCTCAAAAATTACAGAAAATGAATAATAAAGCAAATTAAATATTAAATTACAAATAAATATCTTTTTTTTTTTTATTAATTATAAGATCTTTGATTGCTAGTTATTTAGTTATATGCACTATCACATAACTTTACTAGACTTAATGTTAATCTTTCGCCGTTGAATATCGTTTCGTTAACCTTTGTATATCGGTTGTAGTGTCGCTGAATGGTTGGTTTCAACGCTTGGAACTTGTCTTGTGGAACTACATAACACATCAAAGCTTTCTCTTGTGAATTAAAATATCCGACTTCAATGTATGGCGTGGAATCCTCTGACATTGCAGCAGGATAATCCAGTAGTTTTGCAAGCAATTCCTCTGTAAACTCTAATTCTTTTTTAGAATTGGATAAATCTAGTGATACTAATTGCTTAATATATTCGCCAACAAGCTTGTCCTGTTGTTGCTCTTTCTCTTCTGTGTCCAATATTAGTGCATAACAATCTGTAAAGTCAGAGTGTGAACTATTTAGAGAATCGATTTTGAAGAGTCTAAACAACATGCCACTGACAGAGCTTGTAGAAGGTAACTCTAGGATACCACTTGGACGAATGACTTTCTCGGTGTAGTCGCGCCAGAGATCGGTATCGACAGTCGAGAGATAGGTGTACAACAACAGTGGTTTCAAACCACGTGCGACAAACATAACCTCACCATAGAAGTACATATTATCGACTTGTAGACCGATATCTAGCAACTTTAGAATCCGGTGGCTCTTTAATTTCGAAAACCAATCAACCTCTAGCTCTCTATATCTGATTAAACATTCATTCATCTTTCGTTGCAATTATATTATTTCATTGTTATTCTATCAATCATATATATGATTTCTCAACTCTTAGATTGAAAAAAATTAAAAATTAAAAAATTAAAAATAAAAATAAAAAAACCGGTTTACGTAAATCTTTTTTTTTTTTTTTTAAAAAAATAAGCACATAATTATAATTTGATAAATTTTGTATACGAAATGTACATTTTTTAATAGTATCTAAAATATGTAAACTTTTCAATCATTATACTTCACTAAATACTGTTATTGCTTTCTAAAGTGATTTTTGTTAAAATTATTGTTATTGTACAAATGTGTGGAACATTAAAGTTTATTAGTTTTTACGTATGATCAAAATAAACTAATAAACTTGAGCATAAATAATAATATCAATAACGAATCGAATAGATCTAACAAATTGTTATGCATAAGTTTAAAAGTTCATGAACTGACTAATGATTCGATTTCAACAGATTTTCTCACTTTTTTAACATTTAACGTGGTTTCGACATCGTTACGTATCTTATATTATTTTATTAGAACAATAAAATATATCATGTGATATGTTATAACCACACATTTAAACAATACAATATCAAAATAATAAATAAATAAATAATAAATTGAAATATTCTAAAAATCAATAGTTTTTTTTTTTTTTTGTTGATCAAAATAGATAAATGATTTGATTTGATATCATATGTTTTATTAATTAAGAACATCAGTTGTTGTTGCGTTGTTTTGTCATGAATCGAACAATAAAATAAAGTTGATCAGAATGTGTGTGTGTGGGTTTTACTAAACATAAGATTAGAACAAAAAAAAAAACATAAAACGATCTCTATGGGTTGGTTTCTGTTTTTTTTTCACAATTGTGCCAACTTATTAATAACACATAATTAAATTAAAAATATGATTAAAATTAAATTTTAGCGCAAACATTTTTTGGGATGAGGTTTGATAGCGACTTCATTTGTCTTTAGAACCAATTTTGGCATTTTTAAAATAAAAATAAATTCGATTTTTGCAGGTGATTCTTTTTTTTTAGCTGGCAAAAGTTCTAACCACTGCTTGTCTAATTATTTACCCTCACATACCATGATGAAAATTGAATCAATCTATGAGTTCTGTTGTTGCGATGGGCTTTAAACATGACGAACACCAAATCGGGACCACCCTCTTCCATTATATGAAGTTGTTCAAAATCACCGGAATCAAAGTACTCTCTGTGGGGTGTGATAGAGCTTAGAGTAAAAATAAAACAATTAATATTAATAATAAATTATACTTACTGGATATATTTGTGATTCGTTTTTTTTTTTTTTTGCAATAAAAATTGCAGAGGAATCGAGGGTTCAATAATGTGTTGTTGGTGTGTATTGATGAAAGGATAGTGATGTGTGAGTGAGTGACATCAAACATCATTTAATCATATGAGTGAGTGTTGATGATAGTTGTTGCACTGTTTGTTCTTCTATAAAAAAGGCTCCAGTTACTGCGTGACTTCTAAGAACGCACAGAGCACTAAGTAAATTAAGTAAATACACCATTAGCTCAACAACAAAGCATCATAATCACCACCTAACATCTTGGTATGCCTCACCCTACACCACCCTTTTTCTTTCCGGATTACTTGTCAAGACGTGAACACACTTTACTTAATTAAAGCACACACTGCTTTAATTTGACTTTTTCTTTTATAAAACAAACTCAATCTTCTTCATCTTCTTCAAAACGATTCATTCTTCATTCATTCATTTTACTTTACTTTACTAAACCGAGTAGTAGTTAACTATTTATTTAGTTTGTTTATTATATACATATAGATATAATATTTATTTATTATACATATATTTATCTCAAACAAACTATTATTATTATTATTATTATTATTACTATTTTATTTAATAATCAGTATTAGTATTTAGTTTAGTAATATTAAAATAAATAAATTAGTAATAATTACAATCATAATCAAAAACGTAAATATATATAAATTTCGAAATATATCTAACACACACACACACATACGTTCAATCCCCCTCATCTTCATCAAATAGTTTATTGTTTAAACACATATAAATACTCAATTTATTTCTATTCTTCTTCAATTTACAAGTTACGCATTGAATTCCAACAATAAAATTCCAAGAATTGAAAGCAACAAGTTTGTTTATATTATAATAATAATAAAATTTTCGTTTGTTTGTTAATGAATAATATCATATCTTAAGGATTATGAATGTTTGAAAAAGGCGGTTGATAGATTCCAACTTCAAATAGAACCTTCTAAAAACCACAAGATAGATATTATACCCAATTCTGGAATAGTGTTTTGTAAACAGCTGCAGTATTAAAGTCATTAAATTGCACATGTTTTGTTTTTGCTCACACACATTTAAATTAATTTCGTAATGTGTCATGACGAAACACTCGCCCAACCATCTTTTGTTTTGGTTATTTTTTTTTTTTTTCACATTTTTTCACTGCAAACAAAATCAAATTTAAATCCATTTATTAATGTAGGTGTGCCCGTAAAAACCAAACACACACTCACACTTTAACCCTCCCCTTTTTCAAGTCTTTTCATTTCATTGACGTTCACCCACCTATTTTTAAATGGACTCACACTTTTTCATTTCTCCCGAATATTCATGAAAATATCTTGAATTTCAGACACACTCGACTATAACCAAATTCATTATATTCCTATATAAATAGAAACTTTTCAACTAACTAAAAATATAACAATAATAATAACTTGAATAACTAACTAATATATTTTTGTAATACATTACATTATTGCTTATTTTTAATTTGTTTATTTATAGATTTAAATCTTATCATAGACTATATATATTATACATAAATAGTTAAATTTGTATAAACATATATATAATAATTATATATCATTTTTTTCCATATAGAAATATTTTTAATGGTGTGGAACCATAAAAATTGAAAAACAATAAAAATATGGAAGAAGTCGAATTAACTAATATCGATGGAAATAAACCAACCAATGATAACAATAACACAAACAACAACAACAATGATGATCATCCAGATGTAGAAGCTTCAACTTCTGCATTTGATGCCATGGCAAAGGACTTGGAGGGACAATCAGAGCAAATGAGACTCCAAGAAGAGAAACGTCGTGATATTGAGAACGGTGGTGAGTCTTGGGAGACCGAAGAGGATTTCAAACTGCGTTCCTACTTTGAAAACTCACAGCGTATGCATGAAAATATCGGTGGTAAACCAAAGCGTATGGGTATCTCAATCCGTGATCTCACTGTAGTCGGTCGTGGTGCTGATGTCTCTGTTATCGCCGATATGTTAACACCATTCGTTTGGTTTGGTTCATTCTTTACTCCATCTGGATGGTAAGTTATAATAGTTGATTTGTTAAAATTAATATTGTTGAATATTAATATTAACGATTGTATTGTTTTTTTTTGTAGGAGTAAGAAATCAAATCAAGGTACAACTTTTGATATTTACATAAAGTTAATGGTTTCTGTAAGGATGGTGAAATGTTATTGGTTTTGGGTCGTCCAGGTGCTGGTTGTTCCACTTTGTTGCGTGTTATTTCCAATCAACGTAAATCATATATCGATGTCGAGGGAAAGGTTACCTATGGTGGTATTCCAGCTGAAAAGATGGCTCGTTACAGAGGTGAAGCTATCTACACTCCAGAGGAAGATACCCATCACCCAACCTTGACAGTCCGTGAAACATTAGATTTCACACTCAAGTGTAAAACTCCATCTGAAAAGATGAGACTTCCAGATGAAACCAAACGTAATTTCCGTACAAAGATGTTTGATCTTTTACTTAAAATGTTTGGTATTGTACATCAAGCTGATACAGTAAGTTGCTAGTTAATAATTTATTTGTTATAATTCTATTTCAATTTGTTAATATTAACATTTAATTAATTTTTACAGATTGTTGGAAATGAATGGATTAGAGGTTTATCAGGTGGTGAACGTAAAAGAATGACCATTACAGAGGCAATGGTTAGTTCTGCTTCAGTGACGGCATGGGATTGCTCGACTAGAGGTTTGGATGCAGCATCTGCATTGGACTATGCCAAGTCGTTGCGTATCATGTCAGACACACTGAAAAAGACAACGGTCGCTTCTTTCTATCAGGCATCCGATTCAATCTATAATCTTTTCGATCGTGTGATGATTCTCGAGAAGGGACGTTGTATTTTCTTTGGACCCATCGACCAAGCCAAGCAATACTTTTTGGATTTGGGTTTCGACTGCGAACCACGTAAGTCCGTACCCGATTTCTTGACTGGTGTCACCAATCCACAGGAGCGTAAGATCCGTCCGGGTTTCGAGGGCAAGATTCCCGAGACTTCCGCCGATTTCGAGGCGGCATGGCACGCATCGCCACTCTACCAGGCGGCATGCAACGAGCAAGCGGAATACGAACAGCAAGTCGCCACCGAGAAGCCGGACATCGAGTTCCGTCAACAGGTCAAAGCCGAGAAGTCCAAGACCACTCGTAAGGGCGGTCCTTACACCACCTCTTTCATCACCCAGGTGATGGCACTCACCATTCGTCACTTCCAAATTATCTGGGGTGACAAATTCTCTATTGTCTCACGTTATTTCTCTGTTATTGCACAAGCTTTCATTTACGGATCGGTTTTCTACCAACAAGGTATGGATGCCGCCGGTATTTTCACTCGTGGAGGTTGTATTTTCTCGACTATGTTGTTCAATGCTTTCTTGTCACAGGGTGAGCTGCCCATGACTTTTATGGGTCGTCGTATTCTCCAGAAGCAACGTGCCTACGCCATGTATCGTCCGGCTGCATTCCACGTCGCTCAAGTCGTAACCGATCTACCAATTATCTTCCTCCAAGTATTCCTCTTCTCGATTATCGCTTACTTTATGTTTGGTCTGGAATATGATGCCGGTAAATTCTTTGTTTTCTGTTTCATCTTGATCGGTTTGTCGCTGGCCTGTACCAACTTGTTCCGTGCTTTCGGTAACTTCTGTCCATCGATGTACGTCTCTCAGAACATTCTCGTTGTCTTCCTTATTATGATGGTTACCTACGCAGGTTACACCGTTCCATACGACAAGATGCATCCATGGTTCCAATGGTTCTTCTGGATCAATCCATTCTCCTACGCTTTCAAGGCGTTGATGGCCAACGAGTTCAAACATCAAATCTACGAGTGTTCGAAATCCGCCATTCCCTACGGACCACACTACGAACAAAACTATCCAAACAATCGTATTTGTGGAATTTCTGGTTCGGTCCAGGGTGAATATGAAGTCACGGGTGAAACCTACTTGAAGTCCGCTCTCCACTTCAAGACTAGTGATATGGCACTCAACACCGTCGTTGTCTACCTCTGGTGGTTGCTCTTCACTGCTTTGAACATGATTGCTATGGAGAAGTTCGATTGGACTGCCGGTGGTTACACTCACAAAGTCTACAAGAAGGGCAAGGCTCCAAAGATGAACGATGTCCAAGCCGAGAAGGAAATGAATCAACTCGTCCAACAGGCTACCGAGAACATGAAGGATACTCTTATTCTCCACGGTGGTGTTTTCACCTGGCAAGATATCAAATACACCGTTCCAGTCCCAGAAGGAACACGTTTGTTGTTGGACAATGTCGAAGGTTGGATCAAACCAGGTCAAATGACTGCTTTGATGGGTGCATCCGGTGCCGGTAAGACTACATTGCTCGACGTTCTCGCCAAGCGTAAAACCATTGGAACGATCGAGGGTCATTCCTACTTGAATGGTAGACCATTGGAAATCGATTTCGAACGTATCACTGGTTACGTAGAACAAATGGATGTCCACAATCCAGCTCTCACCGTTCGTGAATCTCTCCAATTCTCTGCACGTCTCCGTCAAGAACCAAGCATTTCACTCGAAGAGAAATACGCCTACGTCGAACGTGTCCTTGAAATGATGGAAATGAAACATCTCGGTGATGCGTTGATCGGTGACTTGGAGTCGGGTGTCGGTATCTCTGTTGAGGAGCGTAAGCGTCTCACCATCGGTGTCGAACTCGTCGCCAAACCACACATTCTCTTCCTTGACGAGCCAACCTCTGGTCTCGATGCCCAATCCTCCTACAATATTATTAAGTTCATTCGTAAGCTTGCCGACTCTGGTATGCCATTGGTATGCACTATTCATCAACCTTCATCCGTACTCTTTGAACACTTTGACCGTTTGTTGCTTCTCGCCAAGGGTGGAAAGACCGTCTACTTTGGTGACATCGGAGCAAGATCCAAGACTCTGACTGCCTATTTCGAGAGAAACGGTGTACGTCCATGCACAGAAAACGAGAATCCAGCCGAGTATATTCTCGAGGGTATCGGTGCAGGTGTCCACGGTAAGTCTGACGTCGACTGGCCAGCCGCATGGAAGTCGTCGCCAGAGTGCGCAGCCGTGCACGCCGAACTCGCCAGTCTTGAAAAGACACACGTTGCTTCCACCGACGACGGTGAGAAGGCTCGAGAGTTTGCCACTGGTTCCATGTACCAAACCTGGGAGGTCTACAAGCGTATGAACTTAATCTGGTGGCGTGATCCATACTACTCGTTCGGTCGTTTCGTCCAAGCCGGTCTTGTCGGTCTCATCATTGGTTTCACCTACTACGATCTCCAAGATTCTTCATCCGACATGTTGTCTCGTGTTTTCATTATTTTCCAAGCACTCATCTTAGGTATTATGTTGATTTTCAACGCACTCCCACAGTTCTTCATTCAACGTGAGTACTTCCGTCGTGACTATGCCAGTAAATTCTATTCTTGGTTCCCATTCGCTCTCTCGATTGTACTGGTGGAAATCCCATACCTGTTGGTCACCGGAACCATTTTCTTCGTCGCACTCTACTGGACTGCCGGTCTCGAATACAACTCGGACACTGGATTCTACTTCTGGTTCATGTTTATGATGTATCTATTCTTCTGTGTCAGCTTTGGACAAGCGTTGGCTGCCGTCTGTATCAATATGTTCTTTGCCATGATTATCGTACCACTCTTGATTATTTTCTTCTTCTTGTTCTGTGGTGTCATGACTCCACCAAAGGATCTTCCAACCTTCTGGCGTTCTTGGATGTAAGTTTATTATCAATCAATATAATATAAAATAATAATTTATTATTATACATGTCATATTAATAACAAACTTTTTAAATTTACAGGTATCCACTCAATCCTTGTCGATATTTCCTGGAAGGTATAGTTACGAATGTGTTGCGTTATGTCCAAGTTAAATGCACAGATGAAGATCTATTTAAATTTGATCCACCTGCTGGAATGACTTGTGGAAATTACACCTCCGAATTTAATACCTACAAGCTATCTGGTTACATTGACAATCCAGATGCTACTTCTCAATGTGGATACTGTACCTACAACAACGGTCCGGAGTACTACGAAAATCTCGATTGGTCATTCGACAACAGATGGCGTAACTTTGGTATTCTCACTTGTTACTGGGTATTTAACACTGCCCTCGTTATCTTATTCGTCTACTTGACCAGAAAGGCAACCAGATAAACAAAATCATATTAAACAATCATTAATATATTATATATAATACTTTTTCACCTTGTTGTTTTCTTATATTAACTAAAAAAAAAAAAAAATTATTTAATAAAAAAATATATATCATTTTTTTAAATATCAAAGATTTATAAATTTATTTTAAGATTGATAGATTCAAAGAAATAAGTTTTTTACATCGTCTTCATCAACTTTGTCATCTTAATCATCAACAAAATCTTCATCAGAAAAAGTCATAAGAAATAACAAACGATAAATATTTTTTACAAACGCAAAAATTTCTTTCTTGGTTCCTATTTACTTTAGAACTTCCTTACCTGTTTGTTTTAGATCACTATTATACTGTCTATCTAGAATTGAATTCTTACACAGGTTTATGTCAGAAATATATACTTTTATTAATTAGGATTGTCTTTTTTAAATTTATTTAAGTTGAAATATACAATTTGAGATATTTTTAAGTTATTTTAGTTAAACATTGAAATAAGTTAATTCGAATTCGCCTCCAGTTAAATTTGTTAATTTAAAAACAGCTGTTATCTCTGTAAAGTTGTAGATGTATTTTGAGATGGATTCTATTCCCATTGTACCATAGGTGGTGCTTCCAAAAATTGTATCAGTAATATTGGTGGTAGTGTTATGTAATCCCAAGAAACCATAGGTAGTTGTCTTTTCATTTGGGTAGATACAGGCATGTCCTTCAATGTAAGCATTCTCTTTGTATCCACTTATACACATATAGTTCATATAGATATGGTAGAATCTGGCATATTTGCAAGTAAAAGTACACAGTATTGGTGTGACCAAAAGTAATATTAAGAAAATAAAATAAATATTTTTATTCATTTTTTTTTCTTTTAAAATATTTATTGGAAATAACAAACTATAAATCTAGCAAAATTCAAACAAATTACTTTGGTTATTTTAAAATGATTATAATATTTGATTCCAAAATTTACAAATATATAAATAATTTTAAATATTGAATTTTGGATTGATTGATTGAAATTTAATTAATTTAAATATGAAAAATACTGTAACCTCCATATCAGATTTGGAGATGGTTAAAATCAATTGCTAAATAATTACTAAAATCAATAGTTAAAAAAACGGACTATTGTAATGGAATCTATTGTTTTGATCAATAGATTTAGTAATAGCTATTAAATTTGTAGTTTGTATCTCAACAAATATTAAGTTATTTATAATAAAAATAATATTGTTGGTAAATATCAAAATAATCCATTAAAAAACAAAACCAATTATCATTTGACTTTTTAAAAATAGAAAGATATAAAATATCTACCACTATATTTCGTGTCAAAAATTTGTATTTATTTTTTAATGTGTATGATTTACAGTACAGTATACTAATTAGAACAAAAGGTAAGTAGATTTAGAAACTGCTAATCATTCAAATAAATTATTTTTAGACTAGAAATGAACCTTATCAATCCGTGAATCTTTTCTTTACAAATTTAAGTTGTCAATTTTGTAATCCAACAGAATAATAATATCTCCTATTGTTTTTAAACAATTGATTCTAAATAATATTTTTTAAATATAACTAACAATTATCAATAAATTGGAGTATTAACTTGTCAGTTTATTTTTTATAAATATTTTATATGTTGATCTAACTAACCATGTTGATGTGATATTAATGTAAATCAACAAATAAAATTGTACATACGTGTCAATTTTAGAATTCTTTATTTCTTTGGAAGTAAAGTTTGACATGGATTTGAAGTGAAAAAAAAAAAGATAATAAGAATAATAGTTTCAAATTCCAATATATCTGAAAATGAAGACTAAATAAATTTTATCAATAAATTTCCTAAAATTATATATCTAATAAATTTTCTATGATTCAAACTTTAGAATTCATAGATACAAACCACACTAAAAAATCTTTCAATAAATTTTTGATGGTGTGATTAATACAAGAATAATAAAATTTTGTGGGGGTACTATTATGTTTAACTAATAGGGTGGAGGGGAAGCAATACATTGAATATCTTTTATATTGTTGACTACTATCTAATGATCTTTATATTTTAGATATTATAAATTTAATTATTTATTAATTTATATATATATATATTTATTAATTGTATTTTTATTATAAAAATGGATACGGCACAAGCAATTCAAACAATGAATGATATAATTAGACCTGCTAATGATCATCTAATGGATTTAACACTTTTCTATAAGCATCGAATCATATCAAGAGACACCTACATCCAACATTGTACAATACTATTTAATGAACATATAGCAAACTATTTATTGTCAGCAGCCGATACAAGAATACAAAACCCAAAACCACTACCAAAGCAATACAATATCAACGAACTTCTTTCTGTTACCGAACATTTACAATCTATTAAACATTCATACATGCCATATCTATTTAGAAATCCAAATATCTATCCTCAACCAAATAATAATAATAATCATCAACAACAGATAATATAAATCTATTATAAATAAATATGAAATGTAAAATAAATAATTTTAAAAAAAAAAAAGAAATTCATTTAATTGATTTAATTTTAAAACAGAACACAAATGAAAAGACAAATGTTGTGTTCTGTTTTAAAATTAAATCAAATCAATTAAAATTTCCAAATTCATTAAATGTAAAATTTTAAAATAATATTAAATTGCATTTGCATCATCAAAATTTTAATTAATTTGATTAAATTTTAAAACAGAACATTAATTTTTCATTTATTTCATTTTTAAAAGTTATATTATTATTATTTTTTTATTGGTATTAAACGATGTCTGAGAGAAAAGGAAAAGTACAAACAGTGGTTGGATTAGTTGAACCGGATACAATTGGTATCACACATATGCATGAGCATATCATTATCAATTACCTTGACTTCTATGAGGAACCAACACAACAAGATTTGAAGGATGCATGTTGTTGTCATAGCAGCAATGACACAAGACAACTACACACTGAGAAGATTGCAGTTGATAATCTACATTGGATCAATTACAACTACAATAAGAACCTACATAATCTTGAACTCAATGAAATCGATGTTGCACTTAGAGAGTTGGCGTTGTTCAAGAACCAAGGTGGAAACACCATCGTTGAAGTGACTACCGGTGGAATCGGTAGAGATCCAACCAAGCTTAAAACCGTCTCTGAACAATCAAAGTTAAATATTGTAATGGGTGCTGGTTACTATGTTGACAAGACAATTAGAAAAGTAAGTGATAGTTATTCATTAATACCTACAAACAACATATTAATTGTTTTTACTATCTTTAAAGTTGATTCAAGATAAAAGTGAACAAGAAATAGAAGATGAAATTGTTAGACAACTATTGGAAGGTGCAGATGGAACCGATATCAAAGCAGGAATCATCGGTGAAGTTGGTTGCAGTTGGCCATTGACAGAGTGTGAGAAGAAATCGTTGAGAGCATCCGCTAGAGCTCAAAAGAGAACTGGTGTTTCAATTACAATTCACCCTGGTAGAAGTAGAATTGCTCCATTACAAGTAAGTTATTATACTATTTTATTTACTTATTGACATTTATTTGTTAACATTTCTGTTGTTTTGTTAAACAATAGATTCTTGAAATTATAAAGGAAGCAGGTGGTGATTTGTCACGTGTTGTTATTGGACATCTGGATAGAACGGTTCATGATATCGAGATGCTTTTGGAGATTGCCAAGACTGGCTGTGTATTGGAGTATGATCTCTGGGGTATGGAGATCTCTTACTACCCATGGGGAGGCGACGTCATCGGTATGCTCAATGACAATCAGAGAATCGAAGCGATCGCACAACTCATCGATGCCGGTCACGCCAAGCAAATCGTAGTGGCACACGACGTCTACACCAAACACCGATTGGTAACCTACGGAGGACACGGCTATCATCATATCCTCCACAAAATACTGCCCAGAATGAAAAAGTATGGAATCAGCGATGAGAATATAAAGGAAATCTTAATCAATACACCCAAGAGATTGTTGACCATTCAATAAAACTTAAAGTGTTTGTAGACTAATATTTATTTATGATTTATGATTTATGATTCTTTTTCTCGCCAATCTAATATCATTGATTCTAACCATTGTTTCGTTACTATTTTAATGCCTAGTTCGGTTGCCATGTTATATTTGGCACCACGGTTGTATCGACAAACTAGATGCGTATTCTCACTTGACAGATCACTGGTATAGGTTGCACCAATGATGCCTATCATACCTTTGATGTGATCTCTTTCCATTCCATCGTATTTGGTAATCGATATCCTATATTTACATTCACTACCGATGACACTATCTTTAGATCGAATAGGTCTATACAAAACTGATTCCGATAACTTTATAATACAACCTTGAACAATACAATCGTTAATCCAATCGGTTGTTGCTGATTTCAAATTCATTTTAATTGTCTAGATGATGATAATGATAATGATAATGATAATGATGAAAGCAAAGTTTAGTTAAAGTTGTTAGATAGATAGATAGATAGAATGGTTGAATGATTGATACTTTACAAGTTCATAAGTTGGATCCGTTTGATATTGAAGTATTACTATGTTTGATTGTTCAATGGTGGTTGCAGTGTTACCACCGTACTGTTTGATTCGCTCGGTGATCGCTTCTTTGACGATAAGATCGCTTGGATAGTTATCATTCGGTATGAAGAATGTGAATGGTGAGAATAGCTTTGGTGAGGTGGCTGGCAGTGCCTGTATGAATGGCTTCTCATTTACCCAACACTCATTGAGAACACATTGATTGAACCACTCGGTTGAAACAACGATCAATCTCGACGGTAGTGAATAGTCTTGTTTCTTGAACCTACTGATATCGTCCGTCAGAAGATGTGTATATCGCTGATCGAACGATACTCTGAATTTACCACCGTGTAATTCTACCCATGCCTGTACATTCAACTGACTCTCTTTTGATAACTAATTAAACAAACAAACAACAACAACAACAACAACATCACCAGTTAATTTATAACTTTTCATTTATAACCAAAGTAAGTTACATACATTAAAAGTTAATATTTTACAACCTTTCATAACAGAATAGGGTGAATCTAATAAATAAAAGTTGACACTAATGAACAAAATATTAGAAGAAGAGGAAGATTAATAATGATTCTATACAGTAGAGATCTAATGGTTGTAAAGCACAACATACGGTATTATTTTACTATATTTAAGACAATCGTATATCCATTGTTTCTGTAGTTGATCATAAGACAAGTTAGTTATTAACCAATAAACAAAATGAGTATTTAAATGTAATAGATATATATATATAATGATGATACCTTTACTACAACAACTTTATGTATTGAATTTAATTTTTGAATATCTCTTGGTAACTCTTCTAAAGTATTTGATATTACATGTGTGGTCTTATCATATTGAAAACTATGATGACAGTGACCATTCAATGATTCTATGATTCTCGTAATCTTTATACTCTGATATGGTTGTAAATGTACATAGAATATGAAATTATGAAACAATGATGTCATCTATCACATAAACATATAAATATATAAAATATAAATATAATAATATGAGGGATATAGTTTAGTTGATTAATTTAAAATGAACAAAAAATTCTTAGAAAAAAAAAAAAAAAGTTGCATGTTAAAATATCAATGATATTTATATTTATATATATATATTGATCAATTTTTATTTAATTATTATTATCTAATCTAAAAATAATATTAATATTAATATTTCGAAATGGTTGGTTGTTTGGTTGATTGATTGATTAAATATTTCCTATTTTCCAATGTTGGTAAACAATTAATTGGCTGTTTGAAATTTTGATGACACCATTATTATTGTTGTTGTTTCGATGGTAAAAGGAAGTAGGTTACGAGATATCTGGTTGTTTTAAAAGATGGTAGGTGCGAGCGATTGATTATTATTATATAGTTTACAGGCATGATTTATTATTATCTAAAGACATTAGTACAGGATTATCGACTTCACAGCATTCGGCATTTGAATTATTAGATCTTATAACTTCGGCATTGCTATTGTTGTTATTGCTATTACTACTACTGTTGCTGCTAATGCTATTATTGTCAACATTGGCAATGGAGAGTGTCGATGTGGCGGTAGTCGATGTCGTTGAGGATGCTGATGATGAAATGTCTTCGCCTGACGATGATGTTGTTGCTGTTGTTGTTACCACTGATGATGTAAAAGTGATGGTGTTATTATTAAAATTATCGGATTTAAGTTGTTGATGTTGTTGCTGTGCGTTGATTACTTGTTGTTGTTCTTGAGGGTTGACTAGTAGCGAGTCAAGTCCGATTGTATGATGTGGTATTGGACCGGTACTGTTGCTCTGTCTGGTGCGTGGGATACTGATTGCCATATTACTAAGTGAATGAGTGACTTGCGAGTAGGAATTTGGTTGATGATGATGATGCGGAATACTGACACCCGACAACTGCTGAGTGGTAGGCAGATCGACTTGAGCAATGAAAGTTCTCAGCGTATTATCAGCGGCATTGCTCTCATCGATCACAATCGAAGGTGTAGGTGAAGTAATTGATAAATTATTATTATTTACAGTTGAATCGATTATATTACTATCCAATATCATATTATTATTATTATTTCCTAAATTTAAACCGTTATTATTGTTGTTGGATTGAGATATATCATTATTATTGTTGTTGTTGTTGTTATTATTACTATTATTAGATATAGTTGAAGTTGAATTTTGTTGTAGATGTTGTTGTTGTTGTTGTTGTTGTTGTTGAGTTTGTGATTGTACAGATTGTTTCTTCTTCATATTATAACCTTTTTGTTCCAATACAGAACTGAATTGCTTTGAATTTGATAAAAAGTCTTCGATCAACTTTTTCTTTTTGTATTCCTCTATTTTCTTTCGCTTTACGATGAGATCCTGTTCCATTTCTTTTACTTCTTCTTTTCTGAATAGTATTGCTCTCACTAAAAATTGATATTAGTTAAAATGCTATGATTTGGTTTAAATGATTGAATGTTTGATTGATAGATAGTTACATTTTATCATTTGTTGTACTTTTACATCTTGTGCTAAATCAGCGGGTGTCTTACCAAAGTTGTTCTTTCTGCTGCAGTCGGCACCGTGCATGAGAAGCAACTTGCAAGCGTCGATACGTCCGTAGATGGCGGCGTAGTGAAGCGGACAGAATCCTTCGAGGTCACTCTCGTTGACATCGCATGCCTCCTCCTCGATGAGTTTGCGCACCTTCTCGTAGCGGTAGTCGAGCGACGACCACATCGCAAAGCACAGTGGAATCACTCGCTGACAGGTGATCCTATTGACGAGTTGGACGTCGCGATACCGGTCCTCCGGGTAGCTGGTGATGGGGAATGGCGAAGTCGAAGGTTCGTTCGATATCTTTGACGTGTAGTATGCAAACATCTTATCTTTGATGGGCACCGGCAGCACATTGGAGAGGTCGCTACTCTGGTAGTAATCGAGATTCGCCATGATCACTTCGAAACACTGTTCCACCAGGCTCGACGCCACAATAGGTAATGCTGGTGTACCAATGGGTGGTGTTGTTGATTTCGGTGTAGCTGTTGTCGATGTCGTTGTTGTTGTTGTTGCTGCTGCTATTGTCATTTCATCTATATTATCTATATCTACTTCAACGTCAATAATATCAACTTGTTGTTGTTGTTGTAGTACCCCATCTTCTTGCAACTGTTGTTGTTGTTGTTCAAACATTAATTCTTCTATATCATTAACATTGTTGTTTTGTATGTGGTTGTTGTTTGAAGGATTTGCTTGTCCATTCATTGCTATTGATGTTATATTCCCTATTTTCTAAATTCTTTTCTCTCCTTTTACTTTTTCTATTTTTAATTCTATTGACACCACTATTCTATTGACAACACTATTCTATTCTATTTGATTCTATTCTATTCTTGTTATAGTTATAGTTCTATTCTAAATGTGTGGTTGTTTGTTAACTAACTAACTAACTAACAACTAAATTTGTAAAAGACAATTCAATTGAAAAAAAAAAACAAAAAGAAAACAACAACCAAATTAATTTAACTAAACATTTGCATATTTGCGAAATAATAATGTAAAATAAATAATTAATTAGCTACCATATAACCTTTAAGATTTGTAATGTTTTAAATAGTAATTTTACTTACTTTTGTTGCTCAATTACTATTGTTATTTATATTTGATTTTGGTTTGATTTTGATTTTGATTTGTTTATTATTATATTTTTTAGTTTTATTAATTATTTGTTCTTTTTTGCTTTGTAGTCGAAAACAACCACCACTACAAACAGTTAGGTTTATTACTAATTACCAATCAACAACCTTATTTTCAACTATTATTACTATTACTATTACTATTTATATTATTTAATATTATTCAAAAAATTTATGATTACTATTACTATTATTATTAAACTGAATTAATAATACTAATAATATTATTTATTTTTAAGCTTTTGTTATGTAATAAATATATATATATAAAATGTTTAATTAAAACTCAATGATAATATGAGTGATATGTTTAATTATAAAAATAAAATAAAATAAATAATAAAAATGATAATTTTAAAAAATAATGTAATAAAACAAAAAAAAAAAAATCAAAACGTTTATTAAGTTTGTCTTGTTATAAATAAATAAATAAATAAATACTGTTGTATTCCAACTAATAATCAAAATTGGGTACAAAAAAATAGGATTGTTTTGTTTTTTTTTTTTTTTTTTTTTAAAACATCATTTTTTTTTAAATTTTATTTAATTTTTTTTTATAATTATTTGTCAAAAAATTTTCAGGTGATCGTTGTTGTTTTTTGATAATCTAACCATCAAGAAAAATAAATTAAAAAATAATAATAATTAAAATAATCAAAAACAATGATGATTTCATTTTTCAGATTTACATTTATTATTATTTTATTTATTTTTATTTATTTAATTTTATTTAATTTTTGATTATTCTTAGCAAGTTGTTAGTTTGGAATAAAAGAATAAGGTAATTCAGATGATGTTGAACAATTGGAAGACGATGTTGATGATGATGATGTTGATGTCGATGATGCTGTTATTAATGGTGTTGTAATTGGTGTTGTTATTGGTGATGATGAGGAGGTTGTCGATGAAAATGATAAATCAGATGATACACTCGTTGTTCTCCTGTTGATGGAGCTATTGAAATCATCTTTTATTACTAGATATCGATATTCTCTATTCCTTTTATAGCAAACCAATACTACATGTATAATCAAGGATACAATACAAATGAAAGGTGATATTATTAAAAGTGAAAGAAAAATTATATTGTCTTCTGACCCAATTGAACAATTATTACTATTACTATTACTATTATCACTAATACTACCAGTTGTTATTGTTGCTGTTGAAGAAGAAGAAGACGATGATGATGATGAAATGGTTGAAATCATAGCTGGAGAAGTGGATGAAGAAGTTGTTGAAATTGTTAAAATTGATGTAGTTGTTGATGATGTGCTATTGCTATCATTGTTACTGTTACTATTACTGTTATTATCACTGTCACTGCTGTCGTCACCTGAACTGGAATCATCTGATGGTGTTGGACATTCAAAGTAACCATTAATCGAAGTGATACAACTGTTACACTCCATTGTAGAAACCGAATAGTTTTGTGATAAACACTCGGTGTCAGAGTCATAATCATAGACCTGAAGGTCAGAGTCTGTAAATTGAACGACACCACTGAATAAAACATCTCCGGAACATTGATCGTAAATAGGAATACATTGATCTAAAAGATATTGTTGGCAATTGATTTCTCCTTTACATTGCTCGCCATTACAATATCCACAAAAAGTAACTGACTCCATATTTATTATATCATTATTATTTCTATCAAATCCATCTTTTGATAAACTATTTACTATATTAAAATCTACAAATAAAATAATTATAAAAAATAAATATTTTTTTAAAAGATACATTTCTCTAAATAAAAAAATTTACTATCATTATCCATTTCTATTAATAATAAATTAAATCCTAATATTAGGATTAAATCAATCTTAAAATATAGAAATCAATTAGTAACTTTATTAACTACTCAATTTTAAACTTTCACATCCGAAGTAGTAAAACAACCAATAGAAATATGAGTTTTGAAAAAATAAATTTGGTTGGTCAGTTGTAAAATAAAAATAAATTTACAATTTTTAAAGAGAATATAATCAAAAGTATATATCTTTGTAATTTCATTAAAGAGAAAAACCAAATTGAATTTTAATTAAAAAAAAAAAATATTTATCTTTTAATTCATTATTGAAATTTCATTTAATAATTTATTTTTTTACTTTTATTTGTTGAAAAATTCACTGATGAGAATGTCATAAGTATATTCATCAATTAAAACTAAAAAAAAAAACTATAATTAAAGGTAATATAATAATATATAAATAGAGCAACACATTGATTTAAACAAATCACTTCTCAAAGCAATTTGCTTTGATCATGTGTAGTATCTGTTCTAGAAAGCTTAATCTCTTTCTGCGGTCACACGTTGACTGCTTAATTGATTAAACTAATTTATCTAGAGGGACCGAAACATTATGATATGGGCTTGCTCATATCGTTTCAGTCATGTATTTGCTCTGTATTGCACAAAATCAGAGATTCAAAGGTACACCTCATCATCAAAATAAAAATTAAAGATAAAAAACAATAATTATTTAGATAAAATAAAGTTAAATAGAATTTATTCTAATGTACATGATAAATAAGTTTAATTTTTTAAAAGAACTCTTCTTTTACAACTAAACCATTGTTATTCCATTGTTGAATAGCCCATTGAGTCTTCTTGATGTTGTGACCACCATAAGTGAAATCCATATACATTTCATAAGCAGTGTTGTTTCCATCAACCAAAACTTTGAGAACTAAATAATAGTTAATTTAAATATTTAAAATACAGATTAATATTAACTATTAATAACTAAATCTATCGATATCAAACATACGTTTTGCTTCATGGATGGTTGCATTGTTGACAAAAGCTTCCTCAGCTTTTCTGTTTTGATCTTTTCCAACTCTGTTTGTTGAATCACCTTTCTCATACATCACAACATCATCAGCATAGTATTTTTCGAAAATCTCCAAAATCTTATTTTCTTGGATACCTTTGATGATTGCATTAATGTTTTCTCTGATATTGACTGACATTCCTATAGATTTTTTTAATATTTTGATTTTTGTAATTTACTTTTGATATTTATTTATTTATATTGTATTTATATATTTGATTTGATGAATGAATGAAATTTTATAATGAATTGATTCAATTTATATCTTTTTAATTGGAAGATTCAAGAGCAACACAGCCCAACCTAATAATAAAAAACATTCTTGAAGTGGGTGTTCCGGAATCAAATGTCTTTTTTTCACACAAGAAACATCAAAAGTTGTAAAAAAAATCTGGATTCCGGAACAAAATCATCAAAGTGTGGTCTATTTCGATGCAACAGAGTTCTATTACTTTAAATTCTATTACTTTACCAAATAAGGTAGTTATAAAATTTAAATTATTTGTTTTTTTTTTAATTTTTAGGCTACAATAGTTATCCATATTACAAAAATGGGTAAGAATAAAGAAAGTATTCTACGAAACAGTATATAAAACATAAAAATCAATCAACCATATTTAGCTTATCTATTTCTTTTTTTAAATTGATTTTTGTAATTCTACAAATAATTTAGATTTATAAATCATGATTATAGAGAGTAAGTAAGACGATAGATGAGCGATTTTGGTTGAGCAGATTTTTGTTCAATATTTTAATAATTATTATTAGATGATATATTTATTATTTATTTTACAAAAGAACTTATTTTGATTAAGTGCAAGTATGAATTATAACATGTTAATTGTAATGTTTGAGTGCACCACTTGATTATAAAAAGAATATTTGATCATTTCAAATTTTTTTTTCTTTCGTTTGATTCGGTTTTTTTTTATTATTTTTTTTTTTAATTAAAAAATATTTGTTGTTTGTTGATATCTATCTACCTCAACATTAATTATACATATAAAAAATGGTTAGACCACTTAAATATCATGAACAAAAGCTTTTAAAGAAACATAACTTTGTACATTATAGAAAAGAGAATGTCAAAGATGTAGAGAATATAAATAGATTCGGTTTAACTGGTAAAGAAGAATATGCTGCGTATGTATTATTATTACTATTATTATTATTATTACTAGTACTTAATAATTGTTTAATTAATTCATATATATTTACTTTACTAATTGGTTGTTGTTGTTGTTTTATTAATTAATAACAATATAGTTATACAAAATTAGTTGGATCGATTCAAAAGATTTTACATTTGGTACAAGAGTTGGACGATAAAGATCCAATGAAGAAACAGATTACAGATACACTATGTGAGAAACTATACGATATGGGTGTTATTGATTCAAAGACAACGTTTTCACTGACAAAGATCTGTCAAGCATCATTTTGTAGAAGAAGAATTAATGTTTTGTTAGTACAACTTAAATATGCACAGAATCTTGCTAATGCCGCCAGTATAGTTCAACACGGTCGTATGTTTTATCTTTTAATTATTATTGCAATATGTGTATTAATCTATTCTATTTATTTATCTATCTATTTAGACATAAGAATAGGACCAGAAGTTATTACAGATCCAGCTTTAATTGTTACAAGAAAATTCCAAGATCTACTGACATGGGTTGATAACTCATCGATGAGAAAGAAGGTATTACAATACAACAACGAATACGATGACTATGAATTGTTACAATAAATTAAATAAACAAATCATAACAAGCAAAACATAAATCAAATCATATCAATCTTTAAATTAAATTTATATATATATTAAAGATTAGTAAGTAAATAAGACAAGTAAATTTTGTTTGTTTGTTTGTGTTTATAAAAGAGGCGTTGATATATAAATCATTATTTATTAAAAGAATGAAAGATATATATATATATTTGGGTTTGTTTTGTTTTGGTTGGTTGGTTGGTGGATTATTTACAATTTGCATATTATTTTTGATTTAGAAGTTATTAAGTTAGTTATTAAATTAGTTATTATTAAAAGTTACAATAAGATTTGATTGAAATAATCTGTAAATGAAAATGTGTTGTTGATAAGATTATTGTTTGGTTCTGAAATGAGGGGTGAAGGTGGTGGTTCAATGAGATCTGAGTCCATGTTGCAACCATTATAGTTGATATCATCAAGATAATCTGGAACAATACTAATTAAACTCTTATTATTATTGTTGTTGTTACTATTATTATTGTTGTTGGTATTATCGTAATTTGAGAAATCAATTTCATCGTAGGAATTCTCGTAGAGTGTACTGGTGTCGTTGCTGTGGCCACAAAGATGATTGGATGCCGGTGTCATAATCATCGATTTAATCATTTGGTTGCTCATCTTGTTCTCGATACTCAATGGGATCTTTGGTGCCGGATACATTACGTCGATGCGTGGAACAGGTTCCGAGACTTCTCCGGCAACTGGTGACGACGATAATTCCTTCAATGTTGGTGTTGGTGTTGTTGGTGTCGGTGTTGGTGTTACCAATTTCTTCTTATTCTCCATTGGTTTAATCAATTGAGAATTCAATTTCTTAAAGGAAGTGGACGAGGACGATGAGGACGGTACAAACAAGATATTTGGATGCGCCGGTGTCAATGACTTTGGAGTAGCGTTGGCGGTTGTTGTCGTTTGGAGTATTATCTTTTTGTTCTTGGTTGACAATTGATGGTGGGGAGTAACACTTGCATTGGTAAGATCTCTGAAGGCACCTCTGGGTGTGTTGGTTCCGGCCAGTACCGACTTTTGCTTGGTGGAACTCAATCCCGGAGTCGATGATCCACCTCCTCCACTACCCGATTTCGACTTGATTGTCATCGGTGCATTCTCTTTTAAATCTGTATGATTTAAATTAAATGAAACTGTTGAAATCATGATATTTCTCTATACTATTATTCTTTAATATATATATATATATAACTAATTAATTGAAGATTCTTTTTTTTTTTTTTAATGCTTTTTGAAAAAAAATAATATGAAACTGTTGTTTTGTGTTTGTGTTTAATTGATTGATTGATTGATTGATGTAGTGTCGTGTAGTGTAGTTGTTATTTGACAACTTTATAGTTTTGAATTTAATAAGAGATATTTATTAAAATCAAATTTGATTGAGAGATTGAATATATATTTTTATTAAAATTGATATTTATAAAAATAAATAAATTACTATTATTCTTTATAATTAATATTTATATAAAAATAAGTTATTTTCTTTTAACACAAACTAAAAACCTCCCTTTTATTCTGCCAAAATTTGGTTGTAACGGATAATTTTTCAAATTTTAAATTTGAACTTGACAATTTTTTGATTCATTAAGAGATGAGTTTAATTTGTATCTTTTGACTTAACAATATATTCATGTAATTAAATTATGAACATTTATTTAAATGATATAATTTTTTAAAAAATATCATTTTTATTTTTTTTGCATTAAACTTCAAATGTTATACTATGATTTATAACATTTGAAATAAAATAAACTACTTTTAAATGTAGATAAGTTTAATGATTGATCAATTTGATTTATTTGATTGATATCTTTTTGTTTTAATTATCAATCCGGAAAAAGGTATCATATTAATTAAACACTCATCATACACCAAATATCAAGCTAAATTATTTTTTTTTAAAAATTTTTTTTTCAAGTTTTTTTTTTTTTTAAATAACTTCAAAACATTAATTGAATTTGTTTTATTTATATAAACAGTCATTTCGTATCTTTTAAAAAATAACAATAAAATAAATCAATTGATTGTTATTATTCACAATATATATTTATATCATATTTTTATATATTTAGATAAATAAATATTACTCTTTTTTATTTTTATTTTATTTTTATTTTTTTTTTAATTCAACTTTTAAAACAATTGATTAAAAAAGATTGAAAGATGGTTAGATCACCAGAGAGAGGAGACGGACACGATGACTATGACGGGTATGATAATGAGTATGCACATTACTATTAATTGAAAAACATTTAAATTTATTAACCGACCTGTCACTCTCTAATATTATTATTACTGCTATTGCTATCGTTATCGAAAATAAAGAGATAGAGCGATGTCACCAGTAGATCGTGAAACCGATACCAAGTCATCGTCATCCTCTTCAAAGCCTGCCGGTATGAGTGACGAAGATTGGAAGAACAGAGGTAATTCACTACATGTCGCCGGTTTCAGTTTGAAGCTAAAAGATGAAGAACTAAAAGATAAATTCACTTCTTTTGGAAAGGTAAGTGGTGTCACTATTGTTAATAGCATCAATATTGTACAATACAATAAAATACTAACAACAATAACAACAATGTTTACTTGTAGATTTTAGAATGTGTAGTTATGGTCGATCCAAACACCAAGATTTCAAGAGGATTCGGTTTCATTACATTCGGATCTGCCGATGAAGCTGACGAAGCCATTCGTATTATGGATGGTTCTAAAATTGATGGAAACGTCATCAAAGTATCAAAGGTAACGAATCAATCAACAATACTACATAATACAAATAATACGAACAACTTAACGACAAGCAACAAACAAACATCACATACAATAATACAACTATTACCTACTTGTCAACTATTATCATCTTTACGCACCCTTTCATATCATCAATATTCACCATTCAATAATCATTGAATCCAACCATCAACACTGCACCAACAATGTACAAGTGTTAAATCTTTTTTTTTTTTTCTTTTTTGTCAGCAATACATTACATAAACAACGTTATATTTTTATGTTATGATACACTTTTAACTACTAACCCTTCTTCTCCTCTTCCTCTTCCTCTTTCTTTTTTTCTTCCTTTAATCTTCTATACTTATATGTATATATATATATCTATCTATTTATAAATATCTATATATATAATATCTATATTAGTATCAATATTTATTAACTCATCTTCTAAGTATAGCGTATACTCTTAATTCTATATATTTTTAAATAGATCTAATCTTTATTAATTCTAGCTATTTTTGATATAATATTATGATAATAATGATAATTTGTTTACAACTGTTCAGCCATACAAATATACAATATTACAACCATATACATAAACACACAACAACTGTCAACCAAGTTTACAGCTGTAATATTCAATTCAACAATGATAATACAATCAATACAATACAATACAATACCAAAGATGCAATATCAAATACAATACAAAAAAAAAAAAAAAACAAAAACAATACACAATTTAAAAGATACAAACAAACAATATTCATTCACTATAATTATACACCTACCTATGCTGCGTTTCACTACACAACAACAACAACAACAATAACAACAAGTTGATCGATCTCATCAACAACATTCAATTAAAGATTGAGGCTCAATCTCACACAACCCAACCTAATTAATTAATTCTCTTCTTCTTCCAACTATATAATCATATATCTATTTATAATTATATATATTACAAAAAAAAAAAAAAACAACAATACATTACAAATTCTATACAATACAATTATATTACCTTATCAAATTATTATAGTCAAAGAGATCAAAGCCAAGAGATAGTACACCAGGTGAATATATGGGAAGTGATCGTAGAAAGAGAATGGGTATGCAAACAAAACAAAACATTGAATCAATAAAGGAGAAGTTTGTATTAACATATTATATTTTATTAACATGTAATTGTAGCACCAAGACCATATAATCCTTACCCATATCCATATCCAACCAAGTATCCACCCTATCCACCACCATACGGAGGTGTCGGTGGTTACTATGGTTATGGATCGTATCCATATCAGTATCCAACTGCTACCACTGGATACGGTGGTGGCGGTGGTGGTGGAAGTGGTAAATCGAGCTACGATCAAGGCAGATATTCACCATATATGAGAGTGGACAGCAGTTCTAGATACGACAGATCGACTCGAGACTATGATAGAAGCGATCGTGATAGAAGCGACCGTGACAGAGACAGAGGAAGTGATCGTGATAGAAGTGATCGTGACAGAGACAGAGATCACACCCGTGGTAGATATGATTGATAAACAAACATGAACACAGCAAGCGGTGTGTGCATCTCAATCCTGATATTATTATTTCTAACCCAAAAACAAAACAAAACAAAAATGAACAAAAATGAGATGTGCTCCATATACCAATTAAGAAATATGATAATTAATCTAAAATTAAATTAAAAAAAACATCTTTTTTTTTGCCCAAACAAAAAAATAAAAATATATTAAACATTTTCTTTTCTCAAAAATATCTACACAGTTCATGAATATTCAAATCAAAATAATAACAATAATAATAATGTCCATTATTTGCAATAAATTATTTGTATAGCTTTTATTTTTATTTTTTATTTACAATTTATTGAATTGACTATTCTAGTACTTGGTCCACCATCCTTTGGCATTAATGATTTCTTCCATTCGGCGTGGTAATGATTGATATAACTCATCGATAGTATCTGGTCCAATCATCTCCCATTCTTCGAGAATGACATCCTCGAATTTTGCTAGAGGTTCGACAGCCATTCTTCTCTTTACTCTTCGTTTGAGTATCGCCCATACGTTATCAATAATATTGATGTCTGGTGAGTTGTCTGGTAGATATAAATATTTGATCTTGTGTCTGTTCATATAATTGACCACCGACTTTGCCTTGTGGATGGAACAGTTATCCATTGCCAGTATGTAGTTAGCTCTAGCGAACTCATAGTAGTTGAGTGATTGAATGTATGCATCTCTGAGTATCTCTGTGTATTGTTCCTGTTTGAGGGTACCTTCTATTTCGCTTAGAAATCCTTCTCCTAATTTGGTAATACACCCCCAGAGATTGAACGACTTTCCACCTCGCATCCTTGTAATTCTATCTTTACCAAATCGTCCATTTCGATTAAAAACACAACTGCTAAACTTTCGGTAGTTTTTGAAATTTGATTCAACAATTGTTGACTCACCAGAGAACACCAGTTGTTTCCATTGCTCTACTGTCCAGTTCCTGTGTGCCATTGCAAAATCCAATCTTATCTCGGCATGTTTTGCTGTTAGATCAAACTTTCGAGATAAACTTTTATACTCCAAACCCTCCTCTCTTAGTATATTCCCAATACGTGATAAACTGATATTCAAACCATATGTTGCTGCAAGTCGGTTCTTTATTTCGGACAAAGATACGCATTCTCTTTGGCACACCCATCTCTTCATTGCTCTTCTTGTTCTATCCGAAACTCTTCTTGGTCGACCTATTTTGCTTCTATCATGAAGATGACCCAACTCATTATATCTATCGATGGTTCTTTTTACTGTAGATCGAGATATACCGAACAACGATGCAAGGCGACGCTTACTGCAACCTCTGTTGCTGCCTTCAATTATTCTTTGTCGTATTAATTCATCTATTGACATTTTTGTTATTATTAAAATGTATGAAAGACATTCTTTAAATATATTATATTGTTGATTTTTAAAGATTTATTTAAATAAAAAATAATTATATTTAAAAAAAAAATACTAAATAAAGGTATTTGTTGATTTTCTCATTTTTTTTTGTCCAAAAATAGAAATAATCATTTTAATAAATAATATTTTTATATTGATTATTGAATTATATATATTTGATATCTGATAATCAAACTCTACTACCTGTACAATAGTTTGATGTTATGTTAAACTATCATAAGAATGTAAAGAACACAACACAATCAATTATTATAGAAGTTCAAAAAAAGAATGTGAATGATGATGAACTCTTTAAATCTATATTAAGGTTGATTTTTTGATCGTTTGGAATAGGTATCAAATCAGATGGATCCAATTTGGGAACATGGTTTTGGATTGTATTACACAAAAACATTCCTTTCTTTCCAAGAGGTGGGTATAACCTCTTAAAAAATTTTTATAAAAAAATATCATCATAATTGGATTGTTCTAAAAAAAAATGAGAAAAGTTGCATAGCAAAATCATATAAACCACCAAATTTTTGAAAAAAAACATAAAAAGAAGCAAAAAAAAGTAAATTAAAATAAAAAGGAAACACTTTCATTCAAAAATTAAGATCTATTCAAATTGTTTAGTTTTTTTAATTTAAAATAGTCTTTTTAAAAATACATATAATTAATTAATTAGAGTTATATATATATTATTTTTATTATTTATTTATTTTTGTAATTTTAGTAAAATCATTCTATATTGTTTTTTTGTTTTGTTTTTTTTTAGAAATAGTAATATTTATTTATAGTTAGTTAATAACATTTTATTTATTTAAACATTATTATTAGTTTTATCATCATTATTATTAGTTTATTTATCAAATTTGATTAGATTTGAAGTTTTTTAAGTTTAGTAGTTATCAGAAAATAATAATAAACAAATAAATAAAAATTAATTTTAAGAAATAAGTTTTTTTTGTTTGAAAAAAAATGGGATTACGTGTATGTTTCTTTTCTACTTTACTTCATTTATTTGAATATTTACTTATTTGCATTTACATTGTAAAATTAAACAAAAAATATATGTATTATATAGATAAAAGTAACAGATCAAGAGAGAAATAGTCGTGACCATGAAGGAACTTTGATGAAACATCAGGGTGCTATGAAGGGTTGGACAAGATTCTGGACGGTCATCACAGGTAATCGATTGTTTTATTTCAAATATAAGGGTGATAGTATTTGCAAGGGATTAATCGTTCTCGATTCAAAGTCATTGGTTCACAAGGTGAAGGATATGGAATTCAACATTACCACCTACACCAACGGTAAGCCACACACCGACCAGTTCCACTGCGATACTACAGCGGAGCTAACTCAATGGATCAATGTCATTCAATCAAACATCAACAAGTTGTCCAATCCAAGCTCTGCTGGAGTTGTCGTGGCATCCACTTCCGTTGGTACCATCAAAGTGAATGGAATGACAGTGACAACTACCACTTCCTATCCACCACAACCAATAATGCAACAACAATATCAACCTGCATTATCACCTCCACATCCACATCAATATCAACAACAACCACCACAACAACAATATTACTATCCACAACCACCACAGCCACAATACCAACCACAACAATACCAACCACAACAATATCAACAACAACAATATCAACAACAGCCACCACCTCCACATAATTATGTAGCACCATTATCTCCACCACATCCACAACATCAACAACAACAACAACAACAGCAACAATATCAACCACCACAAGCTCCACAACCACAATTGTATCCATCTCAACAACAATTGGGTGAGTTACCATATGATCCTTCACCATCTGCACCTTCTGCACCATCTGCACCACCATCGGCAACACCAACCAATCCGACATCGAAATATAATAAACCACTTCCAACTCCAGGACAAGGTAATTTCAATAATAATAACAATAACAATAGCAATAACAGTGCAGTTTCATTGACTAAAGCAAATCCACCTCAACTTCCACCACAACAACCAGGTCACTACAATCAACCACCTCCATCATTCTATCCACAACAACAACAACAAATGCAACCAGGTCAATATAGTCAATCTACACCACAATTATATCCTCAGCTACCACCACAACCACCCGCGAAACCACAGCACATGATGTCACAACCATCGATGGGAATGATGGCACCATCACCATTCGGCGCAGCCTATGGAGTGGCTGGAATGATGGCAGCACCTATCATGCCACAATCAGCGATTATCGATGGCAAGCTGATTCCACCGGTTGGAACGGTCATGGTTGCACCTCCACAGGGTGAGCTCATCGTTAGAATCATTTCGGCAAAGAATTTGGTTGCAGCGGATTCAAATGGCAAGTCTGATCCGGTAAGTTATAATAATAACAATTGACTAATCAATGCAAATTGATTGATATCCATTGTTATTAACATGACTCTTTCTTTATTAATTATAGTATGTCATCTTGCGACTTCCAAACTCACACGTCGAGCATCCAACAAAGACACGTATCATCCACAAGAACTTGAATCCCGTTTGGAACGAAGTGTTCACCATTCCAATCAACGATATTCAGCATCATATGTTGGTGTTGGAGGTGTACGACCACGACAAACTATCGACCGACGACATCATTGGATTCGTTGGAATCGACCTCTCGCTCTTGCCGATGGGAGCAGAGGTTGTCACCACTGAACAACTCTCCTACGTGCCACACGGTGAGATTCAAGTCGGATTGACAGCGGTCAACTTTGGAATTCAAAACTATCCACCAAACTACCCGCTCGACTACATTGGATGGCGACAATCGATACCGACCGTATCGAAACACGGCATGGAAAAGGAAAAGAAGGATTTGAAGCATCACCATCATAACAATAAACACAAGAAGGATAAATGTGAAGTGAAGAAACCTGGACCATACTCACATAACATCATTCACTCGAGATTCGAAATCGTCAACGGTTGGGTTAGAAAGAGAAAGACAACCTCAGAGAAAGTAGGAAAAGCAGCTAAAACAACAGGACTTGTAATTGGTGCAATTGCACTTGGTGCACTAAGTGGTTAGTTGATATGTGTTTTGTGTAAAATAAATAATAACAACAACAAACAATAAAATGGACTTCCATTTACATATGTTTTTACATAATAAAATTGATTCAAAAAAAGAACAAGAACAAAAAGAAAAATAATCAACATATTGTATATGTATTTGTTGTTTTTATTTTATTTTAAAATTGGTTTAGTATACCATTACTATTAGTGGTTTACTTTTAAAAACATATTTTAAGTTTTTCTTTATGACTTTTTTGGAAACTTGGTATTCTTTTAATACCCTTTTTTCATTACTATTGCTGAAACGGTGAAGCCAAGTTACTCTCTTCCTTAGCAGCATTGAGAATCTCTTGGCTATATCTGGATTTTCCAAACCTTGGGGACCGTAAATGAATGCCCGGAGACCATCGCCAAAGTGTCTCTTAAACGATTTACTGAGAGTAGTAGAGTCGACTCCTTTTTCTTTGGCAACTTCACCTTGATTTCTAAAAAAATCTTCAAACCCTACTTTACGAATATTATTATTATTATTTATATCGTTTTGGATATTATTGTTATTCTTATTCTTGTTATTATTTTTGTTTTTGTTTTTGTTTTTGTTTATGTTGATATTATCCTTCTTATTCTTGTTATTTTTAATGTGGTTATTTTTTTTAGGTATTTTGGTTTTGATATTATTATTATTATTGTTATTATTATATTCAGCTACAGGTACTTTTGAAAAGTCTAGCTCCACTTCAACAAAAGTAGGATAGTCTGAATGATTTTCGGTTTTGTCAGGGACTTGGCTATCAATCACACCACTATTGGACATCTCCCCATCTACAGTTTGTTGGATATTCTCCATATCGATATCAGAGGATTTCTCTTTACAGAAATTTTCGTTGTTTAGAATATCTTCAAAGAGTGTACCACCTAAATGATTTTCATCTAAAAAGAAAGATAACAAACAATGTTTATTATTTATATTATAGTTAATAAAGATAAAAAATTGTATCATTTTTTTGAAATACATACCTAATTCAAAGGTCATTTTTAAAATTTAACAGATGTTATGTGAAGATATATATCTTTGAATTTTGAATTGCTAACTATACAATGAAAAGGTTTTTTACACTCGTATTTATAGTTGACTACCATTCATACAAATTCAATTTTTAGGATATTTGTTGCTATTATAACAACTGTCAGTTGATCATTCCCTCCATCTTTCTAGATATTCAAGTTGTACATCATAGATCAGAGATTTGTTTTGGTTTGTCAAAGAACTTGGTTTTTGTCGGGCCACCAATAGTCATTTAGCTATTATTTAATTGATTGATTGGCTGATTGATTGATTGATTGACTGACCGATCCTGTTTAGTGTTTGGTTTAGCACCAGGCATTGCAAACTCTAAATTAAAATTAATTTAGCTCTTTTGAGGAGGCGGATTGATTTCTAAATGTGTTTTTCATTTTTAAAAGGTTAGGTGTTGTTTTGCAAATTCACACAAAAGCTATGCAAAATTTTTTTGGGGGAGGATAAAATGAAATTAAACAAATCGTCACTTTTCTTTAAAAAGAAATTTGTTTTTTTTTTTTTTTTTGATCAAAGCTCTGGTCAATCAACTCACCCATCTAAAAAAAAAAATAACAAAAATTAAAGGTAAAAACAAAAAAAAAAACGATAGGATTTGAGTTGTTTGTGTGTGCGTTGATTTTATTGCACTGAATCGACCAATAAAAACAATCTATTTTGGTTTTATTTAAAACAACAAGATATTATTATTATTATTGGTTACATATAGGTTTACATAGCACAAAATGAGAATGAGATAAATCCATTATCAAATCTCTCTCTAGTTGGATTAAAACCTTTTTATTTTTTGTTTTTTTCTGATGAATCACAAAACAAAACTATAATGATGGTCAAATTTCACTTTTTTTAAACACAATGAATTCCTGATTACTATGATTACTATGGATCCATTCCAAGATTTTAAAATTTTTTTTTTTAAAAATTTGTAAGGAAAAATAATTATAATTATTATAGGATAAATAAACAGTTATAATTTTAAAGTTATGTGATTCTTTTAAAAATATTAATAGTATTATTGGTTTGGACAAAAAACAAATGAATCATCTCTGAGCAAGTCAAGGAATCTTATAAGTCCAGATAGAATTGATGGGGGTGGTTAAGGTTTTTTTTAGGTAATATGAAACTTGACACTTTAAAAAAATAATATGGTAAAAAAACCAAATAAATCACAAAATCCGGAGTTTTTACCAAGATCTCAGATCAATTATTTTGAAAACATTTGGTTTTTGGGGATTGAGTTCAAAACAAAAAACAACCAAAAAAGAAAAATCAAACACGTTGTTTTTTTATTAGTTTCTTCAGAATTTTGCCTTCAGAATGGTCAAAAAAAAAACAAAAAAATTTTTGCTTGTTCATTCTTATTTCTAGGACCAACTCAGTAAAAACTTGATTGTTGTTTGTTGATCAGTTTGTATCAGCCAAACTAACAACTGTGGATTCAGTTCATGAAATAATCCCTGGTAACAGTATCGTCTCTTGTTTGTTTGTACAATGATATTGCAGTGTGTTGAAAAGTTTCCATACTTAGCATGTCAACGGTTTGATAAAAGAGTGAAATATCATCAGTTTGTAACCAATTGATAAATACCGAGTTCATATGAATCTCGAGATTGAATTTAAAAAAATAAAAAGAATAATTATTATTTATTTATTGTCATCCAACTTTTCTTTTGGGTCCAATAAGATAAATTGTGAAACAAACTGTTTTTCTTGTAACTTTAATATTTAAGTTTTTATTTGGGTCGACAAAAATAGAAAATCATGATAAAATGTACATTTTATTTAAATATATGATTGTTTTAGACTCTATCAATACTATTTTTAACTGATTAAAATGATTTTTATTTTAAAATGACTCATTGCTTGTTATTTTTATTATCTATTCTGATTCTCTTTTTTTTTATTATAAATTCCACCCTAGGGATATACAAGAATAGACCTGTGGATCAAATAAAATAAGAAGATTGGCAGAGAAACTTAAAAATAATCTATATACACAACATCTCAACATTTTGTTAATAAAGATCTTTCCCAATAAATAAATATAGATTTTTACTCTTTTTCTTAGAAGTAGAAATAAATACTTTTACTAAATCTATTGATTCTAATCTTATAAAAATAATGAATTCTATTCTTTAATGGAAAGAGTCCCTTTAACTTGTAAATTGATAGTTGTTTGAAAGTATTAAAGAGGTTCTATTGTTTCTCATCCTTTGATATACAAAAGATATTATTCCCTTACCCTTACCCTTACTTTTGTGAATATGTAATAAACAATGTTGGTTCTTTCAAAATACAAATTTTTTCTTTAATAATTAATATGAACTAATGGGTATCAATGTATTAATACATTGATATAAAAATAAAGAGTTATCATAAATCTATACTTGTTTAATTTATTTTAGTAGATATAGGCTAATCTTAATAGAATATGATCTCATAGTCAAACATCACATCACATCTTAGATAGTATTTTTTTTAAAAAAATCAAAAATGAAATATGTGTTTTTTTTTTTGATTTCATTATTTGTTTGATTATTAGATTCATCTTTAGTCAGACTTGATTAATTTTTTTTTAAACTTATCAATTAATAATCTTCAAATAAATCAACAATAACCTTTGTCTTAAAAAAAAAAACTTAATCAAAAAAAAAAAAAAAAAATAGAAATATTTTAAAATTTATAAATAAGTAATGACTTAAGTTAAAAGTCAATTTTATTCAAAATAATAATATCATACAACTCAACCACTGTACTACTAATAAAAAGAGAAAAAATTTGGGAGGGTGGTGTTCAAATTAAAAAATTTTAATAACTTCTCTATTTTCATAATCCACATTTATATTAATATTTTCAATTATTAAATTTCAAAATAGATAAGTTAGAAGAACCAATTTATTAGACAGATAGATTAGATAGATTATATTAGATTAGATTAGATCGATTAGATAGATATTTGATTTGATTCTTCATAACTTAATATATATATATATATATAGATAAAACAAATATTTAAAAATAGAAACCAAACAAACAACAACAACAACAACAACATTGAAATAATCAATTAATTTGTCATGGATATTCCTGTTGTATCTACAGCGACAACATCAGTATCGAGCGGAGTGACATCAAATGGACACCATTCACTTTCATTATCATCTTCATCTGTAACGACTTCTTCGACACCTTCTTCATCTTCAACCAACAACAATACTGCTGGTAGCAGTGGTAGTATGAGTAATAGTAGCAATAGCAATAGCAATAGCAATATTAGTAGTAATAATAATACAACAGCAACAACAGCAACAATATCTTCAAGTAATGGAGGTAATAGCAATGGTAATGGCAATGGTAGTGGTAGTAGTGGTGTAGGAACGGATAGTGAACAACAAGATGAACAACTAAAAAACAATAGTAATAGTAATAGCAATAATAATAATAATAATGGATCTGGTTCAAGTTCGAAAGCAAAGAAAATTACAATCTCTTCTTATGCCTCTTCTAATCAACACTCTACTACTACACCGATGAATGCACAGAAGCAATTGGAAGATACACTGTCTTGTCCTATCTGTCTCGATATCATCAAAGAACCATTCATTACGAAATGCGGTCATTCTTTCTGTTACCAATGTATTCTAGTACAACTATCGAAGCAATCATCATGTCCCTTATGCATGCATTTCCTCTCTAGAGATCAGATATTTCCTAATTTTGCATGTAAGTAATAATAATAATAATAATATCAAACATTCATTTATCTAACATTAATAACAATAATAATAACAATAACAATAACAATAACAACAACAATAATAACAATATTTTAGTGAATAAATTTGTAGAGACAATGTCACAAACCAGTCATTTAGTATCGACTCCACCAGTTAAACAACTTCAACATACTTTATTATCAACTGAATCTATATCAATCAATGGTAAGTTGTTTTATAAAACAAAAAGGTTAGTAAATCTTGTATTAAATTTGCTTGCTTGTTTTTATTTTATTTAATCTATAGATATCAATAGTATGGTAGCAGCATTGTTGGAAAAGAAGAAATTGATTGAACTACAAGATCAACAGGTTGAACTTGATATTCTTTTGGATTTCCTTGTAAAGACAAAGTCACAGAAGATGGAAGCATACAGATTGTTAAAGAAACAGATATCGTTATTGGATCACGATATCGATAGTATAGAATGTCAACAAAAAGATTCATCAACAATTTCATCATCAATATCATCATCAAGTAATAATATTAATAATAATAACAACAACAATAATAGTAGTAATAGTAATAATAATAATAATAATAATAGTAATAGTAGTTTTAATAATAATAATAATAATAGTAATAGTAATAATAATAATAATAATGAAAATGAATCAATTTTGAATAATGTAAATATAAGTGATGTTAGTAAAGAGCATTTAAAGGAGGGTAGTGTCAGTAGTAGTATTAATAATGGATCAAATGATAGTTTAAGTTCATCGACAACATCGACGACAACAACGACGACGACAACGACAAGTTCATCATCATCAGATAAGTCAGGATCATCATCATCATCATCATCATCGAAAAAAGATAAACCAAATACAATGTTGAATAAGAAAAGAAAGATAGATACTCATTTAGATGATTTACAATCATGTTATTTCTCTGCATATGGTAAGAATAATTGATAAATGTTCATGAAACTATGACAAATCAATCTAACTAATGTTTGTTTAAATTTAAAACAATAATCTTATACACTTTTAGATCAAGAACCGGAACCACCATTGGAATCAAATACAGAATCGAATCAACCGAAAAAACTTGGAAAAGGACTGTTGAGTTTCTCGAGGAATCTCTCAAAGTTTACGCGATACAACGATTTCCGTGTGATAACAACACTAAAGTATGGCGATTTGAATAATACTTCATCGATCGTTTCCAGTATAGAGTTTGATAAGGACGATGAGTTCTTTGCGACAGCCGGTGTCACCAAGAAGATCAAGGTGTTTGAGTATGCACAGTTGAACATTCGTGATCACGTCGATATTCACGTGCCGATAAAGGAGATGACCTGTCGCTCGAAGATCAGTTGTCTCAGTTGGAACACCTACATCAAGTCGCAGATTGCCAGCTCCGACTACGAGGGTATCATCACGCTGTGGGACGTCAACACCGGCCAGGATGTAATGTCGATGGAGGAGCACGAGAAGCGTGTGTGGAGTGTCGACTTTTCGCGGACCGACCCAACGCAGCTTGCCAGTGGTTCGGATGATACGCGCGTCAAACTGTGGTCGACAACATCGAAGCGCGCCATCACAACCATAGAGAGCAAAGCAAACATCTGTTGTGTAAAGTTCAATCCTAGCTCGTCGCATCTCATTGCATTCGGTTCGGCCGACCACCACATTCACTACTACGATCTTCGTCACCCGAAGGAGCCGCTCTCCATTTTCAAGGGTCACCGCAAAGCAGTCAGTTACGTCAAGTTTATGAATCGTGAGGAAATCATATCGGCATCGACAGACTCCACGTTGAAACTGTGGAATGTCAATCAAAATGAATGTGTTCGGACCTACGTAGGTCACGCCAACGAGAAGAACTTTGTTGGTCTGACAGTGAGCGGTGACTATATTTGTTGTGGAAGTGAGAACAACGGTGTATATACATATTACAAAACATTATCAAAACCAATTGTAACTCATAGATTCGGTGCAAATTCTGGAAGTGTATGTTTACTATATTATAATTATTACTTTTTTTTTTTTATCAATATATTTATTAACTTAATGTTATTATTATTTATTAATGAAAATTTAGGGAGAAGAAACAGATGATGATGGATCACAGTTTGTAAGCTCAGTATGTTGGAAGAAGGATTCAAATATATTGTTAGCAGCAAACAGTCAAGGAAATATTAAAGTCCTAGAATTATATTAATAACAATTTATTATTTAAAAAAAAAAAAACAAAAAACAAAAACAAAAACCTATATAATACACAAAATAGATATCTAATTTATAATTTTAAAATTCATCTCTTTTTATTTTATAAGTTTTTAAATAACATATGTTGATAAAGATGAAATTAAGATGTTGTTACAATGTCAATTGTTGTCAAAGGATCCTTTTGCTCACATTTCATTTATTTTGGAATAACATCATGCCACTATGTTATTACATTTGTAAACAAAATTAAAAAAAGGAATAGTAAGATATACAACAAAAAGTTTAATGTTAATTAATTTGTTTGATTTTGAATTTGATTTGTTTATTGAGTTTTTTTGGCAAGTTTGAGTAACATTCCTCATTGAATACTAATCTTTTGAGGTTTCTCTTTCTTCTCTGGTTTTGGAATGCAGATATCCAAGACACCGTCCGCGAATTTAGCTGAGATATCGGAGGTCTTGCAATTCTCTGGCACTGCAAAAGTTCTCTGGAACTTTCCATAGGATCTCTCGACACGATGGAATTTCTCGCCTTCCTCCTTCTTCTCTTGAGTACGCTCACCGGAGATTGTTAAACGGCCATCGGCAACGTCGAGATTGATGGCATCCTTCTTGACACCTGGTAACTCGCAATGAATCATCATTCCGTTGGCATTCTCTGTGACATCGACACATGGCTTCCACAATTGCGATTTGTTGTTCCACATCTCCATATCTCTATCGGAGAAACCAGTTTCCATGAATGGATCCCAAACCTCATTACCTCTTCTCATTGACCATGGGTGGAAATGTGTTAAAGACATCTCTTAATAAAAATTATTATTAAATTATTTAATGAAATAAATTATAATTATAATTAATATATTTGTTTTGTTTTAATTGAATTTGAATATTTGAATATTAAATTATAAACTTTTTGAATAAGAATATTATACATTTTTCCTTTAATTCTTATTCCTTAATTGTTTTTAATTTGAGCCAAACAATCTATTTTTTTCTTAAAAAGGTAAAAATGAACTCACCCTTCAAATAAATTTAAAATTCATTTATTGGTTTGATTTTTAAAAGTCAAAATATAATATACATTTAGGGTGATAAAGAAAAAGGAATTTGGTATCAGATTCTTATAAATAAAACATTTATATCTGTTTTTAGATAATTTTTTTAAAAAATAATAAATACTAAATTTATTATTTATTTTAATTTTATTATTTTTTTTAAAAATTTTATTTATCTCTATTTTTTTTGTACATTTTTAATTTTTTTTGTATTTATATTTGATTGTTTTTTAAATTTGAATTGTTTAAGATATTTGTTGGTAAAACTAAGTAGAGTAGACACATTGAGAATGAAATCATTAAAAAGAAAGTTGCATTGAGTGTTGGTGTCATTGTGGTTGAAGAGTTGGTAGAACAATATCTAGAGACTGATGTACTGGCAGATCTGCTAATATGTTGTTGGAATTTCGGAGTTCTATCTGTAGTTGAGAAATCAAATTGTGAATTCTCTCTACCGAATCCATTCTTAATGGATTTATTATCAATATTTTCGTTTAAACATTGATATTCTTGTGGTTTATTATTATAATCTATATTTTAATAAAATAATTTTATATTAGAAATTTGTCTTTTTTTATATATTTTATTATTAAACTTACCATTATTTAATTTTATAAAAATTGTTAGTAAAATAATTAAAACTAAAAAATCTAGTTTTAAAGAAAACTTCATTTTTTTTTAATTCGATATAAATTTATTTTATAGTTGTCTATTTAACTTGATAAATAGATTTAACTACAAAATTATAATTTATTATTATTTACAAAAAAAAAAACTTGAAGATAGGTATTAAAACTCAAATATATATAGTATTTAAAATATTTTACATTAATATTATTTTTATATTTCTTTTGATTATAATTAATAAGTTGTTTTAAATTTCAAACTATTGATTTTGATTAAGATTTTTTAAAAAACAATGGAATTTTAATTTTAATTGTATTTGTATTTGTAGTAGTGATAACAGATAATTTGTAATGGTATTTTTATATGTTTGAAATCTAAAGATTGAATGATATTAAAAAATTTTTTGAAACATTTTAATTTATAGTTTTCTGAATTAGGAACTGAAATCAGAATTAATAAAGGAAAGTATTATGTGTCCGTATATCATTATGATTTTTCATTTGCTGTTGTATAAGAGAATGCTAGCATTATCCGTACCAAAACGACGTTCTAATCATAATGATATCATCATTTTCTCTTTTGTCATCTAAAAATATTTATTATAAATTTAATGAAAACACACTACCCATACTATTGAGAAGTGCCAGTTAAACACTTGTTTGATAATAAACCATTGTTCCTTTTCATCGATGAGGTATCTAGAATATTGACTATTAATCTTCAAATTCTTCACGATTCATTGTTGTTTTATTTTGTTGCCAAGAGAAATGTCCACTGGACAAACCGTCGAAAATCATAGAAGATCTCACAATGGTATTCGATGATTGGTTGATTGTAAACATTTTTTGAATGTTGTTATTGAACTATTTTCCTCTATTATTGAAAATACCAATACCATCGATAGAAGGACCACCCTTTTTCTCTTCTAAATTTTCTATTTAAAACAAAACTTTCCCTTTGATGAATTTAATATTAAATTATTTTTCAATTTAAAAATTATAAAAAGTTGTTTTTTTTTAGTTTTTCAACTTCCTAAAATGAATCGATAAGATGTCACCAGGTGATAACATCATAATTTTTAATATTATAGTTGGACTGGTGGTTTTCGAAGGTCATAGACAAACATTTTGAAAAACAAAGGTCAGATCCAAGAAATACAAATAAGTGTTGACATCATTTTTAAATTCACCAATTGGGAAACACCCAGGAAGTTTTCAAATTTTCTTTGTCATTTCATTGTGGATAGGACAAAATTCGGAAAAATAAATTCGATTTTCTCAAGAATCAAATTGTGTTTGGAAAAGTAACTATCAATAATATTAGAGCCAACTGAAAATCTTGAAAAACAAATTTTTATTTTTAAATCAACCAATTTGTTGTTGTTTAGTTTTTTTTTTGTTATTTGTTTTGTCTTTTTTTTTTTTAAATGAACTTCCTTCAATTTGGGTTTGGTTTTGTTTTTTTGTTCTTTTACTTTAATGTTTTAAGTAAATCAATTTTAATATTCAAATAATAAAAATAAAATTTAAATTTCTTTTAATTTCGTAAAAATTAAGGAGTACAAGAAAATTATTTATTTATTTATTTTAGAAAAAATTAGAAATTAATTATTTAAAACCCTTTGATTTTAATAATGATTTAAAAGTAAACAAAAAAAAAAAAAGATAAATCTTAAATTTTTAGATTGTCGAGTAGGAAAAAAGCAATAAAAGAAAAATAACTTTTTGTATTTTCTGATTTTTTATTTTTCATATTTTTTAAAGTTTTAAATAATTTCAAACTTTTAATAGTTTTAATTCAAAACACCAACAAGTTTATCATTATATTTGCTTAACGTTTATATCAATATCATTAATTAATTAACTTGAGTTTAAAAATAACTTGTTATTATAGTTTGTTTTGTTTTGTATCCTTTTTATTGTTTAAATTTATCATAACTATAACAAAAAATAAAAATAAAAATAAAAATAGTAGTAGTAGTATTATTATAATATAAAAACAATATAAAAAGAGTGTGGTGTATATACATTATATTTATATAAATTGATAGATATCTCTATTCTATTCTATTCTATTCTAATCTATCTATTCTTTAAAAAAAATATCAATAAAAAAAACAACAAAAAAGTAATCATTTATTTAAATTGTTTTATTCGAGTGAAGTGAAATGTCATATAAACGAATCAATGGAGTGGATGAAAGTGATAACCGAAAGAAAAGAAGAAACGATGATTTCGATGCCTTTGATTCGATCATAGGTGATATGCATAAATCTAAAGAGGCAACAACACAAGGGTAATATTATCATCATTCTTTGTTTTAATACTACTATCTATTTCTTTACTACAACTATTACTTCTTCTTAACAATGAGTGTTTACTTAATTCTATTCTTACATCTTTATATATATATATATTATGATTAATCTTTATTAATAATAATAATATTAATAATAATAATACTATATATAGTAAGACGGCAAGATCTACATTCTCATCGGAAGCTGTCATTAAGAAGATCATCGATCTGACAAAGGAGAACGATGTGATGAACTTGGAGGTGGAGGCGAGAATCGGAAGGTTGACGTCGGAGTTCAAGTCTGGTGTGATTCAAGAGGATTTCAATACGTTGTACAGCGCGATGCGATCAAAGTTTGGTGAGCCGACCAAGGTGACAGAGACTGATCACATCTTTGACGACTATCGTATTGTGTTTTGCGAGGACACTCAGAAGGTGCTGCGAAAAGAGTCGAAAGTCGATAAGAATACCTTCAACTTGCCCACCAACTTGATCTACGACATTAGGATATCGGTGTCGATCGAACAGCAACTGCCGGTGCCGATCTACTTGCCCGAGGGCAACCGACCACGTCGTTACAAGACACGTTATACATTCACCGACAAACAATGGAAGATCGATCTCACACAGGTTATAAACTACACACCCGGTGTAGAAACACAGGTATCCAGTCTCGAAGTCGAAGTGGAGTTACTACCAAACGCAATCGAAGGTTGTACAAATGTAGATAATTTAAAATCATTATTAAATAGATTCCTAAATGAAGTAAGTTTGTTTGATGATGATGATTAGACAATATAGATTGGATAAAAGTTTTTGTTAATAATAATCTTGTTTATCTATCTATCTATTATTTAGGCAAAGAGCTTGATATCTATGATTCAACCAAAACAAACATTATCATTCCCAGATGTAGAAATGGAAAAAGTTAGTAATTTTCAAGAGATTATGGATTTAAAAGTGAGTAGCAAACATATAGTCAATCAAAACATGAGAATTTCATAGGTTGTTATTAACAAGCTGTTTTGATCAATTTAGAAAACATTGTTTCAATTTATGCCTGGATCGAATGAGAATAAACAAGATACATTCCCAGGTTCGATGCCTATAAATTTCGGAAAGAAATACTTTAGCCATGTACAAGCGAATGACTACTATGTATCAGAGAAGACCGATGGTGTGCGATACCTACTTCTGATAGCGAAAGACAATGTATATTTAGTAGATAGAAAGTTTGATTTTTATAGTGTTAAATTTGAGTATGTAGAGTATATAGTGTAGTATTTGGATTTCTATCAAAACAAACAGACAATATTAATCAAAAAAATAATTATAATTATAACAAAATATAGTAAACTTATAGAAATATATGGAAATGATACATTGATGGATGGTGAAATGATTAGACAACTACGAACAAAGAAACCAATATTTTTAGTATTCGACTTGCTGTCGTGTCGTGGTGTTTGTGTTGCTGGTAAGGATCTATCTGGTCGTATCGAAGCAATCAGAAATTCGATTACAGGTCCTTTCATGCACAAAGTTGAGAATCAACATCATCAAACGCCTCTACCATTTTTGATATGGGGAAAGAACTTCTTTAACAAAACTCAAATCGAAAGTGTATTCAAATCAATTAAACAGTAAGTAATATAAACAATATTAGGTTATTTCTTCTTTTCTAATCAGAAAACAAAACAAAACAAAACAACAGGAGAGGAGAAGATAGACAATATGTTGATCATAAAAGAGAACATAATACAGATGGTATCATTTTCACACCGAATACACCATATACACCTTATACACAGAACGATTTATTCAAGTGGAAATATCTGGACAAGTGGACTATCGATTTTAAGATTATGGACAAGGGTCAGAAGGGATGGTATCTCACTTGCATTGGAAATGGAAATAGCGACGTTGAGATTCGATCGTTGAACTTCTCGCGTGACGACATTGAGAATCTGCAGCGTGATTTTAAACGTGCACGTGATCCAAACACTGTGATTGTGGAATGCTCTTTCCAGCCAAACACTGGCAAGTGGAAATATCATATGGTGCGTGCCGATAAGTTCAAAGCCAACTATATTTCGATTGTCATGGATACGATGGAATCGATTGCCGAAGCTATCTCATCGGAGGAACTGCAGTATCGTATTCCACTGAAGCACGAAGCCGACACTTGGGACTACGAGATCCAAAAGATGAGAGCAGCAATGCTACAGAACCTCAAGAACAAGAAGAAGGCTGGTAATTCATCGTCGTCGTCGTCGTCATCGAGTTCCTCTTTGTCGTCAAACAACACCTCGCATAGCAGGCCACCCAACAGCAACAACAGCAGCGCCAATCATCAACATTCTGGCCAACGACCAAATAACAACAATAGCAACAGCAGCAGCAGCAATAATAATAACAATCAAACCAACTCTGCATACTACCAAGGTAGTAATTTCGAAGGTGATCCATTTGGAACTGACGAAGATATCGAACCATTCCAACATGATGGACAACCAATTTTCGAAGATACCACATATGATAGAGAGGATGATCTTGATGGTGAAGGTGATGATGAATAAATAAATCAACCAAAAAAAAAAGAAAAAAGTTTTAATAACATTAACTATAGTTAATTAACGACCAAAAAACAAATAAATAAGTTTAACAAATTTGTTCTCCATCCTAATAAAGATGGTTGAAACGATCAACTCATCAACCAAAATAAACTCTTTTTTTTCAAACAAATCACAAATAACAATCGATTGAGTAAATTTTAACCAAATCAAATTTAAATAATAATATTTTAATTGTTTTATTTTGTTTTTAGCTGAAATTTGTTATTATAACTAAAATGTTTTTGGAAGATCTTCAAGAAGATATAATTCTTTACTCCAAATTTATTTTTATTTGATTTTTTTTTTTTATAATTTGGAATCATTACCAATTCGTTGTTGGAAGTTCCTCAGGATAATATAGTTGTTCATCTATAGTTGCTACATAGGTTCCAATGATATCCCAAATAACAGAATCTCCCCATGATGAAAATACGGCAATGAAATCGAATCTGGTTACGTTTTGAACAGAAAGAGAAACAATTGTCGATGATTCTTTGCTGTTTGAAAGAGTATTGAGTGAAATAGCAACTTTAGGTGGAACCAGGAAACTAGATTCAAAGGATACTTTTTGTTTGAACTCTCTGACAACACCATTTGCAGCTGGTGTCCAAAAAATTGGAGCTAATGAACGAACAGTTCCTGATTGAGTCAATTTGATAGGGAAATAAATTACTTCCATAATCATAGATGGCTTGTCACCAACCCATTTAATTGGTTGAACTTTGATACTTCTACCATAGACATTGACAGAACTATGGTAGGTATTGTAAAGATAGATAATTTTGAAATAGTCAAAGGTAGTGTGATTAAGACCAGTCTCAACGATTCCAAATTCTTTGTAATCGATTCCATTCAATGAGTGAGATACTTTGAGTTGGGTGACATATCCAGAGTTTTTGTTATTGGTTTCATTAAAGTAATCATAACCCCTGGGAATTCTAACTCCAATTCCATGGAAATGTTTGATATCGTCGGAACCAGCAACAACAGTTGGAGATCTATCATTATCTGCAGGAGTCCAGCCATTCCAGGAGTCTTCACAGATTGACATTGAATTATATATTAGAAACTTGAATAAACTACATTTAACAGTCCACCACTGATGGCACCTCTGATCCAAGCATTGGATTTACTTATAGATACTAAAACAATAATTAAAATAGATAATGTTTTCATTTTGAATATTTAGTTGAATTTGTTATAGATTGATAAGAATGGATTATCCATCTTTGATCAATGAGCTTAAATAGTTATTTAAAAAATATTTACTTTTACTTTTTTGTTAATTTTTACAAATCTAAACAAACTCTTCATTGAAGAGTTTTAAATATACTATTAGTATAAAATGTCAATCAATTTTTGGGAAAATGTCAAAAAAAGGATTATTGATAAAATAGCATTAATAGGTTGTTCGAAAAATAACATTCCAAAAAAAAATGGCACAATTCGTTGAAAAAAATTACATACATTCATTAGATTGATTAATCTATTGTTTGCAGATAGGCTATTGCTAAAATGAATAAGATCATTTTAGTTGAGGTTGATGTGAATAAGAACATGAATTTAAAAGAGTCCTATAAATTTTGTAGAATAACCTTTCATCTTTGAGATTTCCGACGCTTTAGGTATATCGATGACGGCCAGTCATTTAACTAATCCGTTAAGAGGCGCAAAGGCAAAGGTTGTACGGTCTGCCTACTTTTTTAATATTTAAAAAAATCACAAAAATTGATCAAAATTTTCAGATTCGTTTCGTTTTTTTTTTTTTTAAAATTAAGAAATTTATTTTATTTTATTTTTTTGACCCACCTATAATTATTTTGTTTTTTTATTATTCTTTATTATTTTTGTTATATTATTAGATATATAATTACTATTAGTATTAGGATATGGATGGTGTAAACTCTGGTGCGAATGTAGGTGAGAGGTCGACTGCCTCTGCCGCCGTCAAGATGATGTTGAGAATGGGTTGGTCCGGTAAAGGTCTCGGTGCCAACGAAGAGGGAAACGTCGAGAACATCAAAGTGAAGAAGAAGGCCGACAACAGAGGTATCGGTAGAGAACTCGGTGTCTCATACACTAGAAACTGGGAGAGAACCAACGAAGACTTTGATAATATATTGGAACGACTCAACCGTGAGAGAATGGAGGCAGCCAACAACAGCAACAACAACAAGAAAGACAAAAACAAATCTAAATCATCAAAGACTGAAAAGAAAGAATCAAAGAAGAGAAAGAGCACCAAGTCAAACAGTGACGATGAATCCGAAGCCGAAACAGAGCAGATCGCAAAGAAGAATAGACAATCGATGTTTGTAAAGTCATCGACCGAAGAGAAGTTGGAGATATCCGACAGTGAAAATAAGAGAGATAAAGCTAGTGATTCTGACTCTGATAGTAGTAGCAGTGACAGTGACAGTGATAATGACAACAATAAGAAAAAGAAGAAAGATAGCTCTGATTCAAGCTCCGATTCAGATAGCAGCAGCAAAAGTAGTAGTTCATCAGACAGCAGTGAAAGCGAGAGTGATGATTCGGCCAAAACCAAAACTAAAAAAGTTAAATCTGATTCAGATAAAGGTGATTCGGAATCAGATAGTGATAGTGATAGTAGTAAGAGCAGTAAAAGTAGTAGCTCAGACTCAGATAGTAGCAGTAGTGATAGCGATAGTAGTAGCTCAGATTCTGACAGCAGTAGCAGTAGCAGTAGCAGTAGCGATAGCAGTTCAGACTCTGATAGCAGTGAGAGTGAAAGTGAAGATGAAGCACCCAAGAAGAAACCAACTACATGGGTTGCACAAACAAGGTAATTAATTATGATAAAAAAAAACAACAAACTAAATTTTTACTAATTCTAATTAATCTACGATGTTTAGATATCATAAATTAATTAAAGCAAAGTCAGTTTCAAACTATAGTGAAGAGGATTTAAGAGCGATCTTGGGTTACAGACCAAACCAAGATAAGAGAGGTGTTGTAGAGAAAAAGAAAGTAGAAAGCAGCGACGATGACAGTAGCAGCAGTGAAGATGAAAAGCCTAAACAAAAATCAGTTTCTAAAGATAATAACAACAATAAGAAACCAGGTTTTACTAAATCATCTACAATGTACTTTGATGAATAAAATAAAATAAAATAAAATAAAAATATTTAAATACAATGATTGATTTTTGTTTGTTAAACAATTGTTATAATATTTATAAACCTAAATTTATTGATCTAAGTAATAGGTTGAGTTATTTCAGTTGTGTTGTAATATTAATCGGGCATAAGAGAAAAAGAAAAAGAAAATCGTGGAAGAGGGTGGATTTTTGAAACTGATGATTTGTTGTTGTTCGACAATCCCAAATGTTGTGTTGTTGTTGTTTGTTGTTTGTTGTAATTGTAATAAAAATATTATTATAATGGTACATCTGAAATTCATTAATGAAATAGAAATAGTTTGTTAGACTAATTGTACTCATTTGTGATATCATTGACTATCATTATTAGTATACTACTACTTACTTGAGAATACAAATACTTTATCATTTTCATGTAAAATTGTGGTTGGATGTGGACATGTAAAAATATAGGGGAGTGGAGCACCCATAGGGTCTTTGGATCTGAATAGTCCGACCACCAGGATGTTCTTTTGTTGCAAAAAGTTTTTCATTAGTTCACCGTAGGTTCGGCCGTGGTACATCGAGGGAATCTTGAGCATGCGCGAGTAGCACTTGGAGTCTTCGTTGGTCATTTGGTTGCTCAGACCGAGACTATGGTGATTCTGGTAGAGTCCGTTGACTCCGAATGCCAATTCCTTGGCGATCGTTGTGATGTCGTCGTTGTAGTGCGCCTGCACCATGAGACTGTCGAGCACGGTGTACGTGTTGACACGTCCGCTGGCGTAGTGTGGCGTGTAGAAGAACTCGGGTTTGATATCACGGTTCTTGTTGGTCTGCAAGTAGGATTGCAGCTTGGAACCACCCAAGTTCTTCATGTTCTTCTCGAGGAAACGGATGTTGGGTTCGTGTATCAGCTCGGTGATGATCTTGGCGGTGTTGTTCACCTTGACGATATCGACGTACGACATCAGCGTGAAGGAATCGATTTGTGTGGTGTCACATTGGTCGTATGGATTGGAGGTGATAATGATAGTTTCGGCGCTTCTTGCACTACATTTGTTGAGATCGTTCTGATTCGATGCCGATCCCTTGATGAATGCAATCAGTGGGAGTGTCTTGACGGTGTCGTACCACGACTCGTCTTCCGGTTCCTCTTTGTAGAGTACGACAATCGGTTGTACTCTTCCGCTGTAGGAGTTGGATGCTTTGATTGAAGTGACATAGGGCAGTCTAATGTGATGCAAGAGCAACTCCAAACCTTTCATTGACTTGGTGACGATCAACATGTGTTTCTTCATCTCACGCGATCCGTCTTTGGTCTGGTTGTATTTACCGTGGAGTGTAAAGGTGAGTAGCGAATGCTTGTCAATGATAAACTTGATTCTCTCTTGGATCTTATCGATCTTTGGATCGTTTGTCTTTTGTTGCGAGACGTCAGAGAGTAGCGCAATCCAGTCACCTCCGTACTCGGTGAGACACAAATTCTTGACTAGATCCTTCTGTGTGAACTCTTCGACTTCCTCTTTCAACTCGAACAACTCCTGGTCGGCAAGCTCGGTGATTGGCTTCTTATGTTGAGCGCTCAGCTGGTTCGTCACATAACGTTGTTTGGTCTGTTGGTTGGCAGTCTTTGAGCTTGCAGTTCCTCTGATGAAAGTGGACAGCGATTCGTTGATGACCAACTGATTCTCTTGTTGGACGTGCTGGTCGTCGTGATTGTTGAGCAAATGCAGATCGGGTACGGTCAGCTTGTTAAAGAATTTCGCAATCTTGTAGGTGAAGGTACTACGTCGATCGGATTGATCCGCCAACATGTCTTTAGAGGTGGTGCTCGACTTGAAATAGGTATGTGAAATGACAGCCATACTCATATTCTTGGTGATAACAGTGGCGCCCGATGGATTGAGATAGAATTTTCCACGACCTGCAACACCTTCCGTTGGAATGAACAAACCAATCAGTAAACTTCCATTTCCATAATACATAGATAAGATTACATCTGTCAATGTTTCACCAACCAAGAAATCTGGTACTTTTAATACGAAAATTGAATTATTACATCCATAATCTAAAAGACATATTTATAAAATCGATTGATTTGTAAGTAATTTAAAATTATTTGTTTGGCTCATTAGTTGTCACTTACAATATTCAGTTAACCATTTAACTTGAACGATATTTGGAATATTTCTAGAGGTGAAAAGATTGGAGAAGAAAACGTTGTAACCCGGACAGATGATGGATTGTGCTAGGATGGCACCTCTGAATTCCTCCATACAAATGGTACCTTTGAGGAACGGTGCTTTGTTTTTGTTTTTGGAAGACACAAGATTCGAGAATACATTGAGATTCTTGTTCATCGATTTCACAGCGTACGAACACAGCACGTTGTCAGTGTCACCGCGGTTCCACGAGGGTGGCATAGCAATGAAACAGGCATCGGCTTTCATCAACTTGGTTCTCTCGAGATCCTGTTCGAATAGCGGTGATCCCTGCAGATAGATAATACGCTTCTTATAGAAAGGATGTAGTAGCAACGATTTCAATTTATCGTCGGGTGGATTCGGACATAGTAGAACGACCTCCTTCTTCAGACGACCGTGTCGCTCATGATAGAACTCCGAGAGAAAATCCATGAAATGTGAAAATGAGAATTCACCACAATAGAAAACATGTCCTGTAACACCTGTTGACGATAAGTTTCTTAAGAACGCTATATAATAGTATAGTGATATTTAGTTAATACATGTACTAACTATGTAATTACTTGATATTAAATGTCAATCGAAACATACGTGAATCTTGTTGTAACTTTTCCATTAGTTTTGAAACGTGATAGGGAATCAATACACCTGCACCAATTGAGAGTGCCAATGTGATGGTGACTTGACCGAGTGCAGTAGATGGATAGATATCACCATAACCTACAGTTGCCAATGTCACCACTAAAAAGTAAACAGTTTGATGAAACTTTAATGGTTTACCACTTGGTACTGAACTTGGATTAGCTATAAAACAGTTATTGTTATCAATTTCAACAACAAAAATGTTAGTTTTTTCATCATCTAAAACTATCTATCTAATCTAATCTATCTAATCTATCTGTCTTTTCTCCAAGAAACATACTCTCAATATTCATATAGAAACCTGCTAATACAATAATAAATGTAAATACAACAATGAATGCTTTAAATGTGTATTTTGTCACCTCTATAGAAAAACAAGATTAGTAAAGTTAAGTTAATCTAAGTAATGTATTCAACTATTGTATTGTATTGTATTCATACCATTTTTGAAATAATGTAACACTCTTGATAATCTCAAAATACGAATAACACGTAATACACGTAGGAATTGAAATGATTGAAGTATCTCATGTAGATGTCCTGTTGCAATATCGATAAACAATGGTAATATAGTAACTAAATCGACCAATGAGAAAAATGAATATAAATATCTTAATCTGTGGGTGTTGATATGAATGAATTGAATGAGTGAGTAAGTATTATTGATGATTTGGTTCAATTTGAATGAATGTCAAGATAGATAGATAGTTTACTTGTCTTTGGTAATAAAGAAATCTAATATCCAATGTAACGAAAAGAATATCATGAGCGATATTTCCAAACCTATGTACCAGTTTCGCGGATCTTCGGTGTCGATGTACGTTCCAAAGATGAACAAACCGATCGAGAACACCGAGAAGAATACCTGTGCGAATTCAATGAATTCACCGAGATGTGTGTACGCCAGGTAGATCTCTGCTTTCGCACGAAGCGACACCTTGAGTTTCTTGCGATGTGCATCACGTCGTCGGTTAAAGATACGCAGAACAACGATGATCAGCGACATCACAAAGAGGAACGCCAGCAAAGTAATACCAAGCCTCAAGACATTGTTCCAAATTAACTTTGGTCCTAACGGTCCAGTCATAATTTAGTCTTTGTCTGTTTTTTTTTTTCTTTTCTTTCTTTCTTTATTCTCAACACAATAGTTTTTGTTATCTTTAACAATGGTGTTGTGTTTTGTTGTTGATATCGCTGTTGCTATTGCTACTGCTGCTTATTTATATATATATATATATATAGGTAGTATAATTAAACTACCTATTGATCCGGAGAATGATGATAATAAACGAAAATAACAAAAAAAGAATGAATGAACGAGACGAGATAATAAAAAAAAAGAGAAGATAAGAGAAGATAAGAAGAGAAAAGAGAAGAAGAGATAAAAAAAAAGAAGAAAAAAAAAAAAAAAGAAAGAATAAAACAAATAATCAGGGAAAATAAAAAAAAAGAGATAAGAAGAGATAGATAAATTTAATGTTTAATAATCAAAAGTTCTTTTTTAAAAGTTTAATTGTAATGAATAATAGTATATGAAAAAAAAGGATCTTTTTTTCTTTTTGTAATTACTACTTTTAAAAAATCTGTACCAAATGTTTTATCTATGATTATCTGTTCTGTTTTGGTACCTAAACCTTATCGTTATCGTTATCGTTTATCAAACAAAACAAACCACAACTAACACTTTTCTTGATTGTAAAAAAAAATGAAAGAGAGATTTATGTGTGAATAAATACATATAAATAAATAATGTAAAAGAAAAAGTTTGTGGAATACAAAATTTTTGTTTTTTTATATATAAATCTACCCCATTATTCACACACCTCTCCCTTTGTTGGTGCAAAGAAATCAAAAAAAAAAAAAAAAAAAAAAAAAAACTTATTTAAAAATAAAATGAAAAATCAAATCTCGTTGTAGTTTTTGACTGTTGGTTTGGTTTTCAAAGTCATTGCATTGCAATCACTTAATCTATTTTAAAATAAGTGTGCAATTACATTTATATTTACATGTTTTTTTTATTATTGTTTCGTTTCGTTTCGTTTCGTTTTGATTTGGAATCGGATCGGATAATTATAATTATATTTGTAAAACTATAGTGTAATAGTTGATGCCATTGCTAATGAAACTTGTCTGACACCTTTTTCTACTATTTGTGGTTTGTATCCACCTTCGAGTACACCAATCACCGGTATACCGTTGGTGGCAGCTGATTCACATACTGTTTGAATGAATTGACCATATCCATTGGCGGTGAATTCAAATCCTTCATCATCGCCAGCACACGAATCGAATCCAATGCTGAATAATATAAGATTCGGTTGATGTGAGTTGACGGCTGACAGTACTTCACCCAATACCTGATCACCTAGATAGACGTGGTCACCGGCTGACGAATCGATCAACGATACATTGATTGCCACAGTATTATCGAATGACTCTCTAACCTGCCAGCTTCTTCCTTGTAGTCTTGCCATCGTTCTAATCTCTTGTCCTCTGGCACCATAGACGTCCACAAGCAATATATTATCGTCGCCTTTAATGCAATCGCTGGTTCCACCACTCAGATGAATATCCAAATCTACAATCAACACTCGCTTATTGAGTTTCTTCGATGCAGTTAATGCAGCGATTGCAACGTTATTCAGTATTCCATTGCCACTTGATTTCTCTCTGGTACAATGATGTCCTGGTGGTCTAACAACTGCCAAACCTCTAAGTAATAAACTTTGAGTAGTGGAGTTATCGTTTTGCCCTCCAACCATTGAAAGTAATTCCAATAGAGAACCAGCTGCTGCACGAGCTGCATATGTTGTTGTCACAGGGTTGACTCCACAATTTGGGAAATGTTTTGGTTCAGCAATCTTTTCGCCATTCTCCAGTCTTTTAAATTCCGCTAGGAACTCTGCCGAGTGTGCCAATAGAATATCTTGATCTGAGGCAAGTCTATCGTTTACGAAATCCGATAATAAAGGTATATCGTTTGAATCTCTGAGATCTGGTTGCACTTTAGTGATTGATTCGAGGGCAGATTCCAAACGAGCAGGAGATTCTATATGACCTTCACTTAAACAATGAGCAATCATTGCCGTTGCAGAAGCACCATTAGGTCTTGGTGCAAAATACATTATAGTAACCAACAAAGAATGTAATATGTTAAAATTTGAATTGGAGATTGAGTCTGTCAAAACAATTAATTGTTGAACATTGTTACGCCTTTTGTAATATAAAAAACAAAGCAAATCAAAACTTGTTTGTTCAAATTTATTCTACGAGAATTTTTGGAGAATGAATCTAGATTCATCGTTTTTGGCTTCATAAAAATTAGATATAAAAAAATAAATATTTAATTCCAGATCAAGCTATAACCAATTTCACAATTATTTATAATTATAAACTGAAATACCTGAGAAATTTTAAGTTTGTTCCGACAATATTGGTATTAAAACCAAAAAATAAAAATAAATTATCATTGTAATAATCAATTTAAAACAAATCTCAATGTTTGATTGTGGGTGGTTATGAAGAATTAAATTTTCATTTTATTTGAAATTTAATTTAATTTGGTGTTTTTTTGATTGGTGAGACTTCAAAAGATCAACTTTTCAAAGTGAAATCACTTAATTGAATGATACAATAATAATTTAAAAAAGAAAATGGATGACCTTTTTAAATCTATTATTAAAAATCAATATATAAGATCAATTATATATAGCCAAATAAAATTGATTCATCGGCGTATGTTTGGATTACAATGCAGAACTTTTGTTTGGAAAGAGTTAATCACTGATGAATATCAACTTGCATATCATGGTTATTTCGATATACTTAGACAATTAAAAGAGGAGAATAAGAAGAATAGCAGTAATAGTTCTGCAATATCAAACTATTTAAATGTTTTAACAAAAGCTGTTGTTATTAGAGGTAATTTGGAGTTTCTTCAATATCTTGTGGAGCGTGGAGAGTTTCTCGATGGAAATGAACTTAGTTTCGCAGTGGAACACGGACATTTTCACATTGTCGAATATCTCTTGCAGCTGGATCCATCGGTTTGTAAACATAAGTGGTTGCGATCACTTTGGATGTGTTCACAGTTTGGATATTCTAAGCTATTCATCAGGATACTCAAACTGCAAGGATTGTCAGCGCCTAGTAATTTTATATCGATATGTCAAGTCGCATTGGAAAACGGACACAAAGAACTTGGTATGTGGATCTTCCAGAATCTTAGACCGCCTATAAGAGCGGAGATGGTTGAGGCAGCCATCAAATTGAATGACTTTCAGTTGCTTGAGAAAATATCAATACGTAACACCCATATACCGGCATCGTTTGCACGAATCGCTGCCCGACTAGGAAATATCGAAATCCTGGAACATCTCTACAAGCGAAACAAACGATGTTTGAATTCATCGGTTGTTGACGCAGCGTTGGAAGCCAACCAAAAAGAAACGTTCTACTATTTGATCAGGGAGAAGAGAATACGCTATGGAAAGCACACGTTTCAACTTATTGCTGCCAACGGTGACTTGGAGATGTTGAAAGAGCTGGGTGGCGCTAAACAACAGTTCTGTGGAAAGTTGGCGTTCTCCAGTGCAGCGGAAAACAACCATATGCACATCTTGGAGTATATCAACGGAAAAGACAGTAGAATTCATTGTCTACCGAGTTCACTCTTGAAAGTGATAGAAAGAGGACATACCGATGTCTATCGATTCCTTCTGGAGCGTCAGCCCTCGATTTTCAATAGGAAACTACTCGACAGACTGGCGGCAATCGGTGATCGTTTTATGGATGAACTGTCACACCTTGTTTTGACATTGAAAGTGGTGCCATCCCCGCTTGCCTTTGAAAATGCAGTGGTCAACAATCAATTCGAAACTATTCTGTTCCTCTATGACCATACAGTGATTCGTCCGGAAATAGTTTGCATGAGGACAGCGGTGAAGCTCCATCACACTCATATCGCTCGATGGCTGAACGACAACTGCTTCGGTATGGAATTCCCGTCGATTATCGAACCGAATCCCTACAATCCCGAACCGTATTTCAATCTGCTAATGATCTATATGGAGGTGGGAATGACTATCTATTCAATGGATCTCGCTATTGCATTTGTTTATTGTTTGGTTTTCTTTAGATTCGAGTTGATCGAGCAAATTCTAGCTTATGGCGACAACGCCAGTTTGTTGGATGACGTTCCATTCGTCAAGGAGCTAACAAAGTATGTGTTCAATCATTATTTCGAGAGGTTTCAATGGAAATCCTTCGAGTATTTCATTAGGAAATTTAAAATGGCTCGAGAAAACCTAGCTATTTTGGAGCATCATCTCACCCGAAACACTTTCATGAAATCGATTGCCAATAATCAACTGGAGATATGTCATCTTCTATTTACATTGGCCGAACGTCCTAAAACACTATTAACACATATCATGGCAGAGAGATCACTTCCATTCCTCAAATATATCCATGAACATCTTCGTCTTAGAGATTTAGAAGAGCTTTCCAACAAATTGAAGATTAAAGATCACGAAATGCAAGCGTTTATTGAATACATTAAAAAAAATAAATATTTCAATACCAATGATAATTAAAATATCATTAGCTAACTAACTAGCTAACTAACAATCAAAGAATGAATGAATGAATATTATTGTTATTAATTATCTATTGATTTATTTGTATTTATTTTGTTAATTTAATAATTTTAAGAGTTGTGCTCTAAACATATCGATGGTAAGATCTTCAGAGGGGTTGACAGATACGATCTTGGTGTGACTGCTACTCTCTTTGTTGAGTAGACTACCGATACTGGAGCTACCTTCACTGTAGAATCCACTGTTACTTGCACTCGATGATTTATCACCAGAGGTACCACTGGTCGATTGATTTGGTTTCAATATCGAGAATAAATTGAATACCGAGTAGTTCTTGGGAATGACTGACCAACATTGTTTAAGTTTAACACTATCTTTCTTTTCTATACAATGACAGAATAATATCTATTTCAAATAATTATGTTTGAATCAATCAATCAATTAATAGTTAGTAAATATTGAAATTGTTGATTGATTTGTATACATACTTCAAATAATACAAAATGTTCTTTATCATTATAAGTACTGTTCTTTACCATTTGAATGGCTTTATCCCATTTACCGGCTGTGAGTAGCCAGCGAAGTGCGTTGGATTTATGACCGATGGCACAGAGCAACTTGAATTTGGCATCGATCTTGGCATCGTCGGTGGGGATAAGTGTTGGTAGTGAGATGAGTGCACGTGTAAAGTGGTCGTTCTGAGGGATGAACTTGGTGACTTCCATGGCGGTCGATGCCGACGATGTGAATGTTGTATTGGCCTGTTGTTCCAACATTCTGGTGGTGGCAGCATTATAAACGATACGAATGAATGGAATTAATCGTTCCGGTTTCTCTTTGTAGTAAAGTTGACACAGTGTCTCGTACAACGGATAAACAGGATATACCATCATATTATTACTGTGATTTAGAATACTGCTATTACCTGTTGTTGGTGGTGATGTTGGTGATAAAGACATATTGGAATCATCATAATGCAGATGACCATTTGAAAGAATATTATGATTATGGTGATGATGAAGATTGCTACTATTACTACTGCTGCTGCTACTACTATTTTTGTTGACACTCTTCTTCTTTAACATCTCTTCTTGTTGGAGCAGCAGTTCGTTTATCGCAGGGAAAGGAATCATCTCACCGTTGAGATCCGAATACTTTTCGAAATCGATACGATCCAGTCCCAACAGTCTTTCGAATTTGTTTAGAAGAAGCAATGGATTCTTGCGCTTGAACAACTCCAAGAATTCATTTGAGAATTCCAACAACTTGGAATCGTCAATCGATTGCAGAGAATGGTCATCCTCACCAATAAATGGAATCTGTCCATTATTTGAAGATGAAGAGGAAGAAGAAGCATCATTTTCAACTATTTGTATAGCTTGTTGTTGTTGTTGTTCCTCTTTGATAGATCTCTGTAGATTATGATAATCCGTTAACAATGGTACCATTATACGGTTGAGTGGTGTATGTAGGTAGAGTGATTGACGTTGTTTAGCTTGGTTATCTTCCTCCGATTCCACAGATGAGTTATTTATGTTGCTGCTGTTGTTACTGTTATGGCTGTCAGGTTGGTAGTTATAAGCATCGAGGAAGTTGGCAAGTTCCTCTTGAATGAATTTCGAGCTAGACTCTGACTGCATCGACGATAGCAACACAATGACCAACGACGGATTCTCAAGCTTCGGTAGCAGTGCACGACAAATCTGTATTTTCATCTCTTCATCCTGCTCGGCCAGTGCCATATCCAGTAGATACTTTGCTTCAAGTCGTTTCATATCCCACTGTCTACAAGTAGTTGGTGCACATCCAATACTTTGATTCTTATTACCATTACTATTAAGTTTACCACTTTGTTGTCGATGTTGTTGTTGATTTTGTACTATTTTATGTTTTACTAGGTGATTTTCAATTAGATGAAGTGGTGGTCCAGCCTTGATCTCCCAGAGACCTTCTTGACGTGCCCATATACCGGTTCCCCAGACTATTCCAATGGGTGTTTGCTCCCAGATACCACCGGTTTTCACTTGTTGGAGATCAACCGGTGCTTGTAGGGTGGTAAGCAACTTGCCACACTTGAAATCGTAAAAGTTGGTATTGGTTCCGTTGATTACTACGAGTGCATTCTGATGTAGAGTCAACCTGATTGTCTTTGTAGGATCGTCTATCGATTTCCATGGATCCAACACAGCCAACAGCGTCAATCTAAGTGTCTCACGATCGCCGGTATCACATGTAAACACTCTACCGGATCTCTCTAGAACGATCAACTGTTGTGTTTGAGGATGTATACAAACATCTAGTACATCAACAATAATTTGATTCCTACTATAACTATTTGTTTGTTGTTGTTGTTGTTGTTGTTGTTGTTGTTGTTGTTGTTGTTTTTGATTATCTTTAACTTCATTATTATCGTTATTAACAATATCATTATTATTACTATCTAAATCATGTAAATCACAATGTGATTGACTGTTACTATTACTATTAAATTGTGTTGTTGTTGTTGTTGATGATTTAACATGTGATGGTGCTTTATCTTTATAATAGGAAATGAACCAAACACGACTACGTATTGAATAGAGTAGTATAAATGATTTAGTGATAAACCATATTCCAAGTTTACTCGTTAGAATACGTGTGTTGTTGTTGTTATTTATAGTTTCAAACCATTCTTTCTTTATATCGTAGTTCTCTGTTGGTGTAACCTTTAGGTTGTTACATAGTATCTCTTCAAGTCCACGAGCATACTGCTTGATAATTACGTTGTTATTCTCTTTCTTGGCAGTGTTGGCACCCGCAACCGGTTGTGCCGCCGTCTTATTATTGTCAAAGTTAAACTGTCGCATTTGAAGTGATGATGAATTCGCCATCATCCAAATCACCTGAATACCTTGATTCGTAGAGAATATCGATGCATGTACAAGCTGGCCGTGTCCAGTGTGTGGAAGTTGCGGTGTTCCACTGGGTTCCGTCAGTGAAATCGATGGCAGATACAACTTTACAATGTAGCTCCATCTGTACTCCGAAGCCGACCACTCAAACACATGTAGTAGCGCATCCTCTTCGAATACAAACAATCTTAATGGACTATTTTCAATTACTTTTGTCTTTCCTGTTGATGCTGATGTTGACGATGTTGACGATGGTATTATATTGGTAGCAGATTTCTCAAAGTAAAACTTTACTATAGGTGAAGAGAATGAACATGCCAACAGAGGGAATTGCTCAGCGTGATGATTGGTGGGTGCTGGCGGTAACAGTGTCTTGGAGTTGAGTATCGATTCGGTGTTGGAGTTTTGCATCTCTGACATCTGCTTGGCGGCAACGACAGCGTCGAACAGCACCAGTGAGCGAGACTGTTGGTATCGAACGGCAACGTGACCACTGACAATCTGAATGGCATCGACACCATAGTCACCGGTCAACTCACGCGACTGCAACAAACTATAGAGTATAGATCGACCACGAATATAACCCCATCTCCTAGAATCAAACGTTGAAAATTGGAAATCTACAACCATCTTATCTTATCTTTTTCGATGATTATCTTTTTTCTACTTTTTTTTTTTGCAATAAATATATAAAAATCTAATCAATAAATAAAACTATAAAAATACAAAATTATATACATATATATATATAAAATAAATAATAAAAAAAGGAAAGGTAAAATAACACAGATATTTCTAAAATAATAAAAAAATCAATTCTTTTTGCATTCATTCCTTCATTATGCAATCAAAAATGAGTTGATTTTTCCAATGACTTTTTTAGTTTTTTAAAATAAATTAATGTGTGTTTAGTCAATATCATATTATTCAAGTATTGCAAACAAACAAGAGAGATTAGTAACAATATTTGAAATAAAATGCCAAGTTTGTTTTAGTTTAAAACAAATGATTAACTACATGTTGTTTTGATCAAAATCAATAAGTATATATACACACTTATGAGAACAACTAAACTTATAACAGTTATTTCAGTTTGAAGTGATGCTTTAAAACAGTCCTGCATTAAATAAATACAACTTGGAATTATAACAAAGTTATATATATATCTGTACTAATATTTAAAATCATTCAAAATAGTCAAGCAAACATTAAATTTGTTACTATATATAACTTATAAATAGAGAGTTGTTTGTTTAATGTTTTTTTTTTTGTGTAATTATTCTTTTTTAATTAATAATTAATAAATGTTATTTTTTTAAATTAAATTAAATTATTTATAAATGTATTTCTTCTTCGCTACTACTGCTACTATTACTGTTTGTTTCCATTTGTACAGGAGTCATAATTATAGTTGGTGTAGAGACGACTGAGCTGTTTTGGCTCGGTGTTGTTGGGTAACTGCTACCGGTTTGTGAGATTGTTATTGTGATTTGATTGTTGGATTTCGATGTTTGTTGTGGTGGTGCTTTGTATGGTGTTGTTTGTACGTCATTTGAGGTGGTTATTGCTCTTGGTGTTTGCATTGGTGTTGGTGTTTGTGATACACACGAGGTGGTGGTAGTAGTTGTCGTAGTAGTTGTTGTTTTAATTCCTGTTGAATTATATGGAATTGGAGGATCTGGATTACTCATCTCAATGATTGTCTCTATCAAATCCAAACGTTTCTGAATCTCTGCGAAACTCGGACGTTGCGAAGGATCTTGATTCCAACAGGCGTTCAGGAGTGAGTCGTACTCGGGGATCGAGTGGGTCGGGAGCTGCGGACGAATGCCATCGCAGATCATTTGCTCGAGATTGCTCATGAAGCTGATTCCCTCGAAAAAGTGTTGACGCGAAAGCAACTCAAACAAGATGACACCGTACGAGTAGACGTCGCTCTTGTCGGTGCAACTCTCCTTGGCGATCACCTCTGGTGCCAGCCACACGGGATTCTCGACGGCACGCGACGACAAACTCGTAGAGAATCCAGTGAGTGAGAAGTCACAGAGTTGGCACGACATGTTGTCGGGGTCGCGCGAAGACAACAGGATATTCGGACTCTTCAAATCACGATGGATAACCGAGGGTTTGCAATCGTGGAGTGTCTGTAGCGAGCCGGCAATCTCTTTGGCCATCTTTATCTTTAGTTTCCAATCGAGTGGGTAGTTGAGATTGTGAAGATAATCGTAGAGATTACCACCACTCATAAACTCTGTGATAATACAGAGCGGTTCCAAACAGAATCCTTTGAGATCCAGAATATTCGGATGATAGAAAGAACTCATAATGAAAATCTCCCTTCTGAATTCAGAGAATACCTTTGTAAAACTACTACCAATATTATCGGTCTGAAGCATCTTTACGGCAACAATATTATTTCTCCAAACGCCCTTGTAGACTGTTGAATTTCCACCTTCTCCAATTGGTTCACTTTCCAATTGTACTTCATTAAAATCAATTAATTTATGCTGTAATAATAATAATAAACGCGCAAATTGTTAATTACAAATTGTGATTCAATTTCAAAAATCATGATCATTGTATATTGTTGCCACTTACTCTAAGATCAGACATTGTTAAATCAGGTACTAATTGATTGAGTTTAATGGGTACGGAACCAGTGGTTGGACATGAGAGATAGGATTTACCTTTGACCACTGCAGATTCCACTTGTTCCAGTGGGAAGAGATGGTTTTCAGGACGTTTCGAATCGATACAGTGTGAACATGGTACGAATGCTTTGTATTGGATGTCCGGATAGGATTCGAGGATACTCTCAAACGTTTGGAGAATGTGTCTGCACATCTTGGTGGAGCTAATCTCAATGGTTTGTGTTGCCTCTGAGAGTTGGATGATTACCAAATCGTCGGATGTCAAGACACTGAAAGTGCTACTACGTCGGTACGCTTTGTTTGGGGAATCACCGTATCTCCGGGCAATGGGGAACGACAAATAACAGTTGTCCAGAACGACTCCACTCTTCCAAGCGCACTTGATCGAGCAGAACATGTAGAGCTGGCTGAGCAACCTGTGGAAGAAGCTCGTAGGTATCTTACTCTCGAAAACATAGATACGACCAACACTTCTTGGTTCCTGTATGGGGAACATCTGGTCGATCGGTTTCGGTGGGGAATCCGGTAGTTCCAGTGGGAGGAATATCACTTTCTCAGTGAGGAGCTTCAAGTTCTGGCCTGGAGTGATACTGAGACGGTTCGGAGAGAGCATACCGAATTTGCCGTTGGGTGAGAGTGCCTTTGAGGGAGAACCTCTTCCCGAGGAAGTTAGCGAGCGGAGTTGTGAGTTGGACAGCGAAGAACCGCTGTTCATCGATTGCAGTGGACTGACATAGGTGTATCCCCAGGTAGATGGATCATAGAGTGTATCAATGATGAAAGCAACATTGTAACGTTTGGCAAGTGTTAGAAGGAATGGATATAGCCTATTGGGAATATCATTCCAAATAGTTTCCAATCCACTCATCAAAATAATTTCACGCTTCGATGAAGTTGAAGAACTGGAACTGTTGTTATTATTGTTGTTATTGTTATTATTATTATTATTATTATTACTTGTTTTAACTGTTAATAGAGAACTGAATGCTGTTGTTAACCAAATTGGATCGAGGACGACCCATTCATAATCATCAAGCCAAAGGAGTAGTCCAAATTCAGTGAGTAGATCACATGCGTTTTTCGTACCGATCTTATCGAGACCGCACATCTCACCGATGGCGTGGATGTCACGCTTTGAAATGAAGGGAGATTGCAATGTCTTGAGATGTCGCTCAAACAGTCGCTGTGAACTCGATACTTTACTTCCGTATTGTCGTTGCTTCAAGAAGGTTGACTTGATTTCCTCGCGAAGTCTGAGGAGTCCGTCCGACGAGCTGTTGCTGCTACTGAGCAAATGGAAGCTGAAAGTGAAGCTGGAGAACATCATCTGACAGCGTTGCTCCACCTTTTGATAGATGTAAAAGAAGTAGTCACGGGTGACAAGGTTCTCCTTCTCGTTGAAGACACCAACGACGTAGACGCTGGCAGAGGTGCAACGATCTTTGATCAACTCTAGCGAACGGAACAGCTTGTGAGGTTCCTCTGATTCCTGGACGGTCCAGAGCACCAGGTAGATCGCTCTACGCGTGTACAGATGTTGGGAGCACGTACTGATGACACTGGAGATATCACGAATGTATACTTTCATGTTGCGTTTGCGCTGGGTGATCGAGCTGGAACCACCGCCGGGAGTGGTCGGTTCCGAGTCGGTCAACTCAATCTCCCACTTGGGAACTTTCTTTTGTTGCTCGACTGCCTTTCGTCGCTGCTTGTTATTGCTTGCTGTGATTGTACGGATGATCTCATTCTTTGAGGTTATACTGGGATCGGAGATCACCACGAGTTTGCCACGCGGACTGTAGAATGACGCCGTCATTTGTTGACGGAGATACCGGATGATGGAATCAGTGCTGTCGAGATCCTTGAATGGCGCGACCATCGTTGAGTTTGTCACTGTTAGATTACGTAGTTTCTCCAACTGTCCGATTGTATGTGGGAGAACAAGTATGTTGTTACGCGAAAGGTTGAGTGAGATCAACGAAGTGAGACGTCCGATCGACGGTGAAACATAGCTGATTCTGTTGCCATCCAGACGGAGATCTTCAATGCTTGGAAGGACATGTGGACCGAATGTGAATGAGTAGATAGAGTTGTTATAGAGGTACAACCGCTTGAGTGACGGTAACAATCCGTTGGACGGAACCGTAGCGAATTGATTGTCAGAGAGATCCAAGAATGATAGTCTGGTAAGTTTGGCAAAGTCCGCAGGAATCTCTGTCAGCTTGTTTTGGTTGAGTAGCAGTGTTTCCAGTTGGACGAGATCGAGTAGACGTGGTGGAACAACATTGATGTTGCAACCGGTCAGCTCCAAGTGCGTAAGAGTTTTCATCTCGTAGAGCATATTCGATATCTTGATGAGTGGATTCATGCCACATTTGAATGTCTCAATCGAGTTCATGAGGAAGAGTTTGTCGTCGAGCTTGTGTGACTTCAACTTGGCAATCAGATTGCAATTCAAATTGAGAATTCGCAGTGAGCGCAACTTGAAGAAACCGAGTGGGAGATCACGAATGTGGTTGTTGGCGATGTACAACTCCTCGAGTCCGGTCATCAGGGAGATGGCTTGCGGGAACGACGAGAGTTTGTTGTTGTTGACAGAGAGCACACGGAGCGAGGACATCTTGCTGATCGACTCTGGAATGATAATGAGACGATTGCTATCCAATAGCAGCTTCTGCAGTGTTGACATGGTGCATATCGACTTGTGAATCGACTCCAGTAGATTGCCAGAGAGATTGAGCTCGATCAACTTCAACTTGCTGCCAATCAGCTTGAGTAGAGCGGAGGGAATCGATTTGATACGATTATCACTCAGATTGATAGTGACGAGATTGGTGAGGAGAATCAGCTCCGAGGGGAACGAATTGAAGTAGTTACGCGAGAGGTCAATCGAGGTGAGTGACGCGCAGAACACCAGATGCGAGTGTTGCATCTTGAAGAATGTTAGTTTGCTCAGTGAAAGATCAACCTTCATCTTTCCAATCAGTTTCTTTGAGAGTTGATGATGGGAGTCACGCGAATTGATGTTGGCGGTGAAGAGCGACGCCCACAGTACGACTTGGCTAGCGTCGTACGACGGTTTGATAAACTCATAGTCTTCACGCTTTTCGCTTGGCGAGAGTGTATTCGATCCGTACTTGTAGAGATGATTCTTGTAGAGTGCATTGTTTTGCATGACGTATGCCCACGCCGATGGTGTTCGGCGCAACACATTCCTCTCGGATTCACGCCAGACCTCCGACGTGAGGAACGTTCCGAAACGACCGGTGAACGCTTCGTTGACAACAAACAGCAGGAACGACTCATTGAATTCGAAATGGAATGGGAATTGACGTTGAATCTGCCAGATGGCATCGATAAACTGAACGAACGTCGGTGCAATCGAACGGTTGACCCATCCCGCAGAATCAGGATGACTGTCACCAAACAAAGCCGGAGACTTTCTACACGCGGAATCAAAGAGATCAACATTGAGTTTATCGTCAATTGAGAATCCATGTGCACCTCCACCTCCACCCTTGGAAATCGATCCATATCCTTTCTTACTACTGGAGCTACCGCTACCACTGATACTTCCACTCAAACTCGGTGTTGTATTTGGTGAGGAGCTGTTGCCGCTGCCACCGCTGCCATTCGCCTGACTCTGGTTGTTGAGGAACGGGAAGTTGTATTGAACCCATTCCTTCTCGATCAACGTCATGAAACCGTTGAGAGTTCTGTAGTAGGGATCCAACATCACTTGGACGATCGAAGTGAGACGTGCCACGTCGAATGTATGCAGGTTCGATTCGATCGATGGTTTCACAAGGACCGATGTTCCCTCCTCGAGGATCGTGCTGATTCGCGCACTGCCCTCGATCAACTGACGCACCGACTCTACCCAGCCCGACTCCTCAATGGATCGCCATGCCTCTGAACTGCCATCAAACATATTGATCGAACGGTACAGTTCGAACCAGTGTTGTTCGACCTCTTCGCGTGGCGCCACACCCAAGAACACAATGTTTGAATTCAACTTGAACTGATCGTAGACCGACACGAAATTGATATCCAACTTGTTGGTAAAGACAATCGATGCTTCGACTCTACGTTTTCCACCTGGCGAAGGTGGAGTATGCATACTACTACTATTTCCACTTTGTGCTGATCCAAATACCGGTGAATTATTTCCAGATTGTGAAAGTAAAGAAGGTGATCCTCCTCCATTATTATTACTACTGCCAACGTTATCACTATTTACAAATTGTTGATACAACATAATATCTACGGAATCAGTTAGTATTGTTGTTGAAGTCGGTAGTTTCGTGAATGAAATATCCTTTTTGTTCTTGGACGACAGTGATTTGTTGAGTGTTCGCGGTGAGAATGTTTTGTCGAGAGCGGAACGCTTCTTGTGTGGCGATTGTTGGAGTGAACCTTCCTCGGTGGATGAACTGAGACTGCCACCTAGAGAACTGACGCCTTGTGTCGATCCTTGCAACGATTGCACACTGGCATTGGTTGTACTCATCGAGATACCACCGGACGAAGTCAAACTACCGCCGATCGAAGGTGGTGGTGCACCACTCTGAACACTCGGTCGGAACAACATTGATCGTCTATAAGGATGTATCCAACTGAACACCGGAATCTTCTTCTTGGCATACGATTGCAGCAGTTCCTCACCTACTCTATTCGGTAATACAACTCTCTTTGGTGATATACTTTCTTTATTTGTAAACTAGACAAAACGGTAAGTAAGTAAATGATTAATTAGTTATCATTAACTAATAACATACATTAAATATCTTCCATTCTTTTGTTAAATCAATCTTTTGTCTTGCAGCTTCTTTGGTTGGACAGTAGATTTCCCAGCCTTCTTGATTCTCTTCGGTGGTGAGTATCTCTTGATTGACAAACGCAAAGAATCTACCAAAGTCACTGACTGGATTCATATAGTATGCCAATATCAAATTGAATCTATCCATATTGAAATCATCTGGGAATGCAAAGTATTGGAATCTCATATCTTTACAATATAATAAATAGATAAAAGATTGAATCCTTTGAAAAAGAATAATAATAATATATATTTAGTTAGATTATTTACATTTCTTAATTGATTGAATGATTAGTGATTAAACTTACTTGTTTGATTTTGATGATTTCGATGACGACGATGATGATGACGATGACTTTCCAACGTGTTCCCATTTGATAGAGGATGTAAGTACAATCTCTATTTGATAGGGTTTGATATGCATCTCCTGTTTGTTACGATCGTAGTCTTCAGGCAGTAGATAGTGTCCGCTATCATCCTCTGTCTTTATCCACATCAATCTGTAGTTGGTGACATAGAGTGTACCAGTTTCCCAGCCTGTAACCTCGAGACTTGACTTTTGATCATTTACGATTCTCAAGTTGTTCGAAGGTATCAGTACTTTCTCTATTTGTAACATTATAAATTCACTTGCCAATGTCGTTGGTCTATTATCATTCTAAATAATAAGAAATAAATAATAAAATAGTTAGCTATTGATTAATAAACTAAATACTAATAAATATGTTATAATAATAAATATAGTTAAGAATAACTTACATCTATGAATAGATCTTCGAATCTTTCAATTAATATATTGGTTGCAGGCTGTAAGATTAGATGTGACTTGTGATTGACGAGTAGCGGTGTGAATAAAGCAGACAGTTGATCTAAACATGTCTGTGGCGATGGTGAGTGTGATACCAATTGCTTGAGGAATGCTAACAATCTCTGAACTGTCTCTCTAGCCTCTCTTTGCAGTTTACTAACCATGTACTGTATATCCCAATATCCACCATATTCAGATTTCACTAAAAGAATATAACAAAGTGTAAAGTTAATTACTATTGTTTAGCTTATTAAAGTATTTAAATATTATTATTATCATCATTACTTACAAGCATTTGTATGACTTATAACAGCTTGATACAACTCAATGTTTAACAATTCATCTGGTAATGAACTGATGAATTCTATTAACAATGCCGCTACATCGTTTGGATCTTGGTGTTCTGGGTAGAAGAAATTGGCATCACCGACCGTATCAAATTGATGTTTCAATGACTGTACTTTTTGCATATCAAACTTATTCTTGAATAATGCTTCAACATTAACTATATTATATAAAAAATAGTAGTTTGTTAATATTAATGTTTAATAAGATAGTTAGTTAAAATAGTTACATACCATAACCTTCAAGGAAAGATATACATTTCTCAACTAGAATAGGTAGACCTGTTCCGTTGTCTTGTCGTTTCGAGAGATGCGCCAGTGGTACACCAAAGTAGAGATTGTCGTTGCTGTTGTTATTGTTACTGCTACTGCTGCTGTTCTGTGAGTTGATAAACTGTATGATCGATGGGAATTGCTGGTCAAAGAGCGGCAGTGGCACTGCAAAGTCGAATTGTGACGATGATTTAGTCATGTGACCGATGCTGCCTGAACTCGACGACAAATCGTTGACACCGCTCGACTGGTAGGGATGACTGCTCGACTTCTCACCACCTCTCAACGTAAAGCGCAGTGAATTATATATCTTTTTGATTTTATTTGATGATTTTTTGAGAGTCGATCTATTACTATTGTTATTACTACTACTACTGTTGTTGTTAGATGAATCATTAGATGAGTTTAATATTACATTTTTGTTGTTGTTGTTGTTATTTGTTGGCATATCAGTGGATTGAGTCAACTTTGTGAATGGTATTGCAAAGGTGTTGGATTGCTGTGAGGAGAATGAAGATGATCGTTGGTTGAGACTGTTGGCGCTGCTGGAGCGTAGCGATGACGATGACGATGATGTCGATATTGATGATTGTGGTGTTTGATTGACAGAGTCAATGGAATTGTCGGATTCCGTTATGGTCGATTGCAATTTATATGTATTATTCATGTAGGTTGCAGAGACTGTTCCATTGGTTATCGTTGCAACATGATTCAATCTTCCACCACCAACACTTGTTATTCCACTCAGAGAATAACTAACATTGTTATTATTGTTATTGTTATTAGTATTATTATTATTGGTATTGTTATTATTATAATTTAAATCACCATTATTATTAATATTATTATTATTATCATTTTGAATTGGATAACTTTCAGAATTTGTTGTTGTTGATGTTGTTGGATTGTTAATGTTGGTATTGTTGGTTGATGACTCTGAAAGATCAGTGTTTGAATTTGATGCAGAGTTGGTAATTGACATCTCTTCATAGGATTGAGAGTGATTCATTGCGGTACTGTTAATTGCAGGTGACTGTTGGATATTGTTGTTGTTGCCGGAATTGTTGGATTTCGATGAAAAAAATCTTGGAAACATGGTGGGTTTCGAAGGTTCACGCTTTAATTTCTTCTCTGACTTTTCCCTGTCCTTTTTCTCTTTTTTATCCTTCTTTTCCTTGTCCTTATCTTTTTTGGTCATTCCATCGCCAATTCCATTGTTATTACTGAATAAATTAAATGTTGACATGTTTTTATATTATTACTACTACTATTATTATTTACTATTGTTTCCACAACTCTAAAATAAATAATAAATCTAATGTAATGTATTGTATTTGTATCTGTACTACGATGCAATTTACTTTTATATATGTATAATTATTATTATTACTATTATTATTATTTTAAATCTTAATTATTAAGATGTTGAACGATTCTATTTATATTTAAATTTACAAATGATTGATATGGTGTGTGAGTGTGAAGTTTAGATTATTATTATTGCTGCTGTTATTGTTGTTGATTATAATTCATGGCTTATCCTAAATTCGGATGTAATCTAAACTATCTATATTTGATTTGATTGATGATCGCCACTCGACACTAATCCTAAAAAGTTGAATGAAAATTTGGTATTAGAATCAGAAATTAATGAAACAATAAGGATATTGATAAAAATGTTTGTTGGTTGATGTTTTGATAGGTTATTATTGGATTATAGATTATTTAGACAAAAATAATGACAAATGAAAAAAAAGACAATAACTAATTAATTAAACAAAACAAAACTAAAAATAAATGACAGAAATTAAAATTGTAAATCAAAAAGATGAAAGATGGTAATATTATCTGATGTTTTATATCAATCTTTTATCTCAGCCACTATAATCATCAGTAAACATCATCAATTATATTAACCAAAAAAAAACATATAATTAATATTATTAATTTAAAATAACAAAAATTAATATTTGTTTGTTTGTTGATTTGATGTATTTGGTCTTTTCTTTAATCCAATAATATTGAGTAGAATAGTATATTTACTAGTTATTACTCCAAATAGAGCGTTGTTGTTGTTGATGGTTATAATAATTATTGTTATTCAAATCATGATTGCTTTACTCTACACTAAAACTAGAATGGTTATATTATTTGACGGTTGTGTGGTGTATGCATATCTATATAACACATATAACCATTATTGTTATACAATTATATTTTAGCTGTTAAAGAGGTCTTGAATCCGAGCGCGCCAGATTTATTGAAAAAAAAAAACACATAAATTGAAAAAAAAAAAAACAAAATTATTTGATTTTATATGTTGAATTGTACTGTGCAGGAGTTTGATTAGTTTGACAGGTGCTGAAAGTGTTGGGGTGTTGTGTGTTTGTGTTTGTATACGATTGAAAGTGTATAAAATTGTAAATTTGATCAAATATATTATAATTGAGTATTATTAATTTGGTTGTGATCTAGATTTTTAGTTTTGTTTTTTTTGATAGAATGATACTCTACTACAACTATATTGAATTGAATCTAATCTAGAAAATTGTATGAAACTTCTTTTTCTAAAAATAAATAAATAAATAAATATAAAGATATATATACTATTACAATGTTGTTGATTTTAAAAAAAAAAGGTTTACTTTTTTTAATTTATTATTGATTAATATTTTTGTTTGTTGTTGCTGTTGCTGATGGTTGCTAATAGCTATATATATTTCATTCACAGTTAATGTGCCAACCAAATCAATTTAACAAAAATAACTGATTTTGTTTTTTTTTTTTTTTGTTTCAAAGCTTTTTTTTTTATCCTTTCCAAAAATGAATGAGCAGTTGAAGTCGGCGCCTTTTTTGAATTCATCTGTTACAAAATTTTGTTAATTATTATTTTTTTTTACTGTGTGGTTCAAAAACAAAAAAAAAAAAAAAAACAAACAATCACCAACCTAAGATATTATTGAACTTAAGATTTTATACCGCGTTGTAAAAAAACACTAAAAACAGGTGATAAAAAAAGTGGTTTTAAATGCTTAAGTGATGTTCATCGTTATCCTCATTGGTTGGGATCCTAGCATCTAAAATCAGATCTATTATTTAGTTATTTTTTTTTTTAATTATAATTTTCGACTCAAAAATAGATTAAATAATAAATATTTAGATTGAATAATTCAATTGATTAGATGATCAACACTTAATTAATTAAAGATGCAGGTTTTATAAATCAATAATTATGCAAAGAATATAAAGTTGAAAAAAAAAATCGATCTGATTTAAATTTTATTTATTTAATTAAAAAATGAATGTAATAAATAAATATTAGGTTAGGATAGGGTTCGTTTGTTTTGAATATGTATACATTTTGTAGTATTATAAATTTCGGTATTGTTTTGTTTTGTTTTGTTTTGTTATGTTTTGGTTAATGTAAACTAATAAACAATACAAACAATTATACCTTTCTTTACATTCTTTTTAAGCATCGGCATATAAAGATGCTCCTCTTAATGTTGGAGTTGTCAAAATGGGTGAAATCTCTTTGTTTTGTTGGAATTGATGATGGTGGTGAGTATTTATAAAAGATGTGGTGGGTGGTTGTGTTGACGAAACTGTTGTATGTTGAGCTGGTGGATAAAACGAAGAAATAGCAAATGGTTTAGATGTAACACTGGATGTTGGAGCAACGGTAGTTAATGATTTCAATGGATTCGAATTGAAAACAGAGACTGCTGGTGGATTAAAACTAGGGATTGCTGATGAGGTCGATGGGAATATAGGTACAGCTGATAATGTTGAAGACGATGAAGTATATAGACTTGAAACGGAAATGGGAAGTGGATCCACTTCGATGGTATCATTGGGCAAGGTTTTATAGTCCCTATTGTTGGAAACCTCTTCGGTGGCGGTAGTATCAACCTCGACTCGACGAACTCCCCAATCATCTTGAACCAACATCTCTATTTCATTGATCATGATGTGTCGATTCTCTATATCTTCCCAACGGTGAGTTTTTGTGTATTCATTGTAAACAAAGTATTTATATTGGACAAACACATCCACTGGAAATCCTACTTTTACATCCCATATCGATCCTATATTAAATTAATTTTTTAATAATCAAACATTAAATTAATTTAATTTATTTTTTCAGGAATTAATATTTTACCATTATTCCAAGTCATTCTTTTAGCTCTGGAGATATCCCATGCTCCAAGATGTGAATGTGATCCGATTACAAATAGGTTTTCACCTGGTTGGGTATTATAGATTATTGAAAATGTAACATTATTACCAACCAGCAGTGATGAAGATGAACATCGAAACATTCTTTTATAAAATTAATATGGAATCGATTTTACCAAAGTTTTTTAATAGTTTTGTTTTTTTTTATTATTTGTAGTTAGATAATAAACGAAATGTATTAATTACAATATATATATTTCCACATAAATAATATTTAAACAATTAATTTAAAAAATAAATAATAATTAAAAATACAATTTTGTTTGATTGTGTGTTTTGTTATAATTTTAAATCAAACAAATAAATTAGAGTGTGAGATATAAGTGTATAGCTGATAGATATACTAAATAAATATGAGGGGAATGAAAGTGGTATTATTTAATTAAAATTTGATGTTGTTGGAAGATAAAAGATGTGGTTGTGTTGTTTTGTCGTTTTTTTCTTTGTTTATGATTTGTTGTTGGGTTAGAATGGAATATTTTATACCTAAATTGGATGTATATCAGGATGAAATGATATAAATAGTTAGTACATAGTTCTACACTTTATTATTTATTATTCTTTATATCAACACTGACACTATATGAATTAATATAAACTGTATGGTGATAATATAAAATTTTTAAACTGTATTGATTTTTGTATGATTGTGAGTGAATGAATTATTAATTTAATATGGAAAAAGTATTGTCATCATTGTCATAATTTGTGGGTAGTGGGAAATAGAAAAGAAATGTATTTAAGAGTGATTTAATATGATTCAATTTCGAGAGAGTTGAAATTTATGATTGGAGATATAAAAAACAACAAATATTCATCTGATGTTACCTTTTAACAAAACATATAAAACAGTAATATGTAACAAATTCAATATTGAAATTGAATAGCTGTAGTAATGATAAATAGAGTGTAGTTGTATATTATATTGTTGAAATTTAAATGTTTAGCAAATTGAATGACCAAATATTGTTTAAATGCAAATTTAACCCTTACTATTTATCAATAGAACTATCATTAATATTATTACTCATCATTTTTATAAATCAACTATTAATATGTGATAGCTAATATTAACTACTATTATAATAATTCTCGCTCCCACAACAACATCAACAGCAATAATAAATATGATTACCTTATTTAATGGTTAAAAACAGAAAAGCACATTAAAATTATTATTGGGCAATGTTGAAACTTGCTCTTAACTTGCTGAGTGTGTTTGTTAATTTATATTTGGATATTATTATTCTTAAAACACATCTGTTAGTGTGGTCATACCCTTTTGCATGTTTCCTCATTTCCTATTTTCTTTTTATTGGTTTAATTAATGAAAAAATAATAAGAAAAACCAAACCAAAAGGTTACCATCACAATGAAACACAGTGATCAAAACAATAAATGTAACAGTGGGCAATTCTGTTGATAATGGGCAGTTTGTTATCTTTTTTCAGAAAGGTTGTGTTTAATTTGTGACTAAAAAAAATTGATAGTTAATTTAATTTAAAAAGAACAAGCAGGTTGTTTGTTTGAAACACTAAAAGGATATTTTTTGGGACCACCATCTTCACAAAAAAAACCACAAAAATACCTAATATGTTTAAAAACTTAAAGTAATTGGGGTGATATGCATAGAGATTGATTGAACACACAAAACTCCAAATTTAATTAAGAAATGCGTTTATTCAAAAAATAGATTCGAATATAATATTAAATTGTGTAAAATTAAAATTAGAACCATGTATAACAAAAGAGTTGTTTTACTATTAGAATAAATACATATTGTTTTGTCGAAACTTTGATAGTTTTAATTAGAAAAGCATATATTTAAATGTATTGTATCATTGTTTATGTGCATTGTTTGTTATATTGTTCTTCTATTATCATTTAAACTCTACTCTATATTGTGCTAGATTCTTACCATTTTCTTGTTATGCACTAGATATTTGTAGTGTTAATGATTGGATTGCTTGCTTTGCTGATCGATTGAACGTTTTATATAATTGGTGACTATATTATTATAATTCTACATGAGTTTGAATATAATATACAGGTGTCTCGTAAGGGTGTGCTTCTCTCATTGCTTTGATACACTGTTTGATGTATTGTTCTTCTATCATCATTTCCACTCTCCACTCTTCGACTTGTTCTATCTTATCTATTTGTCCTATGTGCGGGTTGGCACCACCTAATGGTCTGAATTGTCCTGCTCCTTTAACTTGCCAGCAACAACGATCGTAGTTACCAACCTTTCCTCCACCTGCATCGAAAAGTGCATTCTTTACCTTTTCTAATGCTTCGCTAGGTATAAATATAACTAAAATATATTCAACCATCTTATCTATCTACAGTTTGTGGAAGTGAAACAATGTCTGAAAAAAAAAAGAAAAAAAGAAAAAAGAAAAATTTTTATATTTTATTAATTTTCTATTATTTATTCTCTTCTTTCAATGTATCTATAGATAATTTGTTGAATTCAAATCAACATTCTATAGTTTAGATGCATCACTTTTATAAGACAAAAGTTGATATGAAATGAAAAAAAGAATAAAATCATATTTCTTTGAGTTTTTTTTTTATCTTTTATTTAAATATAGATGATGAGGTGTACCTTTGAATCTCTGATTTTGTGCAATACAGAGCAAATACATGACTGAAACGATATGAGCAAGCCCATATCATAATGTTTCGGTCCCTCTAGATAAATTAGTTTAATCAATTATGCGGTTAACGTGTAACCGCAGAAAGAGATTAAGCTTTCTAGAACAGATACTACACATGATCAAAGCAAATTGCTTTGAGAAGTGATTTGTTTAAATCAAAGTATTACTTTATTTATCTATTACTCTGTCACCTGAGTTTTATGGTTTTTTAATTTTTTTTAGTTCTTATTGACGAAATTACATGTGACAATATTTTTTTTTTTTTTGCAAATAATATTTGGCCAAAAAAAATAATAATAACTTGAGCGCCACAAACAACCAATTATAATTTATTTGTTGTTTATATTTATTTATATAACACAATCTTTAAGGTTACAAAACTTGTATCAACTTCATCATTTCTGGTTTACACTTCCCTTAAGAATGTTACTCCTTCTTGCAATTGCATTTTGCATTTAAAAGGTCAGTAGAAGACAAAAAAAAAAAACAAAAAAAAAAAAAAAAATAATAATATAATGAAACGAAAAATGATAAAGAAGGTTTGATAAAAAAAAAACTGTATTTTATATATGTGTTTTCATAACTAAACTTTAACAGTAAATAAAAGAGTGGCATTATTAAGTGAGTATCAATAAATTAAGTGGAGCATTGAAATTGAAGTTCATATCAAACTGAAATTACTAATTAACTAGACTAGTTTATTCTTTGCAACTCATGTTATAACATGTTCACAACTAACTTTTAAAGTTTTATTACATTGGTATAAGAAATCAACCAATTAAAACAAAAGAAAATTAATAGAGTGGAGAAGTTAAACAAATTAAATTTAAATTGAAGCTCCACAAGGTTTTTTTATTTTTTTTTTTTTTTATTTTTTTTATTTTTTTATTTTTTTATTTTTTTTTTTTTTTTTGTTTAAGGATTTTTAATAAAAATTTAAATCATAGTCCAACTGAATTCTCCGCGATAGAATGTGGTTTAAAATGAAGAGTCAAAGAATTTGTAACCCCACTTTTTAATTTGATACTATATATTGAAAATCAAAAGAATGATGCAAGTAGATCAAATATATTAAAGTTCCTTTTTTAAGAAACAATTCTTGGAAGTTGCTCAAAATCATTTATGTTGGTATTAAATTATCTATAACTATAAATAGTAAACTTTTTGAATTGAAATTGAATCATTCATCTAAATAAAAAAATTAAAATTTATATATCTTATAAATTCAAATTATTTCTATATTTTTAACTAATATAAATAATAAATATCATATAATCATACAATGGAATATTTAATTTACTCTAAACTTTTAAAAAACTCTAAAAATGACGAATTGTTTTGGCCAAAGGAATCCAAGAAGCCAACCACTGAATCAATCAAGTACAGTCCACCATCAATTAAATCATTCTACAATACAGCAGATCTAATTAATGATATTGGATTTCCAAACAAACAAGAATCTGGTTCTATATTAAGATAAATTTTAAACAACTAAATAATTTTATCATTCTTTTCACATATATGACTTCATAGTCATACGAACAAACTTGTAAATAAAATAAAAAATAAAAAACAAATTATATAATTAAAAAAATTTTTTTAATAGAAATTAACTATATTTACTCTACCAAGTTTTTTTAATTAATATTTAAAAGTTTAAAATTTATGTTCCTTTTTAGGAATAAATGGTTTGGCCAAAATTAAAAATTAAAAAAAAATCAAGTTAATTTTCGAAATTTCATTTATTTGTAGATGTTTCAACAAAAACATTGGTTGTCTCAAGTATTATCTTCAATAAGAACTAAAAACAAAAAACCATAAAACTCAGGTGATAAAATAATAGATAAATAAAGTAATACTTTGATTTAAACAAATCACTTCTCAAAGCAATTTGCTTTGATCATGTGTAGTATCTGTTCTAGAAAGCTTAATCTCTTTCTGCGGTTACACGTTAACCGCATAATTGATTAAACTAATTTATCTAGAGGGACCGAAACATTATGATGTGAGCATGCTCATATCGTTTCAGTCATGTATTTGCTCTGTATTGCCCAAAATCAGAGATTCAAAGGTACACCTCATCTTCAAAATAAAAATTAAAGAATAAAAAACAATAATTATTTAGATAAAATAAAGTTAAATAGAATTTATTCTAATGTACATGATAAATAAGTTTAATTTTTTAAAAGAACTCTTCTTTTACAACTAAACCATTGTTGTTCCATTGTTGGATAGCCCATTGAGTCTTCTTGACATTGTGACCACCATAAGTGAAATCCATATACATTTCATAAGCAGTGTTGTTTCCATCAACCAAAACTTTGAGAACTAAATCATATTTAAATACAGATTTAAAATTAATATTAATTTAAGTATCAATTATTTAACTAATAGATGAAACATACGTTTTGCTTCATGGATGGTTGCATTATTGACAAAAGCTTCCTCAGCTTTTCTGTTTTGATCTTTTCCAACTCTGTTTGTTGAATCACCTTTCTCATACATCACAACATCATCAGCATAGTATTTTTCGAAAATCTCCAAGATCTTATTTTCTTGGATACCTTTGATGATTGCATTAATGTTTTCTCTGATATTGACTGACATTTCTTTAAATTAATTTAATTTAATTTTTAATAATAATATTTAGTTTAGATATTTTTTAATTGTATTATATTATATATATTTATATTTGATTAGATGTTTGAATGAAATTTCATATTGAATTGATTCAATTTATATCTTTTAAATTGGAAGATTCAAGTAAAACAAACGCCAAACAAAAAAATAAAAACAACATTCTTGAAGGTGTGGTGTTCCGGAATGAAATATCATTTTTTCACACAAAAAACGCACAAAATTGAAAAAAAAGGTTAATGGTGTGCTTGATTTCGATTCTTATCATTCTATTACTTTAGATTCTATTACTTTACCAAAAAAGGTAGTTATAATCTATATATTATATATTAATTTTTTTTTTTAAAAAAAATAATTGGATTGTACATTAATAACTAATCCAAGATTTTTTAATTATAATCTAAAACTTCTGCATCATGAATTGGATAAATAAAATGCAATGAAATTATAAAAAATAATAATTTATAAATATTGGTATACTTGTAGACTTTACTACCAAGACCACAGTCCTAGGAGAAGTAGTCAATCAAAGTATTCATGTCTTTGATCGATGAACTTCCAGTCATAGACAATGCTGTCATTCCTTCAAATATTCTGGCAAATCAACACCAATGAAGATCCAGATACCAATAACTTCTTGGTTATTAATCTTTCGTTCAAGATCTTCTCCTGTAATAAAAACTGAAGGAAAAAGAAAAATTAAGTGAAGTGTCCAAACGTTGAAAATGAAAAAAAATTTGAAATCGTGGCGTCAAAAATAAAATCAATTTAATTAAATAAAGATATTCATTCATTGTTTTATAATAAAAATCATTACTTATATCTTTTATCTAACAATAGACATTTAATTCAACAATAATGATCAAAATAATAAGACAAAATAAGTAATGAAAGCTATTTGTAACCAGTATAATTACAAGATTCAAATTTAAATTTTAAAATAAATTTACCAACAATAGTTTAAAGATTAAATCTTGAATCAAAGAATAATTGTTTAGTGATAAAAAAATAGATATAATTTTGCATGATCATTTTCTAAGAAATTTTTTTTTATAAAACACACGATTATTTGTTGAAGAGAAAATCGGAAGAATAATTTCTTGGAAATGATCATCAAAATCATTATTTTTCGGTCAAAGAACATATATAAAGTATTCAAATTGACCATTTATATCATTACGAATTAAAACTAAAAACAATTAAATCAACTAAATTAAATAATTCATTAATATTAATAATTAAATAAATAAATTAATAATGTCATTTCAAGAAACATATACAATTACATTTGGAGATGTTGCAGAGAATCATGTTAACATGGAGAAGTTAGGTGTGATGTCATCAGAGGGTTTCACATTGGCTGATTTAAATAGATTTAAAGAGTTCTTTGAAAAGAAAGGATTGACTACAAAGCTAATTGATTTTAGAGATTTAATTGTAAAGAAAAAGAAAAAAGAAGAAGTTCAAGATGATGAAGAAGAGAATGAAGATGATGGTGAAGAAGAAGATGAAGAAGAAGTAGATGAAAATGAATCATCAAAGAAGAGAAAATCAACAAAAGATAGTTCTGGAAAGAGTAGTAAATCAAATAAAAAAGTAAAAGTAAATAGTAATTATAATAATAATAATAGTAGTAGTAGTAAAGATAAAAGTAAGAGTAAAAGTAAGAATAAGAGTAAGAGTAAGAAGGAAAATGATGATGATGATGATAATGAAGATATTAAATATAATGAAGCATATTTATTGATTATTAGAAATGGATTATCAGCAATTTGTGATGTAAATGAATTTCATAAAGAACAATCAAACTTGGAGAAGGATAAGAAAGCATTTATGTATGGAAGAGTCGTTAATAAGACTGCAAGACATAATCTTTGTTTCTCAGATGCACCTTCTCGTGAACCAAACTATGAGAAAGGAATGGGTAGATTAATATCATTCAATGACTGTCCGTTGTTAAACAAGACAAGACAAACATTTAAATCAATATTTGATGTTGATAATAAAGATAATGATAAAGATAATGATAGTGATAATGATAGTGATAATGATAGTGATAATGATGTTAATAATAATAATAATAATGAGAAAAAGGCGATAAATAAATGTGATAATCTTGTTGCAGAAGGTAATTATTATTATAATAGTAGTATTACTGGTATTGGTTGGCATGGTGACGCTGAGAGATCCAAAGTGATTGCAATTAGAACTGGCAAATCAATGAGAATCTGTTTCAATTGGTTTATTAACTCTAAGAGTATTGGTAATAAATTTGAAGAGATGCTTAATCATGGTGATATCTATGTGATGTCAGAGTTTGCAGTTGGTAATAATTGGAAGAAAAAGAAGATACCAACTCTTCGTCATTCTGCTGGTGCTTATAAATTTACTAAATTATAAAAAATAATTAATATTAACAATAATATTTATCTACTTTTTATCTTTTTAACTAAATTATTTAAAATAAACTAACAATTATTGGTTTTATTAATTCTGTGATGACTAAAGTATTTTTTGATGGTATGATTTTTTTGGTGATTGTAAATCCCACTCTAAAAAAATGAATAAGATTAAATTGCTATGGGGTGTTTTAACTCATCAAGATTTTGTTGTGTGTATGATTATTGATTATATTTTTAATAAAAAGGAACAAAAATCACTGCAATGGTACAAAATGTAGTTGTTTCTGCTCCATTCAGCCTCTATCTTAACCTTTTAGTGGCTTCCTTTTCATATTGACTACCAAGGTTTCAAGACGTGACCCTAGTTTGTTGTTCAGTGTTAAATGTTTATATATTCTATAAATACCACCTACTTGTTAAAATATAATTTTTGAATTGTCTAAACCCAATGACAAAGATTGACAAATAGTAAATATTAAACATATTTATATTATTTTCGATTTTTACTATATCACATCTTACCAATACATCACTTGAACGTATTTCAAAGCCATTTTACTTACTGAACAAATGCTACAAAAAATAAAACTGTTTGTTTTTAGATTTATATAAAAAAAAAATGTGGTTTAGATTTATTTAATTTGATATTCAATGTACATAATTAACTATTTTATTTATTTAAAAGAACTCTTCTTTTACAACTAAACCATTGTTGTTCCATTGTTGGATAGCCCATTGAGTCTTCTTGACATTGTGACCACCATAAGTGAAATCCATATACATTTCATAAGCAGTGTTGTTTCCATCAACCAAAACTTTGAGAACTAATCAATATTTAAATATTAATATTAATATTATTAATTAAATCCATCGACAATCCAACATACGTTTTGCTTCATGGATGGTTGCATTATTGACAAAAGCTTCCTCAGCTTTTCTGTTTTGATCTTTTCCAACTCTGTTTGTTGAATCACCTTTCTCATACATCACAACATCATCAGCATAGTATTTTTCGAAAATCTCCAAGATCTTATTTTCTTGGATACCTTTGATGATTGCATTAATGTTTTCTCTGATTTTGACTGACATATTTTGATTTGTTTTTTTTTTAATGAAAATTTTAGTTTAAATATTTATTTTATTTGTATTTATATATATTATTTATATATTTGATTTGATGACTGAATGAAATTTCATATTAACTAAATCAATTTATATCCTTTTGGTTGGAAAAATTTAAAAAATTCCTGAACACTGTAAAAAAATTCGAGTAAGTGTTCCGGAATCAAAAATCATATTTTCAGCACAAAAAACATCAAAAATCATTGAAGTTTGCAAAATGTATTGATGGGGTTGATTTCGATTCTTATCATTCTATTACTTTAGATTCTATTACTATCCAAAAAAAAGTAGTTATAATCTTTAAAAATAAACAATTTTCAATGAATTATATCTTTCTTAAAAAATATCAAATTTATCATATTTTGAGTACATTGGAGGTTATTGTTTTTATTGACACCTCTTTTGATCAATTGATAGACATAGATAAGACTCGAGTTATAGAAAATAGAGTTAATAAAAAAAAATAAAACGTTAAAAAGTTACAAGGTTGATTAATTTATTTATTGTGGGGTGGTTGGTTGTGGAACCAATCTGAGATATGGACGGACAGTATTCCAACCGTTGGGGAATAATTGCTTGGCAGCTTCATCATTAACGGATGGTACGATGACACATTCACCACCAACCTTCCAGTCAGCTGGAGTTCCAACCTTGAATTTGTCAGTGAGTTGGATAGAGTCGACGACACGCAAGACCTCATCGAAATTACGACCGGTGGAAGCTGGGTAGGTTATTACGGCCTTGAGCTTACGATCCAAACCGATAAAGTAAACAGAACGCACAGTGTAGACATTGTCAGCGTTTGGATGAATCATACCGTAGAGGTTGGCAACCTTACGGTCGGCATCGGCAAGGATTGGGTATTGAACTTGACATTGTTGGGTCTCATTGATATCCGAAATCCATGCCAAATGGTCACTAACGCTATCGACGCTCAGTGCCAAAACCTTTACATTTCTCTTGGCAAACTCTGGCAACAACTTGGCAACCTTTCCAAGTTCAGTAGTACAGATTGGTGTCTTATCTATTAATAAGATTATTATTAAATAAAGATTGATTGATTAATTATTTATTGATTAATGATCATCCATCCTAACTCTTAACAATATTTATTTAAACTTACCTTTTGGATGTGAGAAAAGAATACCATAGTTGTCACCTAAATATTCATATAAGCTAATTGGACCTTGAGAACTCTCTTGTTGGAAATCTGGGCAGACATCACCAAGTCTAAGATATGTTTGAGTCATGATTTATATGTATATTTGTATTAAAGTTTGAATGAGTAAATTAATGACCAATTAAAAACTTCACTATCACATTAAATCATCAGAAAAAAAAATTAAAGATATTATTTTAAAGAATAAAAAAAAACAATTTATTTTTTTGTTGTTCACAGATTTGGGGTAAAAAAGGTTCTTTTGTGGTCATTAGATTGTTTTGATCATCAAAATAGAGTGTTTTAGGGGGTATTTAAAATTATAGAAAAATAATTTGACTTTTTCTCGCCTTCAAAGAAAAGGTGATTTTTTGACAAACTAAAATAAATTAACCTTTAATTAAAATATTTTTATAACAATTTTAAAATAGAATAATCTTTTTTATTTAATTATTTAATTGATCAATTGGTTGTTGATATAAAGAAAAAATTATTTTCCTTGGAAATTGGATTCAAAGCAATTTAGTTACATTTGGGTTGAGGAACAACTCTGATGTATGGCTTTACTGATTTCCAATTTTGGAAGTTCTTCTTGGCATGATCGTCACTGACCTTTTCATCAATAAATACATCTTCAATAATTAGATTTACAAAAATAAATATTAATATTATATTTTAATTAATATTCTTAAAAATTAAGATATATTTACCTTCACCAACTCTCCAATCAGCAGGAGTACAGACATTGGTCTTGGTGTTGATGGTGAGAGAGTCGAGTACACGAACTATCTCAACAAAGTTGACACCACAACACAGAGGATAGGCAAAGAATGCTTTGATCTTGTGGTCCGATCCGACGACGTAGACGTTACGGACACTTTGCACATCGTTTGGGTTTGAGACAGAGATCATTCCGAACGACTTGCAAATCTTGCGATCGGAATCACTGACGATAGGGAATACAACTCGACAGCCGTGGATCTCGTTGATGTCTTTGGTCCACTCTTCGCAGAGGTTCAAGTTGTCGGTGGTCAACACCACCACCTTACAGCCACGCTTCTCCAACTCCTGTTGCATAGTGCAGATGCGACCGAGCTCCGAGGTTCCAACTGGTGTCTTTGCCTTGGGTTGCGAGAAGATCAAACAATAGTTGCTATCGCCCATGTATTGCTTCAATCCAAACTTTCCCATAGTGGATTCACCATTAAAGTTTGGACAGACGTCACCAAGTACCAAATGACAAGAAGATGATGTTTGTGGTTCCATTATTATTATTATTTGTTGTTTTTGTGAGAAAAAAAGTATTTATAAGTTTAAAAGTATAATATTTGTATGCTTTTTCTTTAAAACTAAACTAACAATTAAATAGTCATCATTATTTATAGTTATTATAAACTTTTCTACAATTAAATCATTTATTACTAAAAAAAGTATTAAAGATGTATTTGATTGAAAAAACTACATATTTTATTATTTTTGCAAAGATATATCAATATATTACTATATCTATATTATAAAGATATATATTAAACCAATTCTTTTAAAAAAGAACACACCATATGAAAAAAAAAGAATAAAATTTAAAAAGTTATTAGTTTTTCAAAAAAAAAAAGTAACTTTATATTTTTTTTTTTGTTAATCTAATAAAATAAAAACTAAAACAACAATTTCTTTAAACAAATAAATAAATAATTTCAATTTAGTTAAATACAAAAAAATTTTGTTTTTATTTTTTTTTTTTTTTTTTGATGTTGTGAGTCATGTGAACTTAGAAAAAAATAAAAAATTTTTTAAAAACAAAAACAAGACTTTATTTTTATTTTTTTCAGTCAAGTATTAAATTGTAATTTAAAATTAACAAAAGATAAAGATAGAGTAGAGAATGAATATAAAGTCAATTTCATTGTTGGTTGTCTTATCAACTTTATTATTGGTGCAATCATGTAGTGCACTCTATTTTGAGTTGAACGGTGGAACCACTAAGTGTTTCATCGAAGAGAATCCAAAAGATACATTGTTAGTAGGAAACTACGTATTGGAAGATCTTAACCCACAAGCTGGTATCTCAACTCCATTAGGTACATATATTTTGATTAGTTTAGTTTAGATTTCTTTATATATTAATAATAATGGTATAATCGTTATTATTATTATTTTTATAGCACTCTCTGTTATTGTAACAGACCCAGAGAATCACGAAGTTCTCTCTAAACAAATGGGAGCAAGCGGTAGATTCGCATTCCAAACACTTATTGGTGGTGAATACAAGATCTGCATTTCTACAAACTCTTCAAAGTGGTTCGGTCCAACCATTAAGACTGTATGTGTTAATCAATATCAAATCAATTCATAATCAACAGCAATCATTAACATTATTTTTATTCATATTACTTTAGAGATTACATTTGGATATTCAGGTTGGTGCCAACGCTAATGACTACGAAGAAATTGCCAAGGTTGAACAATTGAATAGTAGGTTTTCATTTAATTTAATATTTATTATAATCATCACCATAAAACTTTAGCATAAGAATAAGAGTAGGAATAATACTTGTAGTTAGCAAATATCTTAAAAGATAGAAAAGATAAACAATTAGGATTCATAACAAGAATATTATATGAGATAATGATAGTTTATAATAGATAGTCAATCAATCATTCATTCATTCACTATTCATTCATTTAAAGAGTTTTTTTACTAATATATTATCTTTATTCATTAAAAAACAATCATAATAAATCATAACAATATAGATTTAGAAATTTCAGTAAAGAGATTGAATGACAGAGTTACACAAGTTAGAAAGGAACAAAGCTATCAAAAGGCACGTGAAATCACTTTCCGTAACACATCAGAGAGTACCAACTCCCGTGTTATGTGGTGGGCCATTCTTCAAGTTGTTGTTCTCTGTTTGACAGGAATGTGGCAAATGAGACATTTGAAATCTTTCTTCAAGGCAAAGAAATTAGTATAAATAAATAACTTTAATTACATTAAATAAAGAAATCAATAAGCTTAAATATATATACATAAATCTAAGCTAAAAACATCAAAGTTAATAAGATATTAACATTTTGTTTAGATTAAAGAATTTTTTTGTATATTAATTGAATTTTTTTGTATTAGATATATATTAATACACCACATCGTATTTGGAACGTTACAATATTATAATATACAATATACAAATATTATCCATTTTTTTATTTTATTTTTTTAAAGTTATGTCTATCTACAAATATTTGTTATTCATTCTAAAAGCTTTCGAACCGAATAAATCCTCTGGAAGTGCATAACAAAACTTTGGTTCTTTACTATAATCTCTAACATCATCGGATTTAATCTCTGCATCAACCTCATCGCTATTTGAAGGAACCATTTCCTTTTGAACTGCATAATATTTCTCCAAAAGTTTCTAAAATTTAGATAGAATTAAATAATTGTTTCAATACTTCTTTAATAAAGTTACTTACATCATCAAAATGTTGATAACAAAGGAATTCACTATAGGTAGATGATTTACAAAAGAAACATTCTTTCTTATCTATACAATTCTTGATAAGTTGAGAGAGTTTGACTGACTCTGTCGGTAAGTTAATTCTATCAGCATTAAACATATTACATCCTTTAAATTGAAGCATTCTATAATAACCAAAAAAAACAATCAATTACTATTTTGTATATATTAATATATATTTACCTTAAATGATTTATAAACAATAATTTCTTGTTGAATTGATTTAAATTGTCATAGTTGGCAATGGATTTAAGTACAAAATTAGGTTGTGACAATCCAAGGTAGGTATCATGACTAAACGGTCTATGAGTAATGAAATGTTGTGGAGGCATTGGGAAATCTTTCGAGTAACCATATTCGAATTCACTAAATTAATTAATTGATTAATAATTATTAATATTTGACATCTTTAGAATAAAATCATTATATCTTATTTACCCAAAAATCTTTGGACCATTTCTTCTATACATAAGGAATGAATCTGGAACGATTTTATAGTGACCGGGCTTAATATTTTTATCGAAAATATTGTAGATCTTTCCACCAAACACATATTTACAACTGTTAGAGTCTGTTAACCAATTGTTATCGCCTGGCTCGTGGTGTTGCAATACGATCTCTTGCAATGAATACTTTGAAAAGAATTTTGAACTGATTTCCATATCCAACTGAGATAGGTTATCCAAACTAGTTAATTTCGATTGATATAAGAATTCCTTTGTTCTATAATATGCAATAACACCATCAATCTAAAAATTATAGTATTATTAGTTTTGTTGTTTTGAAAAATCGATTTGTATAAAAAAAATACATACTGGTTCTTTGTACATCTTATATGAACCTTTAACTTGGTGAGGATAGGTAATTTCAACTTTGGCTTTGGATTTCTCAGTTAATCTATCTTGAATAACACGTGAAATCTTTGGAACTGGTGGTGCTGGAGTAACTGGGATTGGAGCTGGAAGTGACTCTTCATCACTATCATTATCAAACAAAGAAAAAGCTGACTTGGCATACTTTGCTGGTTGTGACTTCTCGACGATGGCAGGTGATTCATCATCATCATCATCAAAAAGATTGTTCACTTTTTTCTCAACTTTAATAGGATACACTACTTCAGTTTCGTCATCACCAAACAAATTATTGGAAGTGTATTTAACTGGTGTAACACTATTGTAATCATATGATGAATTATAATTATTTGATGAATCGTAATTATTTGAATTATAATCATTGTTGCTGTTGGTACTATTGTAGTCATAAGATGTTGCTGTTGAATAATTATTATATTGGTTGTTGTAATTACTACTATCATTATAGCTATTATAATTGTTTTCATTATAACTATAATTATTGTTATTGAATGAATCACTATTACCACCAGCATTGCTGCTGTAATCGAAAACTGGAATGTTATTCTCATCGCTGTTGTTACCACTCACATTTTTATAATTCTTTTCGAATGACTCCAACTGATCTCCCAATAACTCTTTTTTTCTATTCGTAAACTCATGTTCAGTGATGAATCCACTTTCGAAAATATCTTTAATCTTATTATATTTTTCAATTAAATCTTTATTTAAAATGGTTGTTAATTAAATTAATAAAATAAAATTAAAAAATATTTTTAAAATTTTATTTCTATTTACCTATGTCCATATTTATTTTTACTTTGTATAGTTATTTATTATTATGTATTGATTATTAATGCTTGCTTGTGTGATCTAAACTAAAATGTTGTTAATTTCTGTAAATCAAAAAGCTTAGATCGAGGTACATTTATAATTAATTCCATTTTTAAACCCCTTTCAAAAACTTTCTGTTTTTAAATTTGATTTTTGTTTTTTGACACAAAATCTTTGAAAATTTCAATAAATTTGTGCAAAAATGAAGCAGAGCTTTTTTTGACTATTTTCGATTCATTGGGAAATCAACCACGTTATTAGAAAACACCACTAAAAAACTTGCAACAGATAAACTTTAATGTTTCTGTGATTGATTAAAAGTTAAATTAAATTATATAAGTCTATCCTGGTGATGATTTTAATCAAATATACTTTAAAAATAAAGTTTAGACGATTTAAATGAAAGATTTTAATTTAAGATTAAATATTAGAGTGACAAACATTTTATTAATAGTATAGGAAACTACAACATATTTTTATACCTAATTTATATAGATCCTTTAAATCATTTATCATTTATTGATTCTATTCTAATCTGATGATGGAAATGGTTAACTTTAACCAATAAATCTATTAATAAATTTATTTAGGTATATAAAAACAATAATATTTTTTATTTTCTTTACTAGTTGTTTTATTTAAAATTTCATTCAGTTCAATCCCTATCTTTATAAAATAATATTAATGTAAATTATTAAGATGATTTTAGATTAGTAATTGTATTACGAAACATCATCTTATTTTTCTCAAAACTTTCGAGTCCATATCATTCCGTTTTGAAACACGACGTAAGATATTTTCTGAAATTTTGACGGTTTTTTGCAATTTTTTTTTTGTTTTTATGAGCTGTTAACAATAACCAATAATTCTGTTTCATGTATTTGTCCTTTGTTTTTTGTAAATTTATTGTTTTTGCTTTATCAGGTTGAGGTTATTACTCAATCAATTCAAATTATAATATTATATTATATAGCAATCGTTAAATGTTATTATTAAAAGAATATATATACATATATAGTAGTTGTAGAAAATAATAATAATATTTGTAAAGTAAATATAAAATAAAAATGATGAAACGACCAAAAGTATCATTTTTATCTTCTAGAAAGATATTGTTGTTTTGTTTGGTTGCCGTCATCGCAACGACATTCATATCGATGAGAATGATAACAACCAATGTCAATATCCAAAATACAGTAGGAACAAATAATAAGAATGAAGATGGATTGGGTGATCCGATCGATGTAACCACTCCATCTGACCGTGAATATGACAACACCGATAATAGCAACAGCAATACAAACTCAAAAGATATACACATCACCAAGAAGAAAGAAGCGAACGATTCACCAAACTTTTTCAATAAATACGAATTACCGTTCCGTTCGCAACCCAAGCCGATGACCGAGCAGGAGCAATACGAAGCCAATCGATTGAAGGCACTGCGCTCCAAGGCCAACGACGAGGAGCGTCCCATCCTGCTAAAGATGGTGTTCGACGAGTACGAGCGTGAAGCCAAGATGTTGCAAGCGATGCCTGTTCCCGACCGTCCCGACTGCGTGGCGTTGCCACCCGCTTCGGCACTGGTTGACTATGTCAAGCCCGATCCAGTGGAGGACAAAAAGCTGATGTTCGAAACGACATGGAAGTTAGATCGCTCAAAAGAATCCATTCTTGCTGCCGAAACCCCATATCTTTGTGCACGTCCCAAAGACCGGTGGTTCTTCACTCGGTAACATTTTCAAGCGTAACGAACGTCGTGATCAATTCAATCATTTCTGGGCACATCCAGGTAAGCATGAGTTGGAGCATATGGCCACCAAGTTGACAACGATTTTCGGACACGTTCGCTATGGTTTACATTTCTACTATGAACAATACAGACCTGGACAACTTACACCCAGACAAGATGGATTGAATCCATATTCCTACATGACAATGTTACGTGAACCAGTGGATCGTGTCATCTCTCACTATTACTATCACCGTCAAAACAAGCGTGATCCAGGACATCAATTGGCCATGAGAAACACATTCAAAGAATGGTTAGAGAAATCGCCTGCCGCCAACAACGAGCAAGCTCGTATGCTGTGTGGTGTTGCCCCATACGATTATCCAGGTGTTGAAAACACAACTGAAGCATGTGCAATTCATCATTTACAATAGTAAGTCAAAAAGCTATTGTTATTATTATTATTTAAGATTTTAACTAACATCATATTTTAGTACATATAAATTTGTTGGAATTACAGAAAAGTTTTCAGAAAGTTTAGTATTATTAACACATTATGGTGGATTCCAAGCGATTAGATTTACAAAGATCAATTCAGGTACACAAAGAGTCACTGTAAATGAAGTGCCGGAAGATATTATCAAAGAGATTATACAGAGAAATCAAGCAGATATTTTCTTGTATGAACAAGCTAAAATTATATTTGAAAAGCAAATCGATGCAATCGGACGTAGTTTCATCGAGGCAGAAACAAAAGAATTTAAAAAGAAAGTAAAGATATTTTAATTAAATAAATTAATTTATCTTTTTCTCTTTTATATAAGTAAATAATAATAATAATATAGAGAATATAATATTATATCCACAACAATAACAACAGATAGATTAAAAAAAAGAAAAAGAAAAAAACATTGGAAATAAAAATAAAGTTAAGTTTTCAGCGATTGGAAAATCCAATCAGTGTATTTAATTTGTTATTACTATTGTGTTGTTGCTATTATTATTTAATTAGAATATAAAGATGGTTGAATATTATTATTATTTTGATGTTGTTGTAATAGTTTTCTAATGACAGGAGTATTCTTTATGGTTTCACGTGCTTTCAGTGGAGAGTCGAACCGACCCGATGCCATGAGGAGTGCCACTGGAATGATATGTGTGATTGTATTTTGGTTGGCGTAGTCGATGTGTTGGTAGATTGGTGCAGTACTGACTGCCTCTGGTATTTGGTCGTTCTTCTCGAGACTGTAGATCGAACGGAGCAACGAGTCTCTGGCTTCGAGTGCACTAACACCAAACAGCTTCTCAATGATACCGCACGAACGATGGAATAACTTATTGTTGGTCAGTCCGAGATCGATCATTCTATTACCATAGACTTTGCCGGCCAGTACGAAACCACCGGTCGTCAAAGCATTCAATATCCACTTTAGCGATAGCTCATAGAACGACGGTACTCTATCTATGGTTTTAAACGGTAGGGTAACTGTTAATGTGTATACATTCTGAGAGAGATTCAACATTGATAGACCTGATCCAACACAACTACTATTCTTTAATGAATTTACTTGACTATTTCCATTGCTATGACAATTATTATTACTACTATTGTTGTTGTTGTTGTTGTTGTTGTTATTATTTTGATTATTGTTATTGTTGTTATTGATACTACCACTTATATTAATACAATTGTTATTGTTTATCGAATTACTCTCATGATTGAAATAAATTATGTTTACTCTTGGTCGTTTGTCGTTCTTTGCTGATAGTGAGTCTAGAATCGGTTGATATAGTTCTATGGAGTCGTCGGATGATATCGAGATGACGACGGTATCGTTTGATTCCATGCTGGGAATCATGCTGATGAAATGTGATTGTGAGATACGATATTGTTCACAGAGATGAGCTTGATCACCGTCTTTGTTGTCCATTACCATCCAACCTTGTTTCTCCTCGTCGTCCATAATGAATCCACGAACATCCAAGTGTCCTGCACCGAATGTCGGCACTGTCTCTGATGCATCGATAAAGCCAACAATACCAAGACTCTTGCTACCCAGATAGTAGAGATGTCCGTGGTTCGACAACGAGCTGCCGGCATCGTCTACTATGCGCGCGACACCCTCAACACACCGGTAAGTCGCGCGATACACCATTTCATATTGACTCAGTCGTTGATAGATCATCGACTTTATATCGGTGCGTTCCATCACACCCTTGAGTCCCAACGATAATATTATCTCAAGGAGAATCTTTGTGGCGGTTCCGGACTTCATTCTGGTGGATCCGGTTAGAGGTTCCGGTCCAACAATCGGGTTGACCAAGAAGTGTTTTCCACTCTTGAAATCCAACTGGTTGATGACATCGGCGAATGACTTGTCCCACTTTTCAATGATATTAGTTCTGGCGCGTTCCAACGGATTGAAACCGACGACGTTGATGATATGGTCGGATTTGCAATCGAGAAGTCTTGCGATTTGCGACGCAACATAAGGCGCTGACAATCCGCATGTCACACCAAAGTAGACGACGATTGCGTTTGGTCGCATGATAGAGTTGATGTCGGCACGTGCCTGCTCGATATCGTCCTCAGCACCCTCGACACCTACAGTTAGCGCGCGGTCACCTCCTGCAATGAGATAGTGATATCGTGCGTTTGGTAGCGATGTCCACTTGGCAAAAGAACGTGCCAAGAAGTATGCTAGACGTCCACTCGTACCGGCACCACTCACTACAAAGTCGACTTCACGACTCACTGTAAGCGATTGTATGCAATGTATCAGCTCCACCATATGATCTATAATAAGAGTATCGTTGATTCCAGGGTACTCTTTATAGCCAGAGAATATCTGTGCATCTGTTTGTCTAAACAATCTTAACATCTCAATAGATGAAAGAGAATCTAATTCACCTGTCAATTCATTAGGTGTCTCTGTAATTGATTGTTTATTCATTATTATTTGAGAAGATTATCTATACTCTTTTTTTGTTATTATTATTATCTTTATAGTTATAAATTATTAATTATTTTATATGATTCTTCTTATTCCCTATGCTATGGTATCCTATCTTATCTTAATCTTGTCCAAAAAAAAAATAAACCAAAAAAATCTACGTTTGGGAAAGTTCCCAATTTAAAAAAAAATATTAAAAAAAATATCTATTTACAAGCAATTTACTAATTATTATTTAGATATATAATAGATAATAGATAGATATCTTAAAGATATGAACAAAAAAAAAATCAAATAAAAAAATGTGAAATTGAATAATATATAAAAATATATTATCTGTTTTTCTCCCTCTTTATTTCACCACCATATTTTTATGGATTCAATATAATACCACACTCTTATTATATATATTCTCAGGTGTGCACTTGAATTTCATATTCTTTCAATTTAATATTTAATAAAATAAATATTAAATTTTTTTTAAGAAAAAAAAAAACAATTTAGTTAAAACTAAATATTAATTAATGAATTATTTTATTGATATGAATACCAGCACAAACAAAGAATTGATATAAAATGATCTTGTAAACTCAAAATTACTCAAGGCAATAAAAAAAATAAAAATAAAAAAATAAAAAAAATCAAACAAATCTTAATTAATTAGTTTTATTTTTATTTTTTATTAAAACAATTTATCTTTTTTATATTCAAAATTAAATTGCTATTTATCATTGAACATTAATTAATTAACTATATAGTAAAGTCATTCAGATTAACAAAGAACTAAAAACAAAACTAGTTTTGTTTGAACAATTATATTTGTATAATTTATATATATATATCGAGTGAGAGAATATAGTATCTTTCAAAAGATGTCAGATACAATCGAAGATGATGTTGCAGGTGATCAATCGACACCACAATCAACAGGCGTACCAACATCACCAACACAATCTACATCAACAACAGCAGTAAAAGATTCAGGTATATATATATATTACCATAAAACACTACATGCTTTGCAACTATTTCATTCATGATCATAAATGCTAATACCTATCCGATTTATCTATCAATAGTTATTATATATTTTAAGAATGCAGGTAGTGCACCGGCGTTAAAACAAAAGAAATTCAAACTTCAGTCTACTATTAACTTCCAAGCTGTCATTGATAATCTTCGAAAGCAATTGAAAATGAAACCAAACGAACCATTAGTATGTCAATATAAACAATCAATTCAATTCATAGATCGACCTTACTAATTCAAATCCAAACTCATCATCATCATTATTATAATATATAATAGTTTTTATTTGTAAATCAAGTATTTCAACCATCTCCTGATGAATGTTTAGGTGAACTATTTAAAGTAAGTGAATTATTATTAAAATATAAAATATATTGTTGTTCTAACCAATCGATCAATCATTTCATTTACTTTATTACAGTGTTTTAGTTATAACGATCAATTAGTGATAAACTATTCGAATGCACCTGCATGGGGATAGTACTATCATTTTTATAGATATAGAAATAGAAATAGATGCACTATCAATAACAACTCATTCTCAACTATAATAATATAGTCTTTTTTGTTAATAATAAAACTCCACTCCCTCTAATCATCATTCTTAAACTGTTGATTTCCATCAATTTTTATTCATTCCACTAAATTTACTAACATTTTTCATTCATTCATATACTATTCTCAGATTATTTATATAATTTACATTTTCCAACAAATCTTTTTGATCGGACAATCAAACAATCAATTATCACTTTTTGAATCTAATCACAACTCCGATAAGTTGATTTGGCATGACTTTTTTAGTAACGTTTTAAATTATGCAAAACACACCTCTTTCACCATTTCATTTTTAATGTGTGAGTTTTTTTTAAAAAAATTTCTCATATTTTTATTTTTAATTATTTTTTTTCAATTTTTTTTTTTGGCAAAATCTTTCTCACAACAAAACTGTTGAAAATATTTAAAAACAATTTTTTGTGTTTTCAACTCGACTTCATATACTAATAGACATGTCTACCACTATCTATACCTACCCACAAAACCCACGTGCCGCCAAGGCTTTGATTGCTGCCAAGTACACCGGTGTCACCATCGATGTCCCAGCTTTCGAATTCTCACCAGTCAACAAGCCAGTCGAATTATTGAATGCTAACCCATTCGGTAAGGTTCCAGCTGCCATGACCCCACAAGGTCCATTGTTCGAGTCCAACTCGATCGCCCGTTACGTTGCTCGTGCCGCCGGTAGCAAGATCTACGGTTCCGATGCCTACGAAGCCTCCGTCATTGACCAATGGTTGGATTTCGCCACCAACGAAGTCGAGAGTGCCGCCGCCGCCTGGTTGTACCCAATCATGGGATTCGTTCCATTCAACGCCAAGGACACCCAAAAGGCCAAGGAAAACCTCAAGAAGACTTTGACCACCTTGAACACTCACCTCCAATCCAGATCTTTCTTGGTTGGTCCACGTGTCTCATTGGCTGATATCGTCCTCGCCTGTTCATTGAAGTCATTCTACACCATGGTCTTCGACCCATCCTTCCGTTCAACCTTCCCAAATGTCAACCGTTGGTTCGTCACCTGTGTTAACCAACCAAACTTCAAGTCCGTCTTGGGAGAGGTCGTCCTCACCGCCGTCATGATGGAGCCAAAGAAGGAAGAGAAGAAGCCAAAGGAAGAGAAGCCAGCTCCACCAAAGAAGGAAGAGAAGCCAGCCCCAGCTCCAGCTGCCGCTGACGAAGAGGCTGATGACAAGCCAAAGAAGGTTCACCCACTCTCATTGCTCCCACCATCCAAGTTCAACTTGGAAGAATGGAAGAGAATGTACTCTAACAACGATACCCGTTCTGTTGCCCTTCCATGGTTCTGGGAGAACTACGATGCTGAAGGTTTCTCTGTTTACTTTGCCACCTACAAGTACAACTCTGAATTGGGTGCTCAATTCATGACTTCCAATTTGATCGGAGGTAAGTTATTAATTTATATTTATTTGTTTTTTTAATTTCATTCAAATTTGTTTTTTTAACACACTTTCATCAAAATAGGTATGTTCCAACGTTTGGAGACACTTCACAAGTGGGCTTTCGCTTCAGTTTTGATTACTGGAGAAGATGTTGAAGGAAAGATCAACAACCAAGAAGTTACTGGTATCTGGATCTTCCGTGGTGCTGATTTGCCAGAAGATTTGAAGGAATGTGATGACAGCATTGTCTATGACTGGAAGCTCTTGGACGTTAAGGACCCAGCCACCAAGACTTTGATTGACGACTACTTCGCCTGGGACGGTGCTCTCGGTGGAAGAAAGTTCATCCAAGGTAAACTCTACAAGTAAACCTACCAATCAATATAAATAAATTATCAAATATTTATATTCATCATATAAATATAACACTATGTATAAATTTAATTGAATTATTTCTTTCTCTTAAATTGATTTATTTTATCATTGAGATATGAATCATCTCTCTGCATATTGAATATTTTAAGTTAGAATACGCACAAATAAACAAGATGCATTGTCAATGAACATTACAATCTTTTTAATCCGTTAAAAATAGAGCAATAACAAATGATTTATTTATCTAATAATTTTATCACCAGAATTACTGTTTAATTGAAACACTTTTGCTCTGGTCATTATTTCCATTTTTTGAACAAATATCATCTTTTTTTTTCACTTATTTATTTTTGTATACTATTTCATAGCTTTGAGGTTAAAATTTGTTTTGATAATTATTATTATTTCAAATTAATTAATTAATTTAATATTATTAGTTCAAAACATAACAGCTGGTGTTAAGGTTTTAGATATACAAGCTAAAGTCTTAAAAAAAACAAATAATTTAAAGATTATAACTACCTTTTTGGATAAAGTGTAGAAAAAGTAATAGAACGATAAGAATCGAAATCAAGCACACCATTAACCTTTTTTTTCAATTTTGTGTGTTCCCGAATCAAAAGTTGTAAAAACCATGACTTCAAGAATGTTTTTACAATTTTTATATTGGAATCTTCGAATTAAAAAGATATAAATTGAATCATTTCATTATGAAATTTCATTCAAACATCAAATCAAATAAAAATATATATTAAATACAATTAAAATATCTAAACTAAACATTATTAAAAAATAAAATTAATCAAAAGAAATGTCAGTCAATATCAGAGAAAACATTAATGCAATCATCAAAGGTATCCAAGAAAATAAGATCTTGGAGATTTTCGAAAAATACTATGCTGATGATGTTGTGATGTATGAGAAAGGTGATTCAACAAACAGAGTTGGAAAAGATCAAAACAGAAAAGCTGAAGAAGCTTTTGTCAATAATGCAACCATCCATGAAGCAAAACGTATGTTTCATCTATTAATATTAATATTAAAATTGTATTTAAATCTGTATTTAACTATTATTTAGTTCTCAAAGTTTTGGTTGATGGAAACAACACTGCTTATGAAATGTATATGGATTTCACTTATGGTGGTCACAACATCAAGAAGACTCAATGGGCAATCCAACAATGGAATAACAATGGTTTAGTTGTAAAAGAAGAGTTCTTTTAAAAAATTAAACTTATCTATCATGTACATTAGAATAAATTCTATTTAACTTTATTTTATCAAAATAATTATTGTTTTTTATCTTTAATTTTTATTTTGATGATGAGGTGTACCTTTGAATCTCTGATTTTGTGCAATACAAAGCAAATACATGACTGAAGCGATATGAGCAAGCCCATATCATAATGTTTCGGTCCCTCTAGATAAATTAGTTTAATCAATTATGCGGTTAACGTGTGACCGCAGAAAGAGATTAAGCTTTCTAGAACAGATACTACACATGATCAAAGCAAATTGCTTTGAGAAGTGATTTGTTTAAATCAAAGTGTTGATCTATTTATATATTTTTATCACCTTAATATTATTTTTTATTTTTATTTTGATTGATGAAAAACATACTTTCACAAATTTTTGGTAATTATATTAAAGTTTAAAAATTTTTGTTTTTCTAATTCAGGAAATATCTACAATTGTTTTTGTTTAACTATAAAAATTAATTATAAAACTAATAAATTGATACTATTTTATTTTTAATTGGGAATTTTTAATGTTTATTAATTGTAGTAAATTTTTTATTTTTTTAATAACATTGTTTTAAATAAAAAAGTGATAATATTTTCCTAATTGTTCAAATTTTGTTAATATCTAAAAAGATACATAATATCAATATCGCAATAATAAAAAAATTCTTATTTAGTTAATTTTGTTTTAAACCCTTGAATATTAAATTTATTTTGATTTTTGAAATTTAGTTTTACTGACTGATTTTGGATTAGAGTTCTTTTTTGACAAGATAAGAGTGCTATAGTTTTTGGAAATATGACGGGTAATATCCTTAATGAAATCAGGAAGTGATATCGTATGCCATTCTTTGTAAATAGCCCATGAGTTTACAATGGAGAGGGAAAGAAGGTATTTGAATATATTGAACCACCATTTACGAGATTCCAAAACAATCTGGTGTTGAGATGTATTTTCATTGTTTCTATCTACATGTCCAGAGTAAATTCGATAAAACTTCAACTCTTGTGGATATTCCTTAGTAATTGTTTCACCTTTACAATTTTCTTTACAATCTTCGACAGTATCTATGCGGGCAGAATAGTTGTCAATACAAATGTGATATTTCTGATCTTTTGGCAAATGATTCAGAAGATATAGAATGTGATTTTCGGTACATCCTCTTTCCGTAGGTGTAGATTTATCTTGACCGATTTTCCCTTGGTGGATCTTAAACGAAAAGAGGTAGCCTTTACTATCAACTTGCTTGAACATCTTAAATCCCCATTTAGTTGGTTGATCAAACATATACTGAAGGTGAGGATGATTCTGACGACAATCAATTAAATCTTCACCAATTGATAAAATAGTTGTTGGTTTCCAATAAAACATGAACTTGCTTTCCAAGTGTCGAATCAATGGTCTAATCTTGTAAAAGATATCGTTTGGATCTTTTTGGTTGTTATTTGCAAAATGAATAGTTGAATAAATACTGGTGAATTGATTTCTAGACATTAGGTTTCGAACTGGAGTGAATCCTTCACCATTTCCTCTCCAATAACTAGAAAAAGATGGCATTTTACAGATTCCCATGCATAGTAAAACACCAATAAAAGCAATTAAGATCTCATAAGTACACTTTGATTGGAAATTTTGTTCAAACTCTAGATTTATACCCTTTTGATCCATATATAAGTTGGTCTCTGTCGTTATGAGTTCAATGATACTAAAATCAAAGAATAGAGTAAAGATTTGAAATGGAGTCAAATTACCAAGATTTTGAGGGCAATTATCACTCTGTTTGGGCTCTTTGATTTCTACTGAGCCAACATTCGAATCTGTGCGACCTCGTTGGTTTATTTCTAAACCACTTAAAAATTCACAAATTAAGTCTGGATCGGATTGATTGAAGTCCCACCCATTAGATTTACAGATTTCTTTCAAAACTCTATCATTATTACATATTATATTTATATTTTTCTTTAAAATCTAGAGTAAAATTTAGAATCAATTCTGTTGGAAAACTAAAATACAGAATATATTTACCTTGATCATCCGAATAACTATAGAATAAATGTTGTTGGATTTCATTTTCATCATCAGTATCCTCTTCTCTCACCTTTAAGTCATCTTCGATTGATATTGATGACATTTTAACTTTTGACAAAAAGAAACAATTAAAAATAAATACAAATTGTGTATAAATCTGTTCTGTAGTACTGGTTCTTTGTATTAAAAAAAAAAGAATGAAAAAATAAGTGCTTAAAAATTAAAACATGTTTAAAACACAAGTGGTTAATTTTGACTTTCAAGTTTTGGTGTTTAATTTTAAAAATGAAGAAAGAATTTGTGTAATTCCATTCAATGACAGATGGAAAAAATTAAAATTAGGGGGTCAACCAGTCAAATTTTTTTAATTTGCTTCTGTTTTTCAATGGAATTAAATTTTAAAGTTAAAATAACAAATAAGATAACAGGAATACTACCAATCATGAATTGTTGAAGTTGAGTTCAATATTTGAACAAAATCTTGATACAGTTGTCGAGATCTCTAAGGAAATTTTGAATATAATAACTTATTTTTTTATAAAAAATAAAAATAATACAATAATTTAAAAATTATAACTACCATTTTTGGTAAAGTAATAGAAGTTGAAGTAATAGAATGATAAGAATCGAAATCAAGCACACTTCTATGATATTTTTCAGTTTTGGGTGTTTTTTGTGTGAAAAAAACACATTTCATTCCGGAACACCACACCTTCAAGAATGTTGTTTTTATTTTTTGTTTGGCGATTGTTTTACTTGAATCTTCCATTTTAAAAGATATAAATTGAATCAATTCATTATGAAATTTCATTCCATCTTCAAATCAAATATATAAATACAAATAAATATCAAAACTTAACATTATTATTAATTATTAATAAATTAAAAAAATAAAAATATCAAAAGAAATGTCAGTCAATATCAGAGAAAACATTAATGCAATCATCAAAGGTATCCAAGAAAATAAGATCTTGGAGATTTTCGAAAAATACTATGCTGATGATGTTGTGATGTATGAGAAAGGTGATTCAACAAACAGAGTTGGAAAAGATCAAAACAGAAAAGCTGAAGAATCTTTTGTCAATAATGCAACCATCCATGAAGCAAAACGTATGTTGGATCGAATATTTAAATAATTGATTTAATTATTAATATTAATATTAATATTAAAATTGTATTTAAATATTTAAATTAAATATTCTTTAGTTCTCAAAGTTTTGGTAGATGGAAACAACACTGCTTATGAAATGTATATGGATTTCACTTATGGTGGTCACAATGTCAAGAAGACTCAATGGGCTATTCAACAATGGAATAACAATGGTTTAGTTGTAAAAGAAGAGTTCTTTTAAATAAATAAAATAATTGATTTTGTACTTTAATTTATATATTATATATATATATATTTTATTTTCAATATTTATTAATATTTTTTAATATTTTTTTTTATTATTTTGATTTCAAACTTTGAAAATGAAAAATTAACAATTCATTTACTTGTTAAAAAATTAATAATAATAATGATGATGGATAGTTACGATGAATGTAATTTTCATAATAATCGATTAGAATTGATATGTTTTGATTGTAATATAGCATTGTGCTCACAATGTTCACCACAACACTCACAACATTCATTCGAACACATAAAGAATATTAAATCTAATAATAGTTGTCACTTTAGCATTGATAAACTTGGAGAGTCTATCGAGAAGCTGTGGTCAACCGTCAAAACAAAGATATCGATCTACGAGCAACTAGAACATACAGAGACTGATATCTCCAACAAATTCAACGAGCTACATGAACATCTTCGTGTTGAAGAGCATCGTCTAAAGAAACCGATAGTCTCACACAAAGATGAATTGGAACAACTCATCACCAATGATATCAACAACATGAAATCGTTGAATTCCATTATAAATTCATTAGTAGTATCTACTAAAGGCAAAGAAGAATTAGATAAAGAAGTGGAGGAAAAGTTAACAGATAATATAATAAGTGAAGATATAAAAGAGAGTTATACAATACGTGCAATCATTGAATCAATAAAACAATCGAATAATATCAATGAATTCATAAAGAATAACATTGATACGCTATTCTATAGTCATGATATTAACACCAACAAACAATCAGATATAAATGATGATAACATTATATTACATTTAATTATTAATCATAATAGTAATTTTAAATATGATTATACAAATAGTAATAATAATAATGATACAGATAGTAATAATAATAATAATAATAATAATATATTAGAGAAATTACAACAACAATATCTTTATAATTTACATGTTAATAACAAGTCGATAGATAGCTATAAAAAAGATATTAGATCTTCATTCAAGTTGGTACACCAATATCTACAAAAGACAAAGTCGACCTATATATTCACTACCGACGATAATAGAAAGGCAACGCTAATAACACTGCCAATCAATTGCGATGACGATGAATACGACGATTACAAAGTAGAGAATTTGGATGTCGAGTTGAGTGCTTGCTGGTCTTACAACTCTACGATCACGGTTGGCGAGTATATCTATAGCTTCGGTGGTGGATTCCTTCAATCAAAGATATTCCAGAGATTCTCGATGGCCAGCAGATCAATAGATATCGAGAGAGACATGGATGGTGTTGATCCTTGTCGTTTTGTTTCGGTTGCTCACGACGGTGCTGATCTGATCTATATACTCGATGGCGACGACCGTGAAGACACCATAGTCTACCGCTACAATATAGTATCACAGACATTCGAGAGATACTCAATCATAAAGAACTACGTCGTTGAACTGTCGTTCTTCTATGATCAACATCTCTATTCCGTCAGTTCACTTAAGAATCGTATTATCAAGTTCAATCCTGCTACGAAAACAACTGTAGAGCTACCGGTGGATCTCTCAAAGTACAACAGATACCGATGTTCGATGTGTACCGACGGTCAAGGTAATATCTACCTATTGTCATCTCCCAAGTTCACCGTATACAATATTGTCACCAATGAGATAAGACAACTGACTGCAAACAATCATCAGAGTACAGATAACCGTCTGCTCTACCATCGTGAACCAGGACCCGATGGAAAGTCACACATCTATCTCTTACAAGGAAACACTCATAACTATATCTATTCAATAGAGAGTGACATTTGGGAATCGATATTTCAAGAGCAATCAAAGAGAACAGGTTGTGCATCATCAATAATCATGTATTAACATTATATAAATAATAATAATTATAAATAAATAGATAGATTTATTTTTTATTTATTTTAATTATTTATTAATGATGATGATTTATTTCATTTCAACATCATTATCTTTTGGTGTATTTCCATGTTCGTAAGTGATTGGGTTATATCTACCTGGATGGAAAATTGCCCAGGTCAATAGAATTAACAATGCCAACAATGTTTCCAAACAATAGAAAACAGCTTCATTTGTAACTGATCTCTCGAATGCGACGATACGATATACACTTCTAATAGTAAGGAGTATAACTGATACGAACAATCCAATGAAAATATATCTCCATGACAAATCGTCGTTTGTGCAGTTGGTTCTGTATCCCATATAGTTTTTATAGACAAACATACTATAAAGCAAAGATATTACATAAACAACCAATGATAATGCTAAACCAATAACAATTAGATTTTTGGCAGAGTGTGAGGTTGGATCATTTCCCAGTCGGATTGAGCCAACTACCTGTAAAACGGAAGTTACAATCAGAGCAAGTCGAATATGCATTGTTCTTATTCTAAAATTCATTTTAATTCTTTCCATCCTATTATTTGGTAAATAAAGAAATAAATTATTAATGAATAAAATTATTATCAATAATTTTGAAATTTACACTTTTGTTAAAATAGAGAACCAACCAAGATGTAATAAAGTAATAGGAATCAAAATAATTATTCTTGCTGCCATGAAAAGTGATAGGTTATCTGTTTGTTTAGCTGATGCTATTCTAACTCCATATCCTGCACATTCCACTATAAATTTAATTAATCTGTTAGAAAATTATAAAGAGAGAAAGTTTTATTTATTATAAAGATACAAACATATTCCTGCCATTACAATTTCCATAAAATAAAATTGTTTATAATATAAACATTGTACTATAATTAAAACTGATAATACAAAATAAATAGCAATGGCAATTGCAGCCAAAGCTATACTTGGATTATATCCATAATAATTAATTAAAACATGTGCTGTTGAGTTTGATTCCATACTGAATAAGGTTTAATAATGCTATAATAGTATTGTTTTTTTTAGTAAAAGAAATATAAATTATTGTTTTATACATTTTCATTTTAAGAAATATCTATTTATATTAAAAAAATCACAGTAATAAAACTTTTTTAAAGTGGTGTGAAAATGAAATTTTGACAAGTCTAAAATTTTAAGCTTGATCAAAAGTGTTCAGTCTTTCTCTTGAACTCCTACGATTAATTAATATAATTAAATAGGTAAAATAATTTAACACACTGTATTTTATATTAATTTTTTTCTCAGTTATTAAAGGTAAACGAAGTTCGTGTATTAGATTTTTTTAATTAATCATTCCAGATATATAATATAAATTTATTTTTACTCAAAGATTTATTTAAATTAACAAATTTTTGATTTTTTAAAATTTTATAAACTGTGATTTAATCTTTATTATCCTTTTTCCTTATATTTATAACTAATAACTAATAATTTTTATTAATTCTACAGATTTTGTTACTTGTGTTTTTTTAAAATTAAAAAAAGTTGAATATTTAAATATCAAGTGATTTTATTCTTTATTATTATTCATTTCGATATCTTCTCCTTTTGTATGCTCTTTGTCGATTGAAGTTGGGTTATATCTACAAGGGTGGAAGATTACCCAAGCTATAAATATTATTATTGTAAAAAGTACATCTAAACCATAGAATGATGATTCTGTTGTGATGGATTGTTGGAAAGAAATCAAACGAAATATACTCCTCATTAGCATAAAAATAGAAGACACAAAGAGCCCGACAAAAACATGTCTCCATACTATTTGTTCAATATATTCTTTAGATATGAATTCAACAAATTTTCTATACACATAAATACAATAGAAAAAGGATAAAATAAATATTACTAATTGTAAAATAAAACCAAATTGTAATAGTTTAGTTGCGGAATGTAATGTTGGATTTTTTCCAAGTTGACAAGTAGCAATTGTTTGAAATATTGAAGCTAATAACAAAAATAATCGAACAATTCCTACATCAACTTTAAATTTCATTTTAATACTGTCCATTCTATAAATAAAAAACAATTAATTAAAAAAAATGAGAATATTTTATAAAATAAAATACGCTACACTCTAAGCAAAATTGAATACCATCCAAGATGAGCCATCGTAATGGGAAAGAATAAAAAGATTCTAGAAGATATGAACAGTCGGTAATCTTCAGTATGAGTAGCTGATACAAGTCTAAGTGAGTATCCTACACTTTCAGCTTTTGTAATTTTAATAGTTAGGATTAAAAGTGATCATCTTTTTCAATAAAATAAGATTCTTACAAAATCCAGCTAATACCAATTCAAAGAAAAAATATCTTTTAAAATATATGATTTGAAATAGGATAATTAAAGAAAAAATGACATAAGATGCAAGGGCAATAGCTGCCAAGGGTATGCTAGGTTGATATCCATAATAATTAATGGTGGTGGAGTGAAAAGTTGAGTTTGAAAGTAGAATTTCTTCTTTCATGTTGTTTCTAGAATTAATTTGAAAACTTTATATAAAAAAAATTTTTTGAAGTAGAAAGAAAATCCTTTTTAAAATATTATCTTACCAGTTAGTATTAAATGAAAAACTTTGAATGTATTGGTGAATATCTACCAATTTAAGTGTAGATAGAGTTTTATCGATAAAATTTAGTTGGCATTTGTTCATCTTTAGATATCATTTGTTGAAAACAAATTTCAAGATTCATACCTTTAACATTCTGTGATTAAAAGAGATAACTATTTTTATTACCGCGATGCATAAATAATTAAATTATTACAACAAGTAATAAAATTTAAAAAAATGTTGAGCCAGATTTATAAAGAAATTAATAATAACCACTAATTTTAACAAGTCAGCTATTGATTTGTTTTATTTAAAAAAAAAAAAAAAGGTGCGGGTTGAAAAAATATCTCCATGTTCATATCACTATTACTCTTATTGTTATTACTATTATTATCACAGATTTGTTTGTAATAAGAATAAATATATATTTATATGGTAGAGCAATAATAAAATATGAAGTTCTGATAAATGTGTTACTATAGTTAGCTATCATTATGATTATTGTTATTACTGTGGAGTATGTGATAAACCATCTTGTTTCTCTTTATACTTTAGTTTGATTCTCTTGATGTTGTGAAATGTTGTGGTTATAGTTGATGTTGTTGTAGTTGTTGCTGTAGAATTAGATATATTGTTTTCACCTGATGAAATATCACCATCTGCTCCTTCAACGATGCCAACCGGTATATTCAACTCGTAGATATTGGTCCTCCATTTCTCGCTGTTGATATCGTACTTAGTTTCATCATAACCATTTGAGCCCAAGTCCAAATCACTCATCTCTCCTGGTGACTCACTATCATAGCCATGAGAAATAAGTGATGGTTCCAGAATCACTTCATTTTCAAAAATACTATTTACATTTATATTATTATTACTACTATTATTATTTATATTTATAGGTTGTTTCTTTTCAGTTATTATTTCTTTGTTTTCATTATTACTACTGTTGCTGCTGCTGCTAATATCGTTATTATTATGATTGGTTGTCTGTGGTGAAATTGAAGATGCAACTATGATGGTTGTGTATGGATCCTTACGTTTTAAAATTAGTTTTAGAGGTGGTTTGTTGATTTTGTTGTTACTGTCTGATGTTGTTGATGATGATGATGTTATTTTAGTTGTAGCAACTACTTGTTCATCGTGGATATCTTCATCTTCATCGTCAGACAATGGTTTGTAGTCATTTCGCAGCCAAGGAAAGTAGGTGAGCGACACACTAGAGCGATCTCCGTAATCGAAAAATAACTCTTCACCTCGTTTTATTGCACGATTCGATATCAAAACGATCTTTGGTACACCATTGACCTGTATCTTTATTGGATCCAAGTTACCGTCTACCTTGTGATTTATATATCTACCATGACCCAAGTCAACCGATGGTATAGTTGGATCGACACTATTTATATATATATATATGTATACATTGTATTGTAAAAGAGAAATCAGTTAAGGTTTATTGCTTATTAACACCAATTCGATTAACTAATAATTATTACAATAAACATACCACATAACCTTTCCTTTATGTTCAAAAAAGAATAAATAACAATCCATACGAAGTGTTGTACTGTTGCGAGCATACAATCGCTCTCTTCTCTCAGCTTCTTGCTTACCAATCAACTCGCCTTTATACTCAACCACCAGGACACCAGACTCAACATCATCGAGTACTTTAACACCATTTCCTTTACCCTTTGACATGATAATCTCTGTTGGTACAAATATATCTTTTTGATATTGTTCTACAATAACTATTAACAATTAATAATAATAATAATAATAAAACAAATAAAATTAGATAAACTAAAAGCAAACAATTACATATTATTTGTATTTACATACATTTCTTTTTTACATTACTAATTGATAGTCTAGTAGCAACGGAAGGTTGTTTATTACTATGATGATCGATGGAGAATCCATTTGAAATATCGAATAGACTATTCAAATTTTCATAAATCTCATGTTCACCGTCGACCAATAGATGTTGCTGTTGATAAGCTGTAGCACCACCAGCTTCGCCATTGCTATAGTATGATTCTAGTGCCTTCAAAGCACGTGACTTTGATTGTCTTCTTTGTTTTATCAATTAAAAAAAAAGAAAAATAAAAAAAAAATAATCAAATAATAAATAAATTAAATAAATATAAAATAAATATCTAGATAATTCTTTCTATCTATCTATTTCTCTCTCTGTTTTTTTTTTTTTTTAATTTCTTCCTTTAATTCACTCTAAACATTTATAAATATTAATTTAATAAAACAAAAATAAATAATAATAATATTAAAAAAATTGAACTTATTATTTTTATCTTTTTATGTAATTTTTTTTTTTATTCGTTTTTCTAAAAAAAAAAATCACATATATTTAAGAAGAATTTCTCATTTTTGTTGAGATGTTACCAATAGATATCATTTGAAGCAATATATATATTTCTAAAACTATAATTCCTTTTATTTTTTCAGTAAATTTAAATTTGTTGGTAATAAATTTGGTATACGATTTCTCCGATGCTTATTTTTTTGGGTCAATGGAAAAAGATGGTCAAAACAAAAAATTAGTAAAAAAAGATAGATAATAAAGTGATAACATTAAATATCACTCTGGAAGTTTGATTCCACTCGGGTCTCCATCTTAAAGAAACTCTTCTTTAACAATAGTGTCATCGAATACAAAAAAAAACCATCACAGAATGTGGTAAAAAATAAAAAGAAAATAAAAAAATAAAAATAAAAAATGAAAACAGAAGTAACACCCCCAAAAATGTTCTTTTTTACTCTTCGATGACATAACAAATCTTTGGAATGTTTTTGTAGAATTAATTTATAATTAACTTTGAATTATGAATCAATTTAAACTATAAATATGATCAGAAAATGTAAATTTTAATTCATTCAAAATAACTTGAAAAATATTAAATAAAACTAAATTAAACCTAGATATATATATATTTATAAACAAAAATAAAAATGTCATTAAAACCAACTTTATATTACTTAGATGCTAGAGCACGTGCTGAAACAATTCGTTTCATTCTTAAATTAAAGGGTGTAAAATTCAATGATGTAAGACTCAAAGAGATTCCAGCCGACTTGAAAGCAAGAACCAGTTTCGGACAGGTTCCATTCTACGAGGACAAAGATATCAGTCTATCACAATCACTCTCAATAGAGTCGTATTTATCCGAGATTCATGGACTGGCAGGTTACACCACGGTAGAGCGTGCCTTGATCAGTCAGTTTGTTCATGCCACTCAAGACGTATATAATCCATATTTCAGAGCGAACGACGAAGCCAGTAACACTAAATTCAGAGATGAAATAGCTCCAAAATTCTTGACTCGCTTCCAACAACACCTGAAAGCAGCCGGGGGTGAACATTTTGTTGGCGGCAGACTGACACATGCCGATATCTCTGTTTTTGCACTGCTCGATTACTTTCATCAACAAACACACAACAACCTACCTGAAGTTTTAGCACCATTCACTTTATTAGAGAGCTTTTACAATAAGATTGCATCTATACCAGAGATTGCTGAACATTTACAAACAAGACCAAAAACAAGACTTTAAATCAAAAATATTCAATCAAAAATATTAATAAAATCAATTTGTACATAATAATATTAAAATGGTCTTTTTAATCAAATCTTTAAATTATAATTATAATACTAACTTTTGATAATGATAGATCTGAAACAGAATCGATTTAAAAAATAAAATATTACATAGAATATAAATTTCAAATTAATAAAAATAAATATAAACAATTTTAACAAAAGACAAATTAACAGTATTCTGTCTATTTACATTCTGTAGGAATAAACACAATTTATTTATTTATTCCTTCTTCTCATTTCTTTAGATATCATGATTCTGTATCTAAAGAACAGTAAACATAACTAGCTTTACTGAAAGATGTGGTTACTGTTCACTTGTTTTTGTGTTGTATTTAATAGCTATTTAACTATTAATATTGGATTGAGGATGTAGCGCACATACAATCACTCAAATAATTTGATTGTGTTAAATTGTTGTTGTTATTGGTGGTGATTATTGTTTTTGGGATTGTGTATATCTTACAAATAAAAAATTTACATTACAAAACAGTTTTGATTCTCTAATGATTACGATCACACATAAAACTACTATCAAAAGATTCATTTCCATCAATTCCAGTCTGTCTGTAAGTAACTTCACCAAAAACTATTTGATTTATCAAATCTATAAAAAATAGTACAAAAACCAGCTACTTACATATTATAATATTGTGTGTTTTTTTTTTTGACAGTTGATGAGGATTGAGGAGAAGATTGTATAAAATAATTACCCCAATCATCAGACACCCATATTACTCATTTCAAAATACTAAAATAAAATGACATATTTGTTTTTCATCCATCAGGTATATCATGTCTAATGAAATCTGATAGAAACAACAATCACAATTAATCAAAAATCAACAATCAATAAATTCATCCAAACCATACTAATATATAAAGACATAATTAATCTCAAACCAGAACCACTCATTTGATTTCAGTGTAATAGAATTTCTATTATATTCACCATCACTTGTTTTAGTTTTTAAAAAATAATCATCATTATTGATCAAACAAATCAATCTCATCATAACAAACAACATCGTGATTAAACAACACCTTCTCATTTTCAAATTTTACACTCCACAGAGTTACCAACACACCTAAAAAAATAAAATAAAATAAAAAAAATCTGTTTTTTGTGAACTGATGAGGTTAACCTCATTTACCACAAACTGCACTTACTCTACCTACTCACACAACCTTTAAAATGAACATGGTCAAAATGAGTATATGAATGGATAATTAATGAATACCCCACAAATCAAATCATTTAATTATTTGAATAATAAAAAAACAAAAAATTGTTTAATCCATCAATATCGACAAATAATAATGACTATTCTTTTGTTTTTTATTCTTGTCCTATCTAAAAAATAAAATATAATAATTAAAGAATAATATTATCAATTTGTTTAAATAAAAACAAAATAATCACTAAAATTAATTAATAATATTTAGAAATAAAGATAATATACTATTAGTAGGACCTTTTAGATTATTTAGTCAGTTCGAAAAGAAAATCGGTCTCTTTAAAGAATTTTCTTTAAAAATAATAGTAATAGACTGTAGGTTAGAGTCACTTTTTAACAATTCATACATTCACTTATCATTCCCAGTCACGGTTATAATTTCATCATTATTGTCTTATAAAATACATCTATAGATGTTGTTGCATATGCAAACTTTGGATTCAGTTTATTAATATTACAAGTCCTTCCTGAGTTCGTAGATTATGATCAAAAAATAAAATATTTGCAAAAAGCCTAAAAATATCAAAAAAAAAAAACCATCAAAAAATGGTGGTTCAATCGACTTATCATAACTGACAAAGAAAATCATTCAAAATAACTGTGCAATATGTTTTTTATTTTATTTTATTTTTTTTGTTGAAATATTTTTATAGTTTTTGTGTTGTTAACTAATTTTTGTAAAAAAACAAAAAAAAAAAAATTATAAAACAAACCAATGTTAGTGTTGTGGTGATCTTTTTAAAAAGTTTCGTCAAAAAAAAAAAACTTTTTTATTTTTTTTTATTTTTGCAAAAACATTGATTCTTCTTTTTTTAGCTTGATTTTTATGAATGGTTTTGCAAACAAGGACTTGTATGCTTTTGGGGTGTTTGTTTAGTAGTACAACAACTGTTAATCTGACAATTCAAATTTACTCATACTATCTTATTGTGTTGGGTTGATTTAGTTTTTTGAAAATTGTGGTGCCACACATAAAACTAAACAAAAGCTTTCACTTTAAATCAACCAAAACAACTAAATCAAACAAAAAAAATCAATCAATCTGCCAATCACATCTATCAATTAAATCAAAACTTATTTATTTTATTTAGACTGGACCTTAGTGGCATTAATTAAAACAATAATAATAAATTAATAGGAGTAAATGATTTAAAAATAGTTAAATAATAATAATAATAACAATAAAAGTAAGAAAAACAAAAAAACAATCTATTTTGGATTTGTGTGTGGGTAGATATTATAATATTTTCAAAAAAAACAACAAAATCACAAATCGATTGATCAACCAATCAATCACACACATCAAAAAATATATTAATACAAATATATATCAATTTTGTTTTGTTTTGTTGTTCTTTACTTTGCTTTTCTTTATTTCTTTTTAGATTTCTCAAGAAATATTAAGCGGAACAACCAAAGAAGAGAGAAGGTGATACAAACAAACTAACCTTACAAAATACATCATATCATTTCGCATCGCTCAAACCAAAAACTAAAAAGTATTTAAAGAATTGCAAAAAAAAAAAAAAAAAAAAACAAAAAAAAAACACTATTTTTTTTATTTATATCTTTTTTTATTTTATTTTTGGTGGTGGTTTTTTCCTTTCATTTTTTTATCAGTTGGTAAATCACACTGTTATTTATCTATTTTTTCTGTTTGATCAACAACAACAACATTGTCACAATCCCAAAATCAAAATCAAATTTCAATCTAAAATCCATTTCTATTCAAATAAGACATTTATCAGACAGATCAAAAAAAAGATTGGATTAGATTGATATTTATTTTATTTTACTTGTAATATTTGCTCTTTTTTTATTTTACTTTTTTCTATAACACATATAAATCGGATTCATTTTTTTATACATATATATATAATATATAAATAACAATTGTAATATTAGTACTAATCATTCGAAAATCAATCAATCATTTGAAAATAATTAAAATAATAGGTTTTTTTTTTTTAGATATAATAATAATTAGATTAGATTCAAGATTTAAAACAAAAAACAGATTTTAGATTCAATAACAGATATATAATCAATCAAAACAACTAAATACAGAGAAATTTTAGCAGGATTTTAGCACAAAAAAGCAACAGTTGTTTTTTTTTATTTTTATATTTATATTTTTTTATCTTTTTTTATTTTTATTTTTCACAAATCAACCAACCAACCAAACACACACACTCTCTCACCAATATCAAAAATAAATATATATATAATATAACACACAATGACTAAAAACGATAAGGTTGTTGTGGAGGAAGACGACGATGACGACATCGAGTCAGTAAAAGGACCAACACGATCCAGTCCATTCCATTTGCTGGGAGCGTTCTGTTTTATTCTGGCGATTATAGCCGGTGTCGTCTGTTGTCTCGTGTCGACGCTGATCAGCGACATCACACCAAAGACACGTGGTATCATTTTTTTCACAACGTTTGTAACATTTATCATTCTGCTGTTCTTTTGTCTGTGCTGCACCTACTATCTGGGTGCGTCGCGTGAGGCATGGGAGACACCGACATTCACTGGCGTTCGTTGGAACTTTACGAATATCGTTGCGATGGCAGGTCTCTTTGTGGAGTTTGTGCAGATCTGCTCGTTCGGTTTCAACCAGCAGTTCGGTAGCTACTACGGTTCTACGTTTTTCGAGTACTTTAAGCACGTCGCCACTCCCTACAGCAAGGGTGAGTACTTTGAGGTTGCCTATTGGGTGATGTTTGTCGTGGCATTCTCTCCCTACATCTTTGTGATTGCCATTCGTATCATGATTTACATGTACGGTATCAGACGTGGTGCCGACTCGGCTGCCTCGGTTGTCGAGCGCTACCAAGACAATATCTATTCGATCCTCTGGTTCTTGGTGAACACCCTCTACTTCCCCGTCATCACAATGATGTTGGCCGGAACCAGTTGTACATTCAGCAACACCTCAACCGACGGCAGCAACATACCGCCAACACTCGACGCCAACAACTCGATCATCTGTTTGCAAGGAAAGCACATCGGTTTCCTCGTGTGCACAATGATTGCTCTCATCATCTACTATCCAGCGGCATCGTTCGCTCAATCGCAAACTCAAAACATCTCCGATATCAAATTCAAACCCAAGGTTGTATTCGTCATGTTGCAAGGAAAGTTTGTGATGGGTGCTATCTGTGTGGCGTTTGCCAACAACAAGTACTGGGCGTACATTTCGACGGCGGTAGTAATCAACTTTTTCTTTTTGATACTGAACATTGTTTTCCAGCCATGTCTGCTGCGTTGGGTCAACCGTTTGCGTACGGTGTTCTTTGCACTCTCGTTCTGGTCGACCATTGTGCTGGCCATCACCAACATTCTCTACTACGACAAGACCACCGGAAAGATGAAGAAGGGTGACTCGAGCAAAGAGATGCCGCTGATCATCTTGCTTGTCGGCTGGGGTATAATCATTGTTTTCTTCACCGGATTCTTCCTGGGCTATCGTCACCTCTTCAACCAGCTGCGAGCAAAATTCAGAAACAACGCCGGTGACAAGTCATCGAGCCAAGTCAACTCACCACAGGGTGCCAGTCAGAACGAACAGGAACTCGATGAGATTCCAAGTATTCATCAACCACAATATAATAATAACAACAGCAAAACAACAAGTAATCAATCAACACCACCACCACCAGCAACAACCACCACCACCATAAACAGTAATAATAATATTTCAGAAGATTCATCGTCTTCAGATGAATCATAAAACAAAAGAAAACAAAAATCTAAAAAAAAACAAACAAAAAACAACAAAATTAATAATTATATGATATATATACATACACCAAACAACAAGCAAACAAAACAAAGCAAAACCATTTAAAATTTATTTATTTTAATAAAATTAAAACCTCCCCAGATTTCATTATGTAATATTAAATAACTTTTATTGTTTATTAATAATTAACTATCAATGACTGTAAGATATTATAATTCATTTTTTTAAACACACATGTATATTTTGTGTGTTCTAATTATTAATATTTATACAAAAATAAATAAAATTTAAATTAATAAAAAAAAAAACAATCGATTTGACTTGACTTTGATTTATCATTTATTATTTTAAATTATTTATCTTTTTTACTTTTTTTTATTTATTTTTAATAAAATGTAAATAAAAATGATTATAATAATAATTTATATTGAACTAACTGATTAATTTTATAATTATAAATAATAGGTCAAAGGTTACATTCAAAATTACATTGACTTCAGATCCTAAATTACCATTTAGAGTGTATGTGATCTCTATAGACTTATTAATGATTAGTTTGACTGATTGCTGATTTTCTTTATCATATTTATAATTACTCTAGTGTTAGTGTACCAGAAGCTACTCCATTCACTGCAGTTTTGAGATTTACTTGCGAACAAGTATGTTTGAACAATGATGATTAAACAAGATCAAACTGTTTAACTAATTTCATATTCTTTATCATTCTATATAGTTTAATGTACCTTGGCAAACTTCAGCTATTATTACAAATGGTAGAGGATCATAAATTATTATCATTATTATCATTATTATTATTAGATTTGATAAACTAAACATATATATTAACCAACTTTTTTTAAACAACAGACGGTATTGGAATCAATCCATCACAAACAGCAGGAAATGTATTTTTAAAACACGGTAGCGAATTGAGATGTATTCCAAGAGACAGAGTAGGATCATCACTCTAAAGCAATAACTTAAAAATTAAATACAATTAAAAAACTTTAAATTAAACAAAAACAGTTAGTAGCAATTGGTTATTTGAATATCAAATGTGATGATGATAACAACAGCATCAGCAATATAAATATTTAGCAGCAGAAATAATATTATTAGAGCTGACTGATCAAGAAATCATCTTAATCCAATCAAAAGTTTGTTTTTATTATTTATTATTATTATTATTATTATTATTATCATATTTATAGAGTTAATAGTTGTTCATATGTTCGTGTGAATGTTTAGCTTTGACATAGTTAATTCTTAAACACTTTGGACATCGATCTTTAATGTAACAGGCTCGGTGCGCCAGAGAATTACATTTACCACACTGTATCACATTCTGTACATCCAATTTCATCCATGAGAATAACATTTCATCTTCATTACAAAACTCGCAGATGAATCCTTTACCTTTACATGTCTGATAGATTGATATTATAATGAAACAGTTAGTTATATTCAGTTACAATAATGAGATCCTATGAACTAAGTATACTTACAGCGCAAGTCTTTGTAACATGATGTATATATTTCTCAATGATATCAAAGATCTGAGGAGCGAGTGTACCGGCATGACATTTCTCGAGGTCGTCAAGCGAGTAGAGGTGAACGTTCTCCGTGAGGATATAGTCTCTCAGTTGTGTTAGGTTCTCGAGTGAACGTTTGTTTCTGCAGGTCTCGATGTACTCGCTGATGAAATGAAGTTTCTTGCGTAGCTCTAGTATCTTGCCAAGTGTGTTTGACACCTCATAGACCAGAGGATTGAATCTAAAGATATCGAATGGCTGGTTGTAGTTTTGCAATATATATTGTTTCGATGAGTTTGACACTGGATACAACTTGTAGTCCCAATGATAAAGTATTCTCGATGGTAACATGATCTTCTGATTGGTATGACACTTTGTACAAAACCATTCACCTGTATAATAACAAAATCTTGTTTTAAAGAATCCCACTAAAAAAAATAATAATTAAAAAAAAAAAAAAAAAAAGAGATTAGTAAACATATAGATAGTTTATAATTATTTATATTATTATATTTACATTTATCTAAATTTGCATTACATGATGGACAGAGTTGTGATGTATATTCTTTTGATAACTTCTTTTTGTATTCTTTGTTGATAAACAAAAGGTCGTCTTCACCTGCATAGATGTTCTTCTTTGTTCTTGAGCCCTTTGGATCTGGTTCACGTGTGTAGTCACTAATCAAATGGAAATTGGTGAATGAATCTACTGATGTAGACATTCTACTGTTTTGTTCCTCTTTGTCACGTTCAATCGATCGTAATGCCTGTGTTAAAAATGGATTCGGTATGAATGTTGATGTTGGCATTTGATATTTATCATCACTATCGTAACTATTAAAATTATTATTATTATTGTTATTATTATTATTATTATTTTGATTATTATTATTATTGCTAATTGGTATAGATTGAGCAGAACTAGTTGGTGTATATGATATACCATTATTATTATTATTATTATTAAAGCTATTACTATTATTATTATTATTATTATTATTATCATTATTATCATTATCATCATTATCATCATTTTCAACTAAATTTGATAGATAGTTTCCAAGTTCAGATGATGACAACAGTGTTGATCTTGGTATGGCTTTGGTTATGGTTGGTGGACTTGTTGCCTTTGTATCGTTGAACATCATTGATTGTCGGTTGTTGGTGATAGTGGTGAATGATGACGATGGTGTGTATGGCTGACTGAATGATTGAGATGTTTGAGGTGAAGATGCAGCTGCTGCCGGCGAAACAGATTTATCACGCTTCAACAATCCTGAGAGTGTTTCATTGAACGAGTCTAATCCTTCATCTTCCTCTTCCTTAAAAGTATCACTGCTTGAGTCTTCTAAAACCAATGGTTTCTTATCGTCAACATTGGAACTACCTACCACTGCATCGTCAATATTGTTTTGAACAGTCGATTCTTTTGGTGTTGAATTAATTGTTGTCGAGTTGTTATTGTTGTTGTTATTACATATATTCATAGTATTTACATTATCCACTGATGGCTGTTGTAGTTGTTGTTGTTGGATCACAGTTGTGGCGATCGTTGCTATGTTTCCAGTGGATGAAGAAAGTTGTTGTTGTTGTTGTTGTTCAGATGGATGTTGTTGAATCTTTGGTGGAGACGACTCGGTACTGGCTGCCGATGGAGATGGCGTGATAGCTGTGATGTCCACGTTGGCAGTTGGTGTGTTGCCGTCAACATGTTGACCATCCTCTGTTGTGGCGGCATCGATGTTGATTTCCTTTGGCTTGACCTTTCTGATCTTCTTCTTGATGATCTTGGTGTGTACGATCTTCTTAAAGGTGGTGGTAGGTGCAATCGGTGCGATATCATCCCATCGCAGTTGAAAAGTAACACTCTGAAACAGATCTGTCAGTTGCCTCTGGAATTGCTGTCGATAGCTTTTGTGTAGCAACAATGAACTCTGTGAGTAGGTCTCCCTCAGTTTTGACTCATTATCAAACACGGTCTTTGAACATGCCGATAACGCACCCTCTGTGAACAACTTGTACATCCATGCCTTCAACTTTATATCTACACTACCATTTGGATATATTTTATTGATCTGATCGATATCATTCATTCTACTCATATCATTCGAACATAACCATTCAATACATTCCCATTTATTAGTTGCTATAGATAGATAATATATAATATGTTAGATAACTATCTTATAGAATAGATTCTATTGAACGAACACATACCATTGTTATTAAATATGAAATCATTTAGTAAGATTTGATCGATTGAGAAATAGAGTGATTCTACACAACGATCGCTTAGTGTAAGTGATGATCCTTTTCCACCAAAATCGAGGAGAACCGCTTTCGATGCTTTAGAGAGATTCTCGAGTAACACCTCCCAACTCTCTGCATACTTGTCCAATAGCAACTGATCTTGGTCTTCCTTTGTAATTTCATCTAGAATTTCATCGAGATTATTAATATCCAGAGAATCATCTACAGTTTTTGTGGTTGTGGTTGTGGTTGTTGTTGATTGTGTGTCGGGATTGATGCTGAGATTGTTTGGTATCGATGCTTTCGAGGTTGTCTCTGAGAAGAGAGTGAGTGCGACGTCCTCCCAGTAGCTTGGCTTGTCGAGATCCTTGTCCTTGACGACCAAGTTGAATTGAATGTGTGAGAGTGACTCCAAGATACTAAAGAAAGTGGTTGCAAACTCTGAGTTTCTAAAGATCGATGTCTCTTTGTAGTACGACTTGACTGTATCCTGATCAAAGTAGAGAGCACTCAGATAGTCAGAGAGAGCACCTTCGTTCAGTGCCATACGAATGAAGATACGACCACGTCCAATCGATGACCTCGTACAATCCTTTGCAATGTCGATCACCCTATTGGTGTCGGGTAAGCACCTCGGTAGATTCTCTAGGAAATCCCACATATTTGTTTTACCAATGAAATTTACATCTATAGAATAAAGCATAACATAATCAACAAACATCAAAATAAATATATAAGTTTAAAATTAATTAATTGATCAATTTGTAAGTCAGTCAAGTCAAAGTCATTTGTTGATCAATAAATCAATCAGTCAGTCAGTAAATCATACCCTTTATACCATCGGATAATATCTTTTCAACATAAAAACATATCTTTAGTAGATGTGGATTTCTATCCTCGATCGACTCTGAATTGTTTTGGTTATGTTCTTCACGAACGTTTGTCGCCAATAGGTGTTGAATGAATCCATTCAGCTCGCCAAGCAATGGCAATCCACCTTTTGTACTACTAGATAGCAATGACATTATCTTCGTTCTATCCGATTGCTATGCTATTGCTATGACCCAACTTCTATATAAATACTATTCTTCTTTTTAATCTATCTATATTTTCTCACACTCTATCTCTCTTTGTAAATAAAATATTCTTATTAAAACTATTTTGCTTATGTATAATTTAAATTAACTAACAGTGATACATAATAATAATAAAAATTTTTTTAAAAAAAAAACTGATAAAAATTTTAGTTTATTTTTATTGTTACTGTTTGTATATACACTGTTGTCAAAATTTAAAAAGAATAATTAAAATGGAAAAGAATTATCTAATATGATTTATTTATTTTTTTAAAATATCAAATTTGATATTTTTTTTTTAGAGTATTTTTTTTTTAAATCCGAAGAATTTTTCTTTTAACTTTTATAATGATAGAAATGATTAAAATTATCATTAACTTTTTTTATCATTTCTAAAAAGTAAAATATATTCTAATATCAAGTCTCTCACTTTTAAATTATAATTTAAAATTGTTTTTTCATAAAAAAAAAAATAAATTAACAAATAAATTAAAAAGTTGGTTTTAATTAATTTAGAATTGTTTTAAATTTCTGTTCCATAGTTTTGAAAAGTTCAATAAATTTTCCGAAAAAATTAAGCAGATTCAATAAAAAGCATCGAAAAGCGACCGATATCCATTCATTATTATAAATTGAACATATTATTAGTATGAAAACAATAACAAGTCTGATTGTTCAATCTAGACATATATGAATGAATGTTTCCATCGATGATATATGAAAGGACCATATTGATTTTTCAGAATAGAATTATAAATCAAATCCCATTACCTCTTGCACAAATATGTGTAAGCAAGCAACACACACCAATTTCAATCATCAAATAAAAAAGGAAGATTCTGTTTTTTTTTTTTTGATTTGTTTTGACTTTTGATTGATTGATAATGTTTGTTGGTTGGTTGTTTTGCATGACGATCCATTCTTTCACTGAAAAAGATCAGTTTACTATTATTATTAATTTCAGAAGTGAATAAATTTTAAAAAAAAATAAAAAGTATCAATCAAGTAAAAAATTTGTTCGTTATTTTTGATCATTTTTTTTTCTCCAACCCGCACTTTTTCAAAAAATTACATGCCCACACTACACTGGTTTTGTTCCTTTTTTTTTTTTGACCTTTGTTTTACTGTCGTAATGGGTCATCGTTATTGTAGGAGAGAAATTTTTTGTTTTGTTTTTTTTTTTTTTTTTTTTTGAATTTTTTGAATTTTTTTTTTCTGATTGATTTATTTTAGCTGGTGGTTGTGGATCTATACATCTCAACAATATATAATCGATGTTATAAAAATATTTATAAGTAGTACCGATCATAGTTGTAGTAATAGTGGATCAGGGTGCAGCAAACAACCATTTCGATCACACTCGTTCATCAAATCAAAAGAAAATAATTATATCGATTTTAGTCAACATCTATCATCTACTTTTTAAATAATTTTTTAATCCAAAAAAAAAAAAACAACAATTCATAATAATTAATGTAAGTGTTGTTTGCATTGCACTAATTGTTCGATACTTTTTTATCTAATTAATCTTGATCAATATTAATTAATTTCTTAAATTTTATTTTATTTTTAATTAAAGATTAAATATAGTAGATAGCAGATAATTTAGATGTATTCATACAAATAGAAATAATAATAATAATAATATTTAATTTAAACATTAATATACATATATATTTGGTATGTTTGGTTCTCAAGAGAATAATTACAGTCTTTGGATAGCAAACGTCACTTCACCACATATTTTCATCAAATCTTCCCACCACAACTGAGTTGGCACATACGAAATTCGAAAATGTTATTTTTACATTGTTAAACAGATAAATTTATATACATAGTAGTTTGAGAGATAGATCTCCTCATTTTAAAGATATATATATTTTATTTTTGTAATTTTAGTATAGTAGTAGCTTTTGATTGCATACATCAATTTCAGTTAAAATAGCGTTGAATAGATACAAGACAGACATATTTAGTAATAGTAGATCATGATATTGGATTGGATTATTGTATTGGTCCAAAGTTATCATAATCAAATCATAATGACACTCAGCTCAGTAACAATTAATGTCCTTTTTTTTTTTTTTTTTTTGAAGTTGAAATATTACATGCTCCTTTAATTAACAGTAACAATATATACTCATCAAAAACAACAAACCACCAACCTAACCAATTAATTAAGAGATATTTATTATATAATTTATATAATCTGTGGAATTAATTGATCGTTTGACTGGTAGTTCAAAGATATCTTTCATATTTGTAGGAAATTTAACTCCACATGTCATTTGAACTACCAATCAAACAATCAATTCAATTAGAATGTGATTTACCTTTTTTAAGTAAAAAAGAAAACACACAAGGTTGATTCAAGATCAATCATATAGTTATATCATTCACTACAATAAAACATCACGACTCAACAAAAAAGATCATGTATAAATAAATCAGTAATAGTATTAAGTTGATAATGACAATAATCAAATAACCTAGGATAATCACATGTATTACTGCTGTTACTTCTAACCATGAGTAGCCTATAGTTAAAAAAAAAAAAAAATCAATCAAGGTGTGCTCCTCTCACCACCACCACACCAGCCAAATAACATATCAACACCCATCTACTTAACCACCATCAAAACCACACTATATAAATGATGAATTTGTTCACAATTAATTGGTCAAATATTATTCTAAAGATTATTTAATTACATTCATCACAAGTCATATGTTCAAGTTTGTGAAGCAAAGTGCAATGTTTTTTTCTTGTTTCATTAAACACATTTAGACTCAATTCCTTTCCATCATCCCATTTATCTTATTAATTATGTTTATTAGAAACATGTGGGTGTGGTCGTTAATAGAATAGTACAACATCTTGCAAGCAAGCAGTAGCATTTCTTATGTTTAATTGTTTGTTGTGTGAGGTTGCAACAAACAAACAAACAAATCAACCACTACACTTTTGATCAGTGTTTACTACCTCAACAGACACACTATATCATGCTATTCTACAATTTATATGTATTGACAACTGTTGATTTTATCATGTTTTTATTGATTGATATGATAGAATATAATTACCAGTCAGTTGATATTCAATATACATCACCCGCCACCACCACCACACTAATAAAACTGTCACTAACATCACAACCACCCATTTTAACTTCCATCTCTCTTTTCAATATAATATATAATGATCAACCAATAAAACACACATTCTTCACACCCTCTCTACCACTACCACACCACATCAATAATAAGTATAAATCATAAATATTACAAATAATATTTATATCTATATAACAATGTGCGATCAATTAGGATGTTAAAAAAAAACAATATAATATAATAGAAGCAACACAATTGACAGTTCAAAACCCTTAAAAAAGGTTGTATTTGTTGTGTTTTGTTGTTGTTATTGTTGTTGAATATATTGGTACATCATAAAATTGTATACAATTATTATTATACACATTTGAGTTAAATTATATTATTATATCACGATTGATTTTCTTTTTTATAATTATAATTTTTATTAATTTATAGTTTAATTTATATTAATAGAATTATTCATTTAGGTTTTGTTATTTTAGTGGTAATGATATTATATAGATTTGTTTAGTAAAAGTGAGTAATTTAGCACATGGATAACAGATGATATATAGTAGCAGTAGAAAATCACAGCACCTCTAATCAAATATAAAACAACATCAACTTCACTTGAATCTCAGGCACCTTTATTTTTATTTTTTTCCACTTCTTCTTTGTCATAACATCAATCAATCAATCTATTTGACAATAATTTATAATCTAATAGATTTCGAAACCAAATAGAAAACAATTGGATATTATTTATTTGTTATTGAAAATATAGAAGAAAGCAAAAAGGAATAATATTATTTACAGTAATAATATAATCATAATAGTTTGTTTTTGTTGCAGTAACAACAATAATCACAATTTCCATATCATCTCAAAATAATTCAATGATAATGATCAATTTTTTTGTTCGCTTCCAATACCTCCTATTTCTCCTCTAATATATAATCTCCCACGCGCATCCATCCCTTCACACCAACACTGAACCAATACAAAGAAATATAAAATACAATTTATATTATATCTACAGATAATTAAATCTCTATAATAATATCAAAAATAGAAAAAAACACTCCACTATTTTTGTTTAAAAGAGTGTTGTTGTCGAGGGGGGGTGGAAACATCAACAAAAATATATTTAAAATTTAAAAATTTGTGCTAGCAAACAACAAGCAAACTATTGATGATGTTGATATTGGGTGAATCGTCACACTCGCTCCTCATTCACTTCCAAATTTGTTGTATATGTTCAATATTAAAAAAAGAGCAAAGCACAACAAAACTAATTAAAAAACAAGCAACAACATCAAAAATTAATTTTTCATCATTATATCAATTCTTATATCTACAACACCAGGAAGGAAGTGATTGTGACCACTTTTTTCATTTTGTTATGTAATTGTTAATTGGCTTGTTGTTGTTATTGTTTGGGTGATAATTATAATATTACAGTCAACAACAATCAAGCAAGACCTCTTGAAATAACTCAACAACAGCAACAGCAAAAAATAATAATAGTTGGAGAAATACAAGTAAAATAACATAATATATCACAAATCAAACCGTTATTGTAAACAAATACATTAATCAACTGAATTCAGTTCAAACAAAACAAACAACATTAATGTTCTAAATTAATATTTTAAAATATTACTACTATCAATTTAAATTTATACTTAGATTGAATTAAGATTTGGACAAACAAATCAATCAGTCAATCAAATAACAAGCAAATTCAATTTATGTTATTATTTCCTTTTTCATTTAAATTGTTCTATTCATAATAACAATAAAACACAATATAGTACAGTGCAAGTCAATCCACCAATCATTTCAAAAATAATATTTTTAGAATACTCCCAAAAATCAAATCAAAATCAAAACATTTCATTTCATTTTAATTACACGCTATAGATTCTGTTGTCATTTTTGATCAAATCGAAATCAAACAAATTTCTAATTCTTTCATTTTTTAAAAAAAATATAGTTTTTCCAATCCAATCAATATAAGATAATTAGATTTATATATAGGCAGATATAAGATAGATAATACAGTCATAAGATATAAGATAGATAGATAGAAAACAAACCAATCAACTTGTTTGTTTTTAACATTTTCGATTTTTATTTTTTATTTTTTTTTATTGCCATTTTTAAATATATTTTGAAAGATGATGGATATCTCAGTGATGGAAGACTCTAATGGAGTTTCCTCTGAGTCCAACAGTAATCATTCAAATACTGGCAGTGGTGGAAGCAACACAAATCTATCATCACTCTTTCCAAATGGAAACAGAGTATCTCGAATGAATGGAGGCGGCTCCAGTTCAAGTAATTTGAAAAGTTTATTGAATGAAAAAGACGATAACACCAACAATGTAAATGGCGGCAATGGCGGTAGTGGAAGTGGCAACAAGATGCTATCAAGTTCATCACCTCCGCTCAATCCAAGCCGACTCAATAGCATTGTTGTGAGTGCATCCAATAGTTTCAAACGAATCAACTCGATCGCAATGGGTGATCACGGTAGTTTGGAAGATCTCTTCAAAGGAACACACCCGCTCTTGTCTGGCGGTGGCGGTGGCAACAGCAGTACCAACTTGCTGCGCTCCAACACTCCACATCGTATTGAGCGTGTCAAATCGAAATCGAGTCTCGAAGACCTCCTCTTGGTGTCCGAGGACAACTGGCGTTCAAACACACCGAATCGCATAACCAACTCCAACAGTAACAGTCTCGACGACATTTGGCGTGGACTTACATTTTCACCATACAAAAACAATGTTCCATCTTCGCATGCCTCTTTTCTCGAATCAGAGTCCAACGGCGACTCACACTCTGTCTCAACACCCACCTCGATTCTGCCGTCATTCTCATCGACCAATCTCAAGGATCTAATCACAACACCACCACCCTTGATATCAAACAACTCTTCATCGTCGATTGGCTCTTCACAATTAAGCAACAGATCACTGAATTCATTGATTGAATCGGTAACAAACAGCACTAGCACTTCAAAGTTGGAAAATCTTCAACAACAAATTCAAAAAGATAAAGAACAAAAAGTTGATCATCATCACCATCATAATAATAATCATCATCAATCAAATAGTAATAATAATAGTAATAACAACAACAATAATAATAATAATAATAATACATCGCCAGAACTACCGTCGCCAAGGAATATCGATGGTACACCACCTACAGTATCATCGATTGTCCATCCTTCACCAGTAAGGTGTTTGGCACCATCCACACCAAAAACAATGTCAGATGTCGAATCGGATTCAAATGAATTTAGTGATGTGAGTGATGGTGCCAGCAATACCTCACCTATTTCACCGCAATCCGACAGTAACGCCCCATGGAAAACACCACAACACACATCAACCAACTCTGGCGACAAATTGATACAATCCAACAAGAATGAACAACTTTCCAATGTAAATATCAATAATAATAGATTACAACAACAACATCATCATCAACAACAACAACAAGTAGCTATTGTAAATAATTCAAATCCACAACAACAACAACAACATTTAAATATTCAACCACACCAACAACCATTATCAACGCCACCAGGTTATAATCCACAGTTTGCAGCACACCAATATCCACCACATCAAATGATTGCACAACAATATCACTACTACTCACATCAACAAGCTCTACAACATCAACAGGCAATGCAACAACAAGTTTTACAACAACAACAACAACAGCAACAACAGCAGCAGCAACAACAACAACAAGCTGTAGCCAAAAAAGAGAAAGAGATCGAAAGACAACCATCACCTCCATATAAACAAATTTCAAACAACAACACCAATAACAAACAACAACCAATTAAATCACCACTCAATAGTAGTAATGGTGTGATTCCAACTACACCTTTACAAGCTCAACAGGCACAAGCTAAGCGACAAAAGATAGATGCCGAACTAAAGAGTAGCAGTGGCAAGCCGGAATCACCATTGAGTATGTCGAGCGAAGATATTCCAGAGCATTTGAAGCAGCAACAGCAGAGTAACACAACAGGAGCAGTTCTCCAACCCTATTCACAGTATGCCAATGCAATTTCATTGGTTTCCTCAACTGACTCTGAGTCACCATTCAAAGGCACCATGGCATACGGTGTATCCACAACACCAACCTCTCCTTTCTATGCCTATCCAACACAAGATCTTGCTGCTGCTGCCGCCGCCAAAAAAGACACCGACACCGCTGCCATGTGGAATGAGATCAACAGACATCTCACAAACTTGACACGCACCTCCTCGAAAGCAATCAAAGGTCATGCCATTCCATTCCACGAAATAACAGAAGGTATCACTTCATGTCATGCAATCATGGCTGATCTCGCTGAGATAATGAAATCCGTAAGTCATAATTATATAAAAATATCCAAAAACAAACAACGATAGCAAACAACTAACATTTAATACTTTTTATAAATATTTATTAGAATCCAGATCCAAACTATGCTATTTATGTTCAAAATGGAAGAAAGATTAGTCCACAGAATTTATCATCGATTTCCAATACACCAACACTTGGTAGTCAACCAAATACTTATTACACTTCACCATCGATGCAAAGTCCACATATGTCACCGGTTGTTCTCAGTTCAACACCACATCCAATTCCACACCAAGGACAGGTGTATCCAGCCCATTTGATGCCAGAGTCGGTTTACTACAACTCTGCTGCGCTGATAGGCAAGCAGATACAGTTGTCGCCAAACTCTCTACAAAAGAGTGGTGCAATTGGACCGCGCGACTTGATGTACGGTATGGTGCCAACAAAGAAACAACCACGTCGTAGAAAAGCACGATTCGGTGAGTCGGAGCTATCGTGTCACCAGTGTGGAGTCACCAACACTCCAGAGTGGCGTCGTGGTCCCAACGGTGCCAAAACACTGTGCAATGCCTGTGGTCTTGCCTGGGCAAAGTCAATCAAGAACGAAAAGCAAAAGGAGTTACTCGCTTCAACTACCGGTGTCACTGTTATCGATCCCAAGAAGAATCAGAAACGAAAGAAAGACAATGGTGACACTAAAGTTGAGATCATTGGTGTTCCATCCGGTAGTGGCAGCTCTGCCAACAACAACAACAACAACAACAGTATGTACGACGATGACGACGATGAAGAAGATGAAGTCGTCCAGACCACCAGTAAACCAATGATTATCGACCCAAAGAAGAACAATTCAATATCACCATCACCCGTTTTAAATCAAAGTACAAATAGTAATAATATAATTCAACAACAACAACAACAGCAACAACAACCACCACAAAATGTAATTTCAACATCAAATCAACCACTGCCGCCAGGAATGATTCAACTTCAACAAACAACACCTCAACAACAACAAGCAATTATGATGCAACAACAAATGATTCAACACCAGCAACAACATCTTCAACATCTACATTTAGCACAAAACCAACACCCATCGCAACAACATCACATTCATCCAATGATGCCACACCCCAATGGACAAACACATCAACCACTTCCACCCAATTCATTTTCCTCTAATACCAACACTAATGCACCTGAAGTTAGTAGTTAGACCTATATATCCCATTTATACAAAATTAAATAATATCAAAACCAACTAAATAATATTTATAACATAAACTTCTTAAAAATTACTTTAAATTCTACTTCTTCTTCACCTCCTTCTTTATACATATATTTCGATCGATTTTTTCAAAAAACAAACAAAACATTCATTTAAACTCTCAATTAAGAGAACAGTCATCATGCAATTTGTCCATATATTTTAATTTATAAAATTATTTTTATTATCATTATTCTAACTATACTTATTATTATTATATTTCTATTTATAATTATGTTTGTTACAGTATTTTTACAAACCTTCACAAAAAAGATCATAATCACAATAAAATAACTTTATACAATCCAAAAAAAATCTAAATAAATTATATATTTTACATAATCGTGATCTGCAAATTAATAATCTAATTCTTGTGATTCGATTGGGTACTTTATCAATGAGAAAGAAAATTCTATTCTTTGAGATTGGGTTGAGAACACAAAGTACTTATTGAAAATGAACACTTCTTCTGGGATTTGGTTTATTTTTCGTAAAAAAAAATTTCTATGGCAGAAATTGAGATAATATTTTAATCTATGAATAAATCAAATTAAAATCATTTAATAACTCGGTTAAATTGTTTTAAAAAAAGTAGTGGTTCCAAAAACCAATAAATATTCCAATTTTCAGGTAGGTCTACTTTGGTGAAGAGCCCACCTGATAGGATCCCGATACTTTTTTTAAAAACACCACTCGTTTTTTTTTTTTTTTTTTTTGATTATAATTGGGAATAATGTACTTTTTCTTCATTCATGTGAATTTGAATAGCAAATATAAAAACATCAACACACATCCTTTTATAATCAATCAACAATATGCTGCAAATGATAAAAACAGTGAGTGTAATTTTATTGTTGTTTTATTAATTAGTTTTTTTATTTTTGTTTTTACCAACAAAACTGCTCAACTCTTCAGGCTATCAGGTACCAGTTGTTCATCATGTGAAATAGAGAAAGACGAGTCTAAACAAAACCTAAAATAAATAAACAAAAATAACAATTTTAACAATAGCATCTATTCAAATTCATTTTCATTTCATTCTTTTTTTTTGGATAGAGATAGAAAAACATAGATATAATAAATCTATTTGTATATAAATTAAACTATAAAACTCTTTACTATATATTTATATATATATTTTATTTATTTATTTATTAAAAATAAAAATAAAAATGGATGTCATTGTTGGATCATTCGATGATAATTATATCTATGCAGAGACATTGTCTGGTCGTAGATTGCAAGTTCACCAAGACCCAGGAATGGAGTCGGTTGGACATGTAAAGAGCAGAATCAGATCGGTCTATGAGATGGACGGTGAGGTTGGAGACGACTTCTCGCTCTATCACAACGGTGTCGAGTTGGAAGACAAAGACGTCATCAACGAATCACTGATCGCTAGCGATAACATCCAAATCAGACGTAACACCTACTCGTGTCTGGTGGAGCACCTTATCTCACGTCTACCAACCTGGAAGAAATGGGTAGTCCGTGTCGCCTGTGTCTTTGTTGCCTCATTGTTTATCGCTGCACTCTCCCAAGTATACTTCTTTTTGCCACACGCCAAGACTGTCCCTGTAACTCTTCAAACATTGGCAGTATTCCTTGTCGGTTCACTCTTGGGTTGGAAGATGGGACCAATCGCAGTCATTGTCTATTTGCTCGAAGGTCTCGTCGGTGCACCATTCTTTAGTGCTCACGCCAGTGGCTATAAGATCCTCTATGGAACTACCTCTGGTTACCTCTACGGATTCGTTGCTGCCGCCTTCATCGTTGGATTCTTGGCCGAGCGTGGAACCGACCGTGTCTATGCCTTCCACTGGCGTTCCACCTTCTTTGCCATGATCATCGGTGACATTGTCATCTACATCGTCGGTATCCCAGTTCTCGCCAAATACATTGGTTGGTCGAAAGCCTTCACATTGGGTTTGGTTCCATTTTTGGTTGGTGACCTCGTCAAAATCGTTATTGCAACAGCGTTGATTCCAACCATCTGGAAATTGTTGGCATTCATTTTCAACAGAGATTTCACTATTTCAGGTGGTATCTCATTATTTAAATTTAAAAATTAAATAACTTTTTTTTTCTTTTTTACAAATAATAAAGCTTAAACTTAAAATAATAATAGTTATTTTATTTATTTTTCTCAGTGTTGAACAAAAATTAAATTTGCAGATGATGTTAATCCGGATTTTTTCAAACCCAAAGTTCAAATGTGGTTTCACCTTTTTCGAAAATTCAAATGAATTTTTCGATAAAAAAAATTTTTTTTTTTTTAGATATTAAAGAACGGTGAATATGTAGATATTATTATCATGTTGGTAATTATTTTTACAAACAACATTAAAATTTAAAAGATTTTTTTTTTATAAATATAAAAACTAGTTTATTTATTTGTTTGCTTGCTTGAAAACCAAGTAAAATTTATTATTATCCAAATTCACAATCTAATTAGAAATATATTAAGTAAACATATTAGTATTATCTTTTTACACACATTTTTATTTGTAAGTGTTTTTAATTGTTTAAATAAACAAACACATAAGAATAGTAAATATATTTAATTGAACAACCACTATCTTTATATATTTCTTTTTTTCACGCAACAACATCAACTACTACTTTTCAGTAGAAAAAAAAAATCAAAAAAATAAAATCTTACTGCAAATTTGTTGTTTAGATGAATAATGAGTGAATGGTGTGCTGACCAGAGAGATAAAAAAAATCATAACCAAAAAAAATAATAAAATCATATTAGAATATCACTTCACTATTTCTCACGCTTGACACACACATCCAAATATTGATTATTCAATTCGTTTCAAGATAAACTAACCATCACATTCTTTTATCATCTTTGATAGATATAATTATAACAACAACAAAATAGATTAATATCCAATATTTTTATTTATTATTAGTAATAATTTTTTTTAAAAAGAAATATATTTAACAATATTACTATTTTTAACTTATTTAGTTAATTAGTTAGTTAATTCGAATAAAAAATTAAAAAGATTTTGTAATAAGTAGATAGATAGATTAGATATATAGATATAGAAATGAATCAAGAACATTTGTCTCATCTCGAATCAATCTTTAATGAATGTGATCGAAATGGAAGTGGGTTCATCGATAAAGATCAACTTAGAGAGTTGGTAACTAAAATTACTTCAACTGTAAGTGTTTTGTTTTGTTTTGTTTTGTTTATTTTTAATCATATGAAACTAACTATCATATTATTGGCATAAAAAAAAAAGGGGTTAGAGGAAGATGAATTAGATACCTTGATGAAGACACTCGATAGTGACAACGATGGAAAGATTGCATTGCAAGAGTTTATCAATGGTTACGAGTTAATCGATCCAGAGTTACTGATAAATGACGATAACAACGTGGATATCGATGAAATAGATCAACAAAAGATTGATGAAATCTTAAATTCAAGTACTGTAAAAGTATGTAAAGCAAATTGAAAAATGACAAACAGAGATTACGAATTAAGTTCTAACTTTTTTTATTATTTTAATATTATGTTAGCTTTCATCACCTGAAGATTATGAAAGATATATTAGATCGATTTTCAATACATTCGATACAGATGGTGATGGTATTGTCAATAAAGAACAGCTTAGAGAGATGCTCTTGGATATCAAACAAAAGAGTGATATCGAGGGTGACGATGAGGATATCGATTATATTGTACAGGTTCTCAGTGAGGGAAGCAGCCCTGACGCTATTTCATTCGATCAATTCATGAGTGCCATTGAGCATATCAATTCACCATCAGAGGATCAATCACCATCAAACTCTACAATCGATTTCAATAGCGGAAGCAACGGCGGTAATAACAATGCACATAATGATTCGATCGATGAGCAAGATCAACAACAACAACAACAAGAGGATACAGAGGATCTTTCAAGCTTCTCAACATCCTCCAGTAGAAAAGCAAGAAATAGAGCATCGAGTTGGGTTGCACCAGTCTCCATTGTTCAGATGATAAAGAAAAAGTCGGATCTCTTTGAGAAACAAGAGATTCAAGAGTTCACCGATGCATCGCTCGATCAATCGGTGGTCGACCAATACAAGCGTAAGGAAGCACAGCTCAAGAGTGAGAATCTTCACTTGGGTTCAAAGATCAATATGGTGGAGGATCAGTTGCGTGAGGTCAGAGAGTCACACGAGAAGCTCTCAGAGGACAATGCACAACTCAAAAAGTCGGTGGTCATCGGTAAGAAGACATTGGTTCAGAATCAAAAGTTGGTTGGCCAGAACAAGCAGCTCGAGGAGTCGTTGGAGCAGTTGAAACAAGAACTACAACAGAGCATCGACCAGAAGAACGATTTGCAGCGTCTCACCAACAAGTTGAAGCAAGACAAGGACGGATTGAATAACCAGCTCGAGTCAAGCACAAGCCGTCTCGATGAAACCAAAGAGAAGATCGCTACACTCGAACTGCAGTTGGCTGCAGCAAACTCTGTGGTCAAGGCACAGTCCAGCCAGATCATCATCCCACCAGAGGAAGCCGAACAACTCAAGAGTGAGAATCAATTGTTGCGTGAGCAACTCAAGAGTCACGAATCTCAGTCATCAGAGAATATCAAGTTGCTCACTGACGAGTGTATGTTGTTGAAGAATCAGAGCAAAGAGGACAAGGCACGTCTTGAGTCATCGAATCAGATCATCCACAAGCTAAAGGCAACTCTCGAGGAGAAAGAATCGCGTTCACACAACTCTGATCCAAACTACAAGTTGTCATTGTTGAGCGAGCTCGAACACCAAGTTGTCACCAGAATGGGAACACCGGGTGGTTTCGAAGATTCCGCTTTGGCCAACGGTGAGCGTGGTAACTTCTCACCGATCATCTCGTCGTCGACACCAATGAACACACCATCGCAATCGACACCAATTTCAATTTCAACCAACGGTAGAGTGAGACCAGAGACAACTTCCGACGATGAAGACTTTAGTCTTGAGGAATCCAACAAAGATTCTTCAGAGTGGAAAGAGAAATACGATGCAATGGTACTTCAATTCCAAGAGCTCCAAGCCAAGTTGGAAAGTGAACTTGCTACCATTGCCATCTTGCGAGAGGACGTTGTCAATAAAGAGAAGCAAATCGGTGAGATCAACCAAAAGCTCGAAGAAACCAACCAGAAACTTCAAGAGACAAACCAAAAGATTGAAGTCACCAATCAACAACTCCTTGATACCAATCAAAAGTTCAATGATACCAATCAACAACTCCAAGATGCCAACCAACAACTTCAAGACGCCAACCAAAAGTTCAATGATACCAATCAACAACTCCAAGATGCCAATCAGAAACTCCAAGAGTCAAGCCAACAGGTGTCTCAACTTTCGCTACTCAATCAGAATATGAATGATACGATCGCCAGTACCTCATCGACTTTGGAGCTCACAAATCAACACGTCGATTCATTGCAATCGCAAGTAAAGGATCTAGAGCAACGACGTTCGAAGCTTCAAGACGAGAATCAATCACTCAAGAACCAACAACAAGTCAATCTACCACAATCAATCGATCCAATTCACATAAAGGCTGAACAAACACAAAGCGAACTGTCACTTCTCAAGCAACGTGTAGAGGAACTCGCCAACACCAATAATAGCCTTTTGAATGAAAACTCACAACTAAAGAACAACTTCTCACCGGTCAACTCTACCACTGAGCTGGCTGCACCAACTACCTCTGTTAACTCGTCGTTGGCCGCTGACGTCAGCGATGCATCATTGAACACAATCGATGAACTTCAGCACCAAGTCACCAATCTCACAGCCGTCAAAGAGCAACTGGAAGCCGATCTCTTCAAGCACCAAGCACAGTTGGCAGCTGCAACCGCAGCACCAGCAGTGCCCGCTAACAACAGTCTCATCGACGAACTCAAGCGTGAGAATGAAAATTTGAAAACAACGGGTCAAAAATTGGACGAACGTAATCGTATTTTGGAATATCAATCGAATGGTGCCACAGAGGAGAACAACAATCTTAAACAACAACTATCAACCCTCAACAATAATTTACAAAACGTCAAACTTGAATATGAAGCTAAAATGACAAACTCTGAAAAGGTAATTATTAATTTAATATTATATTATTTTTATCATACATATGATTATGTTTTTTTTTTAATTATTCTATCTATTCATCCAACAACTATCAAAGATCAATATTATATGTTGTTATTATTATTTGACTATCTCTATTCATTCAAAACAAAAAATAATTTTATCTAAAAAAAAAAAAAAAAAAAAAAGAAAGAAAATAATAATGAAAAATATTAACAATCCTACCTACTACTACTACTGCTTCCAACTATTACCGATATCTATCTTTCTTTCTTATCTATTTTCAACTTCTACATCACATCATTGTGTTGTTGCTGTTGTATTTATTATATATATTTCCACAACAACCATTACTATTACTATACTAATCTATAGAAAAAGTTACAAAAAGAGAATGATGAACTTAAGCAACGTCTAAAGAAGTACGAATCCGAGGACCACCAACACGACATTATCGAAATGGAAGATGAAGCCAAGCTCCTCAAGGCCAGACTTGAAGATCTCAACTCGAAACTTCAAAACGAAAGAAACCTCAACAAATATCTGCAGTCACAACTCGATACTCAAGATCGTTCGATCAACGTCGATCAAACACCACTCATTTCACACAACAAACAAAAGAAATCAAGACAATGTTGTGGATTCTTCTAAACAACTACAAATCAACAAATCAACAAACCAAAAATCAACAATTACTTTGTTCATAACAAAACAAACGCAAACCAATTTAATAATAATCATAATAATAATTGTAATTCAATCTTATCAAGGTCAACAGAGACAAAAGGATTATGAATGAAGAAGTTAAAAATGAGTGAATTCATTTTGATTTCACATATTACCCGAACTACCAATGCACCAAACACTTTACTGTGATAGTGTACAAACTATAAAAACATACATATAAACTATATTTATTCAAACCATTAACATTCTATTTGATTAGCTTTTTATGTCCAAGTGTGGTCACTAATTAACGACCATTTATATTTATTAATAAAATTTTTTTATTAAAAATCTGTTTTAAATGAGTTTTCTTAACTTCATGTAACAACATCATCATCAGCATCAACATCATCAAGTTAAAAATAATGAAAGACAAACATGAATACTATGATAATTAATGATAATATAAATAAATAAATAATATAAATAGATAGATAATATAAATAAATAGAAAATATTTATAAATTTAATAGAAATGAGAATGTAGTTCCTAGCAGTTGTAACAAACCGATTTACTCAGACCAGAGGATTTCGTCGATTATATGATCAATATACCAAGTTTCATAATAAAAGTTAGTTCCATGTGTATCAATTTAAATGAATCACAATCATCATTCATTGTGTTCACACAATTAGACAACCCCTACCTTTTCACACAATCACTTGTATTATTATATAATTATATCTTAAACATCAGCTACATTAAAGTATGAACATATTTATAGGAGTAGTATCTTTGTTTTTCGATGATGGTGGGTTGATCACACCAAAAGACAAATATTTATATAGTAAGCATCTTCTACCAATAACTTATTCATGCTCCTTAACAAAAAGATTTGATTCATTAGATAAAGAAAGTAATAAATGGTAAGGTTTATTTAATGAAGTTTTGCTTATAGAAAGTGTCTAACAAAAGATTTAGATTGTTAAAAACAAATTATCTTTATTTCTTTCCCTCAATTTATTTGCTTTATTTTTAAAAATACCAGAAATCAATGCTATCTGTGATAAAAAGACTGTTGAATCTGGTGATAGTTGTTGGTCATTGGCAAGAAAGTGTGGAGTTCAACTGAATACTTTCTACTCTTATAATCCTTCGTTACCAGATGGCTGCCAGTTTCTACAGGTAGGTCAGCAAGTATGTTGTGGAGAAGGAGGATTGTCGCCAACTGTATCAACGGATGGTTCGTGTTCTGTGTATAAAGTGGTTCCCGGTGACTTTTGTTACGCAATTGCCATGGCTAATGGTTTAAAAGTTGATGACATAGAGTCTTTCAATAAAAATACTTGGGGATGGAAAGGATGTTCAAAAATAGAGCCAGACGCACTCATTTGTCTATCATCAGGAACACCTCCAATACCTACAGTCAATCCAAAAGCCGAATGTGGTCCAGTGGCTCCTATTATTCCTACTCGTCCTTTCAATTCTACTTGTCGAGTTGGTGCATGTTGTAGTCAATGGGGTTACTGCGGACTTACTGCCGAATTTTGTACGGTTACCAATTCCGATACCAATGCTCCTGGAACAACCGGATGTATTAGTAATTGTGGCATGGAGTTTATAAAATCTGAACCACCAACCAATTTTATTTCCATCGGGTATTACGAAGCCTGGAATAGTGGTCGTCCTTGTCTGAATGCCCAAATCGATAGAATCGATATCTCTAACTATACTCATATCCATTTCGCCTTTGCAACGATTACCAGTGACTTTGGAGTGAGTGTAAGTGCATATCCAGATTCATTCACAAGATTTAAACACCTTCCTCGTGTCAAGAAGATTCTCTCATTTGGAGGTTGGAGTTTCAGTACTGATGTAGATACCAGACCAATCTTTAGAAACACTTTGTCTTTTATTAATAGAGCCACTTTTATTGGAAATTTGATTAGTTTCATTGAGGAAAATCGGTTGGATGGTGTTGATTTTGACTGGGAGTATGTATTTTTTTGTTTATAGACAATAGCTTATATCGATATACTAATACTAGATATATCTCATAACAAATAAAAGATATCCAGGTGCAGAGGACTTAGGAGGAGATCCTACGGATGGTCTCACCTACCTTCAATTCATTCGGGATCTAAGAGAATCTTTACCTAGATCGAAATCACTATCCATCGCGGCACCGGCATCATATTGGTATCTTCGTGGGTTCTTGATCAAAGAGATGGAGCAATATTTGGATTATATTGTTTACATGACCTATGATATACATGGCCAGTGGGACTATAATATCAATTCGACCGGTCCTTATTTGAGATCTCATATCGATCTTCCAGAGGTATTGAATGCATTGATACTTCTCACTAAAGCCGGTGTGCCTTCAAACAAGATAATTATGGGTCTTGGATCATATGGTCGTTCTTTCCAACAAGTGGATCCCTCATGTTCAGGTCCAACATGTCAGTTTACTGGACCTGAAAGTGGTGCAACTGGTGGAAAATGCACACAACAACCTGGTTATTTGGCGCTGGCAGAGATTAATGATATCGTAGTGAGGAATACCAATGTTAGAGATCACTTCTACGATGAACAGTCAGATAGTCAGATTTTGTTGTTCAACACTCACGATTGGGTTGCCTATGCCACTCCATCCATTACTGCCAACCGTATTAACATTGCAAAGTCTATGAATTTAGGTGGCACAGTTGAATGGGCAATTGATTTAAATAGAGAATACAGTGGAAATGTATTGGCAACAGCATGTGACTTTTCAACTGTTACTGGTGATCTTAATTCTGTCTTTAAACAACAGGTCAGTTGTCAAATGCAAAGTTCAATCTATTCACTTCGATTAATGCTACACAATGCCATTGAAACCTACGAACAAGCAATGGAGCATTACAATGAAATCTTTGAATTGTACGAAAGATCTGATCCTGGTGCAATGAATCCAAGTCAAGCAATTGAAGAGTTCCTATACAAAGCCAGACTTTTAGAAAAGAATCTTGAAGAATCAATATTGGATGAAAATCCGAACCAAGTTATAAATGGATCAATGGTTCTAGTAACTTCTTTGACCCATTCCGCACAAATAATGTCAAACCTCGCAAAACAAATTTCAAGTGGCCAAAGTATCAGTGAGCCCGATATTGTTTTGGATTTCATAAATGCCAATCTATTTATCATACCAGCATTTCCAGGAATACCAGCAATGATATATTTGGTTAAGAATTGGCCTTCAAGTAAACAACCCTTTAATACTGATTCCATCAAGTTCTTTAATTGGTTAAATAATAATATCGATACAAGAGCGCCCTTGTTGATATTACCACCTACTGGTGACCCACGTATGATTGCACCAATTGCAGCAATTACTGATTTTTCAAATGGCGGTTTGTTTGAGAGAGAAGCTCCTGAGCCTGTCGATGATCCAGATAATCCAGACAATCAATGTAGGGATCAAATAGTAAGTGCCAGAGGATTCGAGGTTGTTTCCAAAGTATCATGTGATCTACTAGGCCCATGCTTAGCTAGGAATATATTTAAACCATTGATCGTTCGTGGTATTGATTGCACCTTGGCAATAGAAATGTGCAATAAAAGACAACATAGTGATGGAGATCATAATGACAATCCTTCCGATACCAAACGACCCACCAGAGAAGAGGACAACCCAATGACCGGTAATTCTAATCCAACTCAACCAACCACACATTTACCATTCCCAGGTTTTGATGCATCTTTTTTGATGAGACCGAGTAACCCTCTGATTCCCACCTACTATGTAAATATAAATGGACAATCACCAGGAGTTGCATGTAACACTGCAATGTACATGACAGCACACCGTGTAAATGTATTCCACTATGCTGGAGAAGGCAATCAAAATCCAAAACCGCGTAGATGCTCTCCAGGTGGCGCCACCTATCCTTATGAACTTTGTTCGAGGGTGGAAAATAACATCCGATGGGAACGTGATGAGTTTCCCTTGAACTCAATGATTGAAGGATATGACAACGTTACCGGTACAGTAAATGTACAGGTTAAATGTGTAGCAAAGCCTGATAACTCTCGAGAGGGTGCAAGTGTCTCAAAATTCTATAATGGTGGAAAACCTAGTCTTACAAGAGATTCACTGATTGGTCAGAACGATTGGCGTCCATTGGATCCAGTAAACAGTCCTTATAATGAGAACCGTACTGATAATCTTAGAACTCCTTTAAATCCAATATCTGGAAATGGAAGAAAGCTAGTTAGAGGTGATCCTTTCAATGTTGTGATATATCAGCTCCCTCCGGTTTGTGATAGCAGTGTCATAGTGGATGCAGTTAGAATTGCATAAAGATAGATAAATTTGTCATTTAGAAATAATGTTTTTATAAATATATAAACTTCTTGGCCAATAAATAAATGAATATATAGTTGATAAATTTAAATGTGACATTAAGGTTTTATTTAAGTTTTATTATTTTAATACTAAATGTAAAGTTGATTCAGTCTGCAGTGAAGAGTTGGAAACAGATTTTTTAAAATCTAATTGATTTCCTGCAAAGATGAAGCGAATAGATTCTATTGGTATCATTAGTCGTTGTGAAACTAATTTCGCTACTGAATATATTGTTTGTGAACATGAGATGTTATCCAATGTAAACTTATTACCATCTAAAGGTTTAATGAAAAGTTTCATGCTGCCGATTTTAAAGTATTCTGATCTCTCCAACAAATAGATATATTCACCATCTACTATATTTGACTGTTGCAAAGTATTGTCGCTATCACCATTTATAACAATATCATCATGAATAACCACAACTATTTCTTTTGAAAACAATTTGATATAATTGTCTAATGTTGGAACATAATTAACCTCTAAAAGACTATCTACCATTTTCTTTACTGTTGTTTGATCATCATATTGCGCAACCCTGAAATTCTTCTTACCAAAAGTTTGAAGATTTAAAGTTAACTTCATTTTACTATTCTAAGTTTAAAAAAAAAAATTGAATAACATCAATTAACTTTTTTGAATAAATGTGCTTACAATAAAAAAATAATTTGGAAACAAAAGAGAATTTTGTGTTTATTAGAAATTGCAATAAAAAAGGAAAGTTAAGAGAATATATTATTAAAGGATAATACATAAATCTCTACGTTCACAAATCACTATTCATTTGCCAACTAAATCATGGTTACAATAGCAAAATGTGTAGATCACAATCGTGATTTAGAGTTGATATGTTGTGAATGTTTGGTTTTAGTTTGTTCATTTTGTGTTCCGCATCACCAAGGACATCCATTTGTAGAAGCTTCAGATCAAATTGATTATTTTCAAAATCAACTGGATAAGACAAATGCGCAGATATCTTCAAAGATGGACTATAGCGACACGTTAGCGGCAACTATTGACGGGGTCTCGAATTTGTCTAAAGATCTAAAGGATTTCATTGTGGAGTTGGAGGAAGAAAGCAAATCACCTGCTCTCAAACAAAAAGAAAAAGTTGATCAGCAAATTTCATTAGAATTTAAGAAGAGAGATAGGCTCATTTCACTCATTCAGAGATATCAACCAACTATTGTCGACACTCACACAACGGCCAACCCAAACATTAAAACAATACAACAACCTAATCAAACTATTCAGTTGGATGAACCTCTCTACAAATTAGTTGACAACACTAGTCAAATTGAGAATATCAAGAAAGACATTAAATCGTCGTTTAAATTAGAGTTTATCCCAAGCAAAAGACAAAAACAACAATTACAACAACAATTAAATCAAATACATTACATCCTTTCTATGGATAGAGCTGGAAGTCCAACAATCATAACTCTACCCAATTCAATTGATATCAAGGCAAAGAATGAAGAAATATTTACTATGCAATCATTGGATGTAAAAGCACCAAGGTGGTCGTACACATCTATCATTGCAGTTGGTGATTACATCTACAATTTCGGAGGAATAGGAATGTTTGCAAAATCCAATAGATATCAGAGATTCAATTTGGTTAGCATGACAATTGATATTGACGAGGAGATGACCGGGCTATCACCCGTAAGCTTTCTTTCGACATGTTACGATGGTAACTCCTATATCTATATCCTCGATAGTTATATGAACACAGAAGAGACCAATATCATAAGATACAACATTCATTCATTACAATTCGAGAGATTCACTACAACTATGTGTAAGGGTGATGTCGACCTATCGTTCTTTTACTCTGGAGATCTATTTTCTTTCGGTTCAACCAGTGGAAGTCTCTTGAGATTTAACGTTGAAACAAAGAAAACAACAGTAGTTCCTGTAGAATCTTCCAAAATAATTACCTATTCAAATTCATCTGCCTGTTGTCACGATGGTAAAGGTGGAATCTATGCTCTAAAAGAAAAAAAGTTCTTTTATATCAATGTAGATACATGTGAAATTAAGAAGTTGGACTACACATTCTTAAAGACCAATGCCAGGCTCCAATATCACAGAGTTAGCGAAACAGAAGCTTATATCTATTGTTTGCAGGGTGCTGCCAAGAGCTTTGTATATTCTGTTGCCAACAATCAATGGAAACAAATACTAAGTGGAGATACTAAAGATAGATTAATATGTGCATCTATCATTTATAATAGATAGATGGACACCAATAAATCAATTTATTTGTTACATCAAAAGTTAATAAATATCATTAAATATAATTTAACATATTAGTTTTTATTTATTTATTTGTGTAAATGAATTGTACAGATTATACAATGGTGTCATCGCTATTGTTTTTGTGTTTTGTTTTTGAGTGCAATACTATCTCTTTTCATAAGTTGAAGAGGTAGTAGTTTTATAATTATATGTTTATGATTCGCCAATGAAAAAAAAAAAGAGGTATAAATACAAAGGTTGTTTTTGTTGTTGTTGTTGTTGTTTAGATGGGTTAATTCGTATAAATCGTATCATTATTACGTTAACGTTGATTACTATTATAATTGATGACTGAGTTAGGCTGAGCTTAGAGGAGTGAACATGATTTGATGAGTGATTTCTTTTTGTTGTTCTTCTCTGGCTTGGTATCACCCTTCAAATCCTTTCTGATCTCACGAACCAAAGTGTAGAAGGCCTCTTCGACATTGACACGAATCTTGGCAGAGGTTTCGAGGAATGGACTTACGAATGACTTGGCAAGATCTTGTCCTTCACCGGTGGTAACCTGACGCTCTGACTCCAAATCGCACTTGTTACCGACAACGATCATTGGAACTCTGTCTCTGTCTTTGACACGGAGGATCTGCTCACGGAAGGCAGCAACCTCGTCGAATGATGAACGCGAAGTGATGGCATAGACACAGAGAAAACCTTGACCTGTTCTCATATATTGATCACGCATTGCCGAGTACTCCTCCTGACCAGCAGTATCCAAGATATCGAGTAAACAGGTCTCTTCGTCGATTGTAACTTGCTTTCTGTATGAATCTTCGATGGTGGGGTCATACTCATCGATAAAGTGGTTCTGAATCAATTGAATGGTCAAAGCAGATTTTCCAACACCACCACCTCCAACAATAACTAATTTGTATTCTGTCATTTTGCTTATTTAATTATTTATATAAATATATAAAGTGTATGATTTAGGTTAATTGTTCAAAATAATACAATGATTAATGTTGCTTTTGTATAAAAACGGATTTGTTTCTTTATTTTGAAAATTTTATAAAAACAAAAAAAAAATGAAAAAATATTATTTTTTTTTTTGACAAAAAAATTTCAAAACCATTTTGAACACACTATATTTAGGGAGAGCAAACATTCATATTTCACAGTATCATATGTATTAATTTTTCATTTTAGTACTTGAATTATCAATATAAAAGAAAAATTTAAAAAAAATCGTAGTTACTAATTTATTTATTTATTATTTTTTTTTTTTTCGTAAATTCTAGAGAGATCTTTTAAATAGGATGATTAAAAGATATGTTTGCAAAAAAAAAAAAGATAAAAACTTAAGTGAAGATTAGACAACATATAATAACCACAATAAATATATATTTTTTGAACATTTTTTATTCGTATCTCAACAGACACTGTTTTTCGAAAAAAAATTTCAAAATAAAATCAATCTTGTTTTTATTTCCTATTTTGGTGTGATATTAGCAAGATTATGTAACAAAATTAAATCCAAAAATAAAAATAAAAATAAATAAAACTGACATGAATTACTCGATTGACTGTCTTTAAAAATTATCCAAACAATATAATTTAGATATTTTCTCAATAATGTATATCTTTAGAAATCAAGAAAAGTCAAATATTAAACCAATAATTTTGGAATTGGACTCTATTAAAACTTCCTATCAACAAAAAAACAATATTATTTTATATAATCAGAGTCAGAATAAATTAAAAGATAAAGTTAGAGAAATTGTAAAATTTTTTAATTTCAAAGACTATAACTCTTTATCAAATTTTATTAGTATATATAATCAATTTAATTTAAATATAAATAATGATGCTGTACGATTATGTATTATTTATTATTTCATAGAGTTTCATAGAAATAAATTTCCACATCTTATAAATATTGATAGCTATATTAAATTTGCTGTGGATATTTTTTTTGACCCTTCCAAAGTTATCTATAACCAAATTTCAAAAATAAATACATTCAATAGTAGATCATTGGTTTCGAAATTACAAAACCAAATAATAAATGATCAAAGAGTAAGTATAATAAAAATATAGATATTATTGATAAAAATAACTAATAAAAATCAAATAGTTTAATAAATGGTTTAGAGATCTCAATGAAATTGATAATGAATCACTTAGATTTAGAATTGGAAAATTACAAATAGAAAATAATCATTTTGAATATGATTCTTTGTATAATTTAGTATATCATTCCAATTCAGATCTAAATTCCGTTAGTCCATCAATATCAAATCGATATGAGATTTCCGAAATAAGTACAACTACTAAGCTTTCAGATTTCATTATTAATAAAATCATTGGATATTCTTTGGAGTATATAGATGATATGGATGATTTATATACAAACTCACATTCAAAGTTTATTCAATATCAACAGACGTGCTGTCTTAATATTCCAATCAATACTCAATTTCTTAGATTTTCAATGGTTTCGAAACAATTCCATAGAGTCATATCTAAACTTTTGTCAAACATCTATTTCGAATGGGTGGAAAGTCCTATCAGTCTAAATAATAACAAATTCAACTTAATTAAAGATCCACCTTTATATTTCGATTATGATTCAATCAAATTCATCCCCTTCAATCGTGGAACAGATTATGCAAATCATATTCTTAGTAGAGTTGAAACATTCACTTTGGATACCGATGAATTTGACTACTCAACAAGTGGTGCTATCCATAGGGATTTGGGAGATGTATTCAATGGACTTGTTGTCAACAAAATTCAATATAGGAAATCAATTTTATCTGAAAACTACCTTTTGTATCCACCTCCTATGCCAAATCTAAAGAATATATTAGTTTATGGTTATCATGGTTATACATCAAATTACAGTAGACTTCTTGGTCATATTTTAATGACAACACCAAACACTGGAGATCATGGAGTACACCTTTTTTCAGTTCGAATCTCAAGAGATTTCAATCATAATCCATCTTTTAATGTAATAGAGTTCCTTATCCCTCTCTTGAGATTCCACTATGCAACCCTAAAAACAATAAGAATTGAATATACCTATTCATTCTTAAAGCTTGATCCAACAAGAATGTTAGATATCTTTTCAGAGTTTATAGAGGAGATAAAGATCTACAATATCAATATCGATGTTTTTACAAATGACAAAACACTCTTGGAAATTTTGGAAGAAACCCTGGTAGTTCAAAAAGAATATAATGATATTTATAAATATTTAAAAAATAAATAAAACTAAAATTTATTTTTATGGTGAAGAATTATTTGTTTTATAATTTAGTTTCTTTTTCAACTCTATTAAACTAAATCCATTTAAAAGCCTATTATCATTGGTATTTTCATTTTGAATTGAGTCTATATATTTAGATAGTAGATCTATATTCATTTGTTGTTTAATATACTCCAAACATCGTTTATCACTCTGACAGAGAACAATTAATGTTGGGAATAGAATATCCATATGACTATAATAAAAAAATAGTTAGTAAAAAATAATAAAAATTAAGAATTTTAGTTTTGCTTACTCTTTTTCAAAGAAATATATAAATGGCAAATTACAAAGTGATTGTAATATGGTTGATTTATCACCCCAGTGGAAGATCTCTAGATTTCTTTCATTCTTGTAGCCATAGTAACCAAGCAGTACAATGATTTTCGCAAGTAGGTGTTGCTTAGTCTGGAAAAACTGCTTTTCAAAGTCATCTGAACTCTGCGTGGCCGATGAAAGTAGATGAATAATAAAATGGTAAAATTCAACCTGGAAGTCATCTGATCCAAGCATACTCTGAACGAATGGTAGATCTAACATTGAAATATTGATGAAAAGATCGAGTGTCTGTAGAATGGTTGGATATAATATTTTCGGTAATTCAAAGTGACTGATTTGCTTCTTCTTATTGTGTAAAAGAATAAAAGTAAGTAGCGATAGAACACCTACTACATTGGTTCGTTTGAGGACTGACATCATTGGCGCAGACTCCTTTACCAACTCCAATGGGTTATTACCATTGATAGAGGTGGGCTCGATTGAGCCTTTGGAAGATTCCACAAAAAAATTTGTAAAGTTAACCAACATTTGAATGGTCTCCTCTGCCATAGATATCGATGCTTCGCCACCTTCCAACATACCCAACTGTAGATGTGGTAGTTTCAATTCCAATTTTTCAAATATCATTAAATCTAATACATAACTATATGATGACAGGAAATTGATTAAAATTAAATATCTATATAATCAATACGAACATTACTACTTACATAATGAAATAAAGTTTATATTCTTTAATGGAGAATGGAATGAATTGTAAAGATTGGATTGAAAACATCATATTGATCAATGAAATGAGAGACGGAAGAAATGGAACAACAATATCGGGCTTTGACAGAATGTTCATACTGAACAACTCTAGAAACTGTGTCAATGTACCGAGCGATAAAAGATAACAAATGTTGTAACCAACACTACATAACTTTATTATTAATTCTAATGTATTCTTTATTAAACTAAATAGAAATATATATTTTTGAGTATAAAGTGGATCTGAAAAGTAATTAATAATTAAATTATACATACGTCGAAGGTGGTTTAGGATCATTATTCACTAAACATATCTTTGATAGTGATTGTAATCCTTTTAATTTTGTAAAATAAAGATAATCTTCTTGTGAACTATATTTACCAAGTAGAACTGATGTGTCCATCAAGATAAACTGAAGACTTTTGTAATCTTTACTCTTGAGATGGCTATCAATCTCGCCAATCGTCTTTATAAATGTACTCTTTAAGAAATAATCATCGGGAATCACTATGCTATCTAGATAGTCGATATTCTTGTTATTGTTGGCCATCTTATTGAGGGTTTGCTTAGTAGGAGACAACTTTGCTTTGTTTGATAGTTCCTCTTCGTGTATCTTTTGTAGCAGTTCCTTGGATAGTGGTGCCAATCGGTTGGTCGAGAACGACTCGAATGGAAGTGTAATTACCCAGTCGGGATGTGAATGGTCGCGATCATTGTTATGCGTGTTGGAGAATGTACTTGAAGTTGGTGGACAACGTTCGAGTGTTGCTGACAAAGAAGTCTTTTTCATTTCCATGTTGAAATGCTTCAAATTGTTTTGATGTTGAAGCTCATTGATGTGCGACTGCAGGGCAGTGTCCGAGGTGATAGGAACATTACAGTAGCGACAATATCTTCGAATCTTACGCTTGGCATCATCAGATATAGGAGGTGAGCTAATGGCACCAAGAATGATCTGTGCACGTGACTCTTCAATCTCACGACGTCGCTTCAATGCAGACTCTTCGCGTTGAACGATCAATGACATCTTTTGACCTTTAGCCAGTGCCAACTTTTGACGACGAGCAGCCTGCTTCTCAAGCTTGCGCTGGCGGATGTACTGCTGATTCTTTGAAGTCTGATCAGAGATCCACTTGATCTCCTCTGCCTTCTTACCCTCGGACATCCCTTTCTGCTGAATGTTTGTTATATGTTCGCCATGTAATTGATCGGCACGCTCTTGTTTCTCGCCAATGGTGATTCTCTCTTGCATGACACGTTCTTCATTGCGCTTGTTGAACTCTTTCACGCGATCCTCATGCTTGTAAGATCTTTTCCTACCAACTGAAATAGCCTCTCTATTTTCCTTTGCCTTTTGTTGTCTGTCTTCATACTGCTTTGCTTTCTTAAATCTAATCAACTCCCAATTTAAATCATCTTCTTTTTGTTTCTTTTCATCTACAACTGCAGTACTATTACTATTACTATTATTATTATTGGTTGCTCTCATTGTTTCCATTGCAATTCTTAATCTATCTGACCATTTCATTGCATTACTAACACCATTACTAATATTATCATTATTCTCTGTGACTTCAACTTTACTAGATTGAGTTGATGATGGTGATGATGAAATAGAGGTGGTGGTTGTGGTGGAAGGTAGTGTTAAAGTGGATACAGAAACTACAACTTGATCATTAGTGGGAGTAGTTGGTGTTTGGGTAGTCGGTATTGTCGTACTTATGAGAGTGTTCTTCAAGGATTTAAAGTCATTCAATACAGTGGACAGAGTTTGAATCATACTATTACACTTATCGATACAAGGATCTTTCTCCAAAGTACCATAGATACTATCTAATGTAACACATAGTGTTTTAATACTACTACTCCACTCATTCCTCTCTTTTACATTTATACTACTTTTAGTGTTACTACTACTATTATTATTAATATCACAATTATTACTTTTTGAAGAAATATCATTATAATTGCTAATGACTGGTACAAATGGTACTTTACTTTCATTTCCAACAATAGTTGTATTTGTAATTACAGTACCATCGATTACTTTTTGTAATTCTAATTGTTTTATACTATTTACATTGTTATTACTACTCTTTTTGCTTAATATTATCCTCTTATTATTTGTATTGTTTGCATTTAATTTCTTTGTAATGTTGTTGCTATTGGAAGTGGTAGTGTTCGTATTAGTTCCACCACCACCACCAGTATTTTGAGTATTTACAGTGGTATTGTCAAGAGATAGATATTCTAAAGTTGGTATCATCCACTTGTAGATATTCTTTGAAGCGATATCCTTCTGAGATGTTGTTGTGATTGGAAGTATAACACCACTGGCATTCTGGTATGGTGAATTCAATGGTGATATCGATGACGACGACGACGACGATGATGAAGATGTTGATGATCCACTTAAATTGATTGAACTATTACCACTATTTAATTGTTGTTTACCCTTTACAATATTGTTATTTATATTACTATTATTTGTATTTTCATCATTAAAAGTTGATAGATTATCTACAATTATATTATCACTATGAACACTCATTACTTTAAAATTAATTTTAAAATATAAAATTTAAATTCAATTATTATTAATTAAAACAATTCAATTTAAAATAATAATATTTAATATTTATTTTATTTAATTTTTGGATCGTTAGTAACAGTAGTTTTGTTGATTGTTTGTTTTTCTATATAAATATACTATTATTATTGTTATTATTATTATTATTATTATTAATTATTAAAGATTATTAACGAGGATGAGTTGAATGTAGATTTGGTGTTGACTGGGTTGCTCTCATTCTTGTTAAATTTGCCGATGAATTAGACTCTCTATTTCTTACATAGTCCTTCATTGAATTGATTGCCAAATCCAAACGTTTATCTTTATCGGAATTATCATTATTCTCCTGTTGTCGATGATGAAATTAATTAGATATGTTAGATAATTAAAACTGAATGAATGAATGAATACATACAGCTAACCAAGGATGTTTCATACATTGTGATGCACTCGATCTCTCAGTAGGACTGATAACGAGCAGTTGTGAAATGAAATCTTTTGCATGGTCAGTGATGCCAGACCACTCTGGTTCCGGAAAATCATACTCTAAATCTAAAATCTTTTGAAACAGTTCGTGGTGTGTATCCGCATAAAACGGTGCAAATCCACAAAGTCTATAAATGAAAAAATATTAAAGTAACTTGTTAATATTGAAACTTTAATCATTATAACAATGATAATGATAGGGATTGGATTAGATAGAGTAGTATTTAATACATACAATATATATGTTATAACACCAATACTCCACATGTCAACAGAGGTATCATATGGTTTACACTCTAGAATCTCTGGTGCAACGTAATCTGGAGTTCCACATGCTGTCTTTAGTTCTTCTCCACCTTCAAATATCTTTGATAATCCAAAATCTAAATAGTAAAAATAATTGTAAATCAATAAATAACCATTTGTTTAATTAAGATTGTTTATATCTCTAGGCTTATAAATTACCTGCTATTCTAACAAATTGTTCGGCTTCGTCATCGGCTGAACATAGTAGGTTCTCTGGTTTAAGGTCACGATGACAAACACCATGTTGATGCATGTACTCTACGGCGGAAACAATCTGTCTCACCAGGTTACATGCATCCTTTTCTGAATACTGTCCTTTCTCTACAATCTTATCGAAAAGTTCTCCACCTCTTACTCTATATAATAATAGGTTTATAAAGTGTGTTTGGTTAGTTCTCAAATTATCTATAGATACTGATTGATTGATTGATTGATTTGATTGATACAATACAATTCCAAAACTAAATATAGATACTCATGTGAATCGAATACCTCTATGAGTTGTATAATGTTCTTGTGTTTTAATTTCTTCATGATTTCAATCTCACGAGTGAATCTCTTCATGTCTGCATCGTTTACATGTTGTTTGGAGATAGCTTTGATTGCCACTTGATCACCAGTCTCTTTATGTGTACCTTGTCTAACAATTGAAAATGCACCTCTAAACAATAGTATTAATATCAATCTTTAACAAACAATTGATCAGACCACTATTTACCTTCCAATTTCATTTCCAAGCTCGTAGTAATCTTCTATTTTAGAACCTTTCTTTCTTTGTATCTTTTTAAATAATCTTAACATTCTTTATAATTTATTTGATAATATGGTTTATATATATATAATATTAAATATTGTAATGAGAGAAATGATGTCAATTGACTTTTATTTATATATAGTGCTACTGTTATTTATGAGAATGCAATTTGAAAAACAAGATAGATTTATTATCAGATCGTAATTGTTGTTGTTTGATTATTGATAGATGAAAAGATTGCCAGTTTTTGTTGTTAATTCAAAAGTAAAAACAGGCGATAGATAGTTAACCAAAATAAAACAATCAAATAAATAAATAATAATAAATATAGCTATATTATAGAATAATGTTACTGCTGTTGTTGTTTAGATGTATACAATACTGTGTTGTTGTTGTTATGAAAAAATAAAAAATAAATTCAAAGTTAGGTTTGTTAATGTTTACTTGAAAAAGAGTGTGAGTGTGAGTGTTGCTCTGTGGTGCGATCAGTTTAATTATTAAAGTGAGAAAGTTAGTCTATCAATGACTATTCCTATGTTATTGCTATTATTATTTCTATTATTATTATTATTATTATGTTTGCCACTAACAATGCTACTCCAATACTATTAATTTAATATTGTTAGGTATGTTCTTAAAGAGATAATCAATTATCAAACTCTATTCACTTTAAATATTTTGAACATATATATGTTGAATATTGTGTAGTCCTATCTATTCTTTTCTGTATTTGAAATTCTTAATGGAGGAGTTATTTTTTATTTTTATTATTTTAATTGATTTATTTATTAATTGATTAATTTCTAATGACAAAAGGTGGGGTTTTTTTGCTGATCTGAAGCCCAATAAAAAAATTTGAAAAAAAAAAAAATAACAAAAAACTCTTTCTTTGCATGTTGAAAAAAAAAAAACCTTTTGGTGATCAACTAACCAAAGGCTTTATGATACTTTGTTTTGTTCGTGATCTAAAAACCTTTTTATTTTTTATATATTTTACACTATTGACGTTGTTTTTTTTGTTTTTTTTTTTTTTTTGTTGATCTCCAACAACTCGAATCTTAAATATCTATGGTCAACATGTTTATCATTCGATGGATAGCCAATCAATCACTTTTATCCAACCAGTTCACAAATGTCATTGTGTCAATTTGCAAAGCTTGAAGTTTATTTTATTTTTTTGTTTACCCAATCAGGTTTCGCACCGTTTTGCCCAGTAGCAAATCAATAAAAGTTTAACTTTTGTCTTTGTATAAAAGATCAAAAATATTTATTTTTCATAGTTTTTTTTTTTTTATGTGGATGGATCAACCAATTTTTTTTATTTAATTTTTTTTTGATCATCAATCAACACTACTGCTTGAACAACATTAAAGAACTAAAGTAATCATTAAAGAATGTTTTTGATGAATGTGGTTTGTAAAAGGCCAGTTCCTTTTTCCTCATTATCTTCAACACTCAGAATACCTAATATCCTTTTGCGAAATAATATCTCATCATTTCGATACTCATTGTTGTCATCATCAAAGTTATTAACTTTTTCAAAATTGAATCATACATGTAAACAACCAGAGACAATCAACCCAATATTATATCGATATGTATTTAGTTTTAATAATAACAACAGTACCAGTATATTAAATAGTAAACATTTAAATATAAATAAGAGTAGTTATACTATCGTCGGAATAAGAAGAAGCTATGCAACACATAATAGCTATCAGGCGGAATCAGACAAAGCCAGAAGAAGACTAGGAAATGATCCTACCAATAAACGAAGATTAGGTCCACATCATATAGCCATTACTGTACTGGTAATGTTTGTAAGTAATCACCGTTGATTTACATTTGTAAAATCGTACAAACATCTCTAATTGAATGGTTTTAATTTCATCAGATGTTAGGAGGATCACTTGCATATGTGTTCAAAGATATGATATTTGAAAATAGTCTTTACAATGCAACGATCGATGAACTCAAATTGGATCCCACCATCGTCAAGATCTTTGGTGAGAAGTTCTCTGCCAAAACATTCCACCGTGATCATCACGATGAAGCAAATCTCAATAGAATCAAAAAGAAAACAAATAACTACAAAAAGAATAATCAAAATGATGATCAAGATAAGAAAGAAGATGAGACTGTATTTGTAAAGGTAATAATTAATAGTGATCACTCGATATTTAAACACTAGTTGAATCTAACTTTTAGTTCATTTTATTGTTTAGATTAATTTCAATATCTATGCAGAGACAGATAAAGGTGGGGGTAAAGGAAGTGTAAGATGCAGAGCAAAGAGAATCTCTTCGTTCAAATATGAAATAGTATCATTGCGTGTCAAATATGGAATCAGATGGATTGTTGTTATCGATCGTGATAGAAAACCACCAAAGAAACAAAACTTTATCACCAAAGTATTTGATATGTTTAAGAATAAACTATAACCGATCTTAGTTGGTAAATGATATTTATCGATGAAAATACTTTATACATATTATAAATTAATAATATTATTGATCTGTTTTTATTTTATTTTGGTAAATATCTTGTTGTTATTTTATTTATGATTCACTACCGCTGCTCTCACTCTCACTCGATGAGTAGCTACTGGAATCACTTTCACTGTCACTGTCACTGGTGTCACTAGAGGCACTTGGACTCTTTGGTTGTGATTGTTGGTTGCCAGACATTGACTGTGGCGGTTGTTTCTGTGAGAGATGATTGTGATGATGATGGTGGTGATGTGAAGAAGATGATGATGTTGATTGTGGTTTTGCAAATGATCCTGGCGGATTAACATTAGTGACCATAGGTGGATGGACAATAGTGGGTGGATTAACAAAAGATGATTTATGATGATTATTATTATTATTATTACTGTTCCTAGGTAGTATAGATGATATAGATGAATGTGGTGGTGATACTGGCATTTCATCTAATATACTATTCATGTCTTTCAACATTAGATCGTTCATCTCATTGGTAGAATCGGTCAGACTGATCGAATCGCCACCTACATACTCCTCGAATACGATATCGTTGTCGTCGTCCATCGATACATCGTTGTCGTTGGTTTGTGTTTCCAATTCCTTAGCGAGATCTGCCAGATCTTCATCCATACTCTCATTCAAAGGTGGCACAGCTGATGTTGAATGTCTACCATAAGATGATCCTCTACTACTACTATTAGATGGTAAATTATTATTACTATTGTAATTATTATAATTAGTATTATTATTATTCTTTGAAGTAGATGCTGATGATGATCTCTTGTTAGAAGTTGAAGATGTAGATGATCTTCCGCTACTACTACTACTGCTACTACTACTACTTGATTTCTTGTTTGTTATAGTCGATGTAGATGTTGATGCAGATGGATTCAAATCATATTCATTCAGTTTTGATTTCTTTAGGTTGACAGTGGAAGGCAGTATGTCTTCGCCTTCGATTCTCTTCTTTGTTGACGAAAGTGTTGTAGTGGTTGTTGTCGAGGGTGATCCGATATCATTTGAATATGAGTCTATACTAGGTGGTGGTGCACTACTACCACCTTGATGATTTAATAATAATAATAATAATAATAGAATTAGTATCATTGTCTATGTTGCTTTGTTTATGATTTTTCATACTTTTCTTTTTCAATAAATAATAACTAGATAATCTCTCCAATCTAAAACTACCATTTTCAAATACTAATATACATTCTTTTTTTCCTGAATTTGATCCTTCATAATTTATCATTTCATTTGGGTTCTTTATTAGAGATTGTGGATTAATAAAGTGTATTATAGAGTCGTCTACATTATTTGATATTTCATTAAATTATACATACGTTTGAGTTGTGATATTGTACATTTATATGACCTTGATGCAACAGTTTAATGAAACCTTGTTTTGAATCATCAAGACTACCAGGTTTCATATTGTACTTTTTTTTTTTTTTTTTTTGTTTGTTTTCATTTATTAATAATAGGGTAAAGAAGTAAGTAAATGACAATTTAAGTCTCTAGATAACAAAGTGTTGGATAAGATAACATACAACCTAGAATATGATATTGTTCTTTTGTATCTGTAAAGGTCGAACCCAACTCAACTTCATATTCTCCATCCTCAGGTGCTTTCATTATAAGTTTGTAAATGTTGAGTTCTGTTGATCGAGAACAAACTAATGAGAGTGTTATTCCCTTTCATTTTGGAATTTTTAAAAAAAAATTTTTTAATCAAAAAATAAAACTAGTTATTATTAGAGAGCAACAAAATACATATCCACGAACCAGGTGGTGGATTACATATATTTTTTTTTTCAATAGAAGAGAATCATTGATATATCCATCCATTTTTGTTAATTTATTTTGAATTCTGTCCATCTGGTAATATCTTGGTTTTTTACAATTATTAAATTTAGAATTTAATCAATCTTAAAAATACCAGCGGCTCTGAGAATACCCAACTTATATTTTACTCTTTTGATTATAATTAAGAATAACCGAATAAATTAAATAATAATTGTCGGTGAAAAATGAAAAAAATAGTAAAATAATTTGAGAAAATCTTCCAATATTTTACTTGTTCAATTTGTTTAAAACAAAGTCTACAGATATATAAAAAGAGAGATATGAGTAAACAAGATGTATCCGTTTTAATTGGACAGAAAATGCTTTTGGGTTGGACATTACTCGATGTAGTATGCTCAAAGTGTTCAGTTGTACCATTGGTAGAAGATAAGAAAAACAACGTTATTCTATGTATGGGTTGCAATCGAAGACTAAAAAGAGAGAATGGTGATATCATTCAAGTGACACCTGGTGATTCTGAATCAACTACCTCGAATAACAACAAAAACAACAACAACAACACTAGCAATAATAATAATGTTAATCATGATAATATGTTTATGCCTGGTTTATTAAGAACAAATAACAATCAAGACAATCATAATAATAATAACAATAAAGTCGAAAAACAAACTATTATAACAGATAAAATGGATATTGTAGGAAATGATGATAATCAATTAGATTATGATGAAGATGAAGATGATGACGAAGTTCTTTGGACTGAAGATGAAAGAATCCAATTCGAAAAGAGAATGAAAAAGTCTGACGAAACCAGTGCAAAGATTGGACAAAAGTTATTGATGGGATGGACATTGTAAGTTTTTACACCTGAATATCATATTGTTATTCTACTTTATTTATATAAATGTATAATATTCTTATTTTATTAATAGATTGGGTGATGTTTGTCCAAATACCGAGTGTTTTGGTAGTCCATTGATGAGAGATAGAGAGAAAGTATATCATTGTCTATCATGTGATCGAACTGAAATGAATGCAGATGATTTCCATATACCAAAGCAACAACAACAACAACAAAAGAATATTATTAATACAAATGGCAATGTAAATAATACGGTATCAGAGATTTCACCAACAAAAGAACCAATCTTAAAGAAACAAAAGAAAGAAGAGCAATCTCATGTACATGTTCCAGAGCATTCCGCTTATCAACAACAATCTTTGAATCATCATACTGTTCCATCATCTTCGTTTAGCAGAAGTAGTAGTGGTAGTAGTATTAACAGCAACAACCAACACAACAATTATAATATAATACCGGTGGTCGACCAACATGTTATTGCAAACAACAGACAACTAGCAGGTACACCAATCAAGTTACTTCACCAAAACATCAGTGAGATGCCAGAGGTTGTAGACCGAACACTGAGCACTCTTTTTACCAAACTCAAAGAGACCGAACTACATCTTTCAGACTCTAACAACATCAACGATACTAGAAACGACTGTATTCTAATCAAAGAGTGTAGTCAAGCAATCAGTTCATTACTTGAATTAAAGAAACAATATCTATCTTAATGACGATTACATTGTTTATTACATATTATAAATAAATTAATATTATTATTGTTGTTTTGTTGTTTTTTATTAAAATAAAAAAAAAAGGTATATTAAATGAATGCTTTAATAATTGAAACAAAGACCATTGTAACTACAAGTATAATTAAAATAAGTAATATACAAAGTCTAGTTCTGTAGCTACGATGATATTCATCGGCTTTCTTTAGTTCTACTGTGGCCACTGTCATTGACTCCTCGGTCGATTCCAAATTGTATTCGATTTGGTCCATCAAAGTGCCTTGCTTGATGACCAGTATCGAAATGTCATTGATAATCGATGACAGCTCTTCCATTGATCTTACAATCTGTCTAATCTCAGCATCTCTCTTTTGAACTTCAAACTCCATCTCATTGAAAGCCTCTTCCTGTTGTTTTGTTAAAGTAAACACCTGGTTTTCATCATCGTCATCCTCTTCGTCATTCACTTCATTTCCCCAACCAAAACTATTTGCATTTCTTTGTATAGCTATAATTAAATTTAATCAAAAAAGTACATTAATATATATATTAATCTTTAATGATTTAACTAATAATCTATACCATTTAAATAAGTTCTTTGTTTCTTCTTGAATTCTAATGATAAAGTCTGTAGTTGATTCGATTTGGCAGATTGAATATTCTTTTTGACTTTGATCTCTTCGGGTGTCAGGGTTTTCCTGAGTCCCAATGTTTTAATTAAATTATGTGTTTTACTTATATCCTATTGAACGATTAATATTAAAAATCAAACTATATGTTATAATTCTATTTATAATGATAAACATACACTTGATATCTCTCTAGTTAATACTTCAACTTCTCTTTCATCTTCACCGCTATCATCGAATCTCGATAAATGTCTTGAATGTAATTGACCTAATCTTTCAACTACAAATAAAATAAAATTGTTTGTTTAGAATTCTATGTTTAACTATGTAATTTATCAATGAAACATTATATGACATACTATTGTTTGAAATGACTCTTAGTTTACTATCTATATCGGTTAATTTTATCCATTGTGGTTGTAGGTTGAGATCGTCTAGTGGTATATCATGTTCATTCTCACCTATCAGTGGTATCTTTGAGACATCCTTCTTAGTGGTTGAAGTACTCGATACACTACTGAAAGGTCTATTGTGGTGACTCTGTTGACGCAATTCAAAGAATGCAATCGATCTATTTCGATATGACATCTATATATATATATATCTAAAAAAAAAAAAACAAAACTAAAATAATCTACTTTATATCTAAAACTTATGATAACAATATAAAAAATTATCAATTAATTAAATTAATTTTAAATAAAAAAGAGTCAGAAGTTTTTTGTAATTCAAAGATTTTCAACGTTGCAAAAAGCACCATTAATATTCTATTATTTTTAACTAATCAATTTTTGTTTGATTCGAATTACCAATTCAATACTCTTATCTTTATATAAAAAATTAAAAAAATAAACAAATAAAAAATTTGGATATCTTATTTAATAATCATGAAATATTAGATATCTATTTCAATTTAAAATGGCAAAATAAAAGAAAAATCAATCAAGTTTATCTACAAATAAAAAGATGAATTAAAAAGAAAATAAAACAATTTAATTTTCCAAAAAAAAAATAAAAAAATTCGCTTCATTTAAAAGTTTAATAATATTTATATAGAGGGAACTAAGTTCCTTTAAATAACAATAAAAGAATAAAATTAGTAAATGTTTAAAGGTATTTAAAAATATTAATTTATACTAGTTTTTTTTTTTTTTGCAAAACACAACCGACAAAAAACAAAATTTTTTTTTTGATCATAATTTTTTGCAAAAAAATAAGTTAGGGTTTGTCCTGAAGGTGGTTGGTCTTTAAAGTGGGGCATACCAATTTTGAAAGGTCTTTTGGTTTTGATTTACACTTTTTTTTAATACAACCACAAAAAAAATTTATACCTAAAAGATTTAAGTACCCCCTCAAAAAATTGTTTTTCAATAATTCTTGATCCACACAATTCATTTTACACTTTTAAAACTTTCAATCAATCAGAAGTGTTTTTAAATTTTACCTAATCACATCCTAAATAGAATTGGTAACACATCTCAAATTCATCCTTATTTGAAATACTAAGTAAAAAAAGATCTATTATACTTTTTGATCAAATTTTCGGTTACACACTAAACATTGTTGTTCTGACTGATCTATCGAATCAAACACCATGGATATATGCATTTCTTTTATAAAACTATTTATAATATTAAAATGATTTATTTTATATTTTTGTCCAAGGACCTGACAAAAAACATTACCACATTGTCATTGTCAACTTTTAATAAATAACACATCTCCAATCCTATCCAATCAGATAATTATTTATCTTGTTGAGGTTGTTATATCCTCACTAAATTCAATAGTAGTAATCACACTATAAATAGCTATAGAATATTTTGACATTGTAACACCATTTTCAATTGTACCATTACTTAATTAAATATATATATATATATATATATATATAAAATTATTTGTAATAAAATTCTTTGTAATAACATTATTTGTAATAAATTTAAATAAAAAAAAATGGTGGATAAAAAAATTATTATATCAATTGTTCTTGTGATAATTGTTGTTTCTTGTGCTGTTGTAATTCCTACTGTAATAGTACTCCATAATAATAAAGATGATACTGTCAACTTGCCTGTTGATAAAAATCAAACAGAAACCACAACCACAACCCTAACCACTTCAACTACGACTTCTTCGACAGGGGATATTACAACTGGATCTACAACCTCTACTACGACCACCGGTGGAGAACCCGTTATCAATACAACTACCACTGGATCACCTAATATTACCACAAGTGGAAGCCAAATTGTAAACTCCACCACATCAACATCCTTACCACTACCACCTACCTCAACTTCAACAACTTCAACAACCTCAACAACCTCAACAACCTCAACAACCTCAACAACTGGCACGACTACTTCTAAACCAGCCAATCCAACATCCTCGACCTCTTCATCATCTACCTCAACTTCAACAACAACTACAACTGGAAATGGCAATCCTACCTCATCTACAACTGGAAGTGGTACCTCCACTAGTACATCAACTAGTACATCAACTACTAGTACTAGCACCACAACTACAACCACCACAACTGGAACACAACCACCAGTACATTCACTGGTAAGTGTGAAAGTCAACTCTATCAATTTTGCCCAAACACATGTAATACCACCACAAGGAAAAATCTGGACATTACCATCTATCACTACCTCCCTTCATCTCTGTGGCAATAGAGATACACTGATTCTTGTTCAATATTCAAGTTCCATCAGTGGAAGTGCACCATTGATCCAAATCTACAATCCCAATAAATCAGGACAATTGGCTCTCGTTGCATCATTGGTCTTGAATACACCAGACAAACTGCCACCAACCAGTGATAATTTCCCAAGTGGTCCATACCTTGCCAATACTTATTCTGTCACTATACCAGCACAATACATTGTTCCAAACATGCTAGTCCTTACCAGCTCAGATTCTTCAGGTGCCACCTACCCCAATGTTGGAATGGATGTCAATATGAATATATATTCGTTGCCAATGTATTTCTTTGGAGCCACACCAGCCAACACTGTGTCTTTGGGCACTGTTGCATTACCAACACCAGCTCAACAGGAGAATATTTTCCAGCAGTGGCCAGTGTCTAATCTTGATTTCTATAACCATCCAATGGAAAGCACAAATTGGCCATTCATTGCAGTCTTACCAACAGGATCACAACCAGCAAAGAGAGTATATAATACAGATCAATTCTATAATATGTTTGATTTAATGACTTTCTTGGTAGCCATGTTACAGGATCTTAGAATTGCATTCGGAGATACAAAAGTAAGTTAATATATTATTTATTTATTTTAATTAATAATTAATATATTAATTATTTTATAGACAAACAATCTATTATATGTACCAATGATGACATTAAACTCGCAAGGTAAATGGTCTTCTCCAGGAGGTGGTCTTGGTGCTAATTCAGTTGGTACCGGTGACTATGACTATAGTGGAGGTGTCTACATTCACGAGATGGGACATGCTTGGGGATTAATGCATTCTGCTGACGCTTACAATCAAGGAAAATACCCTTATCCATCGGGATGTGTCAGTGGATCTACCTATGGTTGGAGATCCGACTCTAATGAATTCATTTCCACCTATCTACCACCAAGCAGTCCAGATTTTGCTCAATGCAAACTACATCCAATTGGATCGATAATCTATCAGCAGCAAAACAATATGTGTGTAAAACAAGATATTATGCAGGTTAGTATCAAAATATTATAAATGTAGAGAATCATTGATTTAAACTAACCTTTGTATTATTAATTTACTGAATGAATAGTCTGGTAATATGTATCCTGACTTTGATATGTCGATCATGCAACAAAAAGCAGAGGGTACAACCACCACTGACAATCAAAACAACCATATCAACAGTGGAGTCATGATCTATGTTGATGAAACCGATAGTTATATACAATGGGACACCATCGATAAGAAATACGTGCCTGTCGTGTTGTCAAACAACTCTGGTTACCAATACTTGGATATGGGACTTCCAAAGATGCGAGATGTCCTCGTCTACACCATTATCATCTCTTACAATTCGGCACCATCTTCGAGTTGCCAAGATTGTACTTTCATCTATCCAATCAGCAAGTCAAAGGGTAACCTAATGAGATGGATCGACCCAACTGACCCAGCGCAGATTCAATTGGTTTTCAACACCAAACACCGGAGCACTTGGATGGTTCTGTTCTATAAGTGGTTGCGACTACACATTGCGTGTCACCTATCGAGACGGAAGCAGATTCCACAAGCTCATCCAAAAAGGACAAAGAGACTTTAACAACCAATGGGGTGGTATCATGTGGAAATACCAAGATCCAAATAATCCAGCGAGTCTTACTGTGTTTGTAGAGAACGTTCCTGCAGATAAGGTCATTACCCAAGTCGAACTACTTTGGACACCCCAAGGCTTTAGTTATACTACACCATCTAATCCACAAGTTTTGGTTTCACAGTATTATTAAATTTTTTTTCAATCCTAATAATAAAAAAAAATGTATATAACTTGATATTAAAAAAAATCTTGTTAAATTTTAATTATTATGATAAAATATATTTTTTTGAAAGAATTGATAATAATTATTATTAATAACCTCAATGAAAAAAAGATTTAGAAAGGCGCCTTTTTTTGTTTTAAATTTAAATTTTTGAATTTTTAAAAAATTAGCCGGTAAAATGTTGCAAAAACTCATTTGCATTTTAAGTTTACAAATTTTATTTGAAAGAATTGACAAACTCCCATTCATACCTCCCACATCATTTTATATCTTATCAAAAATTATAAGAACACACTTTTTTATTAGTCAAACATTAACAACTAAATTTTAACACACAAAAATAGTGATGAACAAACCATTGATCAACTTTTGATTATTACATTTATTCAAAATATTTTACAAACAATTTTATTACCTTTATACAAACAACATCAAATCAAAAAAAATACTTAATTGTTTTTTTTTTGTAATTGTTTCATAAATTTATAAAACATAATAAAAAAGTATAATATTAACAACAAGTCAAGAAAATTTAAACATATTTTTTTAATCATCAAATAATCAAAATAATAATCATTAGTTTCATTTGCCACATTTCACATTCAATTATTTCCACTAAAAAAACAAATCATAGTACTCTATCATAAAGTTCAAACTTCCAACTATCATTTAATTCAAATTAGTTCAAGATACCATTTACACTTAGTATATCTAGTAAGTAATATGGAAAGATATCAAAAAAAAAAATATTCAGACATGTTATAAACACAATATTGTATTTGAATAGTAACAGTTACTCTTTATAATTCATTTACTCCAAATTATCAAACATTTTCTTTTATAGCTTCAGATCAACTCAAGTAGAATGGTTTGGATATAATATTATCCATCACTCTCTAAAGTAGTAGTTGCTCTACTTTATATATTTTTTCATTTAAATGACACTTGCCTACATGTTGTCGCTTCTTATTACAATTATCACATGTAACACTATACAATTCATTCAGATTTATAATCATCATAGTTTTATTCTCACAATTATAGCAATAGTATTAAAAGGATAAATTGACAGATATAAAGAGATTGATATCAACCACCAAATATCAGTACTAATCACCAATTAAGCATAATCATTCTACCTAAAATCAAACACTGTAAACTTTTATCTTTTTGATGGATTTTCCAAACATCATCAGTAAGAACCCCCACTCAAACTATTGAACCACACCAAAACGAATAATTAAAAGATATCTCATTTCTTTTTCACAACCTATTGGCACACCACTCACCCCACCCCTCCACACTCCAATCACTTTAAAAATGTGGGGAGACACTTATTTTTCCAAGAGTCATCTTTCAACTACTACTATCTATATTATATAAAATAATATTGATAGTGGTATATATTATATTATTCTATTACCACAAAATAAATATGATGGAACTATTTAATTGAATCAATAATAGTACTATATTATATTTATTCTTTAAGAAAAAAAAAGTAGTAGAGTGTTTTGTTGCTTAATTTTATTTGTGTTATTTTTTTCCTAGTCATACTGGTATAATAACATATGAATTTAATGAGATTAGCAATACAACAATATTTAACTAACTACTAATTAATGGAAATTTTATCATTATTAATATTTTTTACTAAACTTTCGATTGATTTGTATTAATATACTTTAGTAAAAAAGAAAAACAAGAAAAAGATTTCTAACTCTTTAATTCTTGTTTTGCTCAGATCATTGTTATTAATATAATTAAATTAAATCAAATGATTGACATTTATTTGGATAAAAATTCCATTTATTACTTTTTTTTTTTTCATATTTATTTTAGTAACCATTATTTAAATATCAATTGAAATAATTGGTAATCATTACAAATTAAATATTGTTTATAAATAAATAAAAAAAATAATATTGTTGTACTTGTAGTGTCATAATAGTAGAGTATATCGTATAAAATCAATAACAGTGGTGTGTTTTAAAATAGTTTGTCATTTATTTTCTGATCAAAATTAATATTTTCCGATCTATTATTATTATCATTATCATTAGTCCAATATCTTTGTGTATTCAATAATAAATCTATTCATCTTTGACATCTCGTAATATTAAATTTATCATCATACATCATTTCCAAATTACTATTTCCATCCAATTATCAATATCATTTGGATCATTATCTATTAGTTTTCAATATCATCAAATAAAATAATAATAATATTATTGATTCCAAATTATCTTATTACAATTAATTAATATTGTTCTATTTACTAAAACTATCATTTCTATTTATTTATTTAATTATTTATTTATTTATTTTATTTATTCAAAAAATGATTGGAATTGAAGATACTCAATTAGAAATGAATAGAGAACCCCAAGGACAGACAGTACCCCCACAACAGCAACAGTCTTATATCAATAATCCAGCTTCGCGTGACAAGCTAAAGAAAAGAAAGAATGTAGAAAAAGACACTGCCAGCAGCAGTCCACTAGCAAAACTGCGTTCCGCCACTTTGCAACGTACTGCCACTTCAAAGTTGCAGTTTGTTGTCGATCTCGGATCGTCTCTCACCAAATCACCTAGCAAATCCACTACCAACGCTCTCTCTCTACACTCGAGTGTCGCTTCACACAATGGAACAGGAGCATTGTCTTCGCCATCTTTTCTTAGCAACAGTGTCCAATCACCAAACAAGAAAACTAAGCATCACAATTCAAACCAATCAAAGAACAATACTCTCCACCGTAAGAGTGTTAGGATTTCACAGCAATTAAAGCTCGACGAAGTCACCAAGATTTACGCTCCACTCTCTGGCTCTGAATATCTGTCGTCGTCACGCGAGTGCCCACTCTCACCATCGATTCTTCGTCAACAAATCAATAGCAACAACAAAGACAAATCAGAAAACAACAAAGAGAATAGTTTTTACAAGGACAAGACAACTACAACCACCACTACCACCAGTAACAGCAACAACAATTTATGTAATATAACACCATCCACACCCGATCATAGCAATAGTCACAACAACCAATCTACATCGATTTCACCATTGATGTCAGCAGCTTGCATTTCCTCACCAAAGTCACCCATTAATTTAGGAGATAACAAGGAAAACAATGTCAACTCTCTCAACTCACCACCAACCTCACCAACCGCTGCCGCCAAACAACCACCTATCCATCTCAATCTCCAGTCACACTCTATCAAAGCGAAAAAGTCGCAATCAACATCGAACTTTAACACCAACCAATTGGAGCTTGAATTGATAAAGAAGCAAGTGATTGAGAACTGTGAGGTGATCCTCTGTAAAATTAGTGAGTACCAACGCATTGTCTTATCGCTTCCTGATCTATTCATGTTGTCACAGGATATCCTATCGACTGAGTATGAATATCTTATCAAGGACACCAACACTATCTCCAAGATCTTGTCGCCACTTGACTCTACCACAGGTTCAGACACTAACACTGAAGTGATTTGCTCGCCACAACTATCAAATCGTTCACCTCATCTATTGTCCACCAGTCAACAATCCATGTATTTGAACAGCGACAATGTTTCCGATCACAGTAGCAATAGTAACGGTGGTTTAACAGAGATGGACAAGATCGCTCAATCTATATCGCTCATTGCCAAGAAATTATTGGCAATCCAAATCGAAATGAAAAAGACCAACTTGACTGAGAAGAAGGCATGCACACTCTCATTATTTGTGTCGGCAGTCAAACACTATTTGGAAACTGGTGATATCACAGATGACATTCCAAAGATACCAACCGAAGTATCGCACTCACTCATCCAAAGCACTGAACTAACTACCAAGGAATACTCACCCGAGGAGAGCAGTGACTACATCTATAAATCAGGTCCACTCATCAAAAAAGGTAGCAAAGGTCCATTGGTCATTTGGAAAGAACAGTATTTTGTATTATCAGTAGAACGCTTATCAATATATGCAAGTGAACGTGTAAGTTTGGTTAGATTATATATTGAAACTGATTTGTCTCTAATTATTTTTTTATTTTAGAAATCAGCTACATTGAAACCAAAGAAAGATATATTATTGAGTAATATTGTTTCGATTTGCCCAGTCACCAAATATGAATATAAACATTGCTTTATGTTAAAGATGAGAAATCCAGATTCCAAGTTGGTGGTACGTGCCAAGAATGACAAGGATGCCGCCATGTGGATGTTGGCTATTGACGGCTTGCCTCGTAAGAATTTCGATACCAATCAATCGTGCATCAATCTATATATCAAGGAGACTCTCCTCGAATCTATCTGCTCCAATGTTGTTAACTACCGACGCTCTGTGGCTGGTGGTGTAGTTCGTTCCAGTCACGGAGAGGAGTGGACATACCGCGCTGACGGAACTCTCTACAACTCTGAGCATCTCGATGCCAATGTCAAGGCAAAGGATCTCAAGTATATTTGGAATGGACAGCTGCTAGTACCAGCCAAGGACACCGTTAAGAACCTGGGAAGTGGTAAATGGAATGGTGTGTGGCTCGCTTGGTACTACAATAACATGCCATTCCTCAAGTATATGTGGCAACACGAATCCAACGAATACCTAAATCAAAATCCTAAACTCTCGTACAAATGGGCATCTAGAGGATTAGTCTCAAAGATTGGTGTTGGTGAATGGCTCATCGAAGGAAATGTACCCGAAACCGTTGTTATGTTTATACAGTGTCTCAGATATTGCAGATTAGGAAAAGATTTTTAAATACCCTATCTCTAAACTCCTTATCTATTATTTTGTATTAATTAAACTTCCTATAAGAAGCGTAAAAACAAACAATACTTAACCATTGATGAATTTAGTTATAACAATCAATTTTAAATAAATTATACATTATTTGAATTTAAAAGTTTATATGATTTATTTATAAGCTCAAATACACAATAGTTATCATTAACTAATAAATATGTTAAATTTTTTTCAATGATAGTGGTTGAGCTGTTTTTCACAAATTTTTTTTTTAAGTTGTCGCAATAGAGATTAATATTATAAAATATAATAAAATATCAAACCTACTTGGATTTTAATAAAAATTAGATAATAGAAAGCATTTTTATAGTAGATTTAGAATATAAAGTGTTATTCTTGAAAAAAAAAATTGAATGAGTATGGCGTTTATTTTTCGTTAGGGAAAATGAGTTTTCCAATCTGCATCGGAGTTCGGAGCAAGCTACACCAAACCCGAGAGATCAAAGAATACAGGGACAGACATATTTATCAATGTTATGAAAGATTCAATCAAATTCTCAAAGATCTTCAATCAAAAATTTGTGTTCAAAAAATGGTTATTGTAATATGGGAAATTTATATGAGAAAATCAATGATTAGCAACTAGCAGAATAGATATTTAACAAGAGACCCTGATTAACTAGGTTAAATAAAGTTATTATTATTTTGTGTCTAGCTTAATTAACTTTAATATCATTTAGTTGATGTTGATTTATTCAATCCAAACTGACTACATGAACAACTATTGATCAATCATTGCTGCTGATTTTGTTTACAAATTTTCAATTTTTGATAAATATATATATTGATAAATAATAATCAACAATATATAAAAATGAATAAAGATGTCTGTTTTCACATAAAATTCAAAAAAAATACATGTTTGCTATAAAAAAGTAAAAGTTTAAGTTTATAAAATGCAAATATTTTTTAGCTTGAGCTTTATTACCAGGCTTTGGAGGTTGATTATTTAACAAATGTGTAGGTTAGAGAGAATGTTTGTATGATGTCATATTAAAAAAAAATACTCTACAAACCCTATTTCATATCTAATTCATTCACCCCAATACTACCGTAGTAAAATGTGATAAAAATAGTACTATTTTGATAAACATCTATCTGATAGTGAGTTTTTTTTCTTAAATAAACTTCATTTTATCAATTATAGTTGCAAATAGTTAGAAAAGGAAGAGGATCATTCTTCTTTAATTCTCCAAAATTTTTAATTAATTTTAAATAATTTTTTTTTTAAAAATATAATTATAATTAAAAAAAAAAGTATAAAAGGGTGATCTATTCATTCCTTTTAATCAGTTTTGAGGTGATTGATATGGATCAAAGGATCATATCAAAATACTTGTAAGTTAAACTTTTTTTTTATTTCTAAATTCTTTTTTTAATATTTCTAATTTTTACTCTTTTTTTTTTTAAAAATTAAACAGATGTACCCACCCATACTCAACGGCAATGTTAGGAATATGGAAGATCCTCCGCAATGTAAGATTCCAACAGAGCCACACTCCAATTGTGCCAATCAACTTTAGACATCTCACCAGATAGTCGCTGGATATACAGATGGTATCTAATAGTTAATAGTTCTACTTATAAAAGAAATGAGCGATTTGACTTGAAGTAACACCACTCTTTGTACTCTCCATTATTAAAGTGTAAATGTCTGGTAAGAATTAAACGTTGAAGGCTTGGTTGATCAAACAATGAACTTAAATTCATTCAACAAGTAAGTCGAATTTATTTTTAAAAAAAAATTTTTTGCATTTTGAAAATTTTTATAAATTACTGACTATTTATAATTTTTTTTTTTTAATTTTTTTTTGTCAAATTTCTCTTTCATTCAAAATAAAGTTTCATATAGGAAAAATAAATAACAAGCCATGACGCATCACTTTTCAAAAGTCTGAAACCATTTTCAAAAAATTTTAAACCAATTTTTTTTTGTTTGTCTTCCCCAAAAAAAATTGAGTGTTTGGGAAGACAAAGACTTGAAGATTTAATCAATATTTTAATATTCTAAACCACTTTCTGTTGATTTAGTTTTTTTATTTTGATTGACCTATTCAACAATCTGGTTTATTTAAAATTTTTATGATTGATTTCTATCTGATCTATCTATGTTACTTTTTTAACTTTTTTCCTTCCTATTACAAGTTCATCTTGGAAATCTCCAGATTTTATTATTAATATAATTTTTACTTTATATTTTTCTTCAAAAATATCAAACCTTCATTCAAATGATTTCATTCCCAATTATCCATAATTCATTTTTAAGTCAATCAAAATTATTTTTGCAAACTTACAATTTATAAAATTTGCATAACTTTAACCCCAAAACATCATGTTGTTCAGGAACCAGAAACAAAAAACAATAGAATTAAAAAGATTTTATAAAATCTTTAACGATTCTGTTGTGTTGGTTCTTAAAATCAATCCCTTCGTATTAATATCATTATGATAAATATTTTGTTTTTTTTAATCCGGTAATATTACAAATGTAAAGTGTTTTTGACTACTGGTTTCAGAACAATCGATTTTATTGCTATTTAAACCTGACTTTAACAGCAATGTCTATTCATTATTTCAACTGATAACTAATACAAAGATAAAAATGTCTTTATTTACAAATAGATACATATTACTAATAACTACAATTATTTTATTATCAGTGTTGGCAACTCTACCAACAGTTAATAGCCAATCTACTGTCAATTGGCAGGCAGGAGTTAACTATGGATTGGGTCAAGTTGTAAAGTACTCGAATGGCAATTGCTATAAGGTTGTGAATGTCGGATCCAACGGATCCGATGGTACCGATCCAACAGTATCAACATGGTATTGGTCGCAAGTGACTTGCCCATCTTCTGGAACCGGATGTAGTGATATTGCTGTCAATTGGCAAGCAGGAATTAACTATGGATTGGGTCAAGTAGTAAAGTACTCGAATGGACTCTATTACAAAGTTGTGAATGTAGGTACAAACGGATCCGATGGTACCGATCCAACAGTATCAACATGGTATTGGTCACAAGTGACTGATTGCTCAGGTGGTGGAAATCCAGGAACTGGATGGATTGTATCGGAAACAACTTTCAATCAAATCTTCCCAAATAGAAATTCTTTCTATACCTATGCTGGATTAGTTGCTGCCCTCTCTGCATATCCAGCCTTTACAAACACTGGTACATCAACAACTAAACTGCAAGAAGCAGCCGCATTTTTAGGTAAGTATTATTTATTAGATCGAAGAGATCAGATGTTTATTTTATTTATTTATATGTTATCCAACTCTAATTCTATAATATGGACAATCAATTCTTCTTATAAACAGCAAACGTATATCATGAGACCGGTGGATTAGTTTACATTCGTGAGATCAATCAAGCCAACTGGAATTCCTATTGTCAACCAGCCGGTACATGTGGTGGTCTTCAATACTACGGTCGTGGACCACTTCAATTGAGTTGGAACTACAACTACAATTCATGTGGAAATGCATTGGGAATCAATCTACTCGCAAATCCTGATCTAGTTGCCACCGATTCCTCTGTATCATGGAAGACTGCAATCTGGTATTGGAACACTCAGAAGGGTGCTACTGCCTACACTCCTCACGATGCTATGGTAACTCTTCATGCATTCGGTGAGACAATCAGAGCTATCAACGGTGGACTCGAATGTAATGGAGCAGCTGGTTCACCACAAATGCAACAACGTGTTCAATACTATACAACCATTTGTGGTATTCTAGGTGTACCAACCGGTGGTAGTTTAACTTGTTAATTATAATGGAAAAATATATATGACTTTATAAGCATCAATCCAAAAACATTAAATAAATTAATTTAAACAATTCCAATAAAATATAAAATTCGACTGTATACAACCAATACTCTAAATATATGTTGATGCTCTTACAAAGACTTTCAATCAACAGCATGTAACAAGCAATACCAAGTTCGAAGTATGATTATTGAGCAACAACAACAACAGCTCTTTCCCACGTTTTGAACTTTATACAATTCAAAAGTATCCACAACAAACACACCCAGTATTAAAGGAACTGCTGTTACAATTAAATCATACACTACAACATCAACTCAAGTTCTTTAACACAATTACTATCAAAACAACATACATGTTGACGATAATGATCAATACAAACATACGTTCAACAACTCTACTTTCTCAAATAAAAATAAAAAAAAATTATTTAGATAGTTTATTTATAATTATTAATTAATTGTAATTCTCGTTGTTTACTTTGTTACACTATTGAATAGTTTGATAGGTGAAATTGGTTGGTGTCAAAGGGTGTTCTTCAAAGTATCGGATGAAGTTTGAATTGATTGAAAATTGTATATTCTTAATATGTTGATCCGATTCATCTTTCTAATGACCTGTAAGTCTTAACCGATTTCCTATCACTCTGTTGGTTTGCGATAGGTGTGATCACCACTTTCATTGTTAAATTGATATAACACCTCCAATTGAGTTGCTCTAAAAATTAATGAATTAATCATAAAGATTAGATAAATCGATGTTGGTTGATTGGTTGAATGAGTAAATAGGTGTGTTGCGATGGTTTTAATGATTAAATAATTTAGAATATAAAATGAATATGGTTGCCATCTACTTCAAATGGTGCAGCAAAACCAAAATTTCTTGGAAATCTAAATCGGTTGTAATTATCAGTCCTATGATCAATATTGCTATTTCATCAATGCTATTATTGTTGTTGACTTTGTTGTTATTTGAAACTATGATTAATTATTTCAAGAAAAATAAATGTAACTTCTTCATTAATGTTTTTTCTCTCTTTCACCATGGGTTCATCGATTCTCTTGTTAGCTATAGTTGGTTAGTTGGTTTCATTTATAAAAAAAAATTTTAACAAAACTTACCAAATAATAGCAGAGGTTCAATGCTTCTTGTTTGAGGTTTGAAAAGTAGATAGTAGAGGAATAGCATCACTTTCCGGAGTTTCTAAAATGATTTAATCGATTAATTGTCGTCAAACTGTCATCTCTGGACCAGAAAAAGATGACAACTATTCGTGCCATCAACAAGGTCCAATATGTTCTTCAAGCACAGCTCAGTGGAGCAGTTGTCTTATTCAAAGATCTTTTACCTCCAAAAGAATTCAAAAATGTCTTGAATATCTGTGTATGATCACCATGTTTATTGATCTAAAATCATTAGAGTATAAAAATATTAGTAAATCATTTAATAAATGATAGTACAGTATTTAATTTATTGAAATTATATATAGGATTTATGAATAAATAAAAAAAATATGTCAATGAATGAGAAAACTAATGAATGATTGATTAAACGAATTATATAAATAAATGAATAAATAAAATGAGCTATTTGAATTGAGAATCAATTTCAATTGTAGATCAAATGTGAATAATCGTGATGAGCATTCAGTAACTTGAAATCATTAGTGTATAGGATTGTATACTCAAAGTATAGGTTTCTCTGTAATGTTATTTTTAATAATTGTGTAATTGTGATTCAAGATAGTTGATATAAGATTATTTTGTTGGTGTGTAATGATAATAGAGGTAAATATAAAATATGCTAATTTTTGTTTAATAAATCAATAGTTATAATGATAAATGATTGTAAGTTGTTGTTAACAACAATGAAACTAAACAACAATTAAAATAATAAAATAATACTTGTGATGTCCAGTGTTTATGATCAACAAATTGTTTTTTTTTTTTTTTTTTTTTTTTTTTAACTTTCATTTATATAGATCATAAGATATCGTTATCAATAGTAATAATAATATCAATATTTATTTATTTTTCAATTTTAAAAGATGTTACAGCTTTAGAATATAATAAATTATTTAAAGAAAGTAATGAGTTATAAGATTCAATTCAAATGTAAGCTCAGTCAATGATTTCAGTATTGTTTGTCTATTATATTGTCTCACTCTTCAAGTTTACTTTTTGTATTCTAAAAAGATACATATTGAGGAGTAATATTGAGATAATGATCATTCCTATAATGCTAAACTAAACTAAACTAACAAACTAATATTAATTTATTAATAGATACAGAATATGCAACGTTTGGTTAGATATCTTTTGTTGACAGCAATGTCAATATATTAGTTGAGTGGTGGTTGGCTCTGATGAATGAAGATTAGATATCAAATTTACTATACTCTCAAAGATAGATACTTATTTTGGAAGCTGCTGTGAAATAGGACAATAGTGGTGATCGACTCTTTGGCTAAATCATGACAAGGATCAACGAGATTAAAGATACTATCAAAGTGAAAGAACTGTTGCAATAGTAATGCATTTCAAGTACAACCAATTAATAGTATGATCATCAAGATTATCAAAACAGAGGGTTCAGCGATGCCCATGAAAGTACAGTTGGAGACGGGCCTGCTACCCAAGCCAAGGTGTGCTATTGAAGTATGTAAATTATAATTTTAAACATTTGTAAATATACTGCAATTTTCTAATATACATCACAATCATATAGAGTCAAGTTAGTTTATAAATAGATTTTATTTCAACAAGCATTGGAAAATGATATTGATCAAGTACAACTTGTTGTTCTAAAGCTTACTTTGCTTACCTATTAGGTGAAACATACACCAACACTTTGATTAAAGTTAATGCAGCCACTACCATCTTACAAGAAGATATGGTCACTATTGAACAAGCGAGATCGAATGATTCAAATCATTTACATTTGGATTACAATTATAGACGCCAACAATCTTTAAATAGCTTCAAATAGATTAACATTAAGATAAGAAATAATAATTTATATTAATTAATAGAATTTTACTAACATTTATTGATTGTTAGGAAATTATAAATTTAGATAACAGATATTTAAAGAAGATTACATTCAAAAAGATATATTTATTATCAACAACAACGACAACAACTACAACAACAACATTTGGAAATATTATCTATTAGATTAATAACTATAGAAACTTGATAAATGTAACGCAGAAACAATAACATTTAGAGCAGATCTCCAAAGATCAATGACAATTGTAAATAGTGGTGATCAAAAATGTATATCGTTTCAGCTTTTAAATAATCAATGTTTACTTTATTTATTCGATTCACATGACTTGATATGATTCATTTACTTTGGAATCTATGATTAATAAATGAATTAATTCAAAAGAATGAATATAAAAGTATTTATTAATTAAAACTTAATAAATATATTAATACAAGACATTGAAAGAATAGAATACATGATTAAATCAATGCATTATTGAATAAATGAATAAATAAATCAATCAATATTTGAATCAATAATAGAATCAATTATTCTATTAGTAATACAGTAGTTTCTAGAATATTCGATATAAAATCACATTTAATTTAACAAAATTCGATCTCTTTAAATTAAAGTTTTTGTTTTAAAAACGAGGTAATCAATTCTATCAAAAATAGTAAAATGATTATTCTTCACAGCAATTTTCATATATGAAAACTCCTGCCCATAATGCAAAATTAATTTTATAATATTTTTTAAACTTCAACCAATTCATCAAGAATTGAATTCCTGAGATATAAAACAACTTTTTATAGCAATTAAAAGCAACCCCATCTTAATCGTCAAAGTTTACTTTGACAAAAATGTTAGGACAAAATGCAAAACCAAAAAATTTTGTAATGTATTTTA